TTTAAATGAAATACATCTTGATCTTACCTTGATTATAGTAAAATTATTGATTCTTCATATTTTAACACAAAAAAGATAAATCACAATGTTGTTTCTTAAAAAACGCATTAGTCATTAGCAGCCATTTTATTATAATTTCATGTAATTTTCTTATTAGCCGTAGGTATAATTGGTATATGAAAACAGAGCCTACTAAGGTAATAGAAAATCTATTATACTTAATACCGAATTAAGCTAGCGCTACATTAGGCTTAAAATCAGTCGCAGGAAATGAGCTGCAGATCTATGGGTAGTAAATGTAAACATATTCGATAAGTACACCTACCTATATTATCTACTAATAATTGTAAGGAATGAGATCGGTAGGCACAAAATGTCAAAGTTTAAACGAAATAAAAATACGGGTGTCCCACTTAAAGTAAGAAAGTTGATATCTACTTCTGGTATAAGAAACGGGGAACACCAAGGGCGGCTCCAGAGGGGTATATGGGAGCCATAGCCCGCTCCCAAAGATGAAAATTCTTACAAAAAATATGCTTAAACGGGAATGGTTAGTGGCAATAATTTAGGGTCACTTTGTGTATAGTTAAAATTAGTCATTTATAAAAAGAAAAAATTATCGCACTTTTTTGAATATATGCTCTTTGGGAGGTCTGACATTTTCTGGCTGAAATAAAGCCTTAAATTATCTGCTTTTGTAAATAAAGAACCTGCCTAACAAATTTGAAATGTGTCCTGTGTTTACTTCCAAGGTTTTACGAGGTTTTACTTTATTAGATTATTTTTTCTCCGCTTGAGTTCACTTAGGGCGGATATCACAAAACCCAAAAATTTTCAGGAAAGCAAATGTCACAAAAAATGACAAGAGACTTATTGTTAGTGAATTGTATAATATTCTTTGTATAATTCTATGGACTTCAGTCATGGACTTCAGCTTCAATACGTGCAATGTCAAAAAAATCACAAAGGCAATATATTGTCTAAAAGTATGCAACCAGTATTACTTGATGCTTTGTAATATGTATTATATGTATTTATAATATCGGGTAATATGATTAGTGTATAAATTCTCATGTAGTACTTATCAGCATTTTATAGTCTCCTGTAAAATTAGTTTTCCATGACATAGCTCCTATCAATATATTTTGGAATTTAGTTGCTAATGATTGGACATCCGTCCTAAGTGAATTCAAGCGGATATTTTATTTAGGAAATCCCGCTAAAGCAATTCAGTGCCATCTTACGGGTGATATAGGAAATAATGTTGAACCAAACTAAAATGTCGTCCACATCATACAGATATCTTTATATCATTTTCATTATTTATTTATAATCATATTTCTGAAAGCTGTAAATGTTTATAATTACGTGTTAAATCGACTTTTTGTTTTTAATATATTTCATGAGTAATTTTTTATGCAATTATATTTTCAAAACAAGGTTTAGAACAAATTTTAAATTATAATTTCACTGCGCCATCTATCAAGTAGAACTTAAAAGTAAAAAATTAGTAGATTTCTGCATTATTATAAAATATTTAATCAAAATTTATTTGATTTTCTGAAAATATCGTTTACAATCCTTTCAATATTTAATTTAGTTTCATTCTATTTTATTAATCATTTTTGTAAAAGCACAATATCCATATTTTCACAAACCGGGTTGACTTATAAATCAACAACCTTTGAAATGAAATTCTCGTTGTGGCTAAAGTTACGAAAGTAGTATAATTAAGGTTTGTGTTAATACCCACAATCAGTGAGTTTTTTTTAAGAACATTTTGTTGTTTTTTGAAAATTATTCGTCTAAATTTTACGAAAAAAAATCCTTTCTAGACGTCAGTCAAGTGGTAGGTATTTCGAGATGATTTAGTTGAACAAACTTTGCATAATTGATAAAAAAAAACAAAAATTCTCAACTCACCTTCTCACAAAACTTTTAGGTATAATGTTAATTTTATTTGTGTTTAATTATTATTAACAGAGTTATTAATATTAAATTGACACGTTTCGCATAAATCATTGATACGTTACTCTGGAAATGAAATGAACTTCTTAAATTCTACCTGTTTAACAGAGGAGGGGGTTCTCAATTCGTCGGAATATTTTTTTATGTATGTTCCTTAGAATATAAAGTAGTAAGGAAGGAGTGTGTGCCATATTTCCAATAGAAAACGTACGTGACCAGGTCGGCCATTTTGATTAACGATTTATGACTCATTAACCGTTTTAAAGCGTTGAACCCACATACTTTGAAAGTATGTGGTTGAACCAGAGAACACTTCGGTTATATCCTTGGTTAACCTTGAAATCACTTGACTAAATCCCCAAATAGGTAACTGGTTATTGTAACACATTAACGTTATATAGTTTTTTTTTAAAGGAAAGAAATTTTGACATTTAATTTCTAGGTTAACTATCGCTGGCTCTAAAGTAGAAATTGAGTGAGGTTTCTCCTCAGCTTTTCTTTATGGACAACTGCCGCGTTTGAGAATCCACATCGGATGCATTTTTTTACATCTCGAGCGTTTTGTTATCCACATCGGAAACATCTGTTCCATTACATTTACGTATACTGAATCACGTGATCAAAGATTTTTTACATCTCAGATGCATCCGATGTGGATTCTCAAACGCGGCAAATGATATAACAACTTTAATTCGCTACCTTGTTAGTAATTGCTGGATTTTAAGAAACTTGGAATTTTAATAAGAAACAGTGTTACACTTTTTTCGCATTGTACCAGACACATTTGACAAATTACGTATATGTATATACAATTTGACGGAGCGAATGCTATAATCTTACCAAAACCACTAACTGCATGTCATTGTCATTAATAACTCAAGTCCGGACTCTGGTATTTACCGGTTATAATTAATGACGTTTTAAAGGGCTTAAATATGACGTTATATGCTGCGTTTGAGAATCCACATCGGTTGCATCTGAGATGTAAAAAATATTTGATCACGTGATTCAGTATACGCAAATGTAATGGGACAGATGTGTCCGATGTGGATAAAAAAACGCTCGAAATGTAAAAAATGCATCCGATGTGGATTCTCAAACGCGGCAATAAATAGTAACCAAGAATTACCAATGTCACTTTAATTAAAATGGTAAATCCCGCAAATTACCGGTTAATCGCTTTAAAACGGTTATAGATTGTTTATGTGTCATTTGAAAGTTGGTTTTTGTATTATATTTTCCAAGTTATTAGTTGTTGAATCATTTTTAGTCGATAATAGAATAGTTATTACATAAGTTCTTATTTTAGTTCAATAATACATAATCTTAGTGCAATAAATAAAGTGATAAAGACAATGGGTAGTTGTAGTGCTTGTAGATGCTAAAAACATTAAAAATAATGTTGTTAAATTGTAAAAATCCTAAAATAACAATATAAATACGATATACCACTGGTAAATACTTATGTCAAGTAGCCATTTTGGATAATGATCACATTAAACTGACCTAGGCCCCTAGGCGTAACCATCATTCCTTGTTACTTTTTAAGGTATGTTGTCCGATTTATATTGGTGGATTTTATTTGTTGCACTAGGTGTAAGTTTTCTGCACTAATCGCATTTGATTTGATCAGTGTAGCTTCAAATATTTGACAGTAGTACACGTGTGGCATATATTTTTTTGACAATTATGACAGTTCGAATACAGTGTCGAGTGTGACACTAGTGCAACAAATTAAATCCACTATATGTTTCTTTTATTTGACAGAAAGGGAACACACCAGGGGGTCGATTCTCGACTCGTAGGAATTTTTTCCTATAGGAATTTTTGACATTTTTCTACACATCGGAAGTTTATGACATTTTTCTACATATAGGAAAGTGTCACAAATTCCTATAGGAAAAGGTTCCTACAAGTCGAGAATTGACCCCCTGGGGGTCAATTCTCGACTTGTAGAAACCTTTTCCTATAGGAATTTGTGACATTTTTTTTCTTTGTAACCCACATGATGTCAGCAGTTGGCTAAAAGTAACTTTAATAGTATCTGTAGTCTGGCTGACGGTATGAGATGGGCCTGGTAGTTTAGGAGGCTGCACAATAAGCCTAGTAAAGTTTAAGTGTTGCGCGGAGAACTCGCCTTCTGTAAGTTATTTATACAGAACTTCAGTAGTATCCCTAAAATAATATGTCATCGACCTATTTGACAGAATTGATGCTTAAGTTGTCATTATGAAGACTAAAGGTTGTCATAAAAGTCACTAATATGAAGACTAGAGCTAGTTTTCCTGGACAAGGATTCTTATGTGCGTACTCAGCACGTAACGAATTGAATATAGAAAGACACATTACATACGAATCGCATTCTGTGGAACGAAGATAGTTGTCTCAACACGTGCCGAATTGAAAAATGAGAATCCCAAAGCTGGTCACTGAGCATGGACATTTTTAAATGATTTGTGATGTTACCAGGAGAGGGGCGGATTAGTTTCAAACTCGAGAAAAAGTGATTTATCTCAAGTTTTTAATGGCAAATGTCATACGTCAACGTAAAAAGAGTATTTTTAAAGCCACTGAGAAGTCACTCACTGTTTCTGTCGATTTATTTCAGAAGAATTAAAATTCGTAGCAGAATTCTAATTGCTTTTAAAAACACTGTTTTAAAAATACTGCTTTCATGTTGACGTATGACTTTTCTAATAAAAATCTTAAGAGAAATGATTCCTCCCAAGTTTGAAAATAGGTCTCTAGAGTACATCAGATACGAATATTGTTGAAGACTTGTTATATTGAAAAGTATCTGAAAACTACTTGAGTCAGTTGCAAGAACATTAAAAATGTATGACCATGACAAAATTTGACAGAGTTGAAAATGTAAACTAGCTGAATGACGCAAACTTCAAATTATTTAATTCTAAATATCTGTCAATGTTTCGTAACAGTTAGGTATTATAAATAAACTTGAACATTGCGAATTACAAAGAAATAATAAAATAATTAGATTAAAAATGTTATAGTTATTAAATAAACACAAGTTTTGAAATAGTCGTTAGATCCGAGAACGGGTGAACGGAATATTAGGCATAACCTTTTTATGTCAGATCAGCCAAGCGCCAAGCCAGCAGCGCCCTCTCGACGGCTTGTCTTCCTACCGCCATTACAAACTAAACTCAACAACCTCTTTTCATCTTCGACCCGTTTGGCGTTTGCCGGTGAATTCATTTCTTTAAATATCCGACAACATCTTTTATATAAAATGGCAGATGAATATTTCTTTGGTAAGTTTAGCACCCTTTACATCAAATTTAGAAAGTATTTTTTTTATCTACACGTCATGATCCCAACGGTAACGACTCGTTAGTCTTGTTCTGGAAGCCGGCATTTGCGCGCCATTTGTAGTCGACGCTCTTCAACTCCGAACGATTTTCTTAATTTACAATGGTTGTTTCAATTCATTTTGCAGCTTTAACGCTTAAAGGAAAAGCCAGTGAAGTATGGGATCCAGAAGCAAAAGGAGCCGAAGATTACCAAGGCGGACATAAACTGATAATCAAACAAGCTTTGTTGGGACCCGAAGCCACCGATGGTAAGTACTTTTTTATTGTTTATACGTTATTTATTCATACTTAAATACGTTTATAATGCACATATTCATCTAAATTTTGGTTAAATATTGTTGTGTAATGTTTAATAATGCGAATTTGCTAATTTAATTGTTCTGCAATATATGAATGTCCGCCCATTTTATTCGCCATTTCATAGCGTCCAAGCTCGTAAACTGCATTTTATTTTGTTGCGTATTTTTACAGAATATCGCTAAATATTTCGTTAGTTTATCGTCTATATAAAAAAATTGCATACTTTTAAGTTGTAGCACGTGTATATAATTTTTAACTTGAAAATATTAGCCGGCATTCCATATCCTCCGCCCAAAAACATTTTATTGTTTAAATATTAATTGATAATTAGTTTGTGTGCATTATATTTTTTGAAATTATTGTGATAAATGTAATTCAAACTACATAAAACGAAAGTTCTCTATTCGGCTTATTGGCGCAAAAAGACTTAAGTACAGAGAAAAAGTAAATTTGAGAACTTTATTCTTCTATTGATACACTTTATGCCGCTTTTATTCAAGTCTATAGAATCATAATTTTACATTTCTACAAGAAAATCCCTTAATTTGCCTCCAGGACGCCTAGAGCTCCAACATGGCGGCATTGCGGTCTTTCAGACTTATTTTTGCCGCCATTTCTTAATCCTCCGACCATACCTATTAAAATAATTTGACAAATGCAAACAATTTAATTCGTTTCAGTTTTATAGGCAGTTTCAAACAATTTTTTTTATGTATTTACTGTTTTAAAACAGTTATCAGTTTAAGTACCATAAAGCATGAATAATTGAATGCCATGCTTATCTGGGTGCAAATTTTTGACTAATCTTTTTCCAGGTCGCAAAAATCAAACTAATTTTAACATTCTAAACTTTTTTAATAATAAATAACGTGAACTTTTGTATAAATAACAAAAGTTTATTTTTAAAATAACTAAATCAAAATCCCATGTTCCAAGCTTTCAATTTTTCTTGATTCATTGGTGAAAGTGTTTAAAAAATATTAAATAACTTTTATACCAGTCAAAATACTGAAAAATGAAATAAGCAGCTGAAATAGGTAAAAAAAAATCAATTAAACTTTCTTATTGTAAGCATTTTCAATCTAACCAATCACTTTGGAGATATGAGGGTATAATTTCGTAAGGGGAATTGGGGATTTTTCGTATTTCAAAAATTGCATTTCAGTTTTTTCGAAACTTTAATGATTTTTCTCACTTCACTTTTCTTTCAATAAAATTTTAGTTCATTATTACTATATATCTTTTTTTTTTATTATTCTTTTTAAACATTGTTTTAGAATTCATTGTAAATTGTCATGAATTTTTACTAAAAAAATACCTATATCAATTGAAACTAATTCATAAATAATAAATACATGCCTAGGTAGGTATTAATTATAATAATACTCTCCCTAATTCACCCCCTTACGAGTGAATTTTAACCCCAAAAGCTGAGCTTGTGCAGGGCAAAGAATGGCGATTATTATTATTATTTGCCGTGGCGCTCCGGGGCGACTTAAAGACGATTGATGGTGCCATTTGACGTACAGGTGAGGAAAACCTCACCCACCATCATCGAGACGATAATGCATGGCAATTTTTTTTTAATCTGCATGTCATATCAACAGAAATTAAATTTCTATTAATACAGCACACATCAAATCCTATACCAGAGACTTGTCTATAAATTAATATAAGCACATTAGACTGCTACACCACTGACCTGATAATTATATTATTACATATTCAAAAAAATGTCTGGTTCTCATGGATGTAAAATATCCAAGTAGGTACATAGGTACCTACCCATATAACAATAAATTTGTAAAGGTTCTTTTACCTGAAGTGCAATACCTGGTATTGAATTTTGGGATTTCAAGGTTATGACTCACTCCTATTAGATTATTCTTGGAATATCCCATTCAAGTTACCTACCTATATTGATTTTCTTTTTCATATTTTTCATAACATTTATTCCAATGTACCTATTTTTATGAAGAGAGTCTTGTTTTTTCAGTCTCCTGGATATGACTATGCTAAAATGCTTTTTTATGATGTTTTCAATTATGGAGTTTGTGTTAAAGAAATGATAAAAATATACATACATAAATCATTCTGTTACACTTTAATAAATAAAATACCAAACTCATTTCTATTATATTTTTATCAAAACATTTTAAAAGCATCTCCTGTTTGGTTGAATTTAATTTAGATGAAGTCCTTTTGAGTTGAAACTTATAGGATATTTTAGACTATTTTATACCCTATACCCCTTATTTTTTTTTTACATAAATCAAGGTGCTCTACTTCAAACAAAGCCAAACCAGCAGAGCACCTTTTAGTGTGTTTTATAAACAAAAGTTTCTGGTAAAACTCATTAAGAATGTGACACAGAACAACTGAAGATTATCTGATTTAAAAAAGGTCATTACACAAAACATACTCAGTAAAATATTACTGATTTCCCATTCTTAATGAGTTATATACCTTAAAAAAATGCTGGGAGTTTTCTTACAATTTTACTACATTTTTAGGATCTTTTAATTCATGTTTTAAAATCATTTCCTATTTGGCTTAAATTAATTATTAAAGTAATTTCTTTATACTATCAATAGAGTTTGTAGAAGAAAAATATAGGAAATAAGTACACATCCTTTTTATATTCAGGTACATAATTTAAATTTTCTTTTCCATATAAATAAAAATATTTACACTTTTTTTTTAAATGGAAATACTAAGACAAATAATAAAATAATAATGACAACCTTCCCTTCATACACAAGCTCAGCTTCAGGGGTTGAAATTCACTTGTAAGGGGGTGAATTAGGAAAAGTATTATCTATCATATCAAGTTTGTTTCAATTGCTTCTATTTATTATTTAGAGAGAAAAAATGTTATTGTATTGTTTTTATCTTCTGTTATTAAACTACATAGTTTAAAGTGCTAACTAATCTTAAGATGAATATAATTTTTTTCTTGCACCGGTGCAGAATATATTTATTAAGTTTGCTATTTGAATAAAAGATACTTCCAAAATGTTCATACTTACATACATATTTATTTATCACCTCTGAATATCAATAAAGAAAACGAACTTATGACTCCTAATTTTAAACCATTTTAATTAGAAAGAAAAAAAAATTAAGTATAAAAATTTTTAGGTGAAGTAAATGTAGTCCAAGTCGAAGCTATGACTTGGAAAGATTCAGTAAAAATTCCAGTGGCCACCCTAAAAGCTGGTGGCCCCAATAGCCAAGTATTGTTAGATCTTTCATTCCCTGACCCACCAGTCACCTTCTCACTCATACAAGGAAACGGGCCAGTACACATTATCGGACATCATTTGATCGGCAGTCCAATGGAAGAATTCGATGAAATGGACGAATTAGAAGAAGAAATGATTGACGACGAGGAAGGAGAAGAGGGTGCTGTAAGTATATTTTGATTGACATTGTTTTTAGTTTGATTTTTTACTTTTGTATTTTTTTTTTTTTTTTTTTATTAGCTAAATACGTAAAATAATTGATTTAAAATGCAAATCTACTAATGACGTAAATACTTATTTTAAAGGCAGTTTCGTAAAAATTTAAATAGTTAATTATGTTAATGGTTCAAAGTATAGATAAATAAATTGAATGACAATTGACAATATAGAATAGGTTTTGTGGTTTATAAGATTTTTTTTTAATTAAAGGTACATCATTGGTAATTATGTCGTGTCATTTTGTAGCCTTTAGATCTAGATGGTAGAAGTTTTACCACTTACAAATTGATTTATACATACATGATCTTTATCTATAAAATTAAAATATGAAGAGGCAAGTATTGCAGTGAAACATGTTTAATAAATTGGTTTAGTAATTGATAAAACTTTATTATAAATATCTTATAATTGAAATTATTAGATTTGAAGGAATCAAAAATCATATTTTTATAAAAATTAGCAATTTGAACATTTTTTGATTTTATTAATTATTTAAAAAAAAAATAGTTGTTTTTATTTTGCATGAATTAATAGTTATAAAATATATTAAATTCGTTTTAAATTATCATGGGAGAAAGCAGTGTAAATAAAACTTACTTTAAACATTTCAAAATTAATTTTATCATATATGTCAAATGTATGTGTAGTTTGTCATAAGGCAATTTGGTCCCATTTCTAAAAAGGGTTATAAATGAATTTTAATGTAAAAATTGATTTTATAAAATGAAACAGTTTAAAGATGTTAGAAATATAGAAAATTGATGATTATTAATATTGGACTCTTAAAAATCTTGATAAGAAAAAAAAATTACCTGTAGTTCTTTTAAGATTTAATGTTTTATTTTATAAAATCAAATGTACATAAAAATGGTAACATCCCACCCTTAATACCTTCAAATAAAAAAATTTAAGAGCTTTAACATGTTTTATTTTATAAAATTGATTTTAAGTAAAAGAAAAAATGGAATATACAGGGTATTCATTTGAAAACTTCCCATCCTTAATAGCTTCCTAAACAAATAATACAAATTTTTCTTCTGTATTTTTTTTACATTTAAAAGCTTTAATGTGTTTTATCTTATAAAATAAATTTTACATAAAAAATAGTATGTATTTAAAGGATGTTCTTGTATATACAGAGTATTCATTAAATTAAAACCTTTAAAATGATGTGCCCTTGACACCACATTTCCATTTTGGGTTTTAAGGCTAACATCTGCACCTTTTAGGGGGATCCAATCTTGAGGGCTATAAATAAATATTAAAAATGTCCCCCTTGAAAATTAAAAGAAGTTTTTCTGATTTTTTTTATATTTACTGAAAGGGAGATCAAGGGTGGGAAGTTTTCAAATGAACACCGTATATATTGATATGGAAACAGTCTATATTAAAAAAATTAATAAAATGTTATTACTTTTCTTTCCCCTTCTTCCTCTCTTTCTCCTTCTTCCTCTCTTTCTCCTTCCTCTCTTTCTCCTTCCTCTCTTTCTCCTTCTTCCTCTCTTTCTCCTTCTTCCTCTCTTTCTCCTTCTTCCTCTCTTTCTCCTTCTTCCCCTCTTTCACCTTCCTCTCTTTCACCTTCTTCCTCTTTTTTACCTTCTTCCTCTTTCACCTTCTTGCTATCTTTCACCTTCTTGTTCTCTTTCATCCTCTTGCTCTCTTTCATCCTCTTGCTCTCTTTCATCTTCTTGCTCTTTTTCACCTTCTTGCTCTCTTTTATCTTCTTGCTCTTTTTCACCTTCTTGCTCTCTTTTATCTTCTTTCTCTCTTTCACGTTTGTCCTCTCTTACACTTTCATCATCTTTTTCACCTTTGTCATAACTTTTCTATTAATCTATTTTGTTTTATACCTTCAATATTTTGTTTTAACACTACTTTATTTTTTAGACTTTTATATATATTTTTTTCATTTCTTCATTTTGTTTTTTATTTTACTCTTTTTTCTTGCTTTCTTTCTGAATTTTTCTCTATTTATTTTTATTTTATTTTGCCTTTTGATTTCCTCTTTGTTTCCTAATTTGCTTTATTTTCTTTCTCTAGGAAGATCTATCTTTTTTTAATTTTGTTCATTACTACTTATTTCTTTCTTTTTTTTTTTTGTTTTTTAATATATTTTTTCTCATTAATTTCTTTTTGTATATTTCTAGTTTTATGTATCTATTTATTTTTCTTGTATTTTTATTTCTTGTATTTTTGTTTCTCTACTTTCTTTTTCATCCATTTTCTTCTCTTAATTTATTTCTATTTTTATGTATTTCTTAAATATCTATTTTATTACTTATTTATTTTCTTCACCTCGTAAGTCAAATGACACCATCCATCTTTGAGTCACCCCGGATGGCTACGGTAAATAATAATAGGCGTCCCTTTCCCCGGACAAGCTCAGTTTTGGGGTTTAATTTCTTTATTGTCAATTTCTAGTTTCATCTTTATTTCTTTTTCTTGTATCTTTATTTGCTTTTTTTTATTTCTTCTACCTTTTTACATCCATTTTCTTCATATTCTTCTAATATTTTTTTTCTTTCCTTTTATTTATCTTTTCAATATCTATTTCTATTTTCTTATTTATTTTTTCTTCATTTTGTTTCACTCTTTTCTCTTTTATTATCTTTTCGTCATTCCGTTCCATTTTCTCATCTACATTTCTTATTTTTCTTGTCTTTTGATTTCTTTATTTTTTACTACTTTTTTTGACTTCTTAATATGTCTGTTTTCATTAATTTCTTAATTTTAATTTCTGCGTTTTATCTTTTATTTTTATTTGTTCTTCATTTACTTCTACTTTTTTACATCCATGTTTTTCTTATTTTTGTGATTTAGTTCTCGTCTTTTATTTATTTCTTTAATATCTATTTCTATACTTTATTTTCTCATTTTTTCTTAATCTTTTTTAACTCTTGACTCTTTTATTTTCTTTATTTCTTTACTATTCATTTGTTTTACTAATTCTCCAGTTTTCTTTCTGTCTTTTCCATTCCATCTGCACTTTAAATTTCTTATTTCATTTCCTTATTGGCTTGTTTCCTAATTTGTTTTATTTTTATTTGCTTCTTCTACCTTTTCACATCCATTTTCTTCATATTCTCTCAATTTATTTCCCCTCTTCTTTCCTTTTATTTATTTTTTGAACATCTATTTTTATTATTTAATTTTTTTATTTTTTCTTCATCTTGTTTCAACTCTTGCCTATTTTTTATTTGTCTTTTCAATTTCGTTTATCTTTTTTCCATTTTTCCCTTCATCTGCATTTTTTATTTTCCTTATCTTGTCTTATTTTGATTTATTTCCTAATTTACTTTATTTTTTTCCTTGATATCTTTTTTAATTCTTCAAATTTATTTTTGGCTTCTTAAAATGTATCTTCAATAATTTCTTTATCTTCAATTTCTGGTTTCATCTTTATTTCTCTTTGTTGTATATTTGTTATTTCTTTTCTTTCTTCAATGTCTATTTTTATACTTTCTTCTATTTTCTTTGTTTCTTTACTATTTGTTTTATTGGTTCTTCCAGTTTGCTTTTTTCTTCTTTTTCATTGTTTTCTATTTTTCTCATCATTTTCATCTTCTCTATGTTTTTTTATAGATGTCTTAATTTCTTCCCTGATTTCTCTTCTAAATATTTTTAATTTCTTTATTTTCTGTTTTCATCCGTTTTATTTATTATTTGTTGTCTTATCTTTCTTCATCTCTATCTTAATAAAAAAAATTGATTAATATCAGTTATTTTTTCGTCAAAATCGTGATTTTATATACTTAATAAAAATTCATAACTTATTAACAAAAATTTATAGGACATTTCTTATTAGTATTAAAGAATTTGAAGGTTTTTTGGTGAAAGTGGCCATACTTGAATTTATCTGACATCTAATTAATGCATTAGTAAAAGGGCGCTGATTAAAAATTATCAATTATGACAATATAAAATTTTATTGGTTTTGATTTTAAATTAAACCTTTAAAAACAACTTTTTTCGATTCTTATAACTCTCATGAACAGCTTAATAAGTTAGTTATTTTTTAATTTTTATTTGAAATAGTTTATTGCATTCAACAACGAAAAAATTGTAAGATTGCACTGCATTTTCTGTTGATAATTTTTTTCTATGAAATTCCGTTTTCCATTTACATCCTAGAATAATTGGAATTAAACAAATAGGAGTTTTATTGAAGAAATAATTATTCTATGTTCAAAAAATTAATGGTTAAAAGTAAATAGTGTAATAATTATGCCAAGGAAAGATCTGATAATAGTTTTAAGTATAAAATGTTTAATTTATAAGAAATAAATTTAAACATCCATAAAATGGTCAATTGATGGAAAAATATATAATTAAACATTTTATTTTAATTAATAATGGTACTGCTTTTTTGAAACATTTTGATGTTTATTAATTTATTAACGCCCTATAATAAGATTTTTATATGGTAATAAGCAGATTTTTTTTATAAAGAATGACTTTTCGTCTGTATGTTTACTAAATAGATATGTAAAACTGTCTACTTCGAGTTGTACAAAACAATTTGTAATAGATTTATTACTAACGTGGCATTTTCTGGCATTATATTTACAAATTCCCATTTTTTTAGGAGAGCGGTAATAGAAAACGGAAAGTTTCGAATGGAAAAATAAAGGTGCGAAAACAATAGAATGAAATAAAGCGGTGTAACCCCTTTCATGAATAATTTTTTGTGTTTACAGGAGGAAGACGAAGAGGAAGAAGAACCAAAAGTTAAAAAAGCAAAATCGACTAATGCCAAGGGAAAGACCCCTGTCAAAAACAATGCGAAAGCCGCAAAGAAGTAAAAACCTCCTGATTTCTTTTTTTTTTTTTAACTTAAGTTAGTTTTTTAATTCATCATCTTCTGGGATTGTCGATGTAGCAATTCTGTGAATTATTTCTATGTTTCTGACGTATGTTTTTTTGTGAAGTATGTACTTTTATTCCAGCTATAATTAATGATTAGTTTTTATGTAGTTTATTTTTTAAATACTTAAGATAGAAACGTTTTAGGTATTTAGATCTTACAACCACTCCGATTTTGTTGTACAGCCTCATTAAACCATTTTTTGTATTAACTGTTGTATTTTATTTGTACCGTTTTCTCACTTATTTATTGCAGGGATGGATTACAAAATAACTTAAATTTTTACTAAATCATACAGTACAAACTATAAAACCAAAATAAAGCAGAAAGGTTTATAGCAAAAGAGTTAATAAGCTATGCAATTCTTAATACATTTATGCTTTACTGGTTGTCTACAGAGACTACTATACAGTGAGCATCTTAAGTCTTACCCCCCCCTAACTAACTCGTTACTGGGGTCTTGTTAGGAAAATCGCCGAGACAGGTCGATTTTTGATTTCTACAATGTACATTTTTGCATGATTAGTTAACCCTTAATTTCATTCCTTACTGGAGGGTAAAAATCCTTTCGAAAAATTTAAATGGCATGGGGTGGTGAGTGATAGCTCATTTGAACGGGGGTTTTATTCTCTATTCAACTGTGCAAAAAAAATTGAAATTTGCATCATTACATGTTGATTTATTAATGTTTAAAAATAACAAAACCTCACAAAATAGGAAAGCAACTAGACTAACAGTGACCTTCTAATGGCAAAAAGTCTTACTTCACGTCTGAACCAAAACCGAAGTCATGCAGGGCCGAATTTTAATTCTAAAGATGAGTGCGCTACGTTAATTTCCATTATTCTGAAACAACAATTAGTCGAGAATTAATGAAGCAAATTTCAATTTTTTTTACATGGTTGAATAGAGAATAAAACCCTCTTTCAAATGAGCTATCTCACTCACCACCCCATGCCATTTAAATTTTTCGAAAGGGTTGCTCCCCTCCAGTAAGGGATGAAATTAAGGGTAAACTATTCATACAAAAATGTACAAGACTCCAGTAACGAGTTAGATAGGGGGGGGTAAGACTTATTTATGGTGTTCACTGTATGTATTGGAGTTTTTATATGTATTTTTGCAGGAGGGGACAAATTATGAATTTCCTGTGTGTAGATTTTATTAGATTATGTAGGTAGAGTATTGTAAGTGATTTATGAAACTTTAATTATAATAAGTATTACGAATAGATTTATAGAATAAGGAAATTATCCATTGCACAAATGTATCCATAAAGGAAGGAGGAAAATTCGAAAATATTTAAAATATGGTTTATTGCATAGTGCAATTAGTTTCGGCCTATGACTCATCAGGGCATAGAGAAACAATTATGTAGAATGAAAACCAAATAAAATACAAAACTTAATAATTAAAGTCAATAAATAGCAAAATTTGAGTAGAAAGTTAAATACTCTGATATTAAACAAAAAATGTTTGGATTTTTCATTTTTATAGACCAGGGGTAGTATTCTCGAGTCACGAATATAGATTCGCATGCGAGATTTATGATTTGTCTCACTTGGTTTTCGTTCAACAAAGTGAGACATTGTAAAACACGTATGCGAATGTCGTGATTCGAGAATACTACCCCAGGGGTCTGAAAATCGCATGCGGCTCTTTTCCCCCTTCAATATGGCTCTTCCCCAAACTACAACGTGCTGGCTCGTACATACAGTATGATCGAAACTTCATGATAACTGCTTTTATTTCCATTTTTTTTATACATAGTTGGTGTTTTATCTGTCTTTATTTTTAGGCGAGTATTCGTATTTAACCCTTTATAGGGCAAATTACTACAAACTGAAATCGAGATAATTGAACTTACAAAGCAGGTCGATATTTTGACCAGTATCCATGTAGGTTGATACATTTCAATAAGATTTACTGGTTGATAATTAAACTGCTTCTTTATTGAATACAAAAAATACTGTCACATCTGTGTTAATACGAAGTATACACTAACAATTATAGAATAATGCAACTTTACATTTAGTACACTACATTGCTGCGCTTAGGTTTCTTGTCAGTGCTACATCTTACACATCTTCGAGATGTATGTATAGGTGTTTTCCAACAATATTTTCCACACCAACTGTCCTCCCATCAACCTTTTCCATTTAATTTTTCCGACTACCAACCAGGACCCTGGGTCTTTTCTAGATGATAAATGTTCAATCAGTTGGTTAGCGAGGATACTTCTTAAAACCAAGTGTGATTTTGGTTTATTGGGCTTGTGGTTAATATGGGCTGATTTTGAGTGAAACTTGACTTCTATAGGATGTGAGAGTTGACAATTGTGGCATCGACAAAATAGTAGAATCACTTCAGCCACCATCTTCATGACTTCCATGCTATGTTATAGCAAGAGTGAAGTTGGTCAAATAAATCAATACCATTCATAAGCTTGATTATAGTCATCTATACTCTTGGGGCAGTTTACAGTGATTCTAACACCTTTGGTCATGCGTTTTACAGTTTACTTCTCTGAGATCGTATAAATCGCTAGCTACTACAACACATTTCTTGCCTCTGTCCTTCCACTTGCTTACTGTAACAGAGGTAGTATCTACAGAATCTTATTCTGCTGCTTTCAAGTGTGTCAACGATCCGCAAGTCAGCTGGAAAGTTTTCCCTATTATTCCTCACTGTCCCACTTCCAAAAATATTCCGATCTAGAAGTAAGAAGGAAGTAAAAAAGTTATCGAAATAAACAATTTTTGTTCTGAAATGGCAGTGTAAGCACCAAAACTATTTTTTAACCAAGAAGTCCCTCCTACTGACTTCGTTTTTTCCTTTGTAGATCGAAATGTTTAAAAGGTAACCGGTTTGACTACAAGCTAAAGCCCACACTTTAAACCCTCTTTTAATGGGTTTTTGAGCCATGTATTGTTTAACCCTCTAACAGGAATATTTTTGTTTAAACTCATAATTTCATAAAGGGGCAAATTGAAGGCACTGATCACGAAAATGAAGTCCATTTTTCGATGGGTCAAGCGTTTTGATCTCCAGGTGTAAAAATAGGTAGACCGAGAAAAGGCGGGCATTCCGTTGAACGTATCATAAAATAAAAGATAGGTTGTATTATTTTGTTGTTTATTTTCTTACTGAAAAGGGTGAAATACATAGTTATGTTAAGGCAAAACACGATAAAAGTAATAATATTAGAATAGGTAACAACGTGTCAATAAAGAAGATGGGCATTTGTCAACGACATATCCAGCATATGATAGAATAATTTCAAAGAGGCACTGTTGGTCTTCAAACCAATGTGGTACCGATCCATTAGACCATTCATCAGGGAAATTTATGTATTGGCTTTTCTTCTGAAGGAATTTCTGTGCAAAAAAATACTATATCTATTATTTCATTTTCTATAAATAAAAATCGTCTAAATACAACAAAAAAAGAAAAATCAAGTAACAAATATGAAAATAAACAAGGAATTATCAGTAATAGGAGAATTCATTCTTGCGTGAAAACTTAGCGTACACGGGAATACCCGACAAAAGGCAGGCCCCTAATATTTCAATCAAATCACTATTTCTAATTTAAAAAACACAAAACTTATTTGATATTATGAAAGTATATAATAAATACAACTTACCAATATTTTTTTATTCCGGTAGCACCAGGAGAAATATTTTATTTCATTTCACAAAAAATGTCAATTTTCAACCCTAATTTATACGTATGCACTCACAGACAGATGAACTTCACTTGGCAACAGACCCAAAACAAGAAATGGTACAAATCTCAAATTTATTACACTAAGTAAAGTGAGAACTTACAAATATCTTTTTGTCACGTTTCAGTGAAAAAAATTGTTACCAGATGTGAACAAGTGAATTACCTGAAGCCCGCCTTTTGTCGGACATTCCGGCTAGAGGGTTAAGAGTCACCACGGCAAATAATAATAATAATAGCCGTCCCTTTCCCCGCACAAGCTCAGCTTTTGGGGTTAAAATTCACTCGTAAGGGGGTGAATTAGGGAGAGTATTATTATTATTATTATTATTATTAGATTACTTCTACCCTTGAAAGCAACCATGCTCTCGTCAACAGCTAAATTTCTACCAGGATTATAGCAATTCACATAACTGTCTGATAAGTGGTTTATCATAGGTCTTATTTTATAAAGTCTGTCTAAATTAGCATCTCAGGCATATCTTCATTATTACTAAGATGTAGATAGCGCAAAATTTTTAAAATCATTGCATTGGAAATTCTTGAGCAATGAAAGTTCTGATCTGATGACCAATATAAACGTAAGGAATGGAAACCCATAATAATCAAAATACCTAAGAACGCCTTTAGCTCTTCTACAGTCAAATCAAGAAAAGTACTTTTTTTTTAAAGCGTATCGGTTTGATTCAGACAATGATCGAGAAAATTTCCGAAAAGAGTTAAAAAAAGGTCAATAGGTGAATCTTCTACAACCACTTTTGGGCAAGTGGGTTCCTCAAAGTTGACTGCCTCGAAAAGGTGAGGAAAATGTGGTTTCCTGTTCCATTCAAAATCGTTTTTTGTTTGTTTATTGGATGAACGTGGTTTTTGACGAAGAAGATTTGCCATCATCTTCATCAGATGAGGAATATCTTGCTCTGGTTACTTTCTTTGGTGTAGGGTCCTCTATTGAGTCATCTAATTCTCACTGGCGTACGATCTTTTTCCTCGGCTAGTGCTTGATAAAAAAGTATTAATATTGATATCATCCTCGGCATCTGAGTCTCCCCCCAAGTCAGAATCAATGGCCTGATCATCATCAATTATGTCGAATATGTCTGTTCTAGAAATATATTATTATTTTTCAAGACTAGTTATATTGCTAGTATTTCAAAATATACATAAAAAGTCCCATCCCTAGGTTTTGTTACAGCGCCACAAACACTTTTTCAAACCCGCAGTTACATTTATAATATTGCTTTTATACCTACTTATATTTACTAATTTAGTAATTTCAAAATAGGTAAAATGTTCAAAAATATACTTGAAAATAAATATCACCCTCTCCCCCTAAAACAGATTTTGTTCCGGCGCCCATGACAAGAAACGCCTGTTTATTTTGTTTATCAAACCTACAGCGCGATAAATCGAACCAAGAAATTTCTAAATTTTGAGGTTAGGCCGGAAAAACAAAATATCTTGCCGATAAAACCTCATATAAATAAATAATAGATATCTGCCCAAACAACACACCAAATCCCAGAGATATCCACAGAATATCTTTTGTGGATATCCAATATATCCACAGGATATCAGAAATATCTCTTGGATCTAATATGAATATCCAAATGTCCGTCTATATCCAGAATATAGAAGACATCCTGCCCCCATATCCAGCAAAATATCTAATGCGTATCTTCCAGACAATACAAGAAATCCCAGAGATATCCACAGAATATATTTTGTAGATATCCAGTGGATCTAATATGGATATCCAAATGTCTGTCTATATCCCAGGATATAGAAGATATTCGGATATTCAGCAAAATATTTTATGGGTATCTTTAGTAGAGGTTCATAAGTAACCAATGATTATTGAATAACGTTGAAAGAAAATAGCAGAGAAAAAATATTTTCAACACTCTGCCTTTGATTTTGCCCACTAAGGAGAAAATCATCCTCATTAAGACTCTTCAGCAATAGATGGAAATTCTCGACTCCAGTCTCTAATGGAGTCTGATGGAAATAGCAATTTCGATCGAACTCAATTACGGCGGGTTGAGCACGAGCGAAAGTGGTATCGCCATCTATACTTTGTAAGCGTAATCAAAAATTACATCTAGTGGATATCCACCATGGTTTGCGTTCGCGCCTAGACTTTGATATATTTAGTGGATGTCCATGGGATATTGAATACACCTTAAAAAAAAATTATTTTAAATATCTGAACGGTACTATTAGCCACAATGGCGTAATTTTTTAATAATTTGCTATATAATTACTATTATTTATGGATATTTGCATGTCTATAAATTACATCTCATGGATATAAAATAGATATCCACCATGGACTGGACATTCAGTGGATATTGGGATGCCCAGTAGATATCCAAAGGATTTGGTGTGCTGTCTGGGTGAATGTCAAAAATGTACATTATGTTTGTTTGAAAGCAACATAGGTATACAAGCCAGTTGATAGGAAGGGAATAGCGGGGTTTGTTTACTTTTATTAGAAATTGTATTGATTTAAATTATTTTATTAGTTTTGAGATATTTCAGTAGACCAATGTTTCTAATATGAGATGTTAATAGTTTCCTATTTAGTTACTCATTCACCGTCATTGATATCAAAAAATCGTCAAGAGTTAAACGATAGTCAACTAAATCCCATAATCACGCATCCATGACGTGACCAGAGGCCTTACTGCTTAACTGTTGCAAGAACGTGGATGCACACTAATCTTGCGGCTAGCCTCTCCCGTTGTTAACTCATTTATAATTTTCCCCTATTAAATTAGGCGAAAATCCAGTGATGCTAAAACAATTCAGGTTAGGAAGAAGTCCACTTTTCAAAAAGTTGTTTTTAATTTTTTTTGTGAAAAAAAAAACACTCCATAAGGTGCTAGGGGCTTTTAATAATATTACAATCTTATCAAGAGTTGATCAATAAGTAATTTTGTTATAACCTAACTTAACTAGGGTTGCAATCTTAAATCCTAAATTTCTACTCACTAGTATACCTTAGGGACTGATAACTTAATTACACTAAACTAACGTGTAACACTAAACTGCACAATGCTTTGCATTGTTATTAACACAATCACTTGGCTAACTCAAAAGGTTTCACTCTCTTGCGTCTTCTTATCAGGTTCGTGTTATCAAGAAGCTGGATCTCCTCAACGTTCACATGTTGGTGGAGTCGTTGTTCGTGACTCCTAGCGAATCTGGTGATAGTCAACAGTGCCCATCTGAAGGTCTCGATGAAGGTCGCCGTTTCTAATATACCAAGGAGCATCGACAATGTTCCTCGATACTTTGTTCTTGATTCTCTAGATTATTAGAATATTACTGTAGCTGGCACAACCCAAGAGCTGAATGCCATAAGTCCAAATTGGTTTGATAACTTATTCATATAATAGAATTTTGTTGTATGTAGATAGGCTGGAATGCCTACCAAGTCACCAGTACATTTTCTTATAACTCTTGTATTTTCTTTTTAACATGAACCTTCTAGCGAAATCTTGCATTTAATGTAATACCTAGATATTTTTCCGAGTTAGCATAAGGGACCTGGGCATTATTTATGTTAATTAATATTAATTTTATCAGATTTGGATTCGTTTAGTTTAATACGCCATCTTTTGGTCCAATTATTTATTTGGTTGACTGATATTTGTAGTTTATTTGCAGCCTCTTCATGATTTTTGCCTATCGCTAGAATGGCAGTATGATCTGCAAATGTAGCTACTGTGTCTTGTTCTAGTTGGGGTATGTCACAAGTGTATAACAGATATAAAGTGGGTCCCAGGATGCTTGCCTGTGGTACTCCTGCTTTAATTTCGTTCAATTCAGAGTAGCTTCATCTTGTTTTTCTCTAAAGAATCTATCTGAAATGTATGAATCCAATAGCTCTGAGTACGGCTGTGGAAGTAGCACATTCAGTTTATGTTTTAAGCCATCATGCCATACTTTATCAAAAGCCTACGCAATATCGAGGAAGATGGCTGAACAGACTTCTTTGTTTTCTAATGCTTTTTTTCAATCGCATTTGACTATAAACCTGATCTATAGTTGAATGGTTTTCCCTAAAGCCGAACTGGTAGTCTCAAATTACTTTCCTTTCTTCAATGATGGGTTTCAATCTTTTTATTAGTATTTTTTCAAATAGTTTCGATATTGTAGGCAATAGAGATATTTAGCCTATATGACGAAACTTCGGAGGTTTTCCTGGTTTCGGGATCATAATGACTTCAGCTACTTTCCACAACCTAGGGACATGTTTTACTTTTTAGTGAATTTTTTGAAGTCTGTTCTATTTTTTTCTTGTTCATGTTCAATTACAGGTGTTTTCAGATACTTACTCAGATATAATATACTTAAAAAAATTTGGGGAGCACAAATGTTTATTCTCAAAGTGGGCTGTGTGCAAAATAAGTTAACCACTGGGTTAAACGATAGCTCCCACCATCGCGACATAATGCATGTTCACCCCCTTCCCTTACCACAAATATCTAGCAGAAAACACGACATGTCACTTTTTGCAGTTAAATGAGGGACTAACTGCTATGTTCAAATAGAACAGCACAATAAAACTTGAGCGGTCACTTGACGCCGTCAACGAAATGTTTTAGGTTACCAAACTTAAAAAGGTTATGAACTAGAATGTTCAATATCCAGATAGGATATACACGTGTAAAAGACGATAAATAAAAAGTGATTGTATTGAATAAAAAAAACTCATATTGATGCTTTCAGTTCTTCATGTTTCTTTTTTTAATAGATTATATTAAAGGGGGTAGTAAATCTTCTATAATATTGTTTTAGTTAATTATTCGAAATCAATATTCATAGTTAAGACAGGACAACGTCTGACGGGTCCGCTAGTTTTTTTAATAAAAATTTAATGCAGGATTTTTGATGGAAGAGATCTGACAACATAGAAAGAGCGTACTGTCAGAAAGATGTTCCGGACAAATTTAATGTAAACATATATTTGCCAAATACTTCCTACATGGTTCCAACATCATATGATGCGATGTTAATGCCTACCATGTTATCAAGGAGTTTTAATAATTGATAATTAATTAGGTGGGTAACTTTTGTCATGCAAACAAAAAAGAATAGGGTAAGAATTAGCAGAAGGTACCTCAAATGATGACAGATCAAACCTCGAATGCAGTGCTGCCACGTTGGGACCTTAAAGAAGATAGAGACGGACTAGGGCGAGAGCGGGGGTACAAATATTAAAAAAAAAAAACAAAATCTATCACGTCAAGTATAATATTACAATAAATATGATATCAGAATCTGCTAGAAAGGGATGAATTAAACGTTCGTTTTGAAGTGAATAACATTTGGTTGTAATTTATACAACGGGTCTCTCGGAAAGCAATATTGATTGTGATGTAATGAAACAAGAATTACATATATTTATTAAAATCGACTGCTCTAGTTTTTTTTTAGTTGAAACTGGCCAAATGTCAGCAAGTATATATATACATAAAAAAATAATGGTTGTATATTTCAACCACAAACCACGATAACTGATTGAAAAATTGCATAAGTACCTACATAATTAAAAAATGACCTAGAATTGAATACAAGACTGTGTGAAAACCAGTTTGCATATTATTGTATATTCTCTCCCAACGATGTCATCAAGACAATTAGATTCAAGATCAACTTCGTATAGTATAGTCATTATACTCTTACTCTTTAACAATTAGTTATAAGTTAACATTCGAAATGTTACCTTCGTTATTTATCACACTTTCTGTGTTTTCTATCGCTCTACTAGAAGCCAAACATTTGCGTAAGTTCTAATAAAATTTTATTATTTTTTGGTTTGTTAGGTTATGTATTATGTATGAATTAAATCAGACACAACATATTGATTATTATTATTATTATTATTATTATTATTAGATACCGGTGTTAGAGTTAATTAAATTGAGAGTGAAAATAACTCGTATACAAGAAACTTTCTCTTTCTTTTTATCATTTTTTATATAAATAATTAACGGTCTATATCTACATCAAACTTCGTCCATGTGCGATATGGTAATCATGTATTTCCATTCTCGTTAAACAATAATTTATTGTACAACGAGGGCAGAAAGAACATTCTACACGATATGTGAAACTTGTGGCACGAATAATTAAGTGTGGAATAAGTTTTCTGCACGAGTAGTATACTATGTTTTTTCTACAACCACGCAATGACTATATAATACAAATTTTTTGCACTTATTGCGGACCTGTGGAATGATCTACTTTGACGATTAATAAACAATAGTAGAATATAATTGTTATTTTGTGATACATGTCTAGTTTTCAAGATAACTATTAACTGATACAGTTAAAGATATTAATTTGATGTGTTGATTTGACAATTTTTAATAGATTGATACTCATTTCTTAAAAAAAAAACATGGAAAACCAACTATTATATAGTGTTAGAGTCATCTGTTTTCACAACGAGATGTACCTATATCAAAAAAAGCAACAGTTTAGGAATAATTTCAATACAAAGTTCTCTAGGAAAGTGATACATATCAAAGCTTGGTTCTTTTTAATGAGACACACTGTATTTTATTAGCCTTGATTTTCCTTTATAATAATACAAAATAGCATGGGTTTACAGTATTTTACACGCTATAACCCACTTTTAAATGAAAATTGTATTGATTTCAATGGCATATATTTTTGTACATTGGCGTGTTTTTGTATAGGTATTATTGTATTTTTTGTATTTTTTTGGGGTTTTTGTGTATTTTTTGGTATTTTGTATTGTATTTTTTGTTTTTTAAATTTTTTTGTTTTTAATATTTTTTGTATCTTTTGTTTTTTGTTTTTTTTCTGTACTTTTTGTATTTTTGTTTTTTTTTTTGTTTTTTGTTTGTTTTTTTTGTTTTTTTTGTTTTTTTTTGTTTTTTTTTTTTTGTTTTTTTTTTGGTTTTTTTTTTGTTTTTTTTTTGTTTTTTTTTTGTTCTTTTTTTGTTTTTTTTTTGTATTTTTTGTATATTTTTATGTTTGGTGTTTTATTGGACATTTCGTTTTCTGATATCCTGCTATAGAAGTTATCCTCCTTTTCAAAATGATATGCCCTGATTACAAATTAGTAACCTAGCTATTTTCCTAGTGTATTGGCGCGTGGGACCTGTGTTTTTTGAGGGGTGAGTGAGACTTCCCACCTACCGCACCAACGGATATACTAGTTCGGCAGATTTTACGTTCGGATTCTCAGAATTTGCTACTGAGAGCAGAGCAGTATCATTGTCGTATAGAAGGTATGATTTGGGGAGGAAGATTGTGTGTGTGTGTTTGTGGGTGCGTGCGTGCGTGTGTGTGTGTGTGTGTGTGTGTGTGTGTGTGTGTGTGTGTGTGTGTGTGGGTGCGTGCGTCCGTTCGTGCGTGCATGAGTGTGTGTGTGTGAGTGTGTGTGTGAGTGTGCGTGTGCGGGTGCGTGTGCGTGTGCGGGTGCGTGTGCGTGTGCGTGTGCGTGTGCGTGTGGGTGTGTGTGTGTGTGTGTGTATGTGTGTGTGTGAGAGATATAGGAGAGGGTCTAGGACTGAGTCCTGTGATACTCCTGCTTAAGGGGAGAATGGGTTGCCTACTTTGAGTATGATGATTATGTCTGTGAGATAGGAGGGAATTATACCTATATGTTCTTAAATGATTCTTTATCATCAAGAAGAATGGCTGAGAATATTTGATTTGAATTCACCGCTGTGATAGCAGTAATATGGAGCGAAGTAAACACATCTTGAGTGGCGTGATGGGGCCTAAAACCATCTTAAATGACACACTTGGTATCAAATTCTTTTGGTTAGCCTTAGTTCCTGGGGTACACCCTGGTACTAATATTGCTAGTTTACTGAATAAGGCTACTTTATAATATATGGTTCTTAAAAAGTAACTGTTCCCACATTGATACAATTTATTGGAACTGTAAACACCTAAAGTCAAAGTAACATTTGGGTAGTTACTGTAACCTGGCAGTATTATTTTAATGTTACTTTATAGTGGCTAAAACTATATAGTACCAGTGAATCAGTTACTGCCACCCACCATTACCACTAAACTAAAACTAAAGTAACTGGGTACATAGATAGACAAGAAGGTCCAAGATTATAGTAACAGTAACATTTGGGTAGTTACTGTGACACATAGTACCAGTGAATTAGTTACTGCAGTGTTACTAATATGCCTAAATCAAGTAATTGGGTTATTGGGTACATAGAGAGGCAAAAAGATCCCAGAATATTTACAAAAACCATCCTTGAATTTTAATTACTGGCAATATGGGCGGCGAAATAGTTTCTGTTGGTACTTTACAGTTTTTGCAACTATCTTATTTTGACTTAATGCCACTATAGAGTTTCAGGACCTTTATAGTGAAGGGCCTAACTTTAATTATATCTTATTATAAACTTTTACGAAAAACGGTTTGATTTTAACTTTTATATATTTGATTATTACCTTTTTATTTTATTTTTTTATTCTTCTTTTTTAATATTTGGGTTCATGCTTTCAACTGTTATTTGTTTTATTGTTAATTAAGGCTGTCTAAACTCCAGATTAAAAGTATCTTTGTAATGTGTAACAAATTTATTTTTCTTAACTCAGATTATGTTAATGTTAATAATTATCTTTAAGTTTTAAGTGTACTGTATTTGTATTTCTATAATATATTTTTTTGTATGTTAGGTTTATCCTACTTCAATATCTATCTATCTATCTATCTATCTATCTATCTATCTATCTATCTATCTATCTATCTATCTATCTATCTATCTATCTATCTATCTATCTATCTATCTATCTATCTATCTATCTATCTATCTATCTATCTATCTATCTATCTATCTATCTATCTATCTATCTATCTATCTATCTATCTATCTATCTATCTATCTATCTATCTATCTATCTATCTATCTATCTATCTATCTATCTATCTATCTATCTATCTATCTATCTATCTATCTATCTATCTATCTATCTATCTATCTATCTATCTATCTATCTATCTATCTATCTATCTATCTATCTATCTATCTATCTATCTATCTATCTATCTATCTATCTATCTATCTATCTATCTATCTATCTATCTATCTATCTATCTATCTATCTATCTATCTATCTATCTATCTATCTATCTATCTATCTATCTATCTATCTATCTATCTATCTATCTATCTATCTATCTATCTATCTATCTATCTATCTATCTATCTATCTATCTATCTATCTATCTATCTATCTATCTATCTATCTATCTATCTATCTATCTATCTATCTATCTATCTATCTATCTATCTATCTATCTATCTATCTATCTATCTATCTATCTATCTATCTATCTATCTATCTATCTATCTATCTATCTATCTATCTATCTATCTATCTATCTATCTATCTATCTATCTATCTATCTATCTATCTATCTATCTATCTATCTATCTATCTATCTATCTATCTATCTATCTATCTATCTATCTATCTATCTATCTATCTATCTATCTATCTATCTATCTATCTATCTATCTATCTATCTATCTATCTATCTATCTATCTATCTATCTATCTATCTATCTATCTATCTATCTATCTATCTATCTATCTATCTATCTATCTATCTATCTATCTATCTATCTATCTATCTATCTATCTATCTATCTATCTATCTATCTATCTATCTATCTATCTATCTATCTATCTATCTATCTATCTATCTATCTATCTATCTATCTATCTATCTATCTATCTATCTATCTATCTATCTATCTATCTATCTATCTATCTATCTATCTATCTATCTATCTATTTATCTATCTATCTAGTAAGAGTTGTCAGGGGTTCCTAAGTAGGCTTCAAAGTGGAATTTGTTGATTGAGGTTTATATTCAGGGATTATGGGGTCTATTCTGTAAAAATTTTTTCTTTAATTCGGTCACTATTTAAACGGATCTTTAAAATACATTAGAGAAATCTGTTTAAATAATGATAGAAGTAAATTAACGAATACGAACATATTTTTATAGGCCGCCAATATTTTTAAAGGCCGTTAAATATAAAGGAATTGTTACAGAATAGACCCCATTGGGGTCTATTCTGTAAAAATTCCTTTATATTTAACGGCCTTTAAAAATATTTTCTTCTTTACTTCTGTCATTATTTAAACGGAACTTTAAAATACATTAGAGGACAATCTTAAAGAAATCTGTTTAAATAATGACAAGTAAATTAACGAATACAAATATACTTTTAAAGGCCGCCAATATTTTTAAAGGCCGTTAAATATAAAGGAATTTTTACAGAATAGACCCCATTGTGTATTACTCTGTCAATTTCGATGTGGGAAAAAGTTTTGGTTTTTTGACCAGTGTTGATTTGGAATTTGAAATTTGGAACCTTGTCTGAAGGTTCCATTTAGTATGATGACTAAACAAACTTTGATATGTACAGGGCCGACTAGAGGCGGGGCCCGGCAGCGGTATAAAGGGGGCCCGACAACTGAATTTTTTTTGTTTTGTATGAGAAATTCGACACAAGACGAGAAGGAGAAGTTTTTGGTTGGGTAGCTTTTTTTTTAGAAACTTGAGGACCTTTTTTTATAGAAAAAGCAATTGAAGCAGATGAATAATTGAGGATTTTTTTTAGAAACTCAATTCAACCAGAAGAGGAAAAGTTTTTTGTTTGAGGAGATGTTTTTTGTCACGGGGCCCGATCTAGAGAATTGTCCTGGGGCCCGGCCTGGCTCTCGGCGGCCCTGGATATGTATCACTTTTCTGGAAACCCTGTATAACTGAAAATATTCTTAAAATGTTAACCTTTCTGATATATATCTTTCCTTGATAACAGATTTAAAAAAAGCAATTACTCTTGGCTCTACAGGCCGAGGAGTCACCGGTGAATCACCCTGCATAAAAACAAATTCCTACATTTTAAACCCAAAATGTCATTGTTCTCTTAATAACTAGCTATTATTTTTTATTATATCCTTTATAACAGGCAAAGATTTTATAATTAGAATTTTTAGGTATAAAAAGTGACCGCTTTGTGCAAAAAACATTTTAATAAAACATATTTTGATTACAAATTCCAGAGAGAAACCTTTATTTACTTCTTTTGCAAATTAGAATAAATTAAATTTGAATAATTTGTTATTGTCGTACATGTTTATGAATCTTTTTCAACTTATTTGTCAAGTTTTATGTATTTTAAGCATAATAAACGAAATAAATAAAGAATTACTTTAAATTTATAACTCTATTAAAAACACTCTATATTCACAGTTAGTTGTCATTGGATTCCATTAATTTCCTGGTAAACAAATTTAAATTAAAATCCAATTTACAACAGTTACAAGATATATTTAAAGTGTAAAAATAACTTATATTACCATTTAATGAGAAATTAGCGTGCTATTTAAAATTAGTTTTAAATAGTTTTTAAATTAGGTACATTTATTCGAAACCAAAAAACTAATTATCATTTTTACTATAAATCTCCATGAGTTGAAGGGTAAGAAGTCACTATAACAATTCTATTTTAACACGTAATCTGCCATGAGGTTGTGTAGCTCACCTAAATGTTAAGTTAGGTGAACCGAGGCACATGCACACGTATTAATATTCTACTTATTGAGGCACGGCCGTATATGTCTCACAAATGCCAATATGTCCTACAGAAATGGTTTTCGCATGGCACAGTGGGTCAGATGCGATAAAATGCATTCGAAAAATGATTTTGATTTGGATTTATCTTATATTTTTCTATATCAATAGCCATGTTTTTTATTATTAGAAATTAGGAAATCATTTTAGTTACTGAAATAAAGTAATTATTCAAACAAAATGTTTATTCATATAGTGAGGTAAAAAATAATATAAAAAATGAATATTAAATACCTGCTGAAGCTATAAAAAAGAAAAATTTCATTTAAATAATGTAAATTGCGAGATTATATAACAAAATTATAATAGCTAGAATGATTTGGCAAAAATTCCTGTCATTTACAAATACACTTATATATGTCGGTGGCGCCGATGTTTAATTTTTGTTTATAGTTTTAAGAAGTTTGATTTATTGGTAGTCGGTATTTCAATAAGATAAGTTGTAAGCTTCTACTTTATTTTTATAAGTGATAAATTAGCAAAAATGATACACACTTACCATTCATAGTGAGGGGCAAGGGGGGCGGAACGGAGCCAGCAGGATGTTGATAGAAAATAAGGAATGAGAACAGATTAGAGAACTGTGATTGATCGGGCGGTGGTACGCTGGCTTCGAATCGCTAATATAATGTCTTTAATTGATTAATAATTTGATATCGTATTATTATCCGTATTTCTTTAATAATTATTTGTGTAACGTCGTTTAAAGTGTTTTCAACATTGTTTATTGTTCTATATGGCATTAACAAGTTTTACAAGTGTTAAATGTAATGTTTTGTCATAACAATGTCTGACGGTGACGCTCTAAATATCCGAAATCCGACATATATAAATTTATAACAAAACCTATGGTTAGCACGCTATTGTCACATTTTTTATTCCTATGGTGGCAGTATACATGTTAAAATTCAACAGTGTAAAAAATACATGTAAATTTTTCTTCTTTTTTATTTTTTAGCATCTTACATTGTACCCTGCAAGAAATCCGATCCTAACTTAAACACGTGTGCTAAACAACATGCCATTGACGCCACAGCTCGTATTTTGCATGGTGAGTTCATGGGCGCCAATAGAATTTATTCCAAAGGACGAAGTTACAATTTTTTATTTAATTTAATGTTTAACGATTAAGTTTATGTTCAATAATTGGGTTGGCACAAGTTGTTACTTTGGCCACCAAGCCAAGCTATTTAGTGGTACCGTATGATCATCGAGATAGAATGAAATGGAGACGACAATAAACACTATTTTGCGTTATGACATGTGCACGCATTTTGAGTGATGAAAAAATGTATTCAAAATGGCAACTTGGCGACTTAAATCGTATTTCGATTAATTTGAAGTTAATAATTTTATATTTAAATATTGACGTAATGAAAATGGCATTTATTCTTGCCAAAACTGACTAGCTCCACTAGCTTGAGTTTGACATATGACGTGAAAGTGCGGACACTTTTATTATCGTCATAGCATAGCCCTCAGAAGGTCTAGATACCGCATCGTAAAAACATTTTGACCCCCCATATGATGGGCGCCATGATAAATAAATGTCAATAAATTTTAAGTTGGCACTTCTGACAAGACAGAATCGGCACAAGTTTAGTAATAAGCGTAAGATCGGCGTTCGACGTATATAATCGATTTTATTATCTGTTGTGTTGTTTATTTTGTTCTTCTAGTAAAGGTTTTATTTAAAACATTATTTTTTAGTTTAGTCGTTTAGTGTTTTATTTTAATAAAAAACATTTGTGGTTTTGTGTTAAATTTTTACAGGATTTTCAAAATCTCTTGTTGTTTTGTACGTGAATGTAACAATGCATCCAACGGTAGAAGATACAAGGAAGGAATAACATTTCATGTGTAAGTTTTCAAAAATATTTGTATATTTTCAAAATCAAATAATTATTTGTGTTTTGTTGTAGCATACCAAAAAATTTTAGGAAAGAATAACTGATAGCCATAGGAAGACCATTGAATCATTTTGTGACTTTAGTATAAGCCCAGAAAATTTGGGGATACTAGCTGAAACGGCAAATGTGTTATTGGCTCCTTGTTAGTGACCTATTGTACAATTTTTCCAACACACGTTCCATGATCTTTGAACTTGGCTGCACCGTACTGATGAAGACCAATAGTCAGAAAAACGTGTCGACCGTTACTTCTTTTTTACTTTTTTTTATTCGGAAAATGTCCACTATTACTACCTTGATACAATAATATTAGTTCCGTTCTAAGTAGGTACATATTATAGTTTGTATGTTTTATGCTTTATTTTATTACATGTAATAAATGATAGGAAATATACTTTTATAGTAAATAAATTGATTAAAGCAATATGTAAGAATAAGTTTATCTAAGGATTAAATTGTTAAAGCAATTTTTCATATCCATTGTTTATTAATTTGTTTCATTTAATTCTTTCTTATTGAGTAAGTTATTTCATATAAATATGCGATACTTGTAAAATGTAATATTTTCTTTTAAATAGGTATATATTATGTTTGTATAAAATATTGTTCAGTTAATAAAAACAGAAATATTTTGTCTTTTATTCAAAAGAAGATTGTAAATTTTTCAAAATATATTTACCTACCCCAAAAAAAGATTAATAAAACCAGTTAGTCATATACACATTTTCTATATATTTATAGAGGTACTTTTTAAATAACTTTCAATACATTCGAAATCTGTGGTTTTATTAAACTCAATGTAACAAATAATAATAGGTATTCTCAAAAATATTTAAAAATAAAATCGAGATGGGACTCTTGTATAATTTAGTGACTATTCGCCTATGGTTAGTACACTGCTGTATGTCCCTGGGTTTTCTACATTAGAACAATACTGCTTCTCCACTCTAGCAGTATTTTTTGCATCTCACAAGATTATATTTATTAAAAAAACCAAGGAATTGTTTTGAGCCTATTGCTGTGTCCTTTTCTAACATTCCCAAAGTTTTTTTTTTACTTTCTGCTGATCTCCGATAGCGACAACTCCATTTGTTGTTCCACTAGTTTTTTATCAAATTTTTAAAATAACTTCTATATATTTATCTTTTGCAACGACTTTGCTTACCTGCTTCATAATCTCTTTCCTATGCCCCAATTTCTCTAACAGGTGAGATCTTATACTCGCTCTATTAAATCAAATTATCATTATAGTTTATTTGAAAATGCTCTTGGTAGCACAGTTTTTATGGCAAAGGTCCATATTTTTATATAATTTTGCTATTATTCATTTTCAAATAAACTATAGGAATAGGAGTTATTTATTAGTTTTTCTAAAAATACCTTGTTACCGATGTAAGTATATCTTTCCCTAGTTAAAAAATTCGAGTTTTTATTTTCATAATATAAATAAATGACCGGTTAACAATCACATTCTTTTAAATAGTACATTTGACATTGAAGTAGGTATTTTCTCCATATTGCCAAACAGGAACAGATGGTTTATTTGTAATTTGAATTATATTATATAAATGTCACTGAATTTCTCTATAATTCTCATAGCAATATGTACACAAAACACTTATCCAATAATATATATAACCATGTAAAAATAACATTTCAAGAAAGAGAAAATTTATAAAACCGGTCCTGTCTGAACAGATCTAGGAAAATCAAATAGGTTTGTCAAAGTTTTGTTCTTAATTTGAAATTAGAAATTGTGCGTCTCACTCACTTATAACTAATAACAAAGTGCATGTTATCGGTGTTCACGTATTACAGAACACACAAACTAAAAATCAGTGCAGCCAAAACATAAATTTACCTAACATGGCGACAAGCTTGAATGGGGTCATTTTTTTGTATTGACAGCATACGCCAAGCGGTATCTAGACTTTCTGAGGGCTATGCGTCATAGTCTCTTCCCTTTATTCTATCTCAATGCACATGGGGTTTCTTCTGTACCGTGTGTATCACTGATCATATTGAGCAATGCTTATTGCAATTCGTTTTAAGAATGTATGGTTCCTATTTAAAATTAACTAAAGAAACGGTACTGAAAAGAACTTAGTAAATTGGCCATCACCAGTTATATACATTTATTTTAACAAAAAAAAAAACAATGTACAAATGTTTAAAATATATTGGAAGGGGTTAAAATTTAAATCAAAACTACTTGGTATACAACAAATGACTTCAGACTTTCTTTTATGGTTCATGAAGATAGTGAAGTTATGTATCACATATGATACATGTAAGAACCAACGTGTAAAAAATTGGCCTAATTTTCTCTGCAAAACTTGGACATTTCAAGAGGACAACAGCTACTCCTTTCATTCTCCTGAATTAGATTCAGTTAAAAATTGTCATTTACTTTCACTAGAATTTGTTAATTTATTTTACTCAATATGATTTTGTGAAATTCGTTTTTTAGGTGATAGATCCTACAAAATACCAAGTTTTACACCTTTCAGCATTCCCCTAATTGATGTCAAAGGGACTACTGGTATAACGTTTCAATTGAAGGATTTAAAGCTGTACGGTTTAAACACAACACAAATTAAAGATGTGAAGTAAGTTTAATTTTTTTTTGTTTATTCATATACCTACCGGTATCCAATATAGATTTTTCTACACCCGTATTATAATAATGCACTTATATGCCCATAATCCGTTTCATAATGATACCCATTATGATACAGATTTTTCATTATGATACAGATTTTTAATCAATAGAGACCTACAATTTTTCCATCAAGCATGATGTTTGACGTTTGTCCTAAATTCCTATGTAATTGTTTTAGTTGTCAAAACGTATTAAATTTTCGTAGATAGCTAAACTTCGATAATTATAATATTAAAATGTCTGATATCAGCGATATAGAAGACTTCTCCACACATATCGGAGAAAGGAGAAAATGCAGTACAAAATATTTTGCCCCAAAAATCTGTGGTAATACCAATACCCAAGGTAATACCATTAATTACAATTTTGTAGAATTTTTTATAGAAATACGAGTAATTACTGTTATTGTGTTCAATGCCAATATAAATAGAATATTTATAGGTCTTGATTATTTATCGGGTGTAGAAAAAATAGCGTATGCAACTCTCATGTAATGGTTATTAAAACACTCGCATAAACCATACGAAACTCGCCTTTGGCTCGTTTCGTATCCCGGTTAATGCTCGTGTATTAATAACCATCATTACATGATCGTTGCATAATATACTATTTTGTAAGGCAAGCTTCAAGCTAATAAAAATATTTATATAAGGGGAATTTCCTTAACGGCTTCAAAATGGCGCCCAACGTGGGTGACTGTTTTTGAAAATTTATATTACATTTTCCCCTTCGGTCAATTACTGCAGCCGCGGTCACAAAGATTTTGGAAGAGCAGGTAATTTTAGTTTTTGGTGCTCCCGACAAAATTATAGTGGACAACGGAATCCAATTTAAAAGTAAGGCCAAGGAGTATGGTATTACTCTCGCCTTTACTGTTAATTACCACCCCGTTAGCCGTTAGCTGTTCCTAACCGGTGGACGGAATTTAAGTTTTCATCTAGTATTTACCTGAAATAAAATACTTAATGTTATTGTTTCTTAATTATTTATGCTTATCGAATGTTTCTTTTTAGTTTTGATTTGCCAAATAACCACATGTACGTTAAGGTTTTTATACCACAAACACAAACGATAAGTCAATATTTAATGGATGGTAAACTTCTTTCGTTGGTCATCAAGGGTGAAGGTCCTGCAGAAATTATATCAGGTTGGTAGCAAAACAGTGTTTCATTAATTTTTATTTTTTTGTATTATATTATTATAAAAAAAAAACAATATTTTGTGTAAACCAATGATAGTATGTAGTTATATAAATGTGATGAGTGATTATTTAGATGTAATTGTATAGATTGTCATTGCAGTAATCACTGAACAGATTTGTTCTGGCCCAAATGTGTTTTAAAATCAAAATTCAGCTTTTAAATTTTTATTTAAAAAAATCCGTAATTTTTATCTCAAGACACGAATTTTTTACTAATTGCCGGAAAATTGCTACAAAATATTTTAATAGTAACTTCAGTCTGTAAATGTTAAAATGTAAAGCTTTATATACAGGGTGTCCTTTAAAATGTGTCCCAAAATTCTCAGGCAGATTCCTTAACCAAAAAATGGAAAAAAAGTTCCTATAGACCTATGTCCTAAAGTGCCCCCTAAGCGAGCAACAGCCTCTCGAAATCTTTTTTTTTATTTTGATTTTTTGAATTTTCTTAAAAATGGAAACAAATAAAAGAACCAAATTTTGGCTGTTAAATATGATCAATAATAGTGACCTTTTGACACCTTCAAAAAGAAATTATTTCGTCAGGGGTGTACTTGGGAATTTTTTGAAAATTTTGATTATTCATAACTTTTTTGTGTTTTTGGTAATGACTTATCCATATTTTTTTTTACATTCTACATTGAAAACTACGTCAAAAAGGAATACTTGTTTGATCTCGATTGGAGCAGCCGTTTCCGAGAAAACATCATCCAAAGATATTCGTCCACTTTAGCTTAATTTTCAATTTTCCTAAATTACCTCGGTGAATCTCGTAAATAAAAATAACTTTTTTAGCTCTCTCTAAATAATTGTAGTTCAAATGTCGTGGTGGGACTATTTTTATTTAATAATAAGAAACGGTTTAAAAAAATATTTATTCTAAAAAAACAAATCAAAAAAAATTAAAGCAGATGCTCAATGTGGCGACCATTGGTTTCCACACACAAGCGCAACCGTCGCATCATAGACTGTCTTACACGAAAAAATACTTCAGGATTATTCCTAAGAACTTCGCAATGATGAAAAACTCGTTCTTCCAATTCTTCAACTGTTTCAACAGGACTGGAATAAACCAATGATTTTAAATAACCCCAAACAAAAAAATCCATTGGATTTAGATCTGGTGAACGAGGTGGCCAGTTAACAGGACAACCTCTGCCAATTACTCTACCCTCAAATCTTTCGTTAAGGTGCTGTCTAGCTTCAAGGCTGTAATGTGGTGGAGCTCCATCATGCATAAACCACATGTTATGTCTGATTTGAATCGGAATATTATCAAGAAGCTCATGTAAGTTATTTTCCAAAAAAAGCCTGTATGCTGCTCCATTTAACCTATTCGGCAAAACAAATGGTCCAATAAGGTAATTATCAATAACTCCAGCCCAGACGTTTATTGAAAATTTATCCTGGTGGTGACGTTCAACAACCGCGTGAGGGTTATCTTCAGCCCATTCATGCATATTTCGAAAATTTATTATACCATCTCTAGTGAAACCAGCTTCATCGGTAAATAGCACTTTATTAAGAAACATTGCATCTTGATTACATCTTCCAAGAAACCATTCAGAAAAGATAACTCGCGGCTCATAATCAGTAGCTTTAAGTGCCTGAACTTTTTGAATGTGGTAAGGGTACAATTGTTGTTCACGCAAAACTTTCCATACCGTGTTACGTCCGACTCCCACTTCTGAAATTAAATGAGAGAATCTGTGTAGTGAATAGTTAAGAAAGAGAATCCATTGATTTGGGAAATCAGATTTTTTCTGCATAACGCAACTCTTTTCGATACGAAAAGTCGTGAAATGTAAGAGAAGCAATAACAAGTAAAAAAACTAGTTTTATACGATAAGGTACGGGGTAGCTAAAATAATAAATAAGTAATTACTTACCATTTGCTATTTTTCTGGTACTTGTCGATGGGGTTTCAGCTACCCTATCCAAAATTGCTTCTTCCGAAGCAGGAGTTCTCACATAATTTTGTCTTCCACTGTTACTAGAGTTTTTCTTAAATGTACCAGTTTCCCGAAGTCTATCGTCAATTCTAGAAAACGTCTTAGCGCATGGAAGATGCCTATTTGGAAAGCGCTCCTGATAAAGTCTGCGAGCTTCATTGGCATTTCCAGAAGCGAGTCCAAAACATAAGTGCATGTCCGTCATTTCGCCGAATGTGTAATCATTATTGTAGTTATTGTGAGCCATTTTAAACAAAATAATAACAATACAACGAATCGCACCAGAACACTTTTAGAAATAATGTTTAACTGAAGAAACATTTTTATCAGTGAGCGAAAAAAATTATCCATGAAACACAAAAACGCCAAAAAAATACATATTTTTACTTTTTTATTCTAAACAGCTAAATACAAACCTTATGGTCTTCATAATAAATAAATGGGAACTAAATTTTTAAATTTTATTTAGAGAGCTAAAAATAGTATACAGGGTGATTGATTAGTGTGAGGAAGCTCTGTAGATCTGTTATAATAAAAGTAGGCAGCTTTAAGCTTCACATTTTAAAATTAGTTACGATGTGACAGGGTGTTTCATAAGGCCGTGCCAAATCAAAGTTATGTTTTTTAAATGGAACACCCTGTATATTTTTATATTTTTAGAATCTGCTCGATAATCTGATTTCAATGATATATCACACTTGTTATCTAATATCAATAGTAAAGGATCTACAGCTACTCAAAAATCACATTTTTTCAAATTCAGGTGGCTGTTGTAGCCAAACAGTTGGAAATCGAGGAAAACGGCTTACAGTCCCTATCCTAACTTTTTAAGGTCTATTCAGTGACATAAAATACATATTATTTGATACAGGGTGATCAAAAATCCAAAATCACATCCGATTTTTGATCACCCTGTATCAACTAATATTTTTTGCCACTGAATAGACCTTCAAAAGTAAGGATAGGGACATGTAAGCCGTGTTCCTCGATTTCCAACTTTTTGGCTACAACAGCCAAAATTGAAAATTAACCTAAACTGCACGAATATCTTTGGATGATGTTTTCTCGGAAACGGCTGCTGCAATCGAGATCAAACAAGTATTCCTTTTTGACGTAGTTTTCAATGTAGAATGTAAAAAAAAATATGGATAAGTCATTACCAAAAACACAAAAAAGTTATGAATAATCAAAATTTTCAAAAAATTCCCAAGTACACCCCTGACGAAATAATTTCTTTTTGAAGGTGTCAAAAGGTCACTATTATTGATCATATTTAACAGCCAAAATTTGGTTCTTTTATTTGTTTCCATTTTTAAGAAAATTCAAAAAATCAAAATAAAAAAAATGATTTCGAGAGGCTGTTGCTCGCTTAGGGGGCACTTTAGGACATAGGTCTATAGGAACTTTTTTTCCATTTTTTGGTTAAGGAATCTGCCTGAGAATTTTGGGACACATTTTAAAGGACACCCTGTATAGCAAATCCTTAATAAAAACAGTTCTGTGAAATCCCCAAATTTTAGAAACAATCTTTAATTTTCTCTTTTTTGATACGTTATATTTAATTTTTTTATAGATAATGTAACAGTCGAATACTTTATTGATTACGTACTAATTAATAAACCTGATGGAAAACGATACGTTGATGTAGATGCTCTAAAAACAAATTTGACTTTAAATTTCTCCAAAACTCACTATAACTTTGGAAATTTGTTCGGTGGCAATAAACTATTAGGTGAGTAAATTGACATTGCAATTTCTTTAATTTATATCTGGACAACAAAATTAATTTTATTATATCATAGACCGACATTTCGGAATTTTATTTCAGCGATCTTCAAAACTCCTGTACCTCTCCGTTTGACTTTTTTCCACACTGTAACTATAAACTGCTTGTTAAAAAAAGGCTAAAATTGATGACGGACTTGCACAATTTCACTTCAATTGCACTTTGACTTCTGACAAAATTCTAATGTTTTTAGAATCAAACTCTTATTAAAAAATTACAGAATACCCTATTTTTCCCGAAGTCACCATTAAAATGTAATAGTGCATTCTACTAAATGGTTTGATGAATTAAATGTAAGCGTCAATTTATGACAATCTATAAGTTGATTAGGATATCCTGAACATCTGGTCAAATCAGCACCGTCGGCAACACTGTAGCCGTAAATACACCAGCGAACCTAGCGGATTTTTACTCTAGATTAAGTTTAAACACGTTTTCTTTTGTTCTTAAATCGAAAGATCTTTTAATTTGTTAACATACATCTAATATATCGGGTTTTTGATATTACCTATTTTTTTTTAGGCGATAACTTCAATAATCTACTAAACGAGAATCCTAAAGAAGTCGATGAAATATCTGGTGGTACCAACAAAGTGATTATTAGCAGTATTGTATCGAGTATATTTAATCCTATTTTTAAAGCTGTTCCGTTTGATGATATTTTTATAGATTAAATTAATTGTTGATTTAAAAAGCATTATTTAAATTTATCCACATGTAAAACCATAAAAATTAAAACGTCATTATAGTGAATGCCCGATAGAACTGTTATTTAATTATTTTAATATATTTAAATTGACGTTTTTTATAGGTTTCTTTTTTAGAAAAATATTGTATTATTTTTGTGCTTCAACTATAATTAAAATAAAAAACGTTTTATATTTAACCGATTTATTTACCTATTAATCCCACCGACCTTGATATTAAACTGGATGGCTATATGCACATACTTTGATTTTCTTTTACAAGTATGTGGTCGGATCTCTCGAAAGTGTAGCACTGAGCTACGTCACTTCTGAAAATATCGTTCCATCCATACAATTTGTATATACGGAACGATATTTTCAAAATTGGTGTAGCCCAGTGCTACACTTTCAATGCAAAGGAAAATACCTTATATGACATAAACCGGAAAAAACGGTCGGTGCGCATGACAATTTGGAGGCCAGACTGTCAATTTCAAGCATTACACGTCATTCCCACGGACGTATTACGACAAATTGTATTATTTTTTATTAATAACGCGCTATTTTAATAATTGTTATTATTAGAACATTTGTTTCAGCTGCGTATTGATCAAAAATCATTTTTAAGTCATTTTCTTAAATTAAAAGGTGTCATAGTTAAATGTAATAAGTGATAAATTTAATTTTGATGATCCTTTTTAGTGCATTTCGATGTGTCAAATATTACCTCGCTATGCGTCTTAATTTTGTTGATCGGCTTTGTTCTTCCAGTTTAATATATAGTTCAGTGATTAATCCTGCGATATTAGAGAGTTATTGCAAGTTCATTTAAGGTCAGTCACTATTAGTGCCGCTCTTATTTTGACATCTGAGCATGCGCAGATCACTAACTTTAATAAAGATTGTGTCTGTCCTTAATAGAGAGATACTGCAAATTTTTATAAAGCCCGCCACTAATAGTGACATCGTAATTAGAGTCAAATAAATTCCATGCTAAAATTGTAGTTCATCTTTTTTTTTTTGTCTATAATAGTACATAATATTAAAGAGGCATCAGAAATTATAATTGTAGAAGGTTTAAATGACGATTATATTAAATATTTAATATTAAAAACTTCTAACGGATACGAATGTCGGCGAGCGCATCTGAAAGCTATAAAGTCGCCACTACCTGCTGCCCTTAAACATCCACAATTAAGGACAGGCACAATCCTTAATAAAGTCAGTTTTAGAACATAAACATCTGCGCATGCTTAGATGTCAAAATAAGAGCGGCACTAATAGTGACAGATCTTAACTGGACAGGGATTCTTATGTGCATACTCAACACGTAACGAATCAAATAGAGAGAGACATTACATACAAATTGCATTCTGTGGAACGAAGATAGAAGCTTCTCAAGACGTGCCGAATTGAAAGATGAGAATCCCGCTGCTGAACTTACAATAACTCTCTATTCAAGAAACTTCTGTCTCGTTCACTTGTCAACTGTCAACACTTTATAGCCAACCTTAAACTAAATCCAGCTGTCAGTAGTCACATCTAATCGGAAAAACCTAAGTTCATTTAATGAGAAAATATATAACTTAATTATTGAATTTTTAATTAAAGAAAATATTAAAATATAAATAAATAAACAAAAAATTATTCGGTTTACAAAAGTCTGTGGCAAAAAAAACTACGTTTAGATGCCAGTTCTCAAAAAAAAAAAAAAAAAATAACCCTTAATGTTCTAAGGATGGATTGGTGTTGCATCGATTACAGCAACGTTGGATAAAAAGACATTATTAGTCCATCATTAATAGATTGATGAAAAAAAAAAAAAAAAGACAGAAAGATACCTCGATCCTTTTGATTAATATCATCAAAAGGTTGACATAGATAAAATAAGTATTCTTTGATACTCTTAATTTTGGGTTTTTTATAGTGCTGCGAACTAGTATGAAACGGACTATTTTTGAACTACCCATGGCTGATTTACTTAAATGTTAGAGACCGAATAAGAAACTGAAAAATTAAAAAGAAGATAGAAGTTCAAGTTTTTCAGCAGGTTGCATCGAAGGATCGTGGATCAAAATACGTTAACAAAACTGGCGCCCGAGATATCTCCGATGGTAAAGCATCAAAAGTAAGTATCACTTTCTTTAAAACAACAAAGCATCTTACAAAATGTGGTTCCAAACCTCTTCAATAAAACATGAGAAGAAGTTAAAATGGTTATATTTTTTATGGAGTGTGGTATTAACATATATTTCAAAAAATAGATTATATTTATACAAAACACCGTTTCAAAGAGTATCGTTGTAAATTATGAAGCTTATCTGTCATTCTTGTCAGAAAGACGTATTAAATTTGGCACCACCGGCCTAATTGTTAACTTCCAAAATTCAACCAAGTCACAGACGTTTTTATTAAATACAAAATTAGCTAAACAATCCAATAAAACTAAAAAAAAAACTACAAAAGGAAAAAACTCGTCGATGATCCGTTCTCTTTGATGTTAACTTCAGTTTAGTTCATTTTTTCCAGCCCTACAAACGTCTTTGGTGTTGTCTTCTAAAGCTTGATGTAGATTTAAGAAGACTGTCTTGGTTATTATGTTCGTACACGTGGTGTTATGGATGTCCTTAGAGCAGTTCCTCATTATTGGCAATATTCTAAAAAAAATAAAATAAATAGAAAATAATGGGGATGTGAGAATTTTGCTAAATCAATCCATAAAGTAAAAAAATTCTAATCTTGATCCCCACTACAAGAAATTCTTAACTACGCGAAATTGTTTATTAATGAATTGACATAATATGTCTGATCGCATTTAGAGAGATATGATTAGCACTTCAATGTTTACTAGGTAGAAGTAAGACTATTAGTGTTTAATGGAACACATGTAATGAATATTTATGATACATTTAATGAGCTCAAGGTCTTATAGGCTAGGTATTCTAGTCAAATTATCCAGAAGTCGAAGTCTGGAAGCTCGAGGAGGTTGCCATTGCATTTATGTTTCTTCCTAAAGTGGGTCATCAAAAATGTATAAAAAAATTTAAACTTCTTATAATATATTTGTCAAATACTTACGAACAAATGAATTCCTTTGAAGGTAGTTTATTTTTGAAAGATTCAACTACTGTTGTTAGTTCTTGGCACGAAGAAAAGTTCGAGACGCTTTTACTAAACTGACATGGATTGAAAAATTCTAAAATCAAAAAACCGTAACATCAATTCAATTTTAATCACACTATCAATCATAATTTTGGATCTCTCAAGGAAATTAAAATTATAAAATTTCGAATCGTACTAATTATAACAAATATATACGTTAAACGACATTTAATAATTGGTTTATTACAATAATTTATTGTGTGGCATATCAGTGTTAAGAGCATACAGTAGCGCGTCATCACATTGCCTCGAATTTCCTAGATTAACAGCTTGTAAGTAGGATTGCACACATTTGAATAGCCTTTGGCAACGCTGTAACATCAAAGAAGGGTCTATAGCAAGCGTCTATAAAAGGGTCAGGTATAAATTATAATAAATAATTTTAGAAATGGAATTTCCATTTTCAGTAGGTGGTACAGATATTTTTTAATTTAGCATCAAAATAAAAATTTTCTGATGGTAAGTAGGGTAGAATAATTGTTGTTTATTTGCTAGAATGGTTTAGAGGGATTAACATATTTTAAATAAATACAAGGACAATGTACTACAAAGTCAGTATAGTTACGAACGTGACAATAAGATTCTGTGCTGATTTTTCTGATTTGTAGTAATTTATTGTTTGGTGTGAAGATGGGTAGAAGTAGTTTGACTAAAGGAAAACATGGGCATTTGAGTATTGCAAGAAAAATTTGTCGAAATATAATGAAAAAGTAAGTGAGAGAGTCAAATAATTAATAAATTAGGGATGGACGTGAATCCAACCAGAATTTCTTATTTCGGATCGAATCAGCCATTTTCTTATACCAATCCATCCCTAAGTCAAATATACAAACAAAAATAATTTTTTAATATTATATTTTTACCATAGATATCATGAAGCTCGAGATTTTCGGAAAAAAGTGTCCTTTTAATTAAAAAGCGCAATATTAATCCCATTTAAAAAGTATTTATCAAGCATTAATTTTATAACGGTGTCATGTGTGTTGCCTAATGGTGGTTAACATATTATTTAAATGAATGTAAACTGATATAAGATATAAATTATGTCTTTCTTACGATGTTACTGCGAATATTTTTTCATTATATTACGTCTGTATGATATTTTTTCGTTGAATTCAGTTTGTCTCATTTGAATCACACTAATAAAAATGAAGATATAACCTTATGGTTCTCATATGATGCTAGTGCGCATATTTTTTTATTATATATGTTACTTATCTATGATATTTTACGTTGAATACAGTTTGTCTTATTCGAATTGAACTAATATTAACGAAGATATAGGCTTATGCCCTGTTGCCAATGCTAATGCACATGTTTTTTTTTGTATATACTATGTCCATAAGAATATTTTTTAAGAATGCCGTTTGTATCATTTGAATTATACTAATAATAAAGAAGATATACGTTATTGCCCTTTTTTGACAATGCTGTTGGGCGTTTTTTATTAAACACATATCTACAACATTTAGAATCCTTCCACCTTTTCTTCATTCTTCTTTATTTTTGGTCCCTTTAAAGCCTTCTTCGATTATTAGTCTCTAGAGGCTTCTTCAACGTCCTCTCATTCGTCGAACAAGAAAACTCGATCCAACGTAGTTTAACAGCTTATTTTCTGTTGATGCCCTTTTATTACGCTACTTTGCTAATTTTAAACTTTAAGGATAAGTATGCGTAGTTTTATTTTCAAGCATAATGTAATAATGTCATGAAATTCCTAAAGCCTACCCTGTGCACTCGCGACCTTCAGATGGCAACCGACTCGTGCTCGAGGCGACAGAACGTTTAGAAATGCCGCTGACGCACTAAAAATGGCTAGAACGTGCGGAGAGTGCCGTTTAGTCATAGAAATGCAATTTTCGGAAGCCTCTGGAGTCTTCTAGTAGCAGAGTTGGACTAAACATAAATAGCCGGCGCACAGTTTAGTTTTAGTTTAGAGCATTAATTGTAATGAAAAGTTAAAGTGTAATAAATAAATTAAAATTGTTAGTAAGTGTCTAAGTATTATATAAATTAAATAGTACGTCTGAAATAAATTATAAATATAACTTTCGTTACAATATGTTCTATCCATAAAAAAAACAACCATGTTTACAATATGTTAATTTGACTTCTATGAAAAGTAGTTGAGCAGTCAAAAACATAACAGATATATTCAAGGAAAAATCAAATAGTTCACAGTATAGTCGTAGAATAATATATTTGCAATATTTACTAATTTCGTTATACATATGCACTGCTTCAACCTAAAGAATCATTTACTTACCCAAAAATTCTTCCATTGTCGAACTACAAGCCTGCCTAATCATGGTGATAAAAATTCTTTCTAACACCAAAGGAAGTCCCTTCGATTCTTGTGGTAAACAGCTAGTCATTAGTTCCCTCACAGGTTGGGTACATTGTATAACATATGTTTTTAATATTGTACAAATCGTATTGGGACCAATTTTAATTTCTTCTGTACATTTTTGTACTTCAGCGATGGTTGCCTAAAAGATATCATGTGATTTCGAACTATTTGGTCAGAATGGGGATAAGGATCTATTTTACAAACCCCTACATATTGAAATTTTCCTATGTCTTCCGGAGGATACCTATTACCCAGATAGTCAAAACAATAAAGTACAACGAACTCTCGACAAATCAAGGTAATACAAGTATTGATATTGTAACTTTACTTACATTCAATTTAACATCAAGATCAGGGCAATTTTTTTTAGTTTTATCAACCATTTCAATTATATCATTCATCACAGACAAGCTAGAAGCTTTTTGTTCTAGAAAAGCTGTAACTAGCTTCTGGATTTCATTGTCATCGGCATTTTTTTCTTGTTTACCATACACGGTGCTGGCTACAAAAAATATATATAAATTTAATTAGGATCACATGCTTGCAAATTTGGATATTTGGACGTTTTAAAGAAGTTGAATATTGCATCATAATTTATAATGATTACAGTAGAAGGACTGTAGGAAGAAAGCAGATAAGGGTATAACACGAAATTTCAGGTGAAGGTTTCAAAATTATTAAAAAATAATAATATAGAAAGTAAAAAACAAATCTAGAACCAGTTACATCTTGATTAAACCTCCTTAGTCCTCGATTACTCGAAACCATTCGATCTCATCAAACCTAATTCACTTCCAAAGCTTTCTTGTTCAAACATTATATCCATTTAGAAGTTATCAGATAAATTGGTGCCAACTGCCAATGATAAAACTTTCAATTTTTTAAACACATATTCCGGTATTCCGCAACGTTCAATATTGGGCCCGCTCTTATTTGTTCTCTGTACGTCTCAGGTCCTAAAAACTTGTCAAGCCCATACTTATGCTGATGATACACAATACTATTCTTTTTAAGAGGAAAACATTCATAAAGCCATGTGCTAATTTCTGATAATATTGTTAAACCACTAAACCTTCTAAATCCATTGCCCAATTTTTTAAACGGCGGTACCCTGTCCCTTCATTCTTATGCAAATAATGACAACTTTGGTAGGTACTTAGATGTCTTTTTTAAAACTATTTTAAATATTACTCAAACTGGCAACATTGCAATGTAATCCTTGCGGTTTATGGCTCCTCTAATATATGGATTTATAGGTTTGAGCAAAGGTTTGGACAGAAAACAAGAACAAATATTTTATTTAGAACTAAAGTCTGGCGATCGCGACATTAAGACCAAAATTAAGCTACGACTGCGAATGTTATGGCTTTAAAATTAATTTTATTTATAATTGTATTAACAGGCCTATATGGTGGTATTAGTATTTTTAATAAAAAATTAAATAATATAAAAATGTTACCCATTAACACCACAACAAATATTACTGCGAATTCCTTCATTTTTTTATTAAAAAGTCTGTCTTGAAATTATTCCAGACTAGAAATAATGCACAAACACTGTTGGAAACTTAATGTCAATATAAAATAAATGTATATAGTCGTGACCCATTTAGTAATATTCATTATTTCATCAGTGGAACAATTTTCAAATTAACTTATTGACTTCTTGGAACTTCGTAACAAGGGTAAGTTAAATTTTGTCCAACATAGGCGTAACAACTATTGCAGAAAGATAGATACCTGTCATTGTAAGAGTGTTTCTCGCCGCAATGAAAAACGATTATTGCTTTTAAAACCGGAAAAACTGGGATGCTGATTTTATTAACGTGGTTTACAACCTTTAATGCACCTAGTGAAAGGATATGAAAAGCTTCAGATAGAGTATGATAAATTCCAGGGGTCAAGTTGTTATCAGACTTTAATTTATAAGATAGTTATTGATACGACAATGAATTCCTGGTTAAATAACCTCAAATATAAGTCAATAAAATACCAGAAAGGTAAACCATAGCGAAGGTGAGATTCGAATAAGGAAAAGTAGGTTATTAATGCAGTAGCTCTTCTACTGACCTCTTTTCAGCTCTTTAGTAACCGATTTATTGACAAAATATGCAGTTGATTTTGCTATGAGTAGACCATTTTAGGAAATATAAAGGCCTAATAACTTGCTGTTTAGGGTTAAAGGTTGTAACATATCTCTGTAAGACAATGCTACAGTTTTACTGGTGTTGAAACAAAGCCCATTCGAATCAGATCAGTCACTAGATCTTTACTTATGATAGACTGTAATGTCTACATGTCAGATTGTTCCAGGTTACACTCGTGTCATCGGAAAATAAAGTAATTCTACCACTTATTCTTACACTTATGCGCTGAGCGATCTATTTCGTAAATGTGTTCCTACAAACCGACTTTTGACACTTCGAAAACAAGTGCTTATTACCAACTATCTGATTTTCAGTAGTGCCAATATAGGAAACTAAAATTGGATCACCCTTTATATACTGAGAAAATGTAAAACATATAAAAATCGAGAATACTTTATTAAAAAAGTGACAAGCTAAATAAATTTATATTAATTAATAACTAGTAAATAAATGAGAGTTTATTAAAGGCTGTATGTCACGATACTAAATTAAGTACTAAATTTAGAACTAAATTAATGCATTTTTTAAGTACTAAAAAAATTCACGTTGCAAACAGCAAATTTAGTGCTAAAAAAAGTCATTAATTAAGTACTAAAAGTGCGCCGAAATGTTGCGCAGAAGTTTTTCATAGAAAAAGTTGACACGACGGTATTTTCTGTACCCTTTTATTTTTAATTAGCGACAATTTTACATTATCGCCTTGAATAAAGTTCGCTTGTTTGATTTTGTAGGTTTTATTGTGTTTTTTTCGTGGTTTTTATGCTGTATTTGGTTGTTGTCAAGTCAACTAGTGTCAAATTGATAATAAAAACACCATTTACTTGTCTGTTTTACACATAATATTTCATTTCTCTGTTAATTTTACGTATTAATACGTCAATGCGCGTGCGCCTATAGTAAATTTAGTACTAAAAATTGGTATCGTTGCAAACGGAAAAAAAAATTTTTAGTTCTAAATTTAGTACTAAATTAATAACTTAATTTAGTGCTAAATTTAGTACTTAATTTAGTATCGTGACATACAGCCTTAAGATTACCATTTCAACGTTTATGGTACAATTAAATGAAACAAACAATTGGCATTTATAATAAATTTTAGTAATATATTTTTTAAATTTTTGTTCATCCCGTAAACATAGGATAAATGCGATTTTTATTACAAGTCGTGAATATTTATGTTGGATCAATTTCGTAAGTGTTGCCTTTAAAACTAAATTAAGTGATATTTATTAAATAATCGAAGAAGGAAATTATGCGAATAATGTGACAATATTTAAATATGTATAATATTTCCTCTTTAAAGCGTAACATACAGCTAATAGTCCGTCCCTGGGTCGCCGTTAAACGTGTTCTTATACGATATCCTTTGTTTTGCCGAAAAAGAAAGAATATCTTTACTAGTTATCTTTACACCACTGTTCTATAATTTTGAGAGCTACTGGCGCCAGTGTTGCCAGTCTAGTACAATTTTACTAGATCTAGTACATTTTGTAAGAATCTAATACACTCGAAACAAAATCTAGTACCTTTTTCCTTTTCAGCATGTTGTTACCATCTGACGCGTGTAAAATATATTATTGGGATCTTGCTCCTTGTTGTGTTTTCGTTTGCTCACAATTCATCTGGTACCTTTTACAGAATCTATTACATTTTTATGCAATCTAGTACATTTTTTAGACAAATCTGCTACATAACAAAAATATATTCTAGCAACACTGACTGGCGCTCTATAGTTTTCCTGCTATTTTCAAACATTAGATTCTTGCATTAACATGGTTTGATCTACAACCCTCCGATGCAGCTTGTGAAAGGCCTCGGACGGCTAGCTTCAGATGGAGTTACAAAAAAGGTCAGAGTCAAGTTGTTATTACACTTAAATTTCCAAAAGAGCATCAATAAAGGGCTATAATCGTTATAGATATATAATAAATAATTTTTGAAAGATAAAAAGAGTAAAATAGATCGATATACTGTTAAATAACCGCAACTATTAAGCCAATTAAATACTAATTGTATCCTAAACAGCTTAAAATACATGCACTATATAGTTTTACCTACTATTTTAAAACATAAGATGTCACTTATGTCATAACTTTGATTGTTTTTGTTTCAATATACTTTAATTTATGTATATCTTAAGATTTTTTTTTTATGAACTAATTTATTTTAATTTTACTACATATATATAAAAAAATACAGAACCTAAATAAATAATTTAGCACGCCACTGATCAATTAATCCAGGACGTGCAAGCAAAATAAAATCTAAACTAGATAACTACTTCCTAATATTCTTTTTCTCTATTATTAGATGCTCTCTATTAAAAAAAAAAGAACTAAAATAGGTTGAAGTGGTACTTTTCCGACATCTAAGTGGTGATATTTATGTAGATAATTAAATTAAAATCACATTAATTGGAAATTTATTTTTTCTAAAATATGAAATATCGTTTTCGATAGTAATTATTTTTGAAACAAGGTCAAGGGCCAAATAGCAGATGTGCTAATAATATTTGTTTTGTAAATATTAAAATTTTATACATTCTAGATTTTTATGGGAACTTATAAATCAGATTTTAATTAAAACTTGAAAGTTTGGTTATGATTTCGACCCCAAATTGTTTATTTTTTATAATAAAGAATTTGATACTATTTTTGTTACAAACAAATGAATATTTACCACATGAATCTCATATGAACTGTTCCATTACTCGATGACATAGTAATGTAACAGTATTTTTTTTTAAATACTTGCTAAATGAAAAATATCTAGATTGGCTTTATAAAAAAGTATAATAAATGTTTCAAGTAATGATGCATTCTAAAAACAACCCTTGCGTCTCATGAAACGTAGGATATATGTCTAAAGTTTCTTCCAGTATATCAATATTATCAGCAAGTAACTGAAGAAACCTATTAGCTTTTTTAATTCTTGACAATTTATTAATACAAAACCAGCTCTGCGCCAGTACATTCTCGACCGTCTGGAAAATCTGGAATTTATTCATCTATGACTCATCCGCCGCGCAACGATTTCTCTGGTAGCTTCTCGAAGCAGTGCGTTTGTCTGTGTCCTGCGGTATTGAGAGGGTCAGAGTCGTATTAAGGTGGTTCACGACAATATCTATCTATTGAAACTAAATTTATAAGGAATGAGAATTCAGGAATGTAATTCTTTTAATTAAAATATATTTTTATAAATTTTAGCACACTTTTCATGAGATAAGTACCACACAATTATCTCTGACAAGACCAATATGTTGTATAGTGTAGCCAAAAAAGTAAAACTTCCCAAAAAAATCAAATATAATCATCTATTAATTCATTAGTATTACAATGATTAGGAACATATAGGATTTCAAAATAAAATTTCAAACATTTAAATGTTTAAAAATGTAAATCGTATTTAAATAGAACAACTGTGGCGACAACTTAATTTTGTAACTGGTTTACAGGTATCTTAAGCTATTTCATTTTTTGATGGAGCAGCACATAATTCTTTAGTAGCTTCTTCTATAGCTTCGTGGAATCTTGCGAAGGCTCTTTTTGTAATAGGATTTGAACAGTCGCTAACATGGCGTTCGTTGGAGCACTTTTTAATAGTAGGTATCAATCTAAAAATAAAAAATAAATATTTATTAGTTAGTTATTATGAATCGTAAAAAATAGCTTATGCAATAATTATTGCAATATTATGATTGGCCTTAATAAAAAACCTAAAATGAATTTTTTTAAACTTTTTACATTTTTTCCAAATTTTTATTATAGAAGATTTTATGAATTTTATAAGTTTCTTTTGGGATATCCAATATGCCTCTTCTCTCTTATAAAACGTTCACAACTGATATGAAAATACTTAAAAATGCAGAAAATTTTAGTTAGTTTTATTACCATAATAAACAAAAAATTTCCTTTTCTAGATTGTTTTTTATTTCATATTTTTTATTTAGAAAAAACTATCAAATTAAAATCAATCAAAACACTAAAAATTTCGTTAAACGCCGCTGATCAGTACAAATAATCAAGGCCGTAGCCAGCGGGAATCAAGGGGGATTGATCCGCCCCGAAATAAAAAAAAAGATATTTATTTTAGACTTTCAATAAGTATTAATTAATGCAGTTATATACAGTGCGCCCGTCTCACTTTGTTGTTATACACAACATAATAGTCAATCACTACAAACAAAATTCTCTACCTACTGTTATTTTTATTATGTATGGCTTTATGATCGCTTGGTATAGACCTTTTCATCACAATTTTTTTTTGTGCGCATGCGTCAGTTTCAGCCATCTTTTTCGTACTGTTTTTGTAAACAAGTATGTTAAAATACTTACGTGAAAAAAATTATAATTGATAAATATTAATTTAAGTCTATATTCATTTAAAAAAAGGAAGAAAAAAGTAAAGTACCTAATAATAAGTTTAGTGTCTTAATTGAAAAATACATTTTCACAATCAATTATAATTATGTTATCTGTACGGAAAGGAACAACGAAACAGTGTTATGTAAAAGTGGCACACGGTATAAATCATTCAAAGGCAATAGATATTATTTTATAAATTTTCCAAAGCCTTAACTGCAATATCGTAAACAATTATCAGGCAAAATCCATATTAAAAGATATTCGAAATGTGCATTAAGTGTGAAAAAATATGGTCGAAGTGACAACGGTTTTCGATGGATTAATGATGTTACTAAAGATACTTATATTTCACTGCATTTTCATGGAGAAAGTGGTCCAACAGAAGAAAATTCTCATGTGGTATTAAACAATATTTTTTTAATATTAAATACTACTTCGGTATACACATTAAATGATTAAAAATGTCATGTTGATCCTCAAAATAATAAATAATTTATTTTATTAATTATACTCGTGATTAACTTTCATGCTAATTAAAGTGTTTTTGCAAGTAGTAATAGTTGGTTGGCATAATTAATTAGAATAAAGTTATAATTATTATTTGTTTTCATTAATTTTTTACAGAGTTAAAAAGTATTGATACACCTAACCTCTCAATTAGTCCACTTTGTTCCTTTGTAACAAACATCCAAGACACTTCAACCTCCTTTTCAACTGCTCACAACTATGCGCTTCCACAGAGTTATAAAAAAGTTATTCACTATCAACGATTTTTTCTAATGATTAATTTTTCTGTAGAGATAACATTGCTTTCCCAGCCATTGTCGATCTAAACAGTACGAAACTTTTGAATTACCGCTATTTCAACATGGTGGCTGCGCTTGCGCTCATCACATGAAGAGCACGACGATACTTAAATAGAGGCGCAGCGACATCTATTAGGGAGCGGCGAAACTACGTGCTACGCCAACTACACAAGCAACGCAACTTCGGGGACGTGCTTGAACTGCATTTCGGGAATATTCAATAAGCATAGACTGAGACGGGTTATTCTCGATGTTTCGTTGCGTCGCATCTGCGGAATATATAAGCGAGCCGTCGAGCACGGAGAGGCCGTTCTGTCTTTGGAAAGTGATCCAATGCGATGCGACTAAGGCGATATAAGCGAAGTAATAGTGCAGTGAGTGAAATAATAGTGCTGTGTTTGTTTCTACATGTACTCCTGAAAGGACTTTCTCTTCTATGAAACGCCCCAAAACTTATTTGAGAAACTTCACAGACCAAGAAAGACTAAACGGTTTGGCGCTAATGTCAATCCACCGCAGAATTGACATCGACACCGAGGAGGTAATTGATTTGTTAGCTGCAAAGAAAGCTACAAGACTCAACTAAATTTTGTAATAAGGTGTTAATATTTCTGTAATGGTTTTCTAATAAATATAGGTATATGATAAGTAACACCATTTTATTTCTTTTATTAACACGATTTTATGTTTTTCTACTGTTCCACCAAATCAAACCCCCCCCCCCCCCCCCCCCCCCCCCCCCGAAATTATTTTCTGGCTACGGCCTTGCAAATAATGCAATGAATCACTCACATACCGCAGGTGGTTATATAGAAATTGTTTTATCTTGGAAGTTTTTTGTACTGATCAGTATGAGTCATGCATACTACAGGGTGTAATAATCATGTAGGACAACAGCGAAGAATAATTGGGATATTAATACACTAATTTTTTGAATTCCTATAAAATATTCTCTAAATACTTTTATTTTTATTGTTTTTATTGATTTAGCATCAGCAACTGTTTTGATTTATTTAAAAAATGTCTAATTGTTAGCTCTTTTTTACAGTTTTTAAATAAATTTGTAAATAAAATTAAATGCAATTAAATTGGTTAAATACTTACGAACAGACGAATTGTTTGGTTGGAAATGTATCTGTATAGCTACGAATCTGAGTCCTTAGAGCCACGCAAGATTCGTGACTGGCAAAATCAGTTGTAAATTGACATGGATTCATCAATTCTAAAAACAAAGCAAATACGTAAAGCAATAATAAAAATACTTTAAACACAAAAACTTATAATTACTATTTCTAAATAAATATCAGTCTCCTATTTATCGTACATAGCAAGCAAGCAAGCTAGAAAACATTATTTTCAATGATATAACTCCTACTCTATACAGGATGGTTTAATAGTATATAGTAATAATTAAAGACTTATTTAAAATATAGATAACGTTTTTATTTGAATTATATATTTCTATTCCAGAAAATAAAATGCGTTTCTGTTTTTTTTATCTTTTTAAAAATAAGTCAATTATAAAATTTTTAAAATAATTAAAATCAAAACTGTGAAGTTTTCCATATTTGGGAATCTTAAACAGGTAACCTACCTAAAATTTGTTCTACTGTAGATTGGCATGCTTCATCAAATACGGTTAGTACAATTTTACTAATCAATTCTGGAAGATCTCTGGATTTTGGTGGCAAACATTTGCTTAATAAATCTCTTACCGGTTTATTACAAGTGTGGAAATGTGTTTTTACTGCTTGACATATGGTCTGGTTGGTGTTTAGTTTTACTTCTTCTGCGCATTCTCGAACTGTTTGGAATTCTTTCTAAAAATAAATAATAAATAATGTGAATGTGATAGTCATATCGTACGAATAAAAGAAAAACACATTCCTTTAACTGATATAATTTTAACTTTCAGACAAAAGCATCATTATGGTCAAAGTACTCGATGGCACTCGAAGGTACTTTATAGTTTGAATGCTTCCTTTTAGAAATCTTTTATATATTTATAATTAGGTACCATTTTCTTTTTTATTTTGTTTATTGACGAGCGTAAGTGTTATCTATCAATCTATCTGAAGACAATTATTTTAACATCAACAACTGATGATATCCTTAATCGTTAAGAAAATATTTACTATAGCTTTAATAAAATTACATCTAGTCCAAAATAATTTGAATAATTATTCTTATCTTCTATTACCACTAATAATAGAAATGTACCTTTTATAAAAATTTCATATAGCATTATCCAACAAAAAATAAGAATGTCTACATTGCATATGTGGTTGTAAATAAATACTTTTCAATTTGATTTAATTTAAACTAGGATACCTCAAACTCGCTTTCGAAAGTCGGGCAATCCTTTTTCATTTCCTCCAGCAATTCAAGGAGCTTGTACCATAGTCCTACACTCTTTCCTTTTACAAAGTCAACAAGAGCTTGATTGAAGTCATAGTCATTAGTGCTATTCGTGACGTGGACTGGTTCTGAAATCTTTTCTGGTGTCGTTTCTCCAGAAACTGCAGCAACTGTAAAAACATATATAACTGAAATAATTATGTTTCAATAATATTTATTTGTTGATATATAGGATTAATAACTTTTGAGTCAACATTTTTTATTTGATTGTCGACTCAAAGAGCATGTTAAAAAACTTGATATATTGGAAGACAATGATGAACGCCACGATTAATTAAACATGTTTCTGATAGACGAGAGTTGACGACTGTTAACTGATCTGACGGTAGGAACTCAGCTACTCAATTTCCTTTATAACTTAATAATTTTAATCAAAACATTTGTTTAAATCCATAAAAATAACTACATTTCGTTTGTTTTTATTCAGATTATCATAAAGGTTATTAAGGAAGCTGATAACGGCAGTTTAATTAGGTTGGCTTTCCGTAAACCAATGCTGACTAAGATGAAAACGTTATATTTTAAATGTTTTCTAATATTTTTGAAATACTGGATAGTTACCTATAAGTGATCGATCACCTGTTTTAAATAGTGGTATAATTTTAGGTATTTTAAATATATTTGACCTTCTTGGTAAGATCTGTTAATTAAAAATATTAAGGTGCATATAAATATAACGCGAAACGCTTGTGCCTTGCTTGTGTCGTCCCAACAACGGGCAAAGTTCTTCAGATTTGTACAGTGTTTGTTTGTCTACCACCACGAGTCATGCCATATAAAATCGAAGTAAGCCTGTTGTTTTCCATCACACATCACGCAGTACAGTAGACTCACAACACCATACAAATATGACGAACCTGGGCTCGGTGTTGGTCCAGGTACGGCGCAGGAATGTCGCGTCGTTTTTATATACACCATTTACAACATATTGTAACTAATTTGGTCAATTCCACAATAATTAGATTTCTTTAACTCAATTGACGTCATTCTATAATAATCTGGTAAAAGCATTTACAAAAAGTCATTTGACAGGAATAATAAATTTACTTCTTATTTACAAAAATATCTAATATTTTAGCAGATTTTATCGAGTTATTATTTAAATCATCATTAATGATTGCCCAAATGGCTTTTGATTTATTAGAAGCAAAGTAGTAGATATGATTGATCATTTTCTATTTTTTTAGCGGCTGCGCAGACTTTTCTGTAATTCTTTTTATATCTACGGTGATAATTTTCATGTTCAGGCAAATTTAAGGCTACTTTAAGATATAGAAGTTTTAGTTTTTCGAACGAAATACATAATATTTCCTTCTTACATAAAAATATAATTAATATTATACCACTTAGGTATGCTTTCTGAAGAAATCAAAAAATATTAACATGTTTAAAGTGTTTAAATAGTTATTAACAAAGGTCGGTATAAATTATCACTTACCACACAGAACTAAAGATAATATCACTGTTGTGCTTTTCATTTTGCTGTTACTAGGAATGAATTGACTGAAAAATTATATTAATATAAATACGGTTTTAGACTTTTATCAGTTCTTGATTACACTTTGATGACAACAATTTTCATATTAACCTCTTGACTTCTATCGAATAACATTTTAATAAAAAGATTGTACCTAAAAGTTTTTTTTTCGCAACAAACGTTTTCTATTTCTGTATCAATTATTATATCAATCATTTATGTAACTACTTATTTTGCAGGTTAATAATTACAAAAAGTGTTACGTAAAAGTACAATTATTGTAGTGAATACAATACATTATATTTTAGTGTATATTAGGGTGATTCAAAAAAAAAATGATCTCTTGGGCAATACACTCGTATATACTTAAGTATTAGCCTATATTATTTTTGATTGAAGACGTATACATTTAAAAATGTCGTTTACTTAAAAATAAACATTTAATTTTGACATTTTATTTAACTCAAAACACCTGTATGTACTCTAGTTACCGTCAGTTGCCGCCACATATTCATTAGTGACATACGTTTTATAAATGCATCGTGTTACATATTTGTTGACATAAAGAGATAGAAATTTAAAGTGACGGCTTGTATTACTTCGAATGAAAAAATCGATAATGCAATTTTCTAACCTAAAAATATTCGTGATTATATGTCAAACAAGATTGAGTTGGGCCTTAAAGAGCTAACCGAACACCTTGAAAAAAAAAACAGCCAATCATTATCGTTCAATAACGATAAACGTGATGAAGAGTACCGAACGGATTCGAAATGAGATATCGGGTGGGATTAAGAGGAAGATCGTGGAGATTGAAATGTCAAAAAGTGTTTTTTGTTTGGTGGTTTTAATTTTAAATTATTAAAATTTAAGTGCTTAGGAGTTCCCTGTTTTTAAAATTTATATATTGAGGGAAGTTATTGGTAAAATACTTTTATCGAACCTTCCTTATTTTTATTTATAGGCTTCGTCCCCTTAAAGAGCTTGATTTTTATTGAAAATTACAAAAAAAATTTGTTAATTTTTGATTTTTTTTTATATTTCAACCCCCCTTAACCGCTTATTCTTATTCAGATTTTTTCAAAATCAATAGGCTTCGTCCTCTTATAGAGCTTGATTTTTTTATAATTTAAAGTCTATATAATTTTTACAGCCGTATGCATAGTCGATCGCCAGCGACTCGCCAGAGATTCATTTCGGCGTAACGCCAGCGATTCGCTGGCGATCCGCCGGCGAAAGCCCAAAAAGATTATCACCGGTATCTCTCGCATTTTATTCATGATTCATTTCTTAAAACTCAAAAAATAATGAACGAATATCAAATTTTTCCCTATAAAAGAACATGAAAACTTACGTGAAATAACATTCCGGTGACAATCTCCGGCGAGTCGCCAGATTTCTGGGCTTTCGCCGGCGGATCGCCAGCGAATCGTTGGCGATACGCCGAAATGAATCTCTGGCGAGTCGCTGGCGATCGACTATGCATACGGCTAGTTAGTTATTCGTGTGGACAAAAAAACGTGACATTTTTAAAAGTTGTTTAAAATTTGATGAGAGGTATTTTGCTGCAAATTTTTTAAAATTTGGTTCAATATAAATTTTTAAATATTGAACCTTCAGAGACTACTGTGTGAAGAGTATAATAATACGAAACATTAAAAAAATATTTTCGTTTATTTATTACAAAACCTATTTACAAAATTCTATATCTAAGCTTTGTTAAGTTCAGCACATTCGTCCTTTACAGCTGCGTCTACAGCATTGTAAAATTTGTTAACTGAATTTCTGGTGATTTGGTTTTTACAAGATGCGTCCAAGATATCTTTAGCACATCCTCTCATTTTGGGTAGAGTTCTGAAACAAAAATTAGCCTTTGAATAGATATAAAAACATAGCTAAAATCATTTAGAAAAAGCCAAATCAAAAAAATCAAAGAAGACTTATAATAATTTAACACTATTTTGATGTGTTTTTCTAATTTAAAATATACGGTGTTTTCATATTGCAGCACTAGGCAGGTAAAGCTACATTATAAAACTGATTATTCTTTAAAACAAGAAACATCTGTATGATTTTGTGTAGCTACCAACGACAAATCAAAGATGACGTGACTAAAATTGAGTTCCATTTTTGTAAATTCGAATTCGAAACTTTTGTACTTCTGGACATTTTCCGTATAAAAAAATACTTACGAACAAACAAGTGACTTAGATGGAAGCTTGTTACTTTGTTGATCAATGGTGGTCTTGATAGCTTTGCAGGAATCAAAAGATTCGGGGTCTTTCTCTAAGGCGCATGGGTTGAACAATTCTGGAAAAAATATATGCATTTAGATTTCTCAAAGAAAATAGATTTATTGTAAACACTTACCTAAGATTTCTTCTACAGTTGAGCTGCAGGCATTTTCGATAATAGCCAATATAATTTTCTCGCCAAGACCTGGAAGCCCCTTGGATTCTTCAGGCAAGCAAGATGTGATTAAATCACGAGCTGGTTTGGAACATTTGGCAAAGTTTTTCTTGATAAGAGAGCAGAAGGTGTCAGATCCTAGGTCGATGTCTTCTACACATTCTCCAACTTGTTCTACCACAGACTTAAATACAACAGAAATTCTTAATGTCGTTAAGTAACTATATTAACATTCAAAAATGATAAAAATTTCAAGTAAATAAATGAAATATAAGTAGGCAATGTAATAGGGTTTATTTGAAGTCAATAACTTGCTATTTCTTTCTAATTTTTATGCCGGTTTCTAAAAAAACTTATAGAACGGAAAATTTGGGTTTGAGAGGATCGGTTGAAAATGAAAAATATAACAATAGCACTATAATATGTTCAAAACGTTTTAGAAATGACACAAATCTCGCCGGGAAGATGAATTTAAAGCTAGAAGCAATTCCTTTAAATTTAAATAATTTTCAATGCACCACAGTTATAATTCAAATAAACGTCTGTGCATAACTAAATGTTTATTTTGATTTTTAATGTTTTTAATTTTAATATTAATATGTAAAAAAAATCTAGAAATTATATGAATCATATGTATAAAAAAAAAATGGAACAATAAACTGAATGTATCTGCTCATGAACAAATTCTTTGTATAGAACGTATTTGAGATTATGCTTTGTTCATTTACTATTGTATTATTTATTTTAAATTTGTATATTGTAAACGATAACGTTTTAATTATAGGCATGTTTATAGAATAAAATTAAATCTACTTACTTCAATTTTGTTTTCGATGTCTGGGCATTTTGTTTTGGCTTGTTCTGCCATTTTGATGATGTCGACGAACAGGGTGCTGTTGAATTTTTCTTGGAAGGCTTGTGCAAGTTCTTTCAAGTTCTCTTCTTCATCTGATGAATCTTTTTTGTCGCTTGGAGCGGCATTTACGAGTGCTGAAGAAAATAAAAATATAAAAAAATTAATTGAAAATAACTTGAAAAATAAAGGATATAAATAAAAAAGTAAATAAAAAATATATACAGGGTAATTCATAATAATAATAATAATAATAATAATTTATTTGCAGTATTACAGGTAAATTTGCATTAAATACATAAATTTTATCGAACAAAATAGTATAATACTACAAAAAGGGAATAGCAGACAGCATAGCTGATATTAATTGCTATCCCTAATAAAGAAAAGAAAAATATTAAAATAATAAAATACAACGAATAAACTGTAGCACAATCGAGACAAAAATGTAAATACACATTTTATAAATGTAATATTACATTTTATTATAATATCTAATGGTTGTTTTGACTAGATATTTTCTGACATCAAGAGATGTTTATACTTTTGCTTAAACATATTTGTCGAAAGATGTTTGAGTTTAGGAGGAACCAGGTTATATAGTTTAAATATCATATAAGAGAATGAACCTTGAAATTTGGAGGTACGATGGAGAGGTGGAGATATATGCCCTCTAAACCTTGTATGCACATTATGCACATCACTTCGAAATGTAATTTTATTATAGAGATAAGGAGGCGACTTTAATGAAATGATCTTATGATACAATGTTACCATGTGTAAATTCCTTCTAGTTTCCATATTTAACCAGTTAGTTTCAATTAGTTTGTGACTTATCCTTTCGTATTTTTTTATACCATATATGTAGCGATGACAAGAATTTTGTACTCTTTGAATACGATTAATATCCACATAGTCAATACAAGGCCCGTAGACGACATCGCAGTAATTAAAATGACTGAGAACCATAGTATCACAAAGAAGTATTTTTATATTTTGATCTAAAACATGGCGATGCGGGTAAAGCATTTTCAAATTAGCGTAAGCCCTTTTTATACAATTATTTACATGGCTTTTAAATTTTAAGTCAGTATCAAGATGAAGACCCAGATTTTTGGCAACATCTACACAAGCCACCAAGACACCATCAATACTCACAGATAAATGTTCTGCTAGTTCTTTTTTATTTTTTCCAAAGACGAGTATTTGTGTTTTTGCGGGATTGATAGTTAGCTGATGTCTGTTAGAAAAATTTACGATTTTTATTAATTCTGAGTTAATCAGTTCATTAGTAAGAGCAACATTAAAATCAGACAAAGAAAACCTTATTTGCGTATCATCAGCATATATATAAACTCTGCCATTGGTAAGAGCCGAACTAATATTAGTAGAGTAAATGCAAAACAAAATTGGTCCCAAAATAGAGCCCTGTGGCACACCCCAGGCAATATTTTTAATATCAGATCTACCGGCACTTGTTTCAACAAACTGTGAACGATCGGAAAGATAGTTTTTAATAAATTCAGTTGCTTTAACCGAAAAACTAACATAGTGAAGAATACTGAACAGAAGCTGATGGTTAATTGTATCAAAGGCTTTTGTATAATCTAGAAGTATTAAAACGTTTGTATACCCTTTGTCTATATCCCTAAAGATATCATCAGTGACCTCTAATAATGAAGATATGACTTTAGTAAAATGTTTTTTTTTGCAATATTACAGTACCTTTTTTACTGATATTGATGAAAATTTGGCAATTAATGTTTTTAGATATGGAAAATGTTAGCATAATGTAATTTTTGGCTTATTTATTCACGAGGAAGCACTTCATATGCTAACGGAAATGACTTTTTGGCTATACCATTTTACTAATCACACAGATAAATTTGTCTGAGTAGGTACCGTAAAGTGGAGTTACGGTTTTCTTGTTTTAATCTGACAGGTTAAAACGACTAAACCGACAAGTCCGGAAGCAGAAGCGGATGATTAAAACGCACCTGCTATTTTGCTTGCTGCTGTCAATGTCAGTGAATATTATTTTTGGAGTCACAGTTTATTGCTAAAGAATCAGTTAGCTCACTCGGACCAGTTGAAAGTTCCAAAATAACATCCACTCCAGGGATACAAATTCAGGATACGCAGAAGACTGCTGTTTTATTATAGGCGGTTTCATATATTGTATTATCCGAGTTGCGCAGTGTATAAACTGGAACATTGAGATCAAAAGTACCGACGCAGAGTGAGCGATCTGATTCTTTAGCTAAAAGCTGTGGCATAGGAATCAAAATGGCCGCGCCCTATGTTGGGCGTGTCGGACCTCTCTCTTGCACCGTATAGTAATCAAAGTATGTGCCATTTTCTAACATGTTTGCATCGTATCGTTAGGGTTGCATTTTACTTTTAGTTAGAAAATCTTAGTGTTAGTGATTCAATTAATAAGTGCATGAATAAATTAAATTGAAATGGAACATTTGTTAAATGAATGAGGCCTTAGCGACCTGATACCAATATTTAAATGTAAGTATATTTAGTTCACTTCTTGTTAGGTATTATTATATATAAGTAAATTTATAATCATAAGAACACGAAACAAACTAAAATAGAAGTAAAAAAAATGTATGATGCTGGATGACGACTTTTTGGAAAGACGACTTCTACCTTGCTAAGACAAGAGGTCGTATCTACAAAAATTCTGATTTCAAGATTATTACAAATTTAATAAGCTTACATTTTATTTTATTATAACACAAAATAATAAAGGCCTATTTGCATAAGAAAATATTTACTATAATTATAAGAAAAGGTTAGTAAAATATGCAAAACTTATTTGCGAAGTCTAAAAGGACGTACTTATTTACCTACCCACATTTACTAAAAATATTCATTTTTTAGATACGACCTTTTAGTACGACAAACTTTTATGTTCCATTTAGGTTTTGAAGTTATAAAAATTTTTTTTTTAATTATAGGTGGGACACTTCAGAGGACAGAGGAATTTGGCATATTAACTAAAAACAATTTTGAAAAATGTTTTTCGGTGGATAGGTGCCAGTGAGAACCCTATTAAAAAGCAAGAACAGCCTGATCATATTTCAAGATTATTAATTTGATTCTAATCTTGAAGCAAGGCTTATTAGCTATTGTTGAACAAGTATTACTAGAATTTCAAATCTAGACGAGTTTTACTTGCGGATATACAAACACAACAAAGCAATGAAATAAGACCATTCCTCTTGAATATAGTACACCTTTTTTTAGAATGCCATATTGTTAATGCATATTCTGATTTTGTTCTAAGTCAAAATATAAGGAAGTTAATGCCAAAAAACTATTAAAGGTGTTACATTTCCGGATTACAAAGTCATATGCTCGATATTCTGTATTTACAATACAATTAATATAAGTTGGTAATCAAAATGAACACTCAAGTCTTTGATAGTGCCAGTTCTTTGCAAAATAATATTATTAATAAAATAAGAAAAATGTTTAAAATTATGTTTATGGCTATCAGCCGCAATTTTAAATTAGGAAATTATTAAAAAAGATAGAGTTAAATTTGATTTTGCAATATTAATTTTATATAAATTATAAAAAATTATAAACATTTTGAGAAATTAGTTTCAAAGCAATAACAATTCATTAAAAAAAGTAAAATTTGTTTGAAATGTATAAAAAATTATTTCTAAATACTTACCAAAAGCACACACAGCGAAAATCACGTACTTGTTCATGTTTGTAAGCGTTATGTCTTGATGAAATTAATTTTATTTAAATTTAATTAACAGCATCGAAGCAGATCTTTATATACTTATAGAGAAATAGATTAGTTGTCAAATTTACTACAAAAACAAAATTAATTGGGTGATATATGATTTAGTTTTTAATTATATCTAACCTCAAGATAATTTCTAGGACTAGAAGATAACAATTATTATTATAAGAAAGGAAAGCAAATAAGCTCAACAATTTTTCCATTATATATTTTATTTTATTTTTATTTTTCACTAGCTTTTGCAATCGTTTTTAAAATTTAATTTAATTAATTCATAAAATCATTATACGATAAGTTATTTATCTTTGTTCCTAAAACAGATTAAAAATTGATGATCTGAAGAAATAATTTGTTTATGCATTAATTAACATAAGTCACTTATCTGAAAGTTTCTTATTTAAAATCAACTTTATTTAATTTAAAAAAAAAGTTTTTATTTATCATCACAAATTTCTTCTCTCCCCGCCCTTCAAAATCTCTTCCATCAGTTCTTCCTGAGTCTTATCTGCTTTTTCCTCACTGAGCTTTTCCTTAGTCTAGTCATAGCATAATCCACACAACTATCAATTCTTCTTACATACATGAAGTACATCTTGCAATTCTACCTTACATACAAATTCTAGGACATTAAAGGTGCATAATTTAAATTAAACACATGGAATATAAAATTTACATAACAAAACAAGTCATTTAAATGCTTCAAAGGCCTCTTAGGCTCAAAATCAGGAGAATAGGTCAGAATTTCAGAGTGAATGATCCTCTTCTCAATGTTGTAGCAGAGCTTCTTAGGAACATTCTTAGGTAGTTTCGCTTTAGCAAATGAAGGAGTGACTCGCGTTGGTTTTGACATTGATGAAGGAACTAAATATCTAGATGAATATTTGATCTTTTCACCGTTATTCTTCTATAAGTTGGCACCAATCTATCCATATGGTTGAGTGGTGTGTAGGGGACGTCCGCCAACAGTGGCCATACCAAGTACAGTGGCCACGCGTTGATATTATTGCAATGTGATGTCTAGTAGTAGCGCCCCCTCGTATGCGGGGTTAAAATCATGACTTGTTTTGAATATTTCAACCGGATATTCAGTATATCACCATTCGCGGCAGCGCTTAGTTTATGCGTAATTCTAACCTAAAAATTTACATATTTCGCTGGTTTTTTGGGTGTATATATCCGTTATTAGTAAGTACACTACTGTTATTTGTATTCCCTATATTTATCTTGACTTAGATAAAGCGTATGATGACGCTAAAGTGCAAAAATTCCTATCAATTTTTTTGTGGTTAGGTAAAGTATATTTTCTTCTCTCTCTGCTATAGTCGCCACAAACTGATTCGCAACATTGGCCACTGCTTTTAAAGAATAGAAGTAGTGGCTACTGTTCCCGATATGTTTTTTTTTTCAGAAAGAAAAAATGCCACGGCTGAAGACGAAAAGACCTGGTTTAATTGGAAGAATTCCTCCATAGACCATAAGAAATGCTCTTTGTAGTATAAAGGAACATGGTCTTTCTATAAAAGCAGCCACAATTCGTCACAATATTCCTTAGGAGATAAAAAAAACATATTGAAAATGTTGAAGACAACAAATGTTACTACTGGATTGTCGCCAATTATACTGTAAACCGAATATTTTCTATTGCGGAAGAAACAGACCTTTGTCAATATCTCCAAATGTGTGCCAAATTGAATCATGGACTTACTTCATTCAAAATTTAATCTACGAAGTACGTATAGAATGCCTATAGAATGTGACGTTATATTTCCACTTTTACTGCACTCCTCTTTTATTCAGACTATTCAATTTAGTGGAGGTTTTCTCACTTTTCATTCAACTAATTAATGGACTATGTATTACAATTAATAAAGAAACAAAATCCATAGATGTAATTAATGTAATTGGAAGTAAAAGAAATGTTATTATTTATAAAAACAAACTTTTATTTACATAATTCAACAATTTTTTACAAGATAATTATAAAATTAAGCTTTATTAAGAGCATCACAATCCTCTTTAATTGCGTTCTCAGCGGCATCATAAAATTTCAACACAGTATTTTTGGTGATTTGGTTTTTACAAGATCCTTTAGTTATAGTTTTGACGCATTTTCTTACTTTTGGTAAAGTACTGCAAAAAAATACAAAATATTTTATAACAAAATATAACAACAATTCAACTGACAGTTTAAACCTGATAGTAAGAAAACTACACTTACTGACAAACAAGTGATTTGGATGGATGTTTGTTTCTGAATCCTTGAATAACCTTGTCAACTTCTTGGCAAGCGTCAACATCCTCGATGTATGTTATAAGGATGCATTGGTTGAACATTTCTGAAAAATATATAACAATAACGTATAGTCGTTGTGATAAACTCTCTATATATTATTTACCCAAAATTTCTTCTACTGTAGATTGACAAGCTTGCTGAATGAGACCTTGGACCATTTTTTCGACCAATATTGGAAGACCCTTGGACTCTTCAGGCAAACAAGTGTTGATAACCACTCCGATTGGTTTCAAGCATCTTACCAAATGCGTCTTAACCATATGGCAGAGGGTATCGTTACCTAGCTCAACTCCTACCATACAGTTATGGACTTCTTCACCAACACTCTATAAAAGGTAATTAATCATTTAAAAATTCTTACTTTCTTCTAAATATCAACTTTTGTCAGAAAAAACAATCAACGTTTTTTTATATAAATAGAAATACACATGGCTAGCCTTTCAGAAGGGTAAATATCACTCTTCAAGCACCAACTGTTAACAATATTATTTAATGATTGGTACAATCTGTAACTATCCACTAATTTTATAGTAAATTTTTAGGTTGTTAGGAAATATTAATGGAAGCAGTCGAATTTCGAAAAAAAAAATCGTTTATAAATATTAAAAATAATAATAGTCATTGATTTGATTCTTGTGGAACACCTGAAGTAGCTACATATGGGTGACACCTAAATCCATTGTGTTCTACAATTTGAGAAATTAAATAATTTAATTACCTAATGTTACAACAATTAAGCTTTGTTAAGGAAATCATATTCTTATTTAATTGCATGCTCAATAGCATCACACATAGGGAGATATGAACCCACCACTTCTTTGACCCATATATTTTTTATTTCCCTCTGTAATTACATAAATCTTTTATTCAGTTTAGTGGAGGAGATTGGGTGTTTATTCACTTTTCATTCCACTGATTAATGTAATAAGGAAACCAAAATCAATAGATACACTTAATATAAATTAGAAGTAAAGGAAATGTGATTTATGAAAACAATCTTTTATTTACGTAATTCAACAATTTTTTACAAGATAATTATAAAATTAAGAATTAAGCTTTATTAAGAACATCACAATCTTCTTTAATTGCGTGCTCAGCGGCATCATGGAATTTCAACACAGAATTTTGGGTGATTGGGTTTTTACAAGATCCTTCAACCATAGCTTTAACGCAGTTTCTTGCTTTTGGTAAAGTACTGCAAAAAAAATGACAAAATATTTTATAACAAAATATAACAACAATTCAACTGATAGTATAAACCTGATGGTAAGAAAACTACACTTACTGACAAACAAGTGATTTGGATGGAAGTTTGTTTCTGTATTCTTCAATAACCGCGTCAGCTTCTTGACAAGCATGCACATCCTCAGTGTCTGTTTCAAAGATGCATGGGTTGAAAAGTTCTGAAAAATATATAACAATAACGTATAGTCGTTGTGAAAAACTCTCTATATATTATTTACCCAAAATTTCTTCTACAGTAGATTCACAAGCTTGGTTAATGAGACCTTGGACCATTTTTTCGACTAAAATTGGAAGACCCTTGGACTCTTCAGGCAAACAAGTGTTGATGACCACTCCGATTGGTTTTAAGCATCTAACCAAATGCGTCTTAACCATATGGCAGAGGGTATCGTTACCTAGCTCAACTCCTACCATACAGTTATGGACTTCTTCACCAACACTCTATAAAATCAATTTTTGTCAGATAAAACAAACTTCTTTTTTTTTAATAGAGATACATATGGCTATAAAACACGAAACAGTAATACCTTGCACTTATTGCTTTTCAGAAGGGTAAATATCACTCTTCAAGCACGAACTGTTAACAATATTATTTAATGATTGCTGCAATCTGTAACTATTCTATGGGCCACTAATTTTATAGTAAATTTTAAGGTCTTTGGGAAATATGTTAAGAAAGCAGTCCAATTTCGAAGGAAGATCGTTTATGAATATTAAAATAGTCATTGTTTGATTCTTGTGAAACACCTGAAGTAGCTACATATGGGTGAGACCTTAAATAATTTCGAAGAAACTCAAGTTATAGCATTGATAGATAGAATATTGGATGTTATTTAAGGTGTTATATTAATATTTATTATCTTACATCGATTTGTGTTTGTATATTCGGGCACTTTTCGTTGATTTTCTCTATCATTTTAACAGCGTCCAGTAACACGGTGGTGTTGTATTCATCATTGACGTATTGAGCTATTTTATTGAATTCAGATAAATCAGATTTTGGTGATGAGTCATTTTCTTCTTCTTTATCGTGACTAGGTTTGGCATTGGTTAATGCTAAAAAAACAGGTTGGATTAAATATTCGAGAAAGATAATTTTTCATTTGAAGTTTGTTTCAATATTTAGACTTTAAAACTTTCGCTGCCCATGACGTTCATTAACGTCATGATAGTTCTTTCCCCCATGCCCATGACGTGTTTGAACGTCATTTAAAAGAAAAGATAAGCCGCCATGCGGTGAATTGCCTTTATAACCCTGTAGATATGTGAAAGGGTTCTTAAATAAGTGCATTATGAATTTGGTTTTAATACTGTGTTTGTGAATTTAATTTGAATTTATGCCTGGAATCTAAAAATATGTATTTTTAAACGGAACACTGTATTTATCTTAGTTTTAGAAATATTTGGGAATACTGTATTGAACCCTAGAATATTTAAAAAATATATTACAGTGTTGCCAAGCAATTAATTTTTGGAGAAATTATAGAATGATAGAGACCCCAAATAAAATTATCATTATTCAAGTAACTTATCAATGATTTGAACATTATTTACAATACAGGCTTATAAGATACCAAGCTAATGAATAGACATGATAGAACTAGTTTATTTTATACAGAGAGTTTTGAAACATCTCAAAAATATGACTCCTTTTAAGTTTAGTTTACTCAATTTTTTTGAATGCAACACCCTGTATATTATTTTAGAATTAAGTTCATTATAAATTTACCTCTCTTCAGTGCATAATTGATTGATAGCTATTTTATTATTGCGAGGTGGACTAAACACCCTATATAACAAATTTAATTGTTTTCACATTATAAAAAATGTTTTGCCTTTTCATTCATTTGATATGTTGTATATAGGGTGTGTCAAAACGGAATAATACGATTTCCTCATTTAATTTTACCAATTTAGTTAACTAATAATTTAGTTTCCTTACTTTTTATTTTGTTTGGACATCCTTGCACCAAAACTGATTTTTTAATTTTATTCACATTTTCTTCATATTACTTGTAACGTCGAAGGAATAGAAAATGATTCATTATTTCTGATAAATAGGTTACCAAAAATTACATTAGTATTTTACCCTAAATAAGTTCATATTTTTAAAAGCTAATTAGAAAAATATGAAAAAATATGTAATTTTTCATGATAAAACCATCAAAATCTTGAGAAAAATTTCGTTTAAGAATAGAATGCCAAACAAAATGAAAAAAATTATAACACACAGGATATTGTATTTAAAAAAAAAAGGGAATTTCGTAACCTTGAGTTTAGACACACAAAACATTTTTAAGAACGTTTATGCCATTTAAATATACCAAATCTGTTAGGCGTAACTACCTACAGGGTGTTTGGTTTAAAAAGCTATATGTTTATTTCTCCTCTTAAAGAAAACATAATAATATAGTTTACAAAAAATAGGTTTGATCCCCAAAAAAAAGATATATAAGCCCAATTAAAAATATGGAGTCAGGGTAAATGGTATTCAAATATAATTCTTGGAGGAAAAGATAGCTTCTTTATTAAAAAATATAGTAGATACTAATAGATAAAACTACAACTTAAAATTGAATGATACTTACCCAAAGCACACATAAATACAGTTACAAACACGTACTTGTTCATTTTCTTTTTTTGTTAGAAGAATTCTTGAACTAGATAAATTTAATTTTACTTCGTAGCTATATATACCTAAACAACGTGAACAGTGTCAAATGTCATCTAACAAAAACTATAAACTTAGAGATAAATTTTAATTAAAAAAAAAAATATGTTATATTTTTTTTTAAGATTGCAAATTTTATCACAATTTTGGTAACATTAATCTTTCGGATCCATAATTAATTTGTATTCGATATCAGGATTCTATATCTTTACATTTTCTAAAATATTAATAAGTTTATTACATACAGAGCGACAATTATAAACTTAGAATGGCTATATTTCACGAACTAAATAAAAGTAAAAGATAATAATAGTAGTTTGTGCAACAAGAGTGGATATGATAGCCATATCGCACGAAAACAAAAAAATTGGGCACGACGCCGTAGGCGGACTTGCTCAAGTCAATTAGTCCCTAAAATCTAGGCGCCCACTTTACCTGTTCAGATTATGGAGCAGGTAACCTTCACGCCCAATTTACCACCGTCGCATATACGGACATATACACATACGCTATGTATATCCCACTACAATAAATGGATTTCTTTGAAAATGCACTTGTAACATTTGGATATCGTTAGGGTTGGTATACTAAACCTTTTTATGCCAAATTAAATATTTTTAAAATTTTGGCACTCAGACCCTTTAGAAATTAGTCTTCAATTATGACAGCTTACAACAAAAATTAAAATCCCTTACGAATAGCAAAATCGTCTAGCACAGTATTTCCCAAAGTGGTCCAGGTGGACCCCCAGGGGTCCACGTTGGGCGTAATAAAAAATGGGGGCCCACAATCGTAAGTGGGGGTGCATGACAATTAATTTGGTTTCGATAGTGAAGCAATATACTATTAAACAATTGATTACTCATTTTTCCATGTGATGAAGAAATTCTTGTAAGAAACTTTTAGTTACTAAAATGTTGACTTGACTTCTCTTATCACTATAGAGAGATAATATTTTAAGAAGCTCAGCGACTGTTACTTGTAAAAACTTGCATATTCCATATTCAGTTCAACGCGTCGAGACTTGACGTTACCGCTCCGGCCGCCGTCCCGTCCGCAACGCTTGTTCAGACGATTACTAAGACAAAGTTTTTTTTAATTTATTTACTTACACATTTACAGGTAGGTAATTGATACAAAACATGGCCGAATCTAAGAAGTGTCGTCAGTACAGTATTTAAAATTTGGTTTTCTTTCATCAAAGGCAGATAAACGATTGCCCACATGCCTTTTATGCAACAAAGTTTTGAGCAATGTCCCTATGAAACCATCAAAGCTGGAAGATCATCTAAGAAGGTGTCATCCTGATAAAATAGAAAAAGATTTGAAATATTTCCAAACATTAAAGCAAAAATATGAAAAGAGACCCACCGTGCACAGTATGTTCTCTTCACCGTCTGAAAGCAACGATGATGGCTTGCGGGCATCTTACAAGATCTCATTACTTATCGCAAAATCTGGAAATCCGCACACCATTGGAAAACAGTTAATTTTACCTGCGGTTGAAGAGGTTTTAAACATTGTTCTGCACAAATCTTCATTTGACATACTCAAAAGAATTCCTTTGAGTAACAACACTGTACAAAGACGTATTGATGAAATGAGCTCTTATGTTGAAAGTTTCTTGAGTGATTATCTACGAACAGCTCATTTTTCTATTCAACTGGACGAGTCAACTTTACCTGGCAATGAAGCATTATTATTGGCATATTTTCGATTTGTTATGGGCGAAGAAATTCATGAAGAGCTACTATTTGTGAAAACTTTGAAAACGGACACTAAAGGTGAATCAATATTTAATGTTTTGAGAGATTTTTTTAAAGAAAAATCGATTCCATTCACAAACATTATTTGTAATTGATGCACAGTTAACAAAATAAGAAGCAATGCATTGAATACGCGTTTATTTGCACAATTGTGCGATGAAAATGATGAAGACTTCCAACGATTGCTGTTACATACCGAAGTACGCTGGTTGTCGAAAGGTGCATGTTTATCAAGATTTTATTTACTTTTTGACTGAGTTTTAAAGTTTTTGGAAAGTAAAGATCCTGATTTAAAAAAAAACTTGATCAATTTTAAAGCAGACATCGCGTATTTGACAGATTTGTTAAAAAAATTGAATGACCTCAACTTACAATTACAAAGGGACAACCTCAGTTTAATAAAAACAAAGAGTTTAATTTCAGCTTTTCTTGGTAAATTAAAATTTATGAAGGAAAATATTGGTCGGCGCAAATTTTCAGAGTTTTCAAACTTGTCGCAGGTAGAATGCCTTGATGAAGATATTCAAACATACGTTCAACATTTGATAGCCCTGCATGATGATTATAAATTCAGATTTGAAGATATTCTGTCGATGGAAATACCACCATGGATCATAAATCTATTTGATGAAACGGAAGTGGAGAATGTGATATTACAAGAGGAGCTACTCGAGCACTAATGAGGAGCTGAAAGTGACATTTAAAAGAGGGTATCAAAAATTTTGGCTGCAAGCAGAAATACATATTATACCATCTTTTTATGTGTATTATTGAATCTCCCTGTATACTAGGGTATAAATTATTTCTTTGAAAAGCAGTTTTTATTGAATGACAAGTAGGGCTTTCATATTTATTTATAAATATTAAACTAAACCCTTCACCAATTTCGCTTAGCCATTTTTTCTCTCCAACTTTTTAAAGTGATTCGTAAATAGCATACGGTTACTTATTTTTAAAAATCCTAGAAAGTAAGATAAAATTGATAGCTTTTCACTTAATTAGAGTCCTATAAAAATATTTGTAACGTAAATATTTATTTATTTATTTATTTATTTATTTATACATTGTTCAACAGGTTAAACCCAATTACAGAACAGGAGTACATTTGAAAGAAAACAGTTTAACAAAAAGCATATAGATAATTAATCTAAAATTACAGTAAATAAATTCTAAATTATTTTAAACAATGTGTTTTTATGTTTCTAGCACTGCAATTAAATATATCCAACTGTTCACTAATATTATTATAATTATTACACATGTTATTATTAATGGGTTAAAGTATATAAACGCAATAGCTTGACAAAAAATTTTTACCAGCTTTTCGATGCCGCTGAAAACGAATCATTTCACGGAATTTAAAAACGTAGGAATATTATTTAGCTAATTTTTTTTATTTAAATTCACTTATTTGTTACTTTTTTATTATTCATGGTCCAGTTTATAACAACATAATTATTTTTATTTTATTCAAATACTTAATGTCACAACAATTAAGCTTTATTAAGGACTTTATATTATTCTTTAACTACGTGCTCAACGGCATCATAATTAAATCTTATCTTATACATATTTGGTAAACAATAATTGTAAATTCAACCAGATAGATACTCTTTGACCCACATATGTTTTTACTAGCCTTTCTAATTATATAGAACTTTTATTAAATTTAGTAAAATTGAATGTGTTTTTATTCACTTTTCTCTCATACTTCTCATTTCACTGATAATTGTACTGATCTTACAAGTAATAAAAACACCAATTACGATTCTTATTATTGATTTAACCTAGGCTAGATTTTTAATTGGTAAAGGAATGTTGTGATTAATAAAAACACTCTTTTATTTAAATAATTCAACAATATTTACAAGATAATATATTATAATTAGGCTTTATTAAGAGCATCACAATCTTCTTTAATTGCATGCTCAACGGCGTCGTGGAATTTGATGACAGTATTTTTGGTGATTGGATTTTTGCAAGTTCCTTCAACCATAGATTTGGCACAGTTTCTCTCTTTTGGTAAGGTACTGCAAATAAAACGACAAAATATTTTATATAAATTAAAACTACAATATAAAAAGCGTATTGAACTTGTTTTAACTCATAGTAAAAAAGAAAAATTAACTATACTTACTGGCAAATAAGTGATTTAGATGGAAGTTTGCTTTTGTGTTCATTAACAACTGTCTCAACTTCTTCGCAAGCGGGCAAAGTGTCAGTGTCTGCTTCATAGATGCATGGGTTGAAAATTTCTGAAAAATAAATTACAATAACGAATAGTCGTTGTGTAAAACTCTATCTATATATTTCTTACCCAAAATTTCTTCTACTGTAGAATGACAAGCTTGTGTAATGAGACCTTGGACCATTTTTCCTAACATAAATGGAAGGTCTTTAGATTCTTCAGGCATACAAGAGTTGATGAGCACTGCGACTGGTTTGAAGCATGTTACGAAGTTCTCCTGAACCGCATGGCACAAAGTATCATTACCTAGCTCAATGTCGTCTATACAGTTATGGATTTCTTCAGCAACATTCTATAAAAAATGGATTGTCAGGATGGTTCTTCTTATGGTATTTGTTAAAAATATTGATTGCAGAAGATAAAATAAAGAAAATATAAAAAAGATAAGGACTGACATAGGGACACAGATCCAGAGACTGGAGGCGATAGCAAGCGACAGCAGATTCTAGAGAGTAGAAGTAATGTATAGATACCAAAGACAAGAGGCAATAAGGAGGAGATACCAGAGAGCAGACAAAAAAGAAAAAAAATATATTTTAAATTTTGTCGCCATCCAACGTGGGGCTGTAAATTTTTTGATTAATTTTGGAACAGGTTGTTCGAAAAATAATAAAGTTTAAATTTGGTTATTACTTTTGTATAATTTCTTCCATTTAATTGTTGATTTTAGTGTATAAATTAGATGTATGGTGATAGATAAAAATGCTAGGTAAATGTTTAAAATTTAAATTCTGAAAGGGATAAAATTATTATAAAATTAAATAGATTTAAAAGAGAGAAAGAGGGTTGGGTTCGAAGAGAAACAAACTACTGTTTCTGATGAAAAGGAACAATAGAATGAGACAATAATGAAAGAAACAGAAAGAATTGCGTCTTAGGAAAAGAAAAAATAAAGATTCTGGTAGAAATGAAGAAAGACAGACGGCAAGAGAAGGATAAAATGAAGAAAGATAGAAAACTGATAATAATGAATTTGATAGTGGTGGTTTTTGCTTAGTGTAAAACTCGTGAAATCATATTGCTAAACACATATTTAAAAAAATATTCAGAAGAATTGGGAACTTCCTGTTTTAATTATACTAATTGATTTGATCTAACAACAGCTCCACGAAAAAAATCTCCAATAACGACCTAAATCGACAAGAAATTCATACAGATCAACGGTTAATAAATGAAAATTAAAGATAAGATAAAAAAAATTTAAAATTTAAAAGAGAAAACAAAGAGATGATGCAAATGACAAACAAATGTAAAAGAAGAAGAAAACTGGAGGATTTACTAAAAGAAATAAATAGAGAAGAAACAGAGAAAATAAAAGAAGAATGTCAAGAGTTAAACCAAGAAAAGAAAATAGAAGAATATGTACAAATAGGTAGTGAAAGAAATAAATAAAGAAGAGAGAATTAAATTAGTAGAAAATTGAAGAATTATAAAGAAAATAAATGAAATTAGAATACAATTAAAACAGGATAACAAAAGTTACAAGAAAGAAAAAACATAAATACAAAACAATTATAGATAAAAGTAAGTAAAAAGATAAAGGTAAATAAAAAACAAAAGGAAAATAAGGAAAACAAATATAAAAGTATTATAAATAAAATTAGTGCCATACAAAATATTGCAAGATAAAAAGCAGATGAAACCGAAAATAAAATACAAACTAAAATTGGAGAAGATAATGGAAAAGAAAGAGTAAGGATTAGAGTTAAAGAAAATATATAAATTTAAGAAGGTGGACATTTCATTTTGGAAAATCAAAAGAAGAATAGACCATGAAAAATTATTTCAAAATAATAAATATCATATAGAAGATAAGAAATTATAAATTTTCTTTTTTGTGCAAAACACAGGTAGACCATTGGAAGTAGATTTCATTCAAGGTTTCAAATCAATAGGTATATTTTACTTACATCCATTTGTTTTTCCAAATTTGGACACTTTTCGTCGACTTTGTTTATCAGTTCACCAATGTCCAGTAACACGGTGGTATTGTATCGTTCGTTGACTTGTTCAGCTATTTTCTTGAATTCAGATTCACCAGTTGCTGATGGTGAGTCACTTCCTTCTTCTTTATCATGACTAGGTTTGGCATTGGTTGATGCTTAAAAAAACAAGTATTTTTAGGTTCTCGTATATGTTAAATCATAACACAAATAGGGCTCTTTCATAGATAATGAAATTTCATTTCTTCGTAAAAGTAACGAGTTTAAAAACTGTTTTTTCCACCCCGTAATAGAAGATATAAGTATGATCAAAGAAAAAAACATCAAAACAATACTTTCCAAATATTTAACGACTGGGAAAACTAAGAGGCAACAGGCTCTAATACGTTTTGAACTAAACTTTAACTCATTAAATGTGCGCTAATATTTTGAAGGATTTTATTTTATTTTTTACTTGTTGGATTTATATTTGTTCTATCTAGCAAAATAAGTTTTTTTTTTCATATATATTTTTTTTTTCATATTTTTTTGTATTGTTTTTTGGTCTAAAAATTTCTGTTTGATAGTGGAACATACTTGTTCCACAATGAGACAAAAATCACGATTTAAAAAATCCCTATTTATTTTTTAAATCGATATATTGATAAACTTATTGCGTTAAATAACGAGGAATATGTCAATATATGTGAAACAACAAAATTACAAAATTCAATCAGAACCTCTGGCTACTTACTGAAACGTAATTTATGTCTACACTTTCCCCTAAGTATAATGTAAGAGTATTCTAACTGAAACGAAAAATGAAATATCTCTAAAACATGCCTGCTTTAAGATACAATGTCTGTCTAGGTTTAATTTGAAATTCTAGATAGACGAGAGAGTGTATATAAACTAAATATAAATAGTTTTGTAGCTTACAAACAGTGTTTAATGCCAAATTTCAAAAAGAAGATAATATAAGCATAATAAAAAAGATGAAGTCAGGATATGGAGTGTAGAGGTCGTCTAATTTGCATATGGGTATATAACTATATATCACTATATATCATTGGATCTTCCCCTTCTAGCACAGCTTATTCATATCCTTCTAGTACATGAGCGCTATTCTAATTTTATACATTTTGGGAGACATTATTGAGATGAACACCCGTATGAGATTGTCCTCCTCTCCTCTACACTCTATAAGTCAGGAAAAGATGTGTTCATACAATTTTTAAAGGAAAATATAGGTTTTTTTTTATTGAAAATATATTAAAAATACTAAGAGTTAGATAAATTAAATAATACTTACCCAAAGCACACAAAAATACTGCTAAAAATACGTATTTATTCATTTTATTTTTGTTTTTTAAAAAAGATTTGAGTTTACATAAATTTATTTTTACTTGGTAGCTTTTTATATATAGGTATCTAATCAATATGAACAGTGTCAAATGTCATCAAATAAAACTATACACGTGGAGATAAATGTTAATTTAAAAAAATTATGTAATATTTTTTAGATTTCAAAAGTTATCACACTTTTGCTAAAAGTAATAAAAGTAATCTTTAAGTTCCATAATTTATTTTTTATATACGGGAACAAGATTTAGTATTTTTACATTTTTTAAAATATTAATCAGTATATTGCATACAGAGCGATCATTTATAAACTTGCAACGGCTATATTTCATGAACTAAATAATTGTTTAGACCCCATGTGTGATACATTTTTGTAATCAGGGTGTTAAACCCTTTCAAATGGAATATTACATGACCTATGTTGCTATTTAAAAAAATCAAGATGGCGGCCATGCTTAAAGTTTTGTAATTATAAAAAAAAATATTTTTGGGCTAAAATATGGGCAAATATATTTAGTTGAAATTCTGAAATTTTGAGTTTTGTATGTTGAACCATTTAAGCACTATAGGTTTGGTTCCATCTTTAACAGCTACCCTGTATGTACATAAATGCTGTTGACCAAAAGGTTCTTGAAATACGCATGTTTTTTAGGTAGGTAAGTAGGTATATCTGGTGCATTATTTTTAGTACCGTTTCAATGTTCAATGGCGGCTATAGGCGTTTTATGGAGGTACCTGTGGCATTTTTGGATTTTTTGTGAACAATAGCAGGTATGTTGTGTTTTTATAATAGAATTGAGTTATTATATATGTGTGTGCTGTATTTTGATGATACATTTGGGGTGTAAATATTAATTTTTGTTCTTTTCAGGTCATGCTTTATGGGGCTTTGAATTTTGAGGCCGTGGGTCGTCGTTAATAGCAGATATTTTGTGATTTTTATGATGAATTTGGGTTATTATATTTGTGTGCAATATTTTTATAATACATTTTTGGTTTCGGTTATGATTTTGTCCAATAAAATTATTGATATACCTAACAAATACGTTTAAATTACTTTTCTTTATCGTCCAAATATTTTCGACGTTTTTTTTTTGTATTTGTCATACAGTGTGTCTACTTAAGTTGGAACCAAATGGAAAACTTTTTTATTATTGGTTTTGTGAAAAAATGTATTCCTGAAAAAAAGTTCTGCATGGTCCAAAACTTAAAATGCAACCATCAGATATCAATTTTTTTATGCTGTGTATAAGGTTTGCCAAAAAATATGAATTTTACTCAAGAGTAAAGTACCTTTTTTTTTTTTTTTTTTTTTTTTTTTAAATTGGGTCCATGAGAAAATCCTCAAACTCTTCATTTTTTATGTATGTTTAGCGATAATGCTTTACTACCTTGTCCGATTTATATGATTCTTTTTTTGTTAGAAAGGGGGTACCTCAGGGGTGATCCCATATAAATTTGGTTAAGATGTTGTGATGGCATCTGCGCGTTTTTGAAGTCGGTTTTTTTAAATTTTTAATTTACACTTGTAATATATGTTCAGGCTCTACTCTGCACTTTATTAACAATTTTTTTTAACATACTTCAAAATGAGAGGATATTCTCAAATCGTTGAAATATTTTTGTATGTATGTTGAGCGATAATTCTTTACCACGTTGCCCCATTTCTATGATTCTCTTTTTGTTAGAAAAGGAATAGTTCCATATACATTTAGACAAAATCTGAAGATGGGATCCATAAGAAAATCATTAACATCTTCATTTTTAAAGTAGATTTTTTAAAATTTCTTTTAACCGTACTGGTTCGCACGCGGTAAGGAATGAAGAAATGTAAATAATTGTTGTGCCAGCCAAAAAGCGAAGTGGAAGTAACGATTAAAATATCAAGTGACAGAAGAGTTTCTAAGTTCAATGAGATCGGGTTTATGTTTTAAAATGCCTTGAAACCCGCATTTGAAAGTATATCAACTTCGCCAGTGACGTCAAAAATGTTTAAAGGTACAATTTAATAGGGTTAATTTTCAGTTTCTACCTTTGAAAATATACCCGATGCCAACTCGGCCAGTGATGCCATAAATGTTAGGTAAAGGTACAATTTAATAGGGTTCATTTTAAAATTCTTTATATTAAATTATACCCGTCTGAAACACGGTCTCTAACGTCATGAGCGTTGTGTAAAGGTATATATTCCAAATAAGCAACATTTCATGTTCCATCGGTATCAGGAATAATAGAAGTGGCTTTTCATTCAAAATAAAACGGTACAGTAGTATTGCACGTTAGATAAGTGTAATTTAGTTATCAGACCCTATTGTATACTAGCGAATAGAATTTTAATTTTTAGGTTAGGTTAGAATAAAACTACTCATTAATCAATGTACCTCATGGAGTGTTCTTTCATAAAAATAAAACTGATAAATGTACTAGGTACTACAATTAACATAGGATTAATAAAGAAATGAAATCAATATTGTTTAATCTAGGCTAGATTTTTAATAGGCAAAGTAAAAAAGAAAACTAGAATGTGATTTATGAAAACAATCTTTAATTTAAATAATTCAACAATTTTTATATAAATATCATTAAGCTTTATTAAGGGCATCACAATCTTCTTTAACTGAGTGTTCAATTGCGTCATGGAATTTCAGCACTGCGTTTTTGGTGACTTGGTTTTTACAAGATCCATCAACCATAGCTTTGGCACAGTTCTTGACTTTTGGTAAGGTTCTGCAAATAAAATAATAAAATGTTATAAAAAAATTGAAACTATAATGCAGAGACCTTATTAAAACGTATTGTAACTTATACACTACACTTACTGGCAAATAAGTGATTTGGATGGAAGTTTGTTTTGGTGTTCACCAACAACTGTGTCAATTTCTTCGCAAGCGTGTATAGTTTCGGGGTCTTTTTCGTAGATGCATGGGTTGAAAATTTCTGAAAAATAAATAACAATAGCGTAAAGCGAAGGCAAATTTTATCTCGGTATTATTTACCCAAAATATCTTCTACTGTAGAATGACAAGCTTGCTCAATGACACCATGGATCATTTTTCCAATCATAAATGGAAGGTCCTTGGATTCTTCAGGCATACAAGTGTTGATGACCACTGCAACTGGTTTGAAGCATGTCACGAAGTTCTCCTGAATCATATGGCAGAAGGTGTCATTACCTAACTCAACTGCTTCGATACAGTTTTGGACTTCTTCACCAACAGCCTATAAAAAGTCATTAATAGCATTACGTGTATAATTATTTATTAGTAATTTGTGCAAAGGCAGATGAATCGCTTCCTAACATTTAAAAGTTTTTATTTTAGGTGTTTAAACATATTTCTTATCAAAATAATAATACTCTTCCTAATTCATCCCCTTACAAGTGAATTTCAACCCGTGAAGCCGACTGAGAATGTGTGGGGCAGGGACGATTATTATTATTTGCTTAGATGCTTCAGGGCGATTTAAAGATGATTGAAGGTGCCATTTGGTGAGGAAACCCTGTAAAATCTCACTCACCATCATACTATACCCACCATCATATGGCTATTAAATACGAAAAAAAAACTATCCCCACATTCTTAAAGTGAAAAAGATAATATATGCTGAACAATAAAGAGGAAAAAAAAATGAGGACAGAGATTGAAGTTGGAACCTCCGATTATAGGCCTCGGTTACTTCACCAATTGGACTACCGTAGTTTTAGGGCAATGCCCATGAAATTTAAATTCTATATACTTCATGACCAAGAAAAATAAATGATAAAGAAAGCAATAGTAAAGATAGAGGACAGGAAACAAAATGAAGGAAGGCATGATAAATATAATATTCAAAAAAATAAAGTTAGTGGTAAAATAAGAATGAAATATGGAGAATAATTATAAAAGATAATGAGGAATTGAAAATTAACAGAAAAGAAATGAGTAGAACAGTGAAAGAAAGAGTAAAAGAATACTTATAAAATTTGGATGAGAGACGAAAATTTGGAATTTTAGAACTAGCTGAGATTACGAAAGTTGAATAGACAAAGTGAATAAAGTGGAAATAAATAACTTAATAAGAAGTATGCATAGTGAATTAAAGGGAGAATATAGATGATATCAGTAATGGTAAAGAAAATAGATTAGAAAACATAGTATTTATAATTTGATGACTTAAAACACGAATAAGAAATAACGCAATTTTGTTGATGGCAGAAGATAAAATGAAGAAAGTATGAAAACAGATAACATCATAGAAATTTATTTCCACTTACAAAAGAATAACATGCATAGAGATCGACATGGGGATAAAAGAAATAGACAGAAGGTCCTAGTAAGCGATAGCAGACACCAGAGAGTAGTATTGAGATGTAGAGATACAGAGACGGGAGACGACAGCAGGCGATAACAGCTAGCAGAGAATAGGATGGCAAAGATACAGAGACAGGAGGCGATAGCAGAAGATATCAAATACCAGACACAAGAGAAGAATAATTTATTTAGAATTTTTTTATGTATATAGAATTTTTTTTATAGTATTTGTTTTTAATTATTTTGTAAATCTTAGATCTAGAACCACCCTTTTTGAGAGTCTTCGGCAAGTTTTTTTTTTATTTTTGTCACTAAGCAACGTGAGGCACTAAATTTTTGGTATTTTTTTTTAATTTGGTGTCATCGGCATCGACTGCTAAGGTCAGTATTATTTTGGAATAAATTACTTGCAAAATTGAGAAGTTACAATTTACAATAGCTTTGAATAATTTCTTCCATTCAATTGTTAATTTTGGTATTAAATATTGTGTAAATTTTGGATACAAAACTACCCATGTTGAGAGTCTCGGGTAAGTTTTTTTTTTAAAAACTGTACGTATTATAAAGTGTGACACCTTATTTGAAATCAAATTTAATTACTAATTCAATGCACCACATAACATTAATATAAATATCCTCCATATTGCACTTGCAATAGTTTGAAAATTAGTCATGCATTATTTTAAACATTATTACTAACTTTATTTTATTGCAAGTGCAGTATGGAAATATTTATATTAATGGTATGTGGTGCATTGAATTAGTAATTAAATTAGTTTTCAAATGAAGTATTATACTTTATAATACGTTACAGGTTTTTTTTTATCCCGATAGAGGGCGCTAAAATTAAAAGTATTGCAATAAACAGTCATATTTCTGACTTCCCAATGAATAATGCCAAAAAACAGGATAAAACTGTTTTGAGTGACCCACTCTGTATATCAAAAGTGGCTAGATTTATCGAATTAGTCATAGAACAAAATCTGCTTAAAAATGCATTTTTTACCAGATGTGCTATATATGAAAGATCCTCCCATCGAAAACAAAATATTGAGCGCAGTGCCATCTACATATTTATATCTAAAACTGAAGCTCTTTTAGCGCTCTATGAACTGGCTTTTATAGAATTAAAATATCTCTATTACCAAAATATCCGGCTTGGGAGTTTTTATTGGTACACCCCCTGTATACAGATACTGTATAGAGATATTTGAAGATACGAGAACGAGTCTGAAACGCTCGGCCCGAATTAGCACATCAAATTACCGTCTAGGAATCTGGACAGTCTAGCGGTAAAGGCATTTGTATATTTAAGTTCTTGGATCAATATATTATACTTACATCCATTTGTTTCTCCAGATTTGGGCACTTTTCATTGACTTTTTCTACCATTGTGGCAATGTCGAGTAACAAGGAGGTGTTGTATTGATCTTTGATTTGTTGAGCTATTTTCTTAAATTCTAATTCACCAGATTCCGATGAGTTAGTCTCTACTTCTTTATCATGACTGGGTTTGGCATTGGTAAATGCTTAAAAAAAACAAATCTTTTACATTTTTGCAATAATATAAGTTCAATATAAGGGTTATAAAAAAGAAATTAAAAAATATTAATTGCTTAAGGTTGGACCTGAGCCTTGTGTACTGATAAGGACAAGTAATATAACTCGCAAGGTTGTAAAATTATAAAATCATTTAATTAACAGAACAAAGTATTAAGAAAGGTTATTAAAGAAGATTAACTTATAATTTTCTGTTTTGAGTTTTTAGTGCAATTCAAAGTGTTATAGTATGGAATAACAATTTTGGGTATCTGCAACGTATTTCTAGTCAAAAAACGAATATTAAGAACTCTTAAATGTATCATTTAATTATAGAATTAGAATTTTTAATTAAAGAAAATATAAATAGTTATGTAGTTTACAAAACAACTACAAGATTTGATGCCAAATCTCAAAAAAGATAATATTAAGAACAATAAAAAAAGGAGTCGAGATAAAACTGAAGGAAAAAACAGTTTTTAGAAAAATATATAAAAAAATTGGTATTTGTTAAGTACTAACAGATAAATCTACAACTGAAAATGAAATAATACTTACCCAAAGCACACATAAAAACAGCTACAAACACGTACTTGTTCATTTTAATTTTGTTTTATTTGTCAAAAGAAGACTTGAACTTTTGTGAATTTACTATTGCTTGTTAGCTTTATTTATACCTAACCAACATGAAAAGTGTCAAATGTCATCTAACAAAAACTGTAAACGTAGAGATAAACGTTAATTAAAAAAAAATGCAATAATATTTTTTTTAGATTGCAATATTTATCACAAATTTTGTAACAGTAATCTTTGTTCCATAATTAATGTGTATGCAAGATCATGGTTATGTATTTTTACATTTTCTAAAAAAATAATCAATATATTTTATATAGGGTGAGAATTTAGATACTTCCAATGGTTGTATCTCATGAACTAAAGAAAAGTACAAGCGAATAATTTATTTTGTCCTTCTGGACAATACGTATTTATTAATAATAAATACGTTTATTACTCAATACATAAAAAATACCTCTTATATTTTTTATCCTTCAGGAAAGCTATTGTAAAAGTTTTACCAAAAAAAACAGACCCAACCGAATTCAAAGATTTACGCCCGATAAGTATTCTACCTACTCTATCAAAAATTTTAGAAAGAGCCCTGGAAACACAAATTAAATATTACTTACATGAACATTCATTACTTCCCTCCATCCAGTCAGGTTTCCGTAAAGGTTTTAGTTGCACTACTGCGTTACTCCATATTACAGATGACATTTTAAAAGCTACAGATGGTGGAAAATGCACAATACTAGTTTTGTTAGACTTCAGTCGAGCATTCGATACCATAAATCATGATTTAATGATTAATATGCTAAATTATATAGGTTTTTCGAATAATGCTGCTTCTTTAGTGGGAAACTACCTAAAGTATAGACAGCAGCAAGTATTTATTAAAGGGGTTACTTCAGACTATCTATCATTAAGATCAGGTGTTCCACAAGGCTCCATACTGGGACCAATATTATTTAGTATCTATACTTCTCATCTTTTGGATAAAATACAAAACTGTAGTGTCCACTTGTACGCTGACGACACTCAATTTTATTATAGTTTTAAGTCACATGAACTGGAAGACGCTTGTATTGTTATAAATGAGGATTTAAAAAGAATTATCGATTGTGCAACTGATCATTGTCTGCTTATTAATACAACAAAGTCCAAAGTTATGATATTTGGTAACAAAAATTATAGGCAACAACTGCTAAATTCGATAAATATTGTTATTAATAATAATGAATTAGAAGTAGTAAATGAAGCAAAAAACTTAGGTGTTTTTCTGGACTCGGAACTAAGATTTGAGAGGCATGTAAATAAGTTATTGCAACGCGCTTACTATAATATTAAGATGATTTATGGGAATCGTCATTTATTTCCTATTCACATTAAAAAACAGCTCTGTGATACACTAGTACTATCCTTATTTAATTATGCAGATGTATTGTATGGGCCCAATTTAACTCTTAATTACAAAAATAAAGTGCAAAGAGTGCAAAATTCTTGTTTACGTATGATTTTTGGTATACGAAGACATCAAAGAATATCTCATAAATTAAAAGAAATACGTTGGTTAAATATGGAGAACAGAAGAAAGCATCACTTTCTCACTTTATGTCATAAGCTACTTGTGAACAAGAAGACCTCTTACCTACATCGCAAAATTAGCTACCGTTCAGATGTCCATAATATAAATGTAAGGAACAGAGGATTACTGACTGTTCCCTTTTTTACGACGGAACTTTTCAGACGGTCATTTAGTTACCTCATCTCTTACTTTTATAATAAAATATTACCAGAATTCAAGAATTATAGTATTTTTAAATTTAAGACAGCCCTTAAAATACACATTTTTGAAAATCAAATTTAAGTAACAATTTTCCTCACTGCATACATTATTTTTTTTTTTTTTTTTTTTTTTTTGCTTGGGCACTTGCCATTCAGCCAGTCGCGGAATAAATTATATAAGTTTAAATTGCATTATCACTCTAAATACATCCATTCAATCATACACACTTACACACTTTTGTCCTAAGCAAGAAAAGAAGAAAAATATATAACAGAAGATAAGGCAAGCAAGGAATAAACAAAGGAAAACATTTCTTCTTGTCTAGGGGCCCGTCAAGACATTTTTTTTACACACAAAACTAGGCCACGGAAAGGTAGGTATATAACAATTGGGTTAGAACATAGGTTGCAAGACTAATATTAATTACAAACATACTTTACTTTCATACACAAATTTTATCAAGAGGTCGTAAATTTTTGTTTGATTGCATACATATTGTTGTTTATTGTATCGCTACGTATTTGTACTTCCCTCTTTCATTGGTCGTTGTTTTTGATATTTTTTTTGCCCTACTTAGTTATGTTGTTTTTTTTCATTGGATTCAACCTTCCTGAGACAAGTGCATTTTCATTTGTTTGTTAAATGTTAAAATTACAGTTGTTTATTTATTTGATATAGTTATTATGGTATATACATATTTTGTCTTTGATTGTTTATTTCTGCTCTATTGCTCTATGGTTATATGCAGGTTTACTCGCGGGTTAAGTGGAAGAATATTTTTTGTTGTGTCTAGTGCACAACCAAAAATAAACTTCGCCCGTGTATATATGTATTATTTTATTGTATTTACTTTAAATTAATGGAAATAAAGACGATTATTATTATTATTATTATTATTATATGCATATGTTTCTGGTAATCTTTATTATTCGTTCTTATTGCAATGTATTTTATCCCTTTGCTAGCTTTTAAGATTTGAACACAATAAATCAACATTATGTATATCAAATTAATTACTTATTTAATTAAAATGTTTAATTTCATATGCAGCGTTCAATTTCGCCTCGTTCAATCTATTCAACAGCCGGACAAATTGATACAAATGTTCCTTCAAATTATGAGAACTCTTATTATAATTTTATTTCGAGCCAAAAGGCTGTATAAAAATACATATTAAAATTTTATCTTTTTTTATTTCTGGAGTAGTGCAAATTTTCATAGTTTTTATGGTTAAAATAAAATCCAGAATTTGAATTTTATGTGTTGGTGATACATGATTTTTCTCTGTGTTAATAAAAAAACTTTTTTAATAGTTCTGCTCCCTACTTTTGATAATAAATAAGAAGACGTCTAAGTAAACAGCTGACAAAAAAATATTTTTCTGTAGGTGCGAAAAGACGGGCTTTAATATTATATTTGAAAAACAAGTGTCAAATAACGTTAGTATTTCTCATGAATTGAAATTATGTATCTTTAAGGTCTATCGAGGGAAAAAACATTTTCCTGTCATTTAAAAATGCGTGGCAGTCATACATTTATTTGTTAGGTTTTTCAGATTTAAAATAAATCTATATAGGGGTCTATTCTGTAACAATTCCTTTATATTTAACGGCCTTTAAAAATATTGGCGGCCTTTAAAAATAGTTTCTTATTCGTTAATTTACTTCTATCATTATTTAAACAGATTTCTTTAAGATAGTCCTCTAATGTATTTTAAAGATCCGTTTAAATAATGACAGAAGTAAAGGAGAAAATATTTTTAAAGGCCGTTAAATATAAAGGAATTGTTACAGAATAGACCCCATTTACCGTTATCTTTTCACCTTGAAAAGTAAATTGACAAAAACTAGTTTTTACAACTTTTAACCATTTACACTGCTACTATTTGTAAAATGCGTATGCTTTTGGAATAAAATTTTAATTCAATTTGACTTAATTTTATTTCTTTGGTACAGGTTTATATTTAAATGGAATCTTATAGCCCTTTATCCAGTAGTCTTGGGTCAGATACATATCTTATATTCGAACCCGTAATAACGGCGGTAAACCAAAAACGTTCTCAAAACTATTTTTCCTAATTTAGACGGAAGCTTCTGCTACTGACTCGCAGGTGATCTCATTTTGTGCACTCGACGGATATATTGCAGTGATGCCGATCCATATTATAAATCCCGATATGTCTTATTTTTTTTTTGTAGAAATAGATATAGTATTGTCACAAAAATATTTTATTAAATGCATCTTTGTTTTAAAAATAACGGAATTTAGAAATGGAAGGGGACTGAGGCTTAACTTTAGCACTATATATCAGGCCAATGTAAAGGACTGGTGTATTTTTTAATTACGACAAGCATTAGGTTTTACATGATAATATTAATAGGATATTTTGAAGATACTAAAAAAAAATTACTATATTTTTTTATATCTCAATATGTTTTTAAAAAGGAGTGACTACCGGACGTATTGATTATGAGATGCTTTTTGACATTAGTATACCACGAAAATAATATTAAAACATAATATGATTTAACTCTCTACTTTGCTAAGATTAACCGGTATAGTCGAGCTGGTCGCTTACAATATGTAGAAGCAAAAGAAATTAGGAAGATCCAGTGGCGTCGTGATGTGTGTTTATTATTTAAATATTGGTTAGTTTTTTAAATTTTTTTCTATTTATAGAATTGTTTGGAAAAAATGACTAAATGATAATTTTTTGTATTTGGAAATAATAGTCAACTTCACACCAATCTGATACTTTTAAAATATTTAAATATTTATCATCACAAACAGTCTTCTTTTTTCTTGTCAAGAAAGTGGGTTATTTTGCAGTTAGGGATATTTTAATTTGTTTCTCGTGTATTGGGTGAAACAGTGTTTCGATTATTTTGTTCAGGTTTAGGATGACTTTTTAAAATAGCAAATGAACCAGAATTATTATTAATTGTACCTTAGCACCAGGCGCGAATACAAGGGGGGGTAATAGGGTAATTACCCCCCCCCCCCCCCGAGCTGCTCGAAGAGATCCAGGAATTTATTAAACTATAATCTAAAAATATTGTATTGGTATCAGAACTGACGGTTGTAGTGTTATGGTTTTAGAAAAGAAAGGAGCAGTAAAGGAACTTCAGTCAGTATTTTCTAATGCTACGCGTTGTTCCTGTTATAATCATGCTTTAAATTTATGTTTATCGACATCTTTAAATATACAAGATATACGCAACACAGTTTCATTTATGAAAGAAGTTATTGAGTTTTTTAATGCTTCTTATAAAAGAAGTAAAGTATTAAAGAATATCCATAAAGGAAACCTGAGTAGTCTTTGCGAAACACGTTGGGTAGAAAGACACGGGAGTATTCTAAAATTTAAATATAATAAAGATATACAGGGTGTTAAAAAAGTGTCACAAAATGAAATGGTGAATAGTATGACCCAAAATAAGCAGAAAAGTCTTAATAAATATATGACCGCAAATTAACGGTTTCGGAGATATGGACCATTTTGTGTTTATAACAATTTTTTATTATTATAAAAAAACCATGATATTTATAAACAATCAATAACAACATAGAGTTAAATGAGATGTTCAAAGTGCCCTCCCTCCATTTCAATGCATTGCCATTTGCACGACCGTACATAAAATGCATGTCAGCTAATTCAATATTAGTGTAAACAGGCATAACGAAAATTTATAAAATTATTCACCCACAACAAAATAATAACTGCAAATAGTATCCATGAAAAAACATCGGTAGACTCCGATAAGAAAAGCAAGTTTTTGAAAATGAAAAAAGATAATTAAAAAATGATACAAAACACAAAACACTCCGTATCTCTGAAACCATTCATTTGCGGACATATGTTTATTAAGACTTTTCTGCATATTTTGGCCCATACTACCCCCCGTTTTATTTTGTGACACTTTTTTTTAACACCCTGTATTGCAGGCGCTTGAACTAATTTCACAATGGAATGCTAGAACTCAAGCTTTTATATATACATTAACGCTTCTTATTTTCTATATTTTGTTTTTCAGATATATTAACAATAACATTGCCATTAAGCAGAATGCTTCAAACAAAAAATTTGGATAAAGTAACTGCAGAGAATTTAATTCAAAACATTTTAAAATTATTAAATAAACATCGATGCGATGAAAATGTCTACAAAGAAATCTTTAAAGAAATATCAAACTTATGTGAAGAACTAGATATACACCTAACAGTTCTACGGCAAACTAGTAGACAAACCTTGAGGGCAAACATAAAAAATAATAACCCTGAAGAATATTTTAAAATATCTATTTATATTCCATTATTAGATAATATTATCGAAGACTTAATGATAGATTCATCAAAGATATTTTAAATGTGTTTGATTATAACACCATTTTTTCCGTTAATTTAATTGGCAAGTCATCACAGGATTTAAAAATTATTGTAAAGTCTCTCATTAAGGCAATGGGATGTTTTCTCTGTGTTACAGCTGTACAGAAGTTAAAAGTAGAAATTGAATTATGACAGAGTTCAACAATTTTGTCAGAAATAAAGACTCTGATACAGCTATTATTGCTCTTTTCCTTTTAAATGCAATCATGATATCTATCTGACTATTAAATTAATTTTGAAAGTTTTATGTACTATGCCAGTAAGTGTTGCTTCCGTAAAAAGAAGCTTTTCGACATTGCGTCGTTTAAAAACTTGGCTGCGGTCACGAATGGGACAAGAAAGATTGAATGGATTAGCTCTTTTGCATATCCATCGGGATTTTGATCTTGACGTCGAAAAAATTATAGACAGATTTGCTAACGCATACCAAAGAAAATGGAAAATGTGATTTTACGAATAAGTAATCAAGATAAACCTATTTGTGATTTTTACGAGTGATTTTAATATTTTATAAGAGGTTTTTGATTTTGATTAAAATCTCTTATTTTTTGTTATTTATTAAATAAAGAAATGATTCTTTGATAAAATTATCTACCCCCCTCCGATTTTTGTGTTTTGTATCAGAAATTTTTGGCGGGAGAGGTTTTTAAGAAAAAGCAATTAAAGTAGAGGAGGAAAAGTTTTAGCTTGAGGTTTTTTTTTATAGGAAAAGGAACTGAGGTGGAGGAGGAATAGTTTTTTGCTTGAGGACCTTTTTTTTAGAAAATTCAATTCAAGTAGAAGAGGAAAAGTTTTGTTTGAGGAGCGTTTTTTGTAACGGGGCTCGATCTAGAGAATTGTCCTGGGGCCCGGCCTGGCTCTCGGCGGCCCTGGGACTATTTTAAAGGAATCCATTTAAATAATGACAGAAGTAAATTAGCGAATATGAAAATATTTTAAAGCCAATATTATAACGGCCGTTAAAATATAAAGGAATTGTTACAGAATAGACCCCTTTAGATTACAAAAAATGTTACTTTGTAAGACAAATTAGAAGAAAATTTGTATTAAATACCTACTTACTAAGAATTAATGTCGGATAGGCTCATTGCAAAAAACCTAATCAACAAACATTTCAATTTCTAAGATTAATTATATTAATTAATATGTGAAATAAAAAATCATTATTCAATGCGGAAAAAAGAATTGAAATCAAGTATTTTGTCTCAATGATGAATAATATACGAATAAAATTTTAAGTAAAAAAATATATCTCCGTCTATGGGCGGTAAATCAAAGAGGTCAATTTGTTGATGTTTTTAGCCAATTGACTTCCCGCTAATAATTCGTCGTTTTGTACGCCAATTTTTTTAGAGTACTTCAAACAGTGACCTACCTTTTTTTGCATTTGCGGTATTCCCTTATAGTTGACTTATTGTTTAATACAACTTATGTACTTAGATCATTTTATCTATTTATCTCTTTTTAAAAAAATTCTTATATGACTAACTAAATTCGAGCCACACTTAATATATTAATGTATATACCAGGTGTCCCATATGTTTTTGGATAACTGTTAAAAGGGATAAAAGTGTTTTACCTGGTGAATCCAAATCAACCTCTTGTAAAGCTACCCGCTAGAAACCACCATTATCATTTATGTTTCAAACCACGCCCCCACACTTTTTTTTAATATGATACATTTTTCGCTCCATGTCAACGATATTATACGATGTATTGGTCAAAATTGTAAATAAAAGACTCATTTAACCTCTTTCTAAGGGGTGCGTGGTTTGACAAGTGGTTGATTTAAACTACCTCCTACAAAAATATGAAATTAAATTTGTATTATATAGTAAAATATTTCCCATGTTAAGTCAGCCTTTTTTTACTATTTTGACCATATAAATACAGCCTAAAAAAAGCAATATGATATATGACTGAACTGAGGGTGATAAATTGGATCATATTAACAAAAAAACATAAGCTTGAAATTAAAAAATGAATGCTAGAAATGGGTTTATTTTATTTTACACCCTTTGGACCCTCCGTAGTATTACCCTAATCCACTTGTAGCGTGGTGGCACTGCAGCTTGCAGTTTATTGTACCACCATTTCAACGTCCCACTATAGTATACTTTCTCAATTACTCACTCATTCACCGTTATTAATTTCATATCTTCCATGGTTAAATCCTTGTTGGCTAAATCACATGGTGGCATGGCCCATGATAATCGTCCCGGCCGATAATCACCCACACCCACGACGTAACTGGAGATATCACGGCTTAACTGTTGCGAGAACGCGGATGTACACTAATCTCACGCTAGCCGCTCGGATAGGGAAGGTTTCTAGGGGATGGTTTGGCAAAGGTTGATTTGATGCTATTAAATCATTTAGACAATAGCTGGCCAGAATCCTATAGGACACACGTGTCGCAAGAAAGTTTTTTATTTCGCCATATCAAATATTTCAGCTACTTATTTTTCAGATATACTGACTTTTCGAATTTCTATTTGCGATTTCTCGAAAATAAATACATAATTTTTAAAAAGTTAGTTTATGTAAATAAAAGTCCAGTATCTAATTATTAATAGGTATCTAATAAAATAAATCATTTCAAAACACTGACTTACCTACCTTTATGGCGAATTTTAAATATAGAAGGTGCTATGAATTTTGTGTTTCTTTTGAGACATCCAGTATGCTTCTACTCTTTTATAAAACGTTCATAACCGATCTGAAAAAATACTTAATACGCAAGCCATTTTAGCTATCTATATTACCTTAATAATGAACAAAATAAATAGATATATTTCGAGAATAACATTCCTTTCATTTCAAGGTAATTGTATTTGATTATTAATAGAGTATTTGCTTAACCCCTTAAACAAATCGTATTACATTTTTTTTATAATTGTTTAAACTTTTATTTTTATTATTATCAAAATTACATTATTTATATTGGCGTCAGCAATTGCTCTGATTTATTTTAAAAACGTCTACAAAATCACAGCTGTCTAATTTGTATAGTTTTCAAATTAATTAAAAAATAAAATTAAACGCAATTAAACTCTCACCTTAAGCCTGTGTTAACTAGACAGTTATCTCTGGTGTGACCGCTACACTACTGTTTTTTAATGTTCTAAAAGATACTAATAGCTTGTAAAGGGAACGAAGGTTTTTTAAAAGCTATTTTTAAAAACTACAAGATAGGTAGGTCCTTCTCAGCCCTATTTTTCAGTTCTCCTCATGTGTCTGCTTGATATAATCAAAGCTTATTATTTTTCCTTTCGATTAAATTGAAAATAGTGAATTGATATATAACGAGAATAGCAGAGGTCCCAACACAGTTTCTTGTGAAACTCCATATTTTATTAACTTAGAATCACTTGGTTATCCGATATTTTTACATATTGTAACATGTCTGATAAATAACTTTTGAAGAGATTCTGATATATTCCTCTTATTCCTGTGTCTTCCAAGGTCTCCATTAACTGATTATGTGGTACAGTATCAGTGGAATACGCACAGACTTGCTTTTCTAGATGCAATTCATAATATTGATTTGACCGAATTGTGGTTACAGTGTTAAATTGCAAAGGTAAAAAAAGGAAACCAGAAAGTTGTTATTATTGAAAATAATCTTTTATTTAAATAATTCAACAATTATATAAAATAATTAAGCTTTGTTAAGAGCATCACATTCATCTTTAACTGCATCTTCAATGGCATCATAGAATTTAATTACAGCATTTTTGGTGATTTGGTTTTTGCAAGATCCTTCAACCATAGCTTTTATACAGTTTTTCACTTTTGGTAAAGTCCTGCAATTAAAAAAACAAAATAATTGAATTTGAGTAATAACAGAGTAAAATTAACTGCACTTACTGACAAATAACTGATTTAGTTGGAACTTCATTTTTGTGTTCATCAATAGCTGTTTTGAGTTGTTGGCAAGCTGGTATTGTCTTGGGGTTATTTTCGATGATGCATGGGTTAAACAGTTCTGGAAAATATAAATAAAAATTTAAGATCGTAGTTTAAAATAAGTTTAGAAACTAATAAGTTACCCAAAATTTCTTCAACTGTGGAGTGGCACGATTGTGCAATGACAGCGTGGATTACTTTTCCCATCATAATTGGAAGATCTTTGGTTTCTTCAGGCAAGCAAGAGCTAATGATCTCTCCAGCTGGTTTGTAGCATTTTACGAAGTTTTTCGAAACGGTAGAGCAGAAAGTATCTGAACCCATTTTAATTTCTTCTACACAAGTTTGGATTTCTTCAATGACAGACTAAAAACAATTTTATTAGAGTAATCTGCATATAATTAATTATTTGTATAAAATTGATGTGGATAGGATAACAGCAATTATTTAAGTTTTTGGGGAAAACTGGTAGACTCCTCAAAATTTAGTATGTATTGGGGTATAAAATTATGTGACATTAGTGATGCCGCGAGACAAGACGAGACGAGAGAGTGGCCTCTCTCGTCTTGTCTGGTAGGGCGAGAGAAAACTGTTCTCTCGTCTCGACGAGAAGGCGCTTCTCTCGCTCGAGAGAGCCTTTCTCTCGTCTTGTCTAGTCTCGTTTCTCTCGTGACAAAACAATATCAAATTTAAATTTGAAAAAGACGAAACATGAAAAAACGGTAAAATTTGTAAAACAAAGAATTTTTCTAGTAATTTGCGCATTAGTACCAAAATTTGGCAATAAGAAACACTTACGTCTCTCTGTCTGTCTTTCTGTCACAGTCGTTTTACAATTGAAATTAAAATATACTGACATTTACTCTGTACTAGCCAAAATGTTAATTATCCATTGTATACTATTGTAAAAAACAGCATTCATAAGTTATTATACCTCCGGTAATGATCCTTTGAGGTTGAAGCTTTAAATAAAAAAAAATAATTTAACCTACTTTATGAATTTATTTAATGTAATTTCTGTAAAAACATAAAAACCTAAATCTGTTTACATGAACGTAAAAATATAGAAAATATCTTTCAAATGAGGTATCACATGACCCTACTTGTCCCAAGCCAAGTGCATCTCGTTATAACAAAAATATAGTATCTCTTGAGTTTTACCTCGTTTTTGTTTTATCATTATCTATTTATAAATAGTGGAGGGTACAATTTTCGTCCTCACTTTATATAATACATTCGTTTGTATTACCTTTTCTTTGACAATTTTTCAAAAAAACGCTTAAAAATTTTCAACTTATCTTCAAAAGTAACCTCAGAAAAGCAGAATTTGTTAAATATAAGAAATGATTGTATAAATTTTAAATAAATGAAATGAGAAATAGTTTTTCTTATAAATCACTATTTATAAAATCCTAATAACACAAGTATCATTTGTTACCATTTAAAATATATAGAATAGGTGTGTTATAGTTGACTATCTCGAAATCTAATATGTTAAAATTGTTCGAGAGAGCCCGAGAGAAACGAGAAATTCTCGTCGAGAGATGACACTCTCTCGTCTCGCCTCGAAACTGTTTTCGAGAGAAAATGTCTCTCTCGTCTCATTCGAGACTAGACAAGACGAGACGAGAGACAAAAATCTCTCGTTTCGCGGCATTACTACAAAACATAATTGGTTGACAAATTATTGAACTTTTAAAAACTGAGAATTAGAAGGGCTTTAATTCTAGGACCAATCTAGGGCAAATACACGAAGAATGAAGAGTTTATTTCATTGTTATTAAGGGATAAGGACTATAAGAGCCTAATGAAGAATACTTGTCATTTGTACATTATGTTTATCAAACGATTGACTGAATTCTTAAAATGAGTTCTAAGCTATAAGTTTTCGAAACCAAAGATACCAAAAACTTGTGTAACAACTGTTATTAATATCAATCAAGGCTGTTCCAGCTAACTTGAAAGTTATTCTTTTTCAACATTTTTTATAAGTATGTTGTTATTTTACTTGAACTTACATCCATTTTTTCCTCGATATTTGGACATTTTTCCTTGACTGCTTCTCCCATTTTAATAGCGTCTAGGAACAGTGTGGTATTGTATTTATCGTTGATCTGCTGAGCTAATTGTTTAAAATGTTTTTCACTGACTTCTGTAGAATTATTTGTTTCTTTTTCTTCATGATTTGGTTTGGCGCTGATTAAGGCTTAAAAGAATATTCATTTTTAATTTAAATTATCATATATACAGGACGAGGAAAAATAAATTCAATACAGAATAACTGGAAATTATTTGACATGACATTATTGAGTGGTATTGAGGAAGGGGTATCTTTCGAATTTACATCAAATTAGATTATATCCAGGAGGTGCTGGTATCTACTGGGTAGAGATAGAATTAGTACAAATAATTATAGAAATTCTTAACTCTTTTACAACAGAATTGTAACATTGAAGTACTGGTATAGATTGCAAAGATGTTTGTGGCTGAAGTGCATGGAACTTTTATTCGGTAAATCTTTTAAAAAAATCTGTAACAGGTCATGTTTCTTTGCAAATTCATAAATTTTCTCTCATAAAGTACCTACGAGGGCAAAACTACAATTTTTTAGCATTCAAATTTTTTCAAGTCAAAAATATTATTAATTGTGAATTTGGAGTTGCAGAAAAAAATACTTAATTAGATATATTTATTGGTTGAAGCCCGAAATTCTTCTGCCTTTTAATTTTCATTTACTCCTTAATTATTATTCATTTTAAAAATGTTTGATTCTCCAAGCAGAATATAACGGTACATATTTTAAATTTTAGAATAAGCTACCAAATATAATGGGTTTTGTAAACGGATATTTACTTTTGAAAAAGAATGACTTTTTAAATAAACAACTTTTTCTCGTACCTTTTTCTAATATTGGAAAAAATTAATTTTTGACAATATTAAGGCATAATTTGCAAATAAACCAAAGCCAATGTGAGGAAAACATTAAATACATGGTTGGTTATTATTGAAAATATTGAAAATTTTTAATAGTAAGATGTACCAAGGGCCTTCATCTATAATTTGGTCGAAAATTTAATTTTTTAATACTGTATATTCGATCTACATTTACAACTTCTATATACAGGGATACCCCGTCTTTAAATTTGAAAGTTGGAGGCAAAAATTATTCAGAATAGTGCAAATAGAGAAAATTTCTCGACACATTAATATATACTTGATTAATAAAGGCAAGCCAAGATGGTGGAAAGGTATTTTAGAATAAAAAACTTACCCCAAGCACACAAAAATGTGGCGAAGAAAACGTATTTGTTCATTTTGAATATTTGTTAAATGATATAAACAGCTTAGCAACAATCAGAACACAAAATTTATATTTTTTTGGAGCTTTATATATACCTAATCCACGTGAAAAAAGTCAAAAGCCATGCAACAAATAATATAAATGCAAAGATAAAAGTAAATTAAAAATGATAAGTCATTTTTGAGAAATAATTTCGATAATAATTGACAATAATACAAAATTTGGCAACACTAATCTGTTTGTTTTATAATGAATTTAATATGTATTTAGATATTAGATATGAAGCCTGTAATATCTCAAACACTATACAATATAAAAATTTAAATACAAAATTTTTCAAATTAATATAAAAGTGTTTGTTAAATTGTAACAAGTATTACAAATTAAAAATTTAAAAAAACCGACTTCAAAAACGTGCAGATGCCATCACCACATCTTAACCAAATTTATATGGGACCACCCCTGAGGTACCCCCTTACTAGCAAAAAAAGAATCGTATAAATCGGACAAGGTGGTAAAGCATTATCGCTAAACATACATAAAAAATGAAGAGTTTGAGGATTTTCTCATGGATACAATTATTAGATTTTGACCAAATTTATATGGGACCACCCCTAAAGTAGCCCCTTTCTAACAAAAAAAGAATCATTAAAATCGGACACCGTGTTAAAGAATAATCGCTGAACATACAAAAAAAAAATATCGCGACGAATTGATAACCTCCTCCTTTTTTGAAGTCTGTTAAAAATTAATAAATAGCATTATCATTTCACTCTTCAAAATATGATCTAGTTACAGTATGTTTTTATTTGTATATCTAAAAAAAAAAGGAATTTTGCCTGTAATAAAGTGACTTTTACAAGCTCTTTGTAGAATTCAAGATCCAGGGACACAATAAAAAAATAAACATGATTTTACAACCTAAAATAAGGTTTTTCCGCCGTAAAATTGTCAAAACCTTACAGAAGGGTACTATATAAACTCTAATTAACTCTACAAATCAATTCAACTCATAAACTTATTAAAAAATAATAAGGAAAACAATACACCTAACCTTCTTTGTGCCAATTAAATCTCATTCAATTTTTATGACAGCTTCATATCAACCGCTTATGAAACTTGTTTCTCTGATTTGAAAACATGTTTGACGACTGATGAACACAGCCATTGAGTTACACGTCTCGCTGGGCATTCCATTGTTGTTACTTCTTCAAACATCAGGGGACCTATTTTCAAACTTGGGAGAACTCATTTTCTTCAATATTTTCATGAGAAACCCTCCTAAGCATTTAAATTCTCAGTAGCTTGTAAACTTAGAACATATATAGTCAGGAAGGACCATGTCATGACCGCGTTAATCTAATCGATCTGACGGAAGTGGTAGCCATGTTGTACTATGGATGACTCATCATCATATGATAAATGGTTTCTAAAATTGGTTTATAATTTTAGTGAATAAAATTTGTTAATAATTTACGTCTTACGTCCTATCTTGTTTAATTTTGTTTTAAATTAATTTGTCGTTTAAATAGGTACAGATGGAAATATTGTAAGTTTTTCAGACGACACAGTTATTCTGTAAAATGCAGAGAACTGGAATTGATTAAAATTATTAATAGAAACAAATCTTATAAAATTTTTCGAATGGTTTAATTATAAAAACTTACAAACCTTTGATAAAACTTATGTTGTTTCATTATACAGTTACAAAAAGATGGCCTCTTCTTATAGAAACAATATAAGTATTACAAATGATATCAAATACCTTAGAGTACAAATTGACTCTCATCATAACTGGACTAAGCATACAAGTAATGCGTTGAATGTACATTTAAAAATAATCTATTTTGCACTCATAGAATCATTAATATGTTATAGGATCTTTTCTTGGAAAGGTGTAAAATTATCCTGCAAAAAATATTACTAATAATATTATGTTATAAAATGATCAGAAATTCTCTTCGATGTTAGAAAGTTTTATATGTACTCCAAGAAAAGCATCTAAGAAAGAAATATCACAGAGGTGTTCGACCTAAATATAAGTGAGGATATTTAATTTTTTTTAACGCATATCTATAAAACATATTTATTTTTCAAACCTTAATAATTTGTAAAATCCCTCTATAAATTATCCCAAAAATATTTTCCTATATTTATCCCACCCAATATGCAATTTTAAAGTAAAATTTATTCACATAATGAAGGTTAATAAAAACAAATGCAAACTTCTCTCAAGAAAATGACAAATCGTTAAAATGAGAGAAATCGGTAAATTTAGATAATATGCAAATGAGAATTTATTATTTTCTTTTCTACGCCCCTTTATGACAGTACGTCACTGGTAGTCTGGAAACACTTGTCGCCATATTCGTCTAGTTCACTGTCAAAATTAGATACCATCGCGATTCAAAGGTCGTTTAGGATTCCTCCTTCCTGACTATATATATTCTAAGCTTTTAAAATACTACTTTTATGTTGACGTATGATATTTCTCATAAGTATCTTGAGAGAATTAATTCACTTTCTCTCGAATTTGAAAATAGCCCCCCTGTTGTTAATAAATAATTTTTAGTAGAGTCTCGTGGTGTTGCCTAATGTTTTTGTTGACATTGTTTTTCAAATGGCATTTTTTAATATAAGTTAGCATTTACGCCGCATTACTTTGCCCATATGGACCAGTGTATATAAAAACAATATTCGAAAATATAGAATAACGTTTATTTATACAATTATTAAGTATATCCTCAAAAAACATATTTATTTTATCGTCTAAGCTGTGTTCAAGGCATCGCAATCTTCTTTTAGACCTTTGTCAATACCGTCAAGCATTTTCATATGAGCAGCTTTGGTTAATTGGTTAGGACAAGAATCGTCCAGTACTGCTTTTATACACCTTCGCACTTTCGGCATGGTCCTGAAATAATAAACAACTGTTGTAAAATATTACATTAAAATAGTACCCAGTTATGGAATTTTGCAAATGTTGGTGATAGTGAGAAATAAAAATTTCGCAGTTCCTAATAGAGTACTAATATTTCAAAAGATGTCTTTCTGTTTTTCGTGCGTAAGGTCAATACATAAACATACGTTGTACCAGGTAAAAAATTTATGCAATTTGATATTTAAAAAATGAATTATCTATGAAACAAATAAAAATCGGACCTTAACATATGAGCTTAATTTGCTTATTTTGACTTTCTCTTCAAAATATTACCACTTCCTCCCGAAGTCCCGAATCACCCTGTAAATCCTACAAATCCTTAATCATTGCGTGTATTTATTTCTACACAGTTGAGTAATACATACAGTAGCAGTACGTTTGTGAATGTTTTTAGGTGCACAGAAGCATTTTACAATAAATATCAATCACAAAATAACTAAGTTACTTACTGACAAGTAAAAGCCTTGGATGGGAGTTTGTTCCTGTGTTGATCGAATGTATCCCGCAAGTCCTTGCATGGTGGGAACTGGAGTGAGAAGTCTTTATTCATCATACATGGGTTAAGCAATTCTGTAAAGGAAACATTAAACTTTAATGTATTGTTAGAGTCAGAGAATTAGGATACCGCCTCCACTGGGGTCGAAGCCACATCGCGCCCTTTGTAGTATCCAAGAGAACGGAAACACTTGAATTTCAATTGAGCGAAGACAAGCGAGTAGGCGTTAGTGCCCGTTAAAGATTTTCTTTATTTTGTTTCTTAATTAATTAGATTTTAATCATTGTTTAAGAGATAAGTAATAAAAAATTTATATGTTAACACGCATTCTGTGAAGTGGCTGTACAGGGTGTTATAGTAAACAGGGTGATAAATCATTTAAAAACAATAATTTTGAAATTAATTTATAACAATATACATTAAATTGTTTTAATGCACCAAAAATTTACTAATTTTAACGAAAATTTTCAATTATAAGTGTGTCCAAAACAAAAAAATTGATTTAAAATAGTAGTTGGTGCAAAAAGTGTGGATATGATGGTTATATAATATATTTTTTCTACTATACACTAAAGAAAATCTACACAATACGCTAGTTCAGTGATGATGTAATTATGGTTCCACTGACAATTAAAGTGTCAGTAGATTTTTTGAGTGCATTTTTTTCGTTTCGTTTACCTAAATTATATCGTTCTTTTATTTTATAAATATATTCCTAAAGTAAGTAGATAACATCAAATATATAATCGTTTAGTTACCAATTACATACCTTTAAACTATTTTTTATGACCTGTAAACAATATTTAGAAATAAACTAAAAACAGTAAAAACGTACCTATATGTCAAATTTAATGATGTTTTTGTTAAAAGTTTGGTTAGAATTAAATGTCAGTGGAACCAAAATGACATCACACTGAACTAGCGTATTTAGTGATTATTAAAAAAATAGATATTTTAAAAATTGTTGGCACAAAAAAAGACAGAATTATTAGTAAAACCATAAAAACTGTTGTGCTTCTAACTTTAATAAGACACGAAATATTTTTGGTACTTTTCGACTACATACGGTATTTGGGGCCAGAGCGGACTAGAGGGATGGGGGCCCGGCAGCGGTATAAGGGGTCCAGCAGCGGTGGTGTTTGTTACTTTCAGAAGTTCGATAGAAGAGGGGGGAAGTTCTTAGTTGAAGACTTTTTGTTTTAGAGAATTTCAAGTAAAGGAGGAGAAATTTTAATTTTTTATAAAATTGTTGCGGGGCCCGATCTGGAGAATTGTTCTGGGGTTCGGTCTGGCTCTCGGCGGCCCTGCCTGGGGCTCTGCGAAGAAAATAAGCATTAATTTTTTTTTAGAAGGAGTATACGATTTTGGTATTTTCGACTTGAGAACCTTTTTTTTAGTAGTCAGGAAGAGAAAGGAGTATATGATTTTGGTATTTTCGACTGAAGGGCCTTTTTTTTAGAAGCCAGGTAGAGAAAAGAGTATAGATTTTTATATTTTGGGTTGGAGAAGCTTTTTTTTTTAGAAGTTGGGAAGAGGAAGGCATCAATGTGTTTGAGAATTTTTTGTAGGGGCTCCGCAAAGAAACAGGAGGGACCTGGCAAGAGGCTAGAGCAAGGAGGGCTTTTTTGTGTTAAGGGCTCCGTCAAATATTTCACTTTTCAAAAAGATTCCGTCACCAAAAAAGTTTGAGAACCACTGTCCTAGATCATAAGAACTAACATATTTTCAGCTTTTCTTATATCAAATATGACTTTATTGATAAACCCATAAAGTAATTTTAGAAGGTCACCTATCAAATAGTATATTAGTAACCAATTTGCTTTGTAAATGTTTGACTTCCAAACCTATGTTCTGACGATAGGCAATTATATCTATCTTAAAATATTACTTAATAATTTTATATACCATTTTAAATTATATTATCAAATTCTTACCCAACATTTCTTCAACAGTAGAGCTACACGCTGTATCAATCATAGCCATCACAATTTTTTCTACCATTTCGGGAATGTCCTTCGATTCTTTGGGCATGCAGCCTACTGCGAGCTCCACTGCAGGTTTCATACATTTAACGAAATTTTTCCTGATGAGGGAACAGAAGGTGTCGGAACCGAGATCGATTGCTTCAACACATTCACCAACTCTGTCCATGGTATTCTGTAGGACGAAAGTAGATATACAGGGTGTTAGTATATTCGACCGACAATGCTCAATCACAGAGAGATCTCGTTAATAATTGATGAATAGGAACATGAAATCCTGAAAATCTTAGTTACCGAGATACAGGGTGTTGGAAATTTTAAATGAAAAATCAAAATTTACCATGAAACTGAAACGTTTTAAAATATTTTTTCAAATTTGATTTACCAAGATCTTGTCAAAAACACAAACTATAAAAAATTTGACACGTGCGTACAGGCATCGCATCCTAATTTGTTAGTAGTGGGGTAAAGTATGCGCACTGCTGACACACCTTCAAACGATCCTAATGGCTACTATTAAAGCTCAGTAGCGTATACTACTTTCGCTTGAAATAAATTTTCTAGGATTTTTAAAACGGTCACGGTCAGATGAATCACAAAATTTTATGAAAATTACCTAAAATTTTAATCCTTAATAACGGTCAAATCGTTTCTAAGAATGTTTTATCAACAGTGGCTATCATTTGTTGGTATTATAGCTACACAGTAGATCAAACGTAATTATGTAAATAGGTTTTTAAATACTACATAATTTGTTTAAATTTATTTGTTATCTATGAGCTAAAATGTATTCTGTTAAAAAAATGTATTGGTTGAAAAAAAAATGGTGATTTTGCACTTGATATCTATAATATTTTAACAAAATGGGAGGGTGAAGTAGAAGTGGTGAAAGTCATCAGCATACAAATATTACAGTCTGTTCGCTATACTTACGCGGGTTTCGGATTAAAAATTTTATGAGTATTTCCAGGTAAGTACCCGAAAGTTTGACCTGTTCTTTAAAGGAATATCAACTGGTTAAATCTTTTGTATAATTAAAAGCAGAATTAAACTTCTTCAATAATGGATTCTAATGTGGCTATTATAAACCTAATATTAATTTTATATTACACTTCACACAGAAAATATGGTCTATGTATAATAAGAGGATTATTTAGCTCAAATAAAATATTTTCTAACATAAAAATTTGTTCCATGTAGAGAATTTCAAATGAAAAATAAAAAAATTGAACTTGCCAACAAAAATGAAAATCAATCATTATCATCCAAAATATCATAATCGTCATCATCATCACTGTCATCACCATTAATTCTTATTATGATTGGACTCATTTCGTTTATTTTATTTTCACGAGTCCACCAATCTTCTATTAGTTTCTCGCACTTGGATATACAGTTCCGCCACACTTCTGGAGTTGCAATTGAAAGTGCTTTTCGCCAAGTTTCTCGAACTGGGTCGATGGTGTAGCGGTCTATCGCGCTTATATTCATTTATAGGCAAGTTTATGAGTCCGAAACTGCTGGGCTTCGAATCCCGGACCAGACCATGTGAATTTTTAATTAAATTGCATGGTTCGGTTTAGGATTTGATGTGTGCCGTATTAATGGAAATTCAATTTTCTGTTGATATGACATGCAGATTATAAAATCGCCATACATTATCGTCTCGATGATGGTGGGTGAGGTTTTCCGGGTTTTCCTCACCTGTAAGTCAAATGGCACCATCAATCATCCTTAAGTCGCCCCGGAGCATCACGACAAATAATAATAATAGCCGTCCCTTCCCCTACACAAGTCGTTCAGTCGACTTCAGGGGTTGAAATTCACTCGTAAGGGGGTGAATTAAGGAGAGTATTATTATTATTATTATTATTACTATAACCATTAGGCCCAATATGGTTGTCATAATATTGTTTTGCTATTCCCCATATATATTCGATGGGATTAAACTGGCAATGATACGGTGGCAGACGTAAAACTTGATGACCGTAACTTTCAATAATCTGATCCACAACAAAGGTTTTTGGTTTTGCGTGTATATTTGCCAAGCGTAATAATTCTGATTTTAATATATATTGAGGAAATGGTATATGTTCATTTGTCAACAATTCTATTCGCTCCGTGCGCGACAGCAGCGCCAATTCGTTTTGATACTAATGGACTATTTCTGCATACACTGACAAATGCAACTTTTAATAGAATTCGTAATTAAAAAGTATATATGGTAGTTTTAATAAAAGTATATGGATTTGTAAAACAAGTAAAACATTAATTTATTATTACTATATATTTTTATCGCTTAAATTAAAGAAAATGATGTATAATCGATAAAAATGAATAATAAAATATAGGCAGGCAACAGTATTTACTGGAAATTGTATGAGAAGTTGCCTAAGTCTAATAAGTTTTCATTGAAGAATTACTCTAATCTGTCAAAATAAAAAAATTCCATTTAATAATAGCGTGAAGTTAAAATGTATAAAAAAAGGATCATTACTTATATTTTCATTTTTGTTCGAAAGAAAACATAGAATGAATGATTAAAACTGATTTCCCATCAGTAAGTTACAAAATTGCGGGTCCAACCACATATAATAATCAAAGGCAGAAATCTTGAAATCTAGTCCTTGCTGAATGAACATTTAAGAATAAGGGATATTAAAGAACATGGTAAAATGATAATTTATTGTTGATTTAAAACCTTTCAAGTTTCTGATGTCTACTATTTGCAGCATTACGGTTATTATTACAAAAATGAAGGTAATTTTTCTTCTTATTGTATATCTATCCATTTATTTCTTTGATTTAATTTCCACTTTGCTACTGAAATTTTTTATATAAGTTTCACTGTTTTTTTTTGCTAGTATTTGTTCAATTTTCAACACAGCAACTCCGGTTGCTTAATGTATTGATTTTACCTACTTTTTTTTGAAAAAAAGTAAAATGTATACGTGTATTTGATATGCCAAAATTTCAAAATATCCCCCTAAAATGCACGAATTATCCGCAGCTAGCGCTAGTATCGCTTTTGCTTCCCTTTCCATGACTTCGCACGGAGCGAATAATTTTATCAACAGTTTATCAACATGTTTCGTCTAAATATATAAAATTCGCACCTTCTTCTTTAAATTTAGAATATTTTCTTAGAAAGTTAATTCTCTTGTGCACGACAGAACTTCTTTTGCAAAGGGCCTTTCTGTTATCCTCCTTTTGAAATTTGAAACCCAAGTTATGTATCACTTGTCATAGATTTGTTCTGCCAATGTCGTCAAATTTTCTATCTATTAATTCCGAGAGAATTGTATTTAAGGACACATGTACCTCATTCGATAAATGGTATCACAAATTTCAAATTTCTTTCCATCTGGAATATCTTTCGTTTTCAATGATGGGCGAGTTTTGCGGTGATCTTCTTTCGGCAGTTCACTATTGTGATTTTGTAATACTCCTCTTAATTTGGTTTCACTAATTCCTAGAGCATCACATACGCGTTGTTGTACAGACATTACCGATTTTAAAGGACCGCCATTTTTTTTTTCATCCATAAAATACCTATGTACACTACAAATTAGACTATCTACATCTAACACACGTCTAGGCATTTTTAAAATGTCCACTAAATTTACAATATACTACATACAATGTCAACAGTTGCAAAGAATCAATTCAACTGCAATATTTGTAACAAATTTAGTACCTACCCTAATGTTATTTTAATTTAAATCTGACCATTAGGGTAATTTTACCTAATTTCTTGGGAAAAGGCTTATTGGAACTGGTTGTCAATGACTAATTTGCATAATTTTGTTAATCCGAAACCCGCGTAAGTATAACGAACAGACTGTAAAATAAGACGAGGATTTTTTGAAAATATGTTATAGGTCAACAAATACTGAATTTATAAGTTCATTTTTATATGTAGGTACCTACCTAAAGTGAATTTTACGTTTATTTGAACAATTTTTTTTTAAGTTTTATGATTTTGTTTTTTATTTTATAAATATGTTTTTGGAGTATTTTGATCCAGTTAATTTTTTTTTAATTTTCCATAGTGATAGTTTACGGCCTGTAAAAACGCCTTGCTGTTGAAAACATGTGTTTCATCGTTTGTCCCATTTGGATAAATAGGCTGAGTATAGGGACAATAGAGGCTGACATTAAATTCTTAACGGCTGACTATAGGTACTTTGGTATATTTTTAATAAAAACTTTCATAACAATATCTAGGAGTGTTTATTTTGAGAACCACTTTCATTATTCGAAATATCAATCAGTTTTCTTCGGCTAAAAAAATAGTGCAACCTGTCTTCAAAAGAAATACTATTTTTTTAGGACTATACTATGACAAAAAATCATTAAGTGGCTGACTACTAACGAATCTACCCTAGGTATTGGCCAACAGATCATAAAAAAAAATTCTGATCTTATCGACTTTCTTACAATCATAACATAATCAAAAATCTATTAACATAAAGTGAGAACCTTCAAAATCTTGTAAAGTTCATTCTGAGAATCAAAATTATATTTTTTCCTAAACAGGAATAAAATGGTTACCTACCTCCATTTTGTTTTCGATATCTGGACATTTTTCTTTGATTTTATCCCCCAATTTGACTAAGTCCAGAAATATTGTAGTATTCAATTTTTCGTGAACAGCTTTTGCAAGATCTCTCAAATTTTCTTCGGTAGATGACGTATCGCTATCTTTAGCGTTGGCAAAAGCTGTAAAAATAAGAAAATGTACGTTAGGAAATTAAAGAAGAAACAGTAAATAAGGAGTATTGAAAATGTTTAAAGAAAAGATAAAATTAACAATATGCGACGACTTAAATATACATTTTAAATACTCCTTATTCATATATCATACCATTATACACTGCCTGCCAAAATTATTAGATCACCCAATAATTTCGAGTAAAATTTGAAATAAGATTTATTATATGGTTGGTTTTGAGTAAGAAACATAACAAAGCTCCAATTATCATATTATACACCTATGAAAAAAAAGTCAATATCGAGTGTTTCCACCCCTCGCTTGTATGACAGCTTCACACCGTTCCCTCATGCTTAAAATAAGCGTCATTATGTCGGCTTGATCGATGTCGTTTAAAATCTCAGAATTGGCAACAGTGAGCCCGTCAAGGTCGGCCAGAGATACGAAAGTGCTCTAAAGCGCTCGGTGGGGTTTAAGTCAGGACTATTAGCTGGCCAATTCAGTCTCAATATTTTTACCACGAAGAAAATTTTGGGTCGCCCGAGCTGTGTACGGCCGTGCATTGTCTTGCATGAAAATGAAATCGGCACCAAAGTTTTCAGCATATGGCACCACGTGAGGTTCAAGAATGTCAGCGATGTACCGGACAGCATTAACATTGCCCTCCCGAAGCGCTACTAGTTCCGTACATAGATAAATTAATAAAATAAGATAAATTTTTTAAATGTGCGCCACTGTCAACACCTTGTAGTTCCCAGCATACTATAAGTTAGCGCCACCATCGCAATAGTATGAAAGCGACGTTGCCGGTTTCCGTAAACTTTCATGAGATGAGAGTTATTTCAAATTCATCTTACTTTAATTTTTTATCAATCTACATGCGCACCATAGCATCCATACAATGTCCATACTATTGCTGGAATTTTTAAAAGAAGGAGTTGACAACCTCGTAAAAAATGAAAAACCGTGATGACGGAAGTCCAAATATGATAAATAAATGATAAAACTTATTTTATTAATTATCTAAAGATCGGCAAATTATTTTTAAGAAGATGAACAGTGTTGATTTGATGTAGTTAGTAATTATTAGCAATTTAATTTAATATTAAAGGTGTGTAGATTTATTTAAGGACTTTATTTATCATTGTTTTCTTAACCTTATATAATTTCATATTTCATGGATTTTCAATTCTGTTTTAATATTTGAAACAAAAAATGTCTGGCCCGGGTATAGTTAAGTATTCTCGAGAGTATTCTTGTTCAGCTCCTAATTGTTTAAATAAGTGTTATTCTAAAATTCAGAAAGTTGGATAATTAAGTAGTAAACTTTTTCATTTTCCTTCCGATATTAAAATTTTCCAGAACTGGTTTAAGACTTTAAATTTAACTTTAGATAATAATACTCGCTATCTTTGTGCAGATCATTTTTGCCTGAGTCTTTTAGTAGGGTTTCATCAAAACGTAAACTGTTAGTTGGACATTCTGTACCAATTTCATTAGATAATTGTGCATCCAGTTCCAATATACAACCTTAGAATTAGATTTTAGAATAGATTGAGGCTGAAGCACACATACATCAGCATAAGAAAAACAAGAAATTAGTTGCAAACTTAATTAGTGATGAACAATTTGAATCACCCTTGAAACGAAGAAAAACAATAAATAAATAAAAGTAGAGTCAGAAATTTAAGTCCTAAAGAGAAAAAGTTGTATTTTATTAATATTTGAGAGAAATTGTTCAATAAGACATAAATACACGACCCATTGGGTGCTATGATTGAACGTTTACGTATTCCGTAACGTACATGTTAGACCGAGTATTAATAGTAACGAGGCAAGTTTGTGAGATGGAAATCTGTTAAATTAGAACCTAATAAGCGGAAAATAACAGTAATGTGTTGGAAAAAGTTTTCCATCATACGAACTTGCCTCGTTAATGCTAAAACTCGGCCTAACATGTACGTTACGGATAACGTAAACGTTCAATCATAGGAAATCATAGGAAAAATAATGAAAACCAAATCAATGTTTAACCATTTAAGTTAAAATTTACACTGACCTGTGAAGTATCCAAACTGATAATTTTTTATTACACATAAACAAACTGCGATATGGAACTCGAAATAAAGGTAAGATAAAAAACATGTTTACACATTAATAAAAAAAGTGGATTAACCTGCAAAAATTTAGTTACAGAAATTTTGTTTTGAATTTTTTAGGTGATCTAATAATTTTGGCAGGCAGTGTATTTTAAAATTTACAAAATAAAGTAAAAGTTTAAAAAAAATATTATTGATAAAATCAACTTACCCAAAACACACAGTAATAAGGAGAAAACTCCAAAACTCTTCATTTTGAATATAATCGTTTTTGTTTTTGCTAGTGCAGAGGTGAAATATACATTACATAAATGTAAAGGCACTTCTTATAATATATACTTTTCAAGAGGAAATTAATATAAATTAGTAATTGTTTTTCAACAACATAGAGATAAAAGTGGATTTTTATTTGTAGAAATTTTGATAAACAAGAAAAACAATTTTGTATTTTTTAATCTAGTTATATGAAATAATAATGAGTATTATCACATAATATATAACTTGTTTATGTTGGCAGAAATTTATAATTTGTGCTAGTTACTATTTTTGATTATTTGCAAAAGTTTTCAAACTTTATAGAAATATTATTTATATTAAAATAATTATAAATTTAATTTTACAACTTTTTTTGAGGTTAATAAACGCACAAATTTTAAATGTACTAAAATTTTCTAAAAAAAAATTGCAAAACTGCTGCAAACGTAAAGCAATTTTATTATTTTCAACATTATATCAAAATTGCTACTTTTTGAAAGTCCGAAAAAATGCAAAAGTTTTAAAAATTATTATCTGGTAAATTGGCAAACTCAGACAAGGTCCAGGACCTTGAAAAATTAACAAAAATCAACAATTCGTAATTTTATCAGTCGCAAAAAAATTAGAAAAGTATTGCAAATTTTTTAAATACATTTCTATAAGTAAATGCAAATTTGCAACGCTCCAAGATTAACGCAAATAATTATAAATTGTCTACGACCAATTTTGCATTGCGAAATTAATAGAAAAGTGTCTAGTGCAACAGAAATAAATATATTCATAAACAATATGGAATTTGAAAACTTATACTTATCAAGTATAAGGGGTTAAGAAAAGGTCCTTTATTTCTCACAAGTCAATTTTAATTGGCGACCGGTTTCGAAGCTATTGCTTCATCATCAGGCGCACCTTGACTATTTAACTGTTAAACTTTATGTAGCACTTCCTTTATGGAAATAGTCAAGGTGTGCCTGATGATGAAGCAATAGCTTCGAATCCGGTCGCCAATTAAAATTGACTTGTGAGAAATAAAGGACCTTTTCTTAACCCCTTATACTTAATCCCTACTACTCACATATGGCTACCCTCACTCCAAATTATACTTATCAAGCAAAATATTTAAATAATTTCTTTTTAAATAATTGGTCGACACTAGTACCTAAGAGAGAAGACAATATCGTAAATCGAGCCGAGAACAAGACAATAACACAATACCGTTATAAATAGGCCATTTAAATAATAAGGGTTTAAAATAACCAAAATAGGTTGACAGCTGTGTGCACGTAGTTTAGATTCAAAAGGAAAGACTTGTATTTCGTGCAAAACTTTTTAATTAATAAATGCAAAGCGCTTTCGGCATTGTGCCATCATCAGTGCTTATCTACAAACATTGTGGATGTAAACTTACAATTTATAAATATGTGTAAAAATAAAATCTGAGTAAGACTTTTAAGTCAAAAGTTAAATATATATAAGGTAATTTTGAACAAATTAACAATTCAAATAAGGGTTTGTTTTGAGAAAATGTTGCTGCCATTCTTCGTTCATATGACTATGATAAGAAAATGAAGTAAATATGGTATATAATAATAATGATGTGTATTTACCATATAATACTTTTAAATATCTACATATATCTATTAACTTTATAAATCAATATTTACCTAACCTAACTTTACGTAATCTAAACATTTTGGATACGGGTCAGCCAGAAAAACAAACACGATTCCAAAAACAAACTAAAATGAAAATAGATAATGCTTGGCATTCTATATTATATTCTTCACAGTTTAATAGACCGTCTTAACCCCTAGTTTGAATCAAATTTTTTTCATATTCAATAGGGTTCATCCCCTTATAAACAGGGCCTCCGATAACTGAGCCAAAAACACAGGCAAGGACCCCTTATATAACTAGCAAAATCAGGTACTTTCTTGGTGAAATAAAATAGAAAGACTTCCGATTCTGACACCGTGGTGTCAACATTGAAATGGCGGTCTCAGAATCGGGAGTCACGTTTGTATGTTTTCGTTAAAATCTCAACTAAGAATGGCCATCGAAAAGTGAATTTTGTCTTAATGTGATTAATTTTTTGATATCAAGAATAGTATGAAAATATTTTTAAATTCGATCAATAAAAATTGTCACATAATGTGATGAGCATTGGCAGAAGTGTTGTCTTAAAGACAGATACGTGAGAGCGCAGCTTGTTCCATAATTAAATAACAATTACAAATAGTACTGGGTAAATAATTCGGAAGACTTGAGCCCAAATAAAGTTAAAGAAGAAAGAAGACCTCCGCTTGTATTTAAAAAAAAGGTCCTTCGTTTTGTGGCAAACTTCTAAAAAAAAGTCTCAGCTGCAAAGCTACCCGCTCCCCCCCCCCTTATTCCCGGGCCCCGGAGATTTTACCCCCTCTCATCAGGCCTACTTATAAGGCTTGATTTTTTCTGAAAATTTCAATTTGATATCGTTTTTTGTATCTGAGTTAGGATTTTTTTTTAACATTTCAACAAGGGCGGCTTCAAGGGCGGGGGCTATGGGAACCATGTCCTCCTGAGACGAAAATTTAAAAAAAATATGCTGAAAAGGGAAAGACTAGTGGCAATGTAACTCTCCCTCCTCTCCGCCGAAAATTCGTTTTGAAGCCGCCCTTATACTTCAACCCCATTATCTCCCCATTTTATTTATTTTTTCAGCTTGATTTTTACTAAAAGTGTCATGTTGATATTGCGTTTGGTTTTTAATTTCTATTTTTTTTTTATTTCAATTTGATATCGCTTTTTGATTAATGATTTTTTTCTTTATTTTTAACCCCTCGTAAACCCTGCACTTTTACTCAGACACAAACTACTGTGTGAAGAAATCACAATTTTTGGTTATGTGCTGAACCAAAGTTAGTTGATTTTTGTTTACAATAGTTAATAAAAGAAATTGTAAGAAAAAATTGATGTTATTTATTTTTTTTGTGATTGTATTTTAAAGTATTTAAAAATTACCTAAACAGTATTAAATCTTGTACGATGGGGCGGAACCTTTCATACGCGAGTCCAACTCGCATTTGGCTGGTGTATTATTAACTGCTCTCAATTTTTATCAAATGTGATGTAGAATGACATATGTATGAGCTACGGAAATTAATTTTGTATCGTCTAATGGTATCAGAAACTCAAAGAAGCATATTATCCATGTCTTTCCCACAGTTTTGATTCCACAGTTGAGTAGCTTTACAAAGGGTATTTGAAATTGAATTGCTGTTGGATTAACCCAATTACTATGGTTAGTATACTGTTACGGTGTAGGGTGCTGAATGTTGATGTACTTTTCCTATAACAGCCGCAAGGCTACTGCAAGGTGCTGGATAACAATATTTATTATTGTGCTATAACGTATGGCTGGCGATCGTTAGTTCACGCGACCTTGTCCATATTATGGAGTCTATACAAAAAAATAATTCTAATTTGACAAAAAACGTTTATTTATACAGTTTATTCTCAAATTACATATTTATTTTATCGTCTAAGCATTGCAGTCTTCTTTTACAGCTTTTTCTACAGCTTCATACATTTTCTTATGTACAGTTTTGGTTATTTGGTTAGGACAAGAATCGTCCAACACTGCTCTTACACACATTCGCATTTTAGGCATGTTCCTAAAACAATAAACAGTTGTATAACATTTTTTAGTTCAAACTTTCGATATCTGTCAATTCACATATTTTTAGTTTGGCTACTAACAAAATAGTGGAGAAAAGTGTAAAATACACAGTTATTATGTTATGTTATATTATGTTAAATTGATGACCTTTCTTCAAGAAGGGGACAACTCTATTCTTACGAACTTTTTGGAAATAAGAAAAAACGTCTTATAAAAATTGTCGCTTGTTTTAATCAAAATAAAACATATTTACATGCAATTTATAGACTTTTTTGCTAATATTTCTTTGTTTGAAAGAAAAAATTAATTGAAGGGGTACACTTACATCAAAGTTAAGCACTTATTATAAATTTAAAAAACTTAGTTTTTAAAAATCTTGTTAAATAATATTGAAAAATAAATAAACATTTGTTTACAAGAAGGTGCAAGTCCAGATTTACACGATGTTTGTATTCAACAGTTACAAAGCCAAGTCCAAAAATCTGCTTGTGTCTTACAACAATCTATTTAGCTTATTTTTTACGTAAATTTCATACAATAACTAATATTTTACCAAAAGTAGAGCTGTTCCGTTTTTGCAGCAAGGTCTTCAATTGTCGATTGCAGAATTCAATTTTATTTTAAGGAAAGAAATATGAATCTTTGTCGATTAGAGAACGGAAAATAAATGAAAATTAGGTAGCAAATTCAAAAATAAATTCCTAAACAACTAAAGATGTAAACAAATCACACAATAAATTTATCTGAGACGCACTGGAAGGCATTGGGATCATCTCACTCATTTTCAACCTAACAGGACTCGAACCTGTAATCTATAGCAATCTAAGCTCGATCAAATGATCGAGAAATTAATTACATTTGAATCTAACTAAGATACCCAATACCCTGATCCTTTTTCAATGATTATTCTTGAGTCATTGCAACAGCATCGTTAGAGGTTTAGTATATCGTCTCTATTTATATTTTCCTTGCTATGTTAGTTGAGTTAATAGTTGAAAGAATATGTAAATAAGATATGTTGTCATAAATATATGTCAAAAGAGTTTCTTATTCATACCCAAATTAACTATTAGGTACCACTACAAATTAACTATATAACCCAAGAAGATCATGCACTATTCCTCCGTTAATCTAAAAATGTGTTACTTATTCATAGAGATTACTCTTATGACAATCGTAAAATTTATAAAGTTACTTACTGACAAATCATAGTTTTGGTTGGAGCTTTGTTTTTGTTTTCTTCCAATATAGTAATAAAGTCCTTGCATGGTGGGTATGCGAGTGAATAGTCCTTATTAAACTTACATGGGTTAAATATTTCTGTAAAGAAAAAATAAAGTTTTAATATAACATACTAGCAATGAAATATTTTGTATTTTGCGCAAATCTTATTTTAATAATATATTTTTAATAGCTATTTATCACATCTCAGAAACAATCTCATAATTTTTATTGTAATTTTCTAAAACCATACTAGTTTAGTAAATTTTAAGGCGTACACTCTATCGATAGTGTCTACAGTGTGTATAATTTATTAGAAAGATTTGTGTTCGGCGAGTATCAGCTAACATCGGCCGATATAATAGAAGCATCTCTTGGCGACGTTGCCAACTACATTAAATCAGATACAGATACAGAGAGAACTGTATAGATTACTGATGTTGCTTGAGATTTTTTTAAAAGAGAAGAAAGATTCAAATAACTTATTTTTCTTTAGGAACTACAGTGAAATTTACGTTTTTTACATTTCTATTCTTTTTTGACTTAAAATCTATGTTTTAGCAAAGCTAGTACAATATTTACTATTAATAATATTAATAAATACAGTTGATTTTAAAAAAATCCTGTTTATATTTGATTCACCCTCGTATTAAGAATTTTCTAAAATATATTATCGAACTTTTAAGCATTGTTACTACTCAACCTACAATAATTTTAATCTAAAAATTTTAAATTTGAAAATCTTTAAATTTGGACACCAAAGTCAAATATACCTTTTTTTTTGTGGACCAAAATAATTGATAATGATTTAATGTTTACATCGTTTTCTGCCTGTTATTGTGAGAATGAATATTTGATAAATATCGATAAATATTTAGGTAACATATTATTAATTAGTTTATAGAGAAAAATTAGTATTCTAAACTTTAAATGTTTTTTCACGGGCATCCAGTTTAATTGCTTCTACATTCTTACAATACGCTGGAATCTCTTACACCTGTTTTTTCAAAATTGGTAGTTTTCTTAACAATTATATTAAGGTACGATTCAAACAATCCGTCATCACTATCAGTAATGCCAAAGTTTGATTAAAAACCCAGATTTGTGTAGTTGGGAATCTCAATTTATCATCTTAACGAAGATTTGTATTCACTTTTGGGATTCTCTTTGTTTTGTACATTTTTAACTTTCAAACTGTTCAAAACTGTCTAATTTACCATTATACTGACGATAAGCAGCTTTATCTATCTTAAAATCTTACAGATCATTTTCAATTGTACCATTTTAAATTATAAATAATATGATCCAATTCTTACCCAACATTTCTTCAACGGTAGAGCTGCAAGCTGTATCAATCATAGCCATCATCATTTTTTCTACCATTTCTGGAACATCCTTTGATTCTTGGGGCAAACAGCCAATTACGAGTTCCTTTCCAGGTTTCATACATTTAACGAAATTTTTCCTGATGAGGGAACAGAAGGTATCAGAACCAATATCGATTGCTTCAACACATTCGGCAATTCTGTCCATTGTATTCTGTAGGATAAAATTAGATTTAACTCGCACTATATGAGAAAACTTTGTATTGTCAGTTTTATATAAAAAAAATCATTTTTTATAAAATAAAATCAATAGAAATTAAATTTTTTTTGTTATGTACGAGGTTTATCAAAAAATATTAATTTTATTTAAGAGAAAAGTTCCTTTATTTTTAATAATATTGAAAATTATTATTAAAAAAATTGATCAGAAACAAAAACTATGAAATCAACAGATCTTTTAGACTTCTTTATAGTCAGAATATGCTTAAAAATCTATCAAAATAAAGTCTAAAACCCCCAAAAAAATATCATCGTCTTATAAAGTTCATTCTAAGATTCATAATTAAAGTTTTTCTTAAACAGTAATACAAGGATCTTACCTCAAATTTATTTTCAATATCGGGGCATTCTTTATGGATGTTTTCCCCCAATGTGATCATATCCAGAAGTACTGTAGTATTCATTTTTTCATGAAAAGCTTTCGCAAGATCTTTCAAATTTTCCTCAGCAGATGAAACATCGTTGTCTGTAGCGTTGGCAAAAGCTGTAAAGATTAAAAAATTATAAATTTTATGAAAAATGAAGTAGGAAAAAGAAGTACGAATCGTACGCGGGGTTGCTAAAAGTCTGGCAACAAGGTGGTTTCATTAGAACGATTATAAGTTGGTGTAGGCCTGTGTACTTTTCATTTGATTCTTAAATTGTAACGTTTCTAATTCTCCCTGTATGTTAAAAGATTTTCTGGGTTCACTTCTGTCGTCAATAAAAAGTATTTTAATACCTATTTCTTCAGGGAAGATTAGAACTTGAAAAATGGCTCCAAACTGGACAAATACCCTCTTTTATTTACTGTGCTCCCAGGTATAGTGCTCTTGAATTCTGTAAGGCAACATATTTTATAAAAATTTGGATAGATTTTTTATCTTGTTCCTTATAGAATCTACACTGACATCTTCCGCTGGTCGTAAAGTGTTCTTTAAGTCGACAGCAATATCGATCTTTACTCAGAAGTGTCTTAATACCGCTAAATATCTATAATTAGATGATTTATTGCTCTTTGATTTCTCCTAATATTGTGGTACTATTGATTCATTGCTGTTAGGTTCTTAAATATCTCATAGTCTATAACCTCTCAATTATGCTACTGAGGAGTTATTTTGTGTCTTTCTGTTTTCCACGAGTAAATGGCAGTTCATTTAGGACTCCAGGGGCCTGAAACTAGTGAAAATTATTGCCTGACCTCCAATAGTACATTGATAAAAGCGATTTTTATTAGTTAGATACTATTAGGACCTCTACGTTGTTAATATAGTGACTTATTATGGTGGCTTATCCCTCTTTTGAGCCCCTATTTATTTAAAGATCTCTATTTATTGCAGTGTTGTTACTGGTGGGATTTATATTAGTCAATTACCCCTAATGTCACAGTTTATATATCACAGCAAAATTTTTGATATGTGACAGCGTGAGATTTGCAAAGCAAAAGTAGGGATCTTTTTCTAAAATCTTTTTGCAATTGAAAAATCAGACAATGTGTGTTCGCTTTATTATTTTTTCTATAGATGTTGAAAATATTACAATCGCCTACAAATTGGAGACAAGCTTCTTCTAGAGAAGTAATTTTTAGGAAGTGTGAACACTTAGTGACGTGACATCAAATGTTGAGGACTGTCATGGCATTAAAATAATGCTTAAACGAGCCTTTATTGTACCACCAATAAAAAGAAACAAAAAAAATAATAAAAAAAAACGAAAATAAATCAAACTCAAATGTGATAGACGTAAAATAAAATAATACCCTATTGACTCGTGAGTCGTATTGTAGTCAATGACATATATAGATTAATAGACTGCTCATCCATATATAAACAAGACGACGAAAAGCGGGTCATATTGCTTGGCTTGCCGAGTGCTCACCAGGCAGAATCGGTCTGGCCCAAATGAGTTTAAAACACATATTTCATCAAAGTAGGAATTGAATTAAAAAAAATATCTGTATGTTTATTTAAAGACAGGAGCTTGCGTTAGGTATTTTAAAAAAGGATTTTGAGTCGTAACGTCTAGTTTCCCTATTTTCAAAACATTTTAAGAGATCTAACCAATTTTGAACATATATATAAACAATTTTACACTCATGTGTATATAACTAACTTTAGACCATGCTACTGTATAGTGGCACTATTCGGACACTTGATTATTCTTTTAAAATTTATTTCGCATTATAAAAGCAGATATTATGCAAAAATTGAATGAACTTTTTAAAGATTTAAAGTTAGTACCTAGCTTTTTCACATTCTAAAGTTTGTCCCTTTAGACAATTAAGGATTATTTTGGCGGTGAATGTGAATGATTTGATGAATAATAATAAAATTCCACCAGTGGAAATCTGATCAACATCATAGTAAAATGGACTAGGTACAAAGTGCAATCTTAGTTGACGTCAAGATCCGTGTACCTTAGCATCGGTAAGAGGGAAATAAAGATTCTGACTTACAATCACAAAAAGAACGTACAACTAAGCTGAGTCGATGTAAGTTAGCTCAGATTAGTGGTAAAAAGAAAGCGACTATTAATAAAAAGGAAAGTAATCCAGCTAAAACAAGAATTATGGCTACTGTCTTTAATAATGATATGTTGCCAGTACTGGTAGAATGTTAAGTGTTGAGTTATCTTCTTCAGGCAATGGATGTACGTATGCATAATTTAAAATGTTTGGTTAATTATTATTATTATTATTATGTTTAATGTGTTTTTGCAGTTAATGAACATATATCTACTACTGAAGCAGATAATGAAGATTTGTGTGCTGCTGAATAGCTTTGCTTAATTTACAAAACTTTGTTTAAAAGCAGAAAATTGGAATCGATTGTTCAACACAAGTGAAGAGTTGAAGAGTGGTGATTTAGTTGATCCGTTTTCAAACAGAATTGTTAGTGCTAAAGAACTATCTACTTTAATAGGATTGCAATCCTTCCAGTTATTAGCCACCATTGTGGAATTAGTAGCAGAGTTGTTTCTAAAGAATAGGAAAAAAGAGATCAGTTATGTCTGTAAAGGATCAAGTTATATTTACTTTTATGAAGTTGAAAACTGATATGCAAGATATAATGTCTTATTCATTTTATTTGGAGTGAATGAAACTTTTTATCGTTAAATTTTTTAACAGTTTTTAATAAAACTGGTAGAAGTTCTTAGTATGGTATAATTCGGCCTTCAAAACAAGAAATATTAAATAATGTGCCTCTATGTAAGTAAGAGTACTACTACTTGATTGTACCGAAATCCCAATACAGCAAGCCAAATGTCTTTGTTGTAGGCTTAAAAATTACTCTGACTATAAAAAGAGGCATACTATTAAAATATTAACTGGAGTGTCACCTACTGGTCTCATTACTTACAAAAGTGAAGCATATGGTGGTAAACTTCAGAAATAGACATTTTTTAACAAAGTTCAATACTTGAAGTGTGTGAATCATTTCTCGATAGTAAAATGTTTAACAAAGGTTTTCTTATTGGAAACATAACAGAAGCTGAAGGTATACAAATTATACAGCCTCCTTTCCTCAATAAAAAAAATCAGTTCAGCCATCAAGAGGCTTTACTTAATGCCAAAATTGTCAGAGCTAGAATTCACATAGAAAGAACCTATCAAAGAATAAAAGTGTTTGTCTCTCTGTATTGGTACTTATGTCCGTTTTTCTTCTATTTATATTGAGTTTTTATTATACGATACTTCTCTGTATCTAACTAACTTTTAAAATGTACTTGTAAAGCCCAGATAGCTCTAACTTGGGCCTTTGAATATAATAATATTTATGTAATTGTATTTACAATAAATACTTTATTATTATTAATATTATTATTATAATTAATTATAATTCGTAAAATTATTATAAACGTATTTACCTTGTACCTACTTGTATTGATACTTGCGTGAAAAATGAAATGTTACTTTTTATATTTCTGTAGCTGGTCTTACAAACCTTTATAGAGCAATTCACCATTTAAATTTAAAAACAAAACAAGTTTTTATACTCAAATAATTAAAAAACTTAAAACCGAACATAAGTATAATTAAAACTAAATAAAATAAACAATTCAACAAAATGTCCGACTGAGTAATGACAATGAGAACAAAATCTCAACTAGACTAAACTTTCTTTAAAACCGGTCCTGTGAAAGGTTTGTTTACCAGTGAGCACTCAAAATTGAGACAAAACACAAACATTGCATGCACTAGACAAAGAGAAAACATCTCCCAGTTCGACCCACTTTTCATCGTTTTATTTACGTATGGATAAGCAGTCTATTTAAAATATATATGTCATTGATTGTAGTCTACAAAACGTGGCAGAAAGACGAATACGTTTTTTTTGTTATTTAATTAAAGAGATGTTTGAAGTTAGATCTGAAAAATGAGAGAAAAAAAACACAAAGAGTATAATTGGTGGTAGGAAATAGTGACTATACGTTCGTTCAAAACTTTCACATTCTTTTTCTTTTTTACACCTCTTCTTCCACGTTGTTTTCTTCCATTTGCACATAATTTTTAATTTTATATAGATCTTTCCTTTGTTAGGAAACCAGGACTTGGTTCTACTAGCCAATTACTACCTACGCTTCTCCTACTTCTTTGTTTTCACATAATGCGAGTTACTTCTTTTCCCACCTCACGTCGCTTCACATTTTTACCTCCTTCTACTTCCCAATCTTCTATTTACAATCCTATTTTAGGTACTCAGTGTTAGATTTAATTTCTAGTTTATTTTTTGATTCTCATTAACAGTTTGTGGTAAATGATTTTAAGTTTTTGTAATTATTGTGAATTTAGAAAGAAATAGAAAGAAATAAAGATATACCATAATCAAATGACTTTTACGTAAATACTAAAAAGAGAACAGTAATAAATGTTCGGAAGTTTATGAGAGTTTAAAGATAGTTTCAATATAATTAAAAGATAGTTTAAATATAGTTTAAAAATAGTTTATTTTAAAGATAGTCTAAAGATAGTTTAGTTTAAAGATATTTTAAAGATAGTTTAGTTTAGAGATAGTTTAAAGATAGTCTAAAGATAGTCTAAAGATAGTATAAATATAGTTTAAAAATAGTTTAAAGAAAATGGACGAAGAAAGTTTAATAAATTAAGAACTTTGAACACATAGGAACTAGCAATAATAATAAAAAAACTGATGAAAAAAAAATAGAAGAAAATTGAGATAAAATAAAGAATGAACACAAGAAAATAACTACATATAAAATATCAGTATAGTAATAAATAATTGGGATGGTTTAAAACCGAATAGGTATTTTATAGTATTACACTATAAATAGAACAATTTTAGATAAACAAGAACAACAAAAAATAACGCAAAAGAAAACCGAACTATATATGTATTTTTAAAATCCACAAAATGAAGAAGTTTCAAAAAAATAATACTGCTATTACAATAAACTTACCCAAAACACACAATAATAAGGACAAAATTCCAAATCTCTTCATTTTCAAAGTGTTCTTTTTTGTATACAGTTAGTGCAGAAGTGAAATATACAATACAGATCAGAAATGTATAGACACTTCATATATACTTTTCGAGAGGGAAATAATATAAATTAGTAATTGTTTTTCAACAACATAGAGATAAAGGTGGATTTTTCTGTTTAGAGGTTTTGATAAACAAGAAAAACAATTTTATATTTTTTTACAACGATCTAATATTATGAAATACTGAAGGTTATCATAAGTAAGGGATATATTTTAGCTGATTATGTATTTTTAGTAAATTAGGTTAACAACAGGACTGAAGAGAAATTGGATTGCTTAAATATTGGGATTTTTTATGTCCAACCGTAGTTAAAGTAAATTTTCGATATTTCGTCTATTCCTCCAAATTGTATACATCATTATTCATCATTTCTGGTTGAATAGAGTCTTTTAATTCTTCCAGCTATGTTGGTCGTGTTCTAAACATCCAGTAATCCACGGGTTAAGATCTGGCCATCTTAGAAGCCATGAATTTACAAAATTTCGATGATTATTTTTGATACTTGTATCAATAATTGACACGACAACGTTTGTCCAAATGAGACACTATTAATAAAAGTCAAGAAGTGTGTTACATAATACATTTAATTTCTTTATGTATCCAATACAAATTGGCTGAATTAAATTTTAACTGAACAAGAAAAAAATACAAACGAAAAATAGTGCATAATAAAATGATTACTAGAATTTGAAATCCAGAAGAAAACCCCTGTTCTGTAGTAAGGTATTAACTCATCTGTACATGGAAACAATAAGGGTGTTAATGTAATCCATTGGGATGTTGTTCTTCTTAGGCCGCGACTGTGAGTTCCTGGAGGGTGACAGGAGGATTAATTCTGTTTGAGATTACTCGTTCAACGAAATCCCACATGTGCTCAATGGGATTCATATCTGACGAATTTGTTGGCCACGGTAATCTTTGAATATTCTGTATTTCTAGTGCATTTTATACCCTTCTCGTGCGATGGAGCCTAGCATTGTCATCCATGAAAATAAAATTGGCTCCAATTTACTTTCGGAGAGGATAAATAATGGGTTCAATAATGTTTCGAACATATCTATCAGCTGTCATAGTGTCTGGAATGGAAATAAGGTGCGTACGACGACCATGCATTATGCCTCCCCAATATATACGGGACGATGTTTTACGGGATAAACCTACTAATCTGGAAAGTCTTGCGATACAGCTATATATAGGCTAACTCAACAGGCTGAACAAGCATTGGAAAGCAAAGAAATAGCACTAGGAGTCTTCCTAGATATAGAAGGAGCCTTTGACTCGACTTCATACAATTCAATACTGGGATCTATGCAAAGGCGTGGAGTAGCCCACTGCATTACGAAGTGGGTAGAGTTGCTTGCTTAATCATAGAACCATTACCAGTAATCTCCTTAACACAACAAGAGAGGTCTCAGTTAACAAGGGATGCCCGCAGGGAGGAGTGTTATCTCCTCTTATGTGGACCTTGGTGGTTGATGACCTCTTATGAGAGTTAGAGAGAGAAAACTTATACACGCAAGCATTTGCAGACGACATAAGCATCGTAGTAAACGGTAAATTTGGGACTGTTGTATCCGAAAGGATGCAGCGGGCACTAAATATCATCGAAAGATGGTGCCTAAAAGAGGGATTGTCCACAAACCCGACAAAAACCTCTGTTGTTGCATTCACAAGAAAAAGGAACCTTCAAGGAATGAAGTTCTGGTACGAAGAATATAACGCAGTCGTTACGTGACTATCAATGCGGTGGTTACTAGTTTAGGGAATTGGATTATTCACTGTTTGGACAGACGTAAAATATATTATTTCTTGTTCAGATTCGTATATTTCATTTTACCTTAGTTTTAATTTAAATAATAGTGTCATGAAAATTCCTAAACAGTCTCTGTCTAAACTCTAAAGCAAGCGACCTTGGAAGTCCGCCACTCGATTCATGATCGAAGCAACGGTGACGTGTGAAGACAGTCGGACCGCGTCTCGAATATACAAGAAACGACGGAATCTCTAGGTATGCCGCTGACACTTCGAGAAACTGCCGTTGAGTCATAGAGATGGAATTTTCGGGAGCATCTGGAAACTGCGAGCAGAGAGAGAGAGAGAGAGAGAGAGAGAGAGAGAGAGATAGATAGATAGATAGATAGATAGATAGATAGATAGATAGATAGATATATAGATAGATAGATAGATAGATAGATAGATAGATAGATAGATAGATAGATAGATAGATAGATAGATAGATAGATAGATAGATAGATAGATAGATAGATAGATAGATTAGATAGATTAGATAGATAGATAGATAGATAGATAGAGAGAGAGAGAGAGAGAATGCGGAATAGTTCCTGTAGGACAAACCCTTTCCCCGCCCTCTGAATCATCGTCAGGAAGTTAGGGTTCTTTAGGCCCATCCCGTCTGAACTTAACCCCCAAGACGTGTGTTATCTAGAGGCCAATTTAAATACAAATTGGGCCCCTCTATATAATCCTTGGTTACCGCTAAGAGTGGACTTTAGGGTCAGTCAAAAGGGCCTATAATCTCTCTCTTAACAATAGTTGACATATCCACATGACTATAAACGCATTTGATGGCAAATTTGGTATCAGTTGGTTTTCAAACCATTGCTTAAACAAACTTAAAGACATGTCTTGGTGATAATCTGCAAAGCAATTTAGGATGTTCTCTACTGGTAATAGCAAAGAATTTTTTAAAAATCCATGTAAAATAATTATTCTCTTTCCCCTATTTTGGAGGAGCATTTGTTTAAGCAATAAATGTCAAAACCTCACCCATGATCTTTATTAATGATGCCATTTTGGATCCATGGTCAAATATAAAGCATAATACAGAAATTGCATAGGTATATGGTTGATTTGAAAATGGTGTCCACAAATGTGGACACGGTGACTAAGCGGGTTTTAAGCAAGTAACTTGGACTATCTTCAAAATACTGACTTTTAGTACTGAATTTTAGTAACTTGTGCCTAGCTAAATTTTGTTATCTATTTTTAAATTTAGAGATAACACGGACATTCTACATTTTATTTATTCGCAAACATTTCTCCAACTCAGCTTATTGCCATAAGGTTACAATAATTTCCAGTATGATTCAATACCATTTTAAGTGTTTAAGTTTGGACGGGCAATTCATGATTATCAACTGGATAGTTTGAAGTAATACTAAAGTCTATTAAAATGAAATAAAACGAATAAATTTAAAATGTCCAAATGACATCTCATTGGAAAGATAATTCAAACCAGGTGTCACTCAACTCCACTTTCCACTTTAAGGGTATACAGTAACCTCTTTCGTTTTCGTTGACACACCCTGTATACAAAAATAATACACGAATTTGCGAAAAAAAACATTTATTTATGTACAATTATTTAGTATTGGTACTCTCAAAAAATATATTTATTTTACTAATTAAGCTGCGTTTAAGGCATCGCAGTCATCCTTCATAGCCTTGTCTATAGCGTCTTGCATTTTCATGTGAGCGTTCTTGGTTATTTGGTTAGGACAAGAGGCGTCCAATACTGCTTTCATACACATTCGCATTTTCGGCATGGTCCTAAAATAAAAAAACAACTGTTGTAAAACATTTTTTTTAGTTTAAACCTTCGATATCCAATGTATACCCTTGCTACTAGTGAAATAGTGGAGAACATTTTGGAACACACGGTATATGTTTTAGTAAATTGTAGATTGTTAGATGTTTACGTTACTTTCTTTACAGCTTTGTAATTTATAACAACTGCATTAAAAAGTAGGTACATTACAAATACTTTCAACAATCATTTATTATTATTTAGTTTAATATAAATAGTTCTTTCTATTCTTTATTTTTAGCCATGACAATAATCCATATCTAAACATAGGTACTTCTCGAATTTTAAAGTATTGAAAGTAGAAAAAAAAATAGTCATTTCGAATACACTGAAACTCCAAGATTTTTAAGAAGTCTAACAATTTTTCTCCGTGCAATTGTACCTAAATAAATCTTTAATACCAGATGTCCTGTACTTAGGACATGCATTTTATAGTTACGTAAAATGCGTTTGGCTGTATTTTCTAGAAGTAACATATCCCTGTTGACGACATACCATCGCTTTAAAATGATATATTGCCTGTGCCAAATCAGAGTCTATTTTAAAATAATTAAATTTACAATAATTTTTGCAAAATATTTAATCTAATTTTGTATCAAACCCTGTATTTTAAATTAGTGACCGTGAGTGTTCCGGCATATTAAATGGTTAGTCGGCTTTGAGAAAGTAAGTCAATTTTGTTAGTCAAATCAATATAGGTACCATCTCTTCGATAACTAATAAAAACTTTTTAAAAAATTGGTTTTCAAATTAGTATTAGTTTTAGAGATTGTTTCATCACTTATTAATTTTTTTCAGAATCACCAGGCTGGTACCCTAGGATTCTGATGATTGAATATAGTAGCTTTGTTCGGCTTACCAATTTTATAACGTTTCAGAACGATTCAGAACTGCATGAAATTAGTTGCGCACTAAATTACACACGAAAGAGTCAATCCTAGAGTGTCCTAGGACTAGATTTGGAGAAACCCGAACACGTAAATTTAAATACGCATGATTATAACGATTTTAAACCGTCCTCAAAAGTAAGCCGAACAAAGCTAGTAGATTAGATAAGAAAAGAGTTACACATTATTTATCATTTTGTGGTTAGTCGTCATCGTGGTTTTATAGCTCACTATAAGCGACAATTGCCTGAGGTACTGGTCATTCACTGTATAATTCACATTTAGTTACATGTGTTTGGCTTTTTTCACCTACTGTTAGAAACCTTAATCTAGCCAAGCCTTTACACAACCACAAGACGTGCTTTGATATTTCTTATTCTTTACAGAACCTGCACAATATTACTTCTTCTGCAACAGTGTCCGGTAAGAAGACCTACTGTTTTTGATTCAGTATATCTTTCATTAATTTGACCGATGATTCCTTTGTGAACTGTTCCAATTCTGGATAGTTGTTTTACCAGTCCTGAGACTGTTTACTTTGTAGAAAAATTCGGGGCCTCTCGTGACCAAATTTTAAAATGTCTCTCAAATTTGTATACGGGTGTTCGATAAGTACGGTACATAACTTCAGAAGCGTATTCCGGAGCTAAAATAAAGGTATTTTTGTCATAAACACTGTCTCAAAAATGCTTCATTACAGAAATACAGGGTGTGAAAGTTTCATAAAAAAAATACAATTTTTTAAATATTTCCAAAACCACTTAAGATATTTTAATCAAACTAATCGCTGAAAAATATGGAAGAAAAAACGTGTTACGCCACTGTTCTGTTTTTAATGTTCGATTTGGAAGAAAAAGCAACAAAGACAGTACATCTTTTCATTCTTTTTTATTATTTTTAATCTCTTTGAACAATGTACAACAAAAAAAAGAAGTTATCTTCAATTTTTCACAGGTACCTGTTTGACATTTTACTAGTCGCCAATTTTTTATTTATTTGTATGTCAGACATTAAAATGAATAACTCTACTAACGCTGAAATGGCTCAAATGCACTTCATTTATGGCTTAGCAAATGGGAATTCAGCGAAAGCTAGAAGAATATATCAGCAACGTTAAGCCAGATTGAGTAAAACTGGTAGTTTTGAGCATAATCGGGTAGTTCCTGGTAGATCACGAACAGTAACAACGCCTGAGCTAGAAGAAGCTATACTACAGGAGATAGAAGAACGTCCTTCAACTAGTACCAGAAAGCTTGCACAACAGCTTCAAGTAAGTGCAAATATTGTTTGGAGAGTTTTGAAAGTTTCTCTGCTTTACCCATACCACATACAACGAGTACAAGCTCTGCTGCCCCGCGACTTTCAGCCAAGGCTAAATTTTAGTAGGTGGTTACTCCATAAAGTTGCTCATATCTACAATTTTTTGACCCTAATTTTATTTACTGATGAAGCAACTTTTTCGCGAGAAGCAATTATTAACTTTCATAATGAACATTTATGGGCTGAGGAGAATCCTCATGCAATAAGAGAAGGTCGCCTTCAGCAAACATTTTCACTAAATGAAATGTATGGATAGGGATTATTGATGACCATCTTATTGGACCATACTTTTTATCCCCTCGACTGAATGATGATTCATATACTCAGTTTTTACACGAAGAACTAAATGGTCTGTTAGAAGAAGTGCCTCTGCAAGTAAGAGGAGATTTATGGTTTATGCACGATGGTGCACCAGCCCATGTCAGCCTTCTTGTTCGCCAATACCTCGACAACACTTTTCCGAATCGCTAGATTGGACGCGGAGGTCTTCAAACTTGGCCACCTCGCTGTCCCGATCTTAATACCTTGGACTTTTATTTATAGGATCACCTTAAATCACTCGTGTATGAGACACCTGTATTAAATGAAAATGATTTACGAAATCCAATAATTCAAGGTTGTAATACCATAACAAATACTCCAGGAGTTTTTGAAAGAGTAAGACAATCAATGAGGAGACGATTGGAATCGTGCGTTTTATTAGAAGGTGGCCATTTTCAACATTTGCTTCGATTCTTTGTTATAAGTAATTATTTATATGATTATTTGTAGTTAAATAATAAAAAAATAAAAATGGCTCTGTATTTATTCATGAAAAAAGTCAAGGGACCTTTTTCTTCGAAATCGAACAATCAAAAAACTAAATATTGAAAAAGAACAGCGGCAAAACACGTTTTTCTTTCCATATTTTTCAGCTATTACCTTGTCCGCACGCCACTGGTTAAACGAAATCCACTGTGGTTACAGTAAAACACGCAACGTTGCTAATTCTCAAAAGCTGCAAAAATTTAATTAAAATATCTGGTTTTGGAAATATTTAAAAAAATTTATTTTTTTTATGAAACTTTCACACTCTGTATTTTCGTAACGAAGCATTTTTGAGACATAGTGTATATGACAAAAATACCTTTATTTTAGCTCCAGAATACGCTCCTGAAGTTATGTACCGTATTTATCGAACACTCTGTATAGTATAGTAGACATTCCTAGAATCTTATCCTTTTTTACATGCTGGTATAGCCTTGTATGGTTAATGGTATGTAGTTGGCTTATTGGGTTTTTCTAAGAGGATGTGTAGAAAATTTTGTGTTCCTCTATATATTTGAAATACAAAATGTCTCATTTTCTCCTTATTGGGTTTTGTCCCTGCATTAGCTGGTGAAGATATGCGGTGATGTGAGGTACCTTTATTGCTGCAGTTGATTTTATATAGTGGAATTTAGTATGAGAAAATCTTAAAAATTACCTAACACAAACAAAAACGAAAATGAAATTTGTATTATCACAGTTACGAGTTATTTCTTGTAGATATTTTACCAAGGGGTTGATTTGGGGTCATCAGATAAAAATAATTTTAAGTGTAAGGGTTAAAGAAAAGGTCCTTTATTTCTCACAAGTCAATTTAATTGGCGACCGGTTTCGAAGTTGTCACTTCATCATCAGGCACACCTTGACTAATTCCATAAAGGAAGCGCTACAAAAAGTTTAACAGAACGAGTTAAAAAAGTCATGTGTAATAAGTATTTTTTAAAAAAATTTTAATGTAGGTTAGGTTAAACCACCAGATGTCTGTTTGAATAAAATAATTAATTAAAACACATTTAAGACAATTATTAACTAAACAACACAAAATAGTTTTACAAGCACAAACAGTTTAAAAAATTTTTAAGGATATAATGTTAATTACTGAAAGTAAAAAGTAAAAAAGTAAAAATTATCAGACTGTCAAGACATCTATCTAGTCTATCTAGTCTAGTCTAGTCTAGTCTAGTCTATCTAGTCTAGATAGATGTCTTGACAGTCTGATAATTTTTACTTTTTTTACTTTTTACTTTCAGTAATTAACATTATATCCTTAAAAATTTTTTAAACTGTTTGTGCTTGTAAAACTATTTTGTGTTGTTTAGTTAATAATTGTCTTAAATGTGTTTTAATTAATTATTTTATTCAAACAGACATCTGGTGGTTTAACCTAACCTACATTAAAATTTTTTTAAAAAATACTTATTACACATGACTTTTTTAACTCGTTCTGTTAAACTTTTTGTAGCGCTTCCTTTATGGAATTAGTCAAGGTGTGCCTGATGATGAAGTGACAACTTCGAAATCGGTCGCCAATTAAATTGACTTGTGAGAAATAAAGGACCTTTTCTTTAACCCTTACACTTAATCCCTACTACTCACATATGGCTACCCTCACTCCAAAAAAAAAAATAATTTTAATCAAAATGGATCCTTTCACAATTTTACCTCTGAATATATAAGAGGTCATTGTTTTTTCAGATGGCGTACATCTCAAGACATCACAATAGTCTTTAACGTATCACTCTACAGGGTGCAATAATACAAATCTTTATTGAAAGATATTTTTTGTATAACTAGCAACTTAACCGTGTATGTGCCATTTATAAGAGTTTACATACAGGTGAAATTATGACTGGGTAATGATTTGAAACTGACTGAATGAGACTGGAAATAATTATTTAAATCATTACCCTGCAATTAGGATACTAAATAAATTGTGAAGGTATCTTCATGCAGACAATAACAGAACAGACTTGTACCCCTTCCTAGTTCTGAGTATTAAAAAATTGGTAATGAAAATTCAAAATCTCGCAAATTTTCAAAATAAAATAGCATTACAGATATCTACATTACCAACTAAGTATTGTTTCACAAAACTATATCATGTATGGAGCTGAAAGCAAAGTTGTCAAATTTCTGCAAAGAAAAGACATCTCTAAAGTAATTATTCTTCCTCTACGGCTAATATCGTCTTTGTCAGATATCTAGGTAGTTTTTTTTTAATACAAAAAAAGATAAATAGTAAATATACCGAATTTATAGCTTTTGTCTCATTCTTTTTTTAAAATTTGTTCTACCTTAGATTCAAGTATAGAAAAAAATTCTAGATAATATATTATGAAAATATTCTTTTAAATTTTAAGTCTTAGACATGTTCAATCATTTATCAGTTTTTAAATTTAGATATATAATTGCTTCACTATTTAAAATAAGGACTCTGCTATGAACAGCATCAAATCAAGAATATTTTGCTGTAGCCAGATCCTAAAGAAATTTTCATTGAATTAAAACTGATTTCTTTTATATAAATATGCTTTTTGTTTGATAATATAAAGTATTGACGTCTCTAGATAGTAGGATTAGATTTAATGTCTATATATTTAGCTTATGGGAATTATTTTCATCCCAAGGTACCCACAGTACCGTATAAACAAAATAAAGGAATTAATATTTTAACAAATACTGAATTGAAGAAAAGCATATCATTAAAATTTGTACACTTATCTTTTACTTAATTATGAAGTTACTTTATATCAATCAAAAATACAATTAAGTTACTTACTGACAAATCATAGCCTTGGATGGGAGTTTGTTTTTGTACTGTTCCATTGTAGTCATAACTTCTTTGCATGCTGGGAAGGTTTGGGGGTCCTTTTCCATCTTACATGGGTTAAGCATTTCTGTAAAGGAAAAATAGAGCTTTAAAATAGAAATCAAATTGTTTTAATGCACCAAAAATTAACCGTCTTTTACGTTTGGAAGTCATGGTTTCGTAAAAAAAGTAAGGGTTTCCCTAAAAACTTGAGTAAATGTATACAATTTTAGAAAGGAGAAAAAACGGTTTTTCCGAAAATGTAAAAAATGATAGTGTGTCTTATTAAAGAAAACTTACAATGTTGATTCAAAGAAGTTCTTTTTTTTTTCGGAAGTTTCCAGAAAAAAATTACCTGTAGTGAAAACTGCATGTTTCTAAAATTTATAGCTGGACTTTATAGATGAACTAACTGTACATTTAGAAATAACAAGACCCATCATAACTTATGGAGCGATTGTTTGGTGGCCAAAAGTAAACCAGAAAACAGCCCTCAATACCCTCTCAGGAGTACAGAGGCTGGCATGCCTTTGTATTACAGGAGTACTGAGAAGTACACCGACAGCCTCTATGGAAATCATTCTAAACCACCCCTTGACCTAGTCATAAAGGGGGAGGTCAGAATGAGTGCATACAGACTGGAAATCTCCAACAACTGGAACCCACTGGGACATATAAAATATACCAGAATAACACATGAAGTAAATGATTCTATATTAAATATGGGATCAGATCACATGACACCCCTCCTAACCTTTAACAGACTCTTCCAGGTCAACTGTAACTGGAACGAGGTAAATAAGGAGATAGATAAATACTTGATTACGGATGGATATAAAACTAACAAGAGAACAGGCTCTGGCGTACATGGAGTTAAACCCAAATGCGACATCATCGTCTCACTGGGAAAACATGAGGGAATTATGAACATGCAAGTGTCCAGGCAGCCAAACTTATACCATCCATATATCAATGATCTTTCTAATAATATATAAGGAATTATGAACATACAAGTATCCAGGCAGCCATCCATTAACTGCTATTCCTAGAGCCATTAACTAATGGGACAAGTAAGTCCATAAGATTTTAGACCCATTAGTTAATAGATCTTTTTACATTCATTATTCGATTATTCGATAGCATTCAAATATTTAGTTATCTGCCTTTCAGAAGTCAAAGTTGACAGTTGTATTGATCTTCAAATCAAACAATGTGAATTTATCTTCAATTTTGATAGCTCTTTGTAGAATTTTAAGGATGGAGTATGAGCAGAATTTTGATTTTGATAAAAATATCGAATCCCCTTGTGGGTAAACTTAAGAATTAATTCACTTGAAGTATTTAGTTCTAAACCCTTACATATAACTTGCAATTTCTAATTATACCATCTTAAATTATATTATTAAATTCTTACCCAACATTTCTTCGACGGTAGAGCTACAAGCTTGATCGATCATAGCCATCATCATTTTTTCGATCATTTCAGGAATGTCCTTCGATTCTTGGGGCATACAACCAGTGATAAGCTCCTTTGCAGGTTTCATACATTTAACGAAATTTTTCCTGATGAGGGAACAGAAAGTGTCGGAACCAAGATCGACGGCTTCAACGCATTCGCCAACTCTATCCATGGTATGCTGTAGGACAAAATATATTATTTATATTGGTAAGAATGATTCCTAAAGATGGAAATTACTAATAACATTAGAAATTGAATTGTTATTGGAGTGTTAAAGCACCAAAAAGATCTACAAACACTCCTAGACTTAGAACAAATATATGTCTGTCTTACATCAAATTTAAAGAATGTATCACACACCTTAGTTTAAAAATATTCTTTGTGGATCACTTTATACTGTCCACCAAGATTTAGGGTGGGATTACAGAATGTCTGCAACTTTGCAGATCTGCAAATATGACGGCAACTTTGTTTTTTAAAATAGTTAAATTTAGTGGATTGAATTTTATTTGTTAATTTAATTTTGGTACAATAAAAGGGCAGCCATTTAAAAATTTTGGGTACCTGGACTTAGTTTGTTTAGGATATTTAGAGTATAATAGTAATTAAAGGTGCATCTAACGTGTATAGAAGGTTTTGACAATTTTTAGAAATATTACCCCAATTTTTAGGATGTTTGGGCCTTAAAAAATGGAAATATATAGAAAAACGGGTATTTTAATAGAATAATGCTATTGTATTGAAACTATTGTTTTCTGTAACTTTTACGTGCTTATTTCATTTGAGGTACGTTGAAAAAATTGATTTGAAGGCACCAACTTTAAAAAGCTATAGCTCCTTTATGAAGCATTTTCGGTTTAAGGTAAATTAGGTTAAATTTACATAAGATCAAATATAATATTTGGGATTTCCATTTGGCAGATGACTTTTGGGACACCCTATATATCCAAACCAATATATTGGCGAGAGATCCTGGAAAAATTACTGATCTAGACTTCTTTATAGTCAAAATATATACAAAAATATATTCAAGTAAAGTCAGAAGCTTATAAAGCTCGAAAAAAATCATCAATTTAAACAGGAATGAAAGGATTACCTACCTCAATTTTGTCTTCAATATCTGGGCATTTTTCTTTGATTTTGTCCCCCATTGTGATGATGTCCAGAAGTATTGTAGTATTCATTTTGTCGTTAAGAGCTTTTGCGAGCTCTCTCAAATTCTCTTCGGCAGATGAAACATCACTGTCTTTAGCGCTGACAAAAGCTTAAAAAATAACAAAAAAATCGTTAGAAAATTTAATTTTATAAAAAAATAGGTGAGGGAACGAGGAGTGCAAAGTGTGTGAGGGGTTTGGTAAAAAGTCCTGCAACAAAGTGGTTTCTTTCTAACGTTTATAAGTTGTGTACTTGTCATTTGATTTATAAGTTGAAGTTTCTAATAGCGTAAAAGATTTTTCTGTCTTAATGGAGACAAGGATGTAGTCTTAATGCCTATAAAAACTCTTCCAATACCTATTTTCTCAAAGATTAGAATTTGAAGGAGTGTTCCAAACTAGATAGAATACTCTCTTCTATCTAGTCTTCTCCAACCCATAGAGAATCTACACTTTTTTTCTTCCATTGGCCCTAAGGTGTCCTTTAAGTTGGCAATGTCGATAGATATCGTTGCACAAAAGTGTCTTAATACCTCGAGATATGTTTTACTGTTCAACTCTTTCAATCTCTCCTATGGTGCTACTATTGATTCATTACTGTTATGTTCTTGTACGTTCTTTGAATAATTAATTTACTGACTCTAAATATCTGATGTTTGTTATTATTTTATTCTCTTCAACTTGCTTCTATATACTCTGGTCAGTCATCAGGATCACGAGGGGTTCAAATTTGATAACACTGGAGTTCTAAAGGCTTCAAACTCATTTAGATGGTGACACTGAAGGGGAGGACTGTCGTGGCATCAAATACCATTGTTTAAATTATTGTTTTGACATATAGAAGTCACCAGGGTCGTAAATCAAAATTTTTGATATGTGACCGAATGACACAATTACAATGTCATGAAACTGGCATTAAATATGTTAACACCAAGTGCTGTAACATCGCATGCTGAGCACTGCCATGGCATTAGATGGCACAACATCAATGGTATTGTCTGAAAAAGCATTGTTCCACCATTTGAGGGTTCTGCTAATTTAATATGTTATTTGCGTATACTCATTAATATAATCTATTCATTGTTGTTTTTACATAACAATTTTGCAACTTTATTTTTGCTCTGATTCTAATGATAATGATGCTTGTAAGTAAATACAGTAGACTTCTTTGAGTATAAAAATGTATTATTGGTATACAATAATTATAGTAACGTGAGTGTGTTCACTAAATTGTGTTAAAAAGCAAGACTTTTTCCTAGATAATTCACTCAGTCGCAAGGTCTGTTCTGGTTTCTTCAAAATTTGCTGCAAACCATCCGAGATCCAGTGGGATGGTTAAAAACAAATTAGTCGCCGCCTAAAACTGGTCATCTAGAACAGCTTTCAACATATTTCTAAAAAACCAGAACAGACCTTTTGAAACATTCTCACCAGTTGCCCTAATTTCAACTGTGTGGATGATGATTGCTCTTTCAGTTCAACTCAATTTGTCTATTGAACACTTCGACGAGACAAGATGCTTTCCTCGTGGTGAACTGAAGGAACAAGTATTTATAAAACATAAAGAATCATTTATCTATAGAAAAAAATGTCAAGAATCTAAGGTAATCAGCAAGGAGCTGGAATAAAAAGGTTACCGAAGTTTTTGTAGATAATGGTCACAGAAAATCAAAATATGATTCAAAGAATCAATCAATTGTTATGACAGTTTTGTGTGTTACTGGTTTTTACATATTTTACAATATTAAAAAAATGGACTTTTCTAAATAATAATAATTTTTTAATTAAAGATTTAGGTGTAATTCAAAAAGTAACATTAGAAATTAATAGTACTAATTAACCAATACGGAATTGATATACACAATACTTGAAGATTTATTTTGAGTAGAAACATAAAATAAATAATTATTTCTTGTTGCTCAAATCAAAAGTTTTATGAAAATCTTTAAGATTTAAGTCTGTATCGGATCTAGAAGTCAATTAAAAATACCAAGAGAAGATGAAAAATATGTATGCTTTGTTAGTGTTAGAACATGCACAAAGCAGTGGATGTTTAAAAAATCTCAGGAGTGGTGGGAAACCTCACCAGGACAGAGACAGGCCAAAAAGTTCTTAAAAGGACCATCGTCTAAACTCACCGTTCATCTACTAAGCCTTAATAGGAAAAATACTAGAATACTAGTAGGTCTATTAACAGGGCATTGTAGGCTTAACAAACATATGTTCAATATCGGTCTGACAGAAGAGGCCTTGTGCCGATTCTGTCAAGAAGAAGAGGAAACGGCAGAACACGTATTGTGCTACTGCGAAGGTCTAGTAAGACTGAGATTCCTTACACTTGGAGAAGAAAAACCAAGGGCAACTAGCTATACCGGAGAACTACTTTCCAGTCTATGGAGTTTACTACAAAAGACCGCATTAGACAAGGTACTCTAAACAATGATTAAAGGATATCCACAATAGATCTGAAAAGGTCGAGGTGGGGGAGGCCACATGGCCCATAGTCCTAATTAAATCTAATCTAATCTAGTGTTAGATGGTTGTGACTTTAGAAAGAAACATTTCAAAAAATAAAATACACCAGAATCAAAGGAATTTTAAGTAAATACTAAAAAAATGAACTAAAAATAAAATATTGGTATATGGTTTGTAGCTTTGTACCATAAATTCTAGAAAAACAAGAGAGAAAAGCTTTCTTGAAAGATGCATGTGCATTTTAAAATCGAGAAAATGACGTTGAAGTTTCAAAATTATTGCTGTTAAAATCAACTTACCCAAAACACACAATAATAAAGACAAAACTCCAAAACTCTTCATTTTGAAAGTGTAGGTTTTTGCTAGTGCAGAAGTGAAATATACAATACAGATCAGAAATCCATAGGCACTTCATATATATACTTTTCGAGAGGTAAATATAAGTTGCCCTCTTGCAGGAATTAGTAGATAATTGTTTTTCAATAACACAGATAAAGGGGGATTTTTCCTTATAGGAATTTCGATAAACAAGAAAAACAATTTTGCATTTTTTAACAGCACCAGTATTATGAAATACCAAGTAATATTGCAAATACGAAACTTGTTTATGTTGGCAGAAATTAATCATTTTTGCTACTTTGTATCATTTAAAATTCGACCTATTCCAAGATAATGTATGTTGTTTTATTATGTTTAGTATATAGTTTACAATTCACCTAATTTGATTTGGAAGCTTTCAATGTTACCTAACTATCTGAAAAGATAATCTACCAGCAACACGATGTGACAATATTTTCTTGGGGCTCCTAACAGATCATTAATATTTAAATAATTTAAAAAACAGGGTTATTGATACCATATTTCCAGTTCTGGGGCTACATGTTTGCGACCGATTCTGTTGATATAACAAACCCTTTGATTTGACATTTGAGGACTTAATTTTCCAAGATTGGTTCAGCCCTATTTGGCGCTCATCAGACAGAGAAGCAGTCAGCTTGAGTAGAATATTTAATCTAATCTAAAGATAGTTTAATCATTTAAATTATATACATAAATACCTGAAGTCTGTTGTTGTAAAACCTTTTTGCACACTCTAATAGAGAAAAATAGAGCAACTCTATATATATAATGAAAGATTTTATAAGGAAATAGACGATAAGGCGCTGGGAAACAGTTGCTCTATTCTGTAGAATTTGCAAGGTTTTTAGTCTATTTTGGGAAGTTTTGCTCCAAATGAGAGTTAAATATGATAGATGTGAATGAATTAGTGAATGATAAAGTCTTCCTTAAGTCAGCTGAAAGGTAGCAGGCAACACATCCCAATACTCCAATGGCAGGACTATTTTTTTTTACACAATTAAGCAATATGATGTTCCAAGTTGAGCTTGGAATCTATGTATAAGCCAAGATATTTAATGCATTCTGTCCTAGTCAACTGTTCATTGTCTATATTTATTTGGAATTGGTTCCATTCAGGCTTTTTTGATATCACTAAAAAACTTTTTAGTATTCAGAGTTAATTTAGGAAACTTTAACCACTCAAGAATTTGAATTAGATCTTGCTTTATAATAATACTTTATTTCGTCTGTATCTTTTCCAAAATAGATGAGACAAGCGTCGTCAGCATAAAGTTGTAAATAACCAGCTAATGGTAGCTGAGCTATGGAGTTTATATAGATCAGGAATAACGTTAGTCCAAGAATTAACCTCCTGGGGTACACCATATTGTAGATCAGCTATTTTACTTGAGGTATTTCCATTACTTACAACCATTGAAATAATCTCTGAAGAAAGACAATGCATTTACTGTTATTTCATAGTCTCCCAAAATAGATAACAGTACTGAGTGATTAACAGTATCAAACGCCTTTAAATCAAGTGGTGAAACAATGATACATGCATTGCCTTCATTCACATGATGTCTGATGTTGGTAATCATATCTGTAACTGTCGACGTTGTGCTACTTCCACTACGAAAATCATACTGTCCCTTGTACCAAAAATTCTTCTTTTCAAGCAAGAGAGAAAACAAGCCTTTGATTAATACATTTTTTCAGGACTTTGGAGATAGACCTTAATAGAGATATCGGTCTGTAGTTATTAGTGGAAGTTCTTAGCCCTCGTTTAAATAATGGTAAAACTTTAGCTACTATTAGTCCATTGGAAATTGAAGCATGAGTGAAAGTTAAGTTTATTAGGTTACTTAAGATAACCGTGTAAGTAGACTCCGGTATATTTTCTGTTAAGGCTTTACCTATTTCTGTAAAATGGGTGTGAAGAATATCTGCAATTTTCTTAGGAACTTCTTTAAAGTCATCTTCTACTTGCAGTTTATTTACTGTGTTTTGTTGCTTTGATATTTTATTATGAATTAACAAGTTTAACACTGACCATATTTTTCTTGGATTACCTATGGCACTTGTTAGCTGATTGTGATAATATTGCTTTTTGCATTAGATATAGCTGCTTTTAAGATAGTTTGACTGTTCTTGTATTCACTGTGAAGCAGAGCACTATTGGGACAAAACTTATGCCTTTTATAACACGTATCTCTGTGCTTGATTAGGTTATGCAAATTAATGTTAAACCATGGATAACTTTTAGTTCTAAAACGGTCTTTATATGTCCTACAGGTGGTATCGCTTTGGACTGTTCCCACTATTTGATCACACAAGATATTTGGATCCTGCCACACAGTGTTAATTATACCTTGAAGATCTTTTCTACATGCTAACCTATTTAATTTAAATCATTTATAATATTTTTCATTGTTAATTGATGTGCATTGTTTTTTTGCAATATCTGTATTCTATGATCGCTTAAACAGTAATCAATCACAGCCAAATTACTGGAGTATCCATCATTTAACAAAACATAATCAATTAAAGTTCTTGAATTGTTCTGCACTCTAGTTGGAATGCTATCATTTAAATTAATAAAATTTAGTAAATGAATTAGGTTTCTTTTGTACATATCATTTTTATCTAAACAGTTAATATTAAAGTCTCCCAAAATAAACGTTTTCTTTTTATGGTTATTGATATTTTCTAACTTTTCTTCTAAAACGTTTAAAAAAGTGTTTTTATCAAAATCTTGAGGTCTATATATAGCACCTATAACAAAGTTCCTTTGTTCTAATCTCATAAATAGCATAGAACATTTTTCACTTAACCTGTCAATTTCTGTGAAATTGTAGCCTTCTTTTACTAGAATGCCAACTCCACCTCTTGTTTTATTTCTTAATTCATAAATTGCATTATAATCTGGCCAGGAGAAAGCCACGACTCTGTAACAACAATTACATCAGGTAGATTGACAAGTTTACTTAGTGCTTCAATTTCATCTAACTTATTACGTACTGAGCGAGCGTTTAAGTATAATATAGAAAAAACAGATTGATTTGCTTCATTTTTAAACTCATCAAGATTGTTATAGAATTTGGGACTTGTATTAGCCATTATAATAAAGTTTTATTCAACAATAATGGCATCAAAATGTATAATAAACTCCCTATTGCTATAAAAAATGAAAGTTGTTCTAAATCTTTTAGGAAAAAACTTCATGAACGACTAGCTTGCAAAGCATACTATGACTTAACAGAATATTTTAACGACGACACCTTGATAATTTCTTTCACATCTGTTTAATCAAAGCCATACCTAAACAACTTTATTTTGATTGTGTAATGTTTATATCTGTACTTCTAATGTTTTGTATATTTATTTGTTTGTCAACAAGATTTTATCTTAGACAATAAACGCATATTCTTTCTCTTTCTCACTTAGAAAACAAAGTTAACCGTGGCGAGTATTGGCTAACACCGGCCGATATAATAGAAGCATCTCTTGGCGACGTTGTCAACTATATTAAATTTGCAGGCTTGCTCATGAGCTAGGAAGTGCCTATCATCTTAGGAGGATGCACAATGGGAACAGTTAGGCCTAAGTGCCGCGGGGTAACCAACTCTTCACCCGTTACAGATACAGATTGTTATATAGAAATTCCCAAGTGTCTCCCTCATAAAATATTGCAATGTCATCAGCAAAACTTGTAATGGCACCTTTCATGTTTATTTTCAATAAACTATTTGCATATATAGCGAATAGTAATGGTCCAAGAACAGTGCCTTGCGGAACACCAAAGATTACAGCTTTCATATCGCTCGTGACAGCATCAAGATAAACCTGTTGCTCTCGATCTTTTACATAGCTTTCTGTAAGTCGAAAAATTCTGCCCCTGAATTCATAACCTTAAAGTTTTTGAAGCAGTATATTAGACGATACCGTATCAAAAACTTTAGAGAGTTCAACTAATTTGCACAATAATTTTGTTTCTGAATTTACATAAATGATTTTTTAAAGAACATTCTTTTTTGTAATAATTTTGAATTTATCAAAATGTTAACAATTTTGATTTTTAAAATATGTTTTATAATTTTTGATAAGGTAAATATTAGTTATATTGGTAGTATGTGTTATTTAAATTGTTAAGAAAAGATTTTAACTACAAATTTTCGATTTTGCCACTAAATTTTATAGATACCAACGTTTTATTTTTTTGAATAAAGCTCTGAGTTTCCAAAATTATTACATAATATTTACATTTACAATAAATGATTATAAATATAATAATGTACAAAATGATAAAATAAAACATTGCGAAAACTGAATTTTTAATTAATTACTACATTTTTAATTTGTATAATTTAATAGATATCGAATTTTTCATCAGTTATGATGCCATTTTTAGACTTCCAAACTATAATATTTTAAAATATATCTGTAGAACGTGTTGAGCACATGAACCAATATTAAATAGTACGTAAAAACAAATATGTATAAATATTTTGAGATAAGCAACGATTTCTTTTAGTCGATTTAAATATTTTCTTCATTGGTCGTTCATTGATTGTCTATTAAGAACAGAAGAAAAATGAAGGTGTTTTGTTGTTTATTTTTCACTGCATTCTGTGAGTAAAATACCATTTTTTTTATATAGATAAGAGTGCAATCAGTGTTATTTTTTATATGGGAGTGTAATAAACGTAGAACTGGTAAACATTTTTTTTTAATATGACTGATAAGAATGAAATGTAAAAATATACTATTTTTCTATTTCCTAAGAATAAAATTGAGTAGCAGCATTCTGGAAGAATACAATAAATTTTATAAATTTAGAATTTCTAAGTAAATATTGTATTCAACCCCAGAATATTTTTTAGTAATATTACAGGGTGGCCAGGCAACATCAAAGGCCTTAATTTCGCTATAGTCTAAGTAAAAGTAGGGATATAACGTCACTTTCCATAGGCGTACTTTGTAAAATAAGTTTCTATAATATAAATAAGGTCACGGCATATAAAATGGTATATACGCACAGTGTCGGACTGGCCCGGTCGGCATTTGCCGACGGGGCCAAACCCTTTTGGGAGCCAACGGTCAAGCACTAGAGATAAATCACCATCATAAAAATGTTGTTTACAATAATTCAACGAAATCTGGCAACATTGGTGCGTCTAGACGTAGTCTAGGCTGCTGAGACAATTTGTTCTACGTTGATACTTGTTTTTTAGAAATTTCTGCAAATATGAAACTCTTTTAATACCATTTATCATGATAAAAAATTTTGAATACGTGACTCTTGCCTCAAATTATCTTGAGACAGAAAGTATTGATTTTATCCAAGCATACCATTTGGTAACAAATCTGAAAGCAATGCTAAATAAAATATATGACAAACTTTAATTGTTAAAAAGACGAATGTATTTTTAAATTATATAAATCAAATTGAGACCATTAGAAATAAAGATATTGTAATTGAACATGAGCTGCCACATCAAAGGTTAAGAAAAAGGAAACGTATGGTAGACAAAACAACTGAAGATTCCGTTATTACCGATCCAATAAAAAAATTTGAAGTTGAAGTATTTATATCAGTAATTAATCAGGCAATTCAAAGTATAAGTCAGAGATCTGAAGCCAACAAACAAATTTATGAAGATTTTTCAAACCTTCAAATTTTAAAAGCTTGGATTTATTAAGCGACTCCAAATTTACTGATATTGCAGAAAGATTGGGATCGATAATGTAGAATTAAAAAATGAATTATTGAGTTTCACACAAATATACCCGGATATTAAAAAAAATGTAAAAACAGACCTCTGCATAAATAAATCTGAAACAAATGAATAAGTAGGTTGCATACACTGTACTTTTAAAATTATAAGAGAATACAATATGCATATATCCACTTTTTCAAATTTGTATATGTCTTATAAGTTTTTAATTACTTTGTCTTGCACCCTAGTGGCATGCGAACGAGTATTTTCTCTATTAAAAATAGACTTAGATCTTTATTAGGCCACGAATTATTGCAGGCCCTATATTAATGAATACGGAAAGAGACATCTTAAATAGTATTAACCCAGAAAAAATTATCGATAAGTTAGCTTCCAGAAGCTCAATTTATTATAATGCTTTGACTTTTTAAGCTTCGTTTTTTCTGATTGTGTAAGCCTATCATTAATAAGCTAGTTTTTTGTTTTTGTTATGTTCTTTAAGAATGGTAGTTTTATTTTGTTTTGTGATTTTGTACGTGTACCTGTTTATTTTAATTATTATATTTTGTGATAGAAATTTTTAGTCAGATTTAGTCAAATAGTACTTACTTATTTGCACTCCTATTTTTGACTATGTAATATTAATTTTCTTATTTGTTGTTGATCATGAAAGCTGATTTTTTTTTATGTTAATTTGTGATTTTTTCCTTTTTTTACTTTTATTTTTATTTATTTTGGTTTTAATATCTAAAATTGTTTCGTTTTGTTGTTTAATTAAAAAACTAAAAATGTTTTATATAAAAATTAACCTTTATTTTTTATTTATTACCTACACAGTATTTATATTATGTTTTAAACGCATAATTTTACAGTTTTTTTAGATTATTTGAAACGGTTGCAAATTACTAGAAATTTCATGATTTTGGACTATCTACTATTTTAACACTACTTTTTAATATATAAATTCTAAATATTTTTGTCTTAAATGTGATTAATCACCTTTATGGGAATATTCGAGTTGGTCAAAGAGAGTAGGATGGGGGGCCAATTACTCGTGGTGCCGATGGGGCCAAATTTAGCCAGTCCGACCCTGTATACGCACGTAAATTAAATTTTGAATGAAAAATGTTATATTATTTACAAAAAATAAAAATAAACCTTATGCTTCTAACAAAATTGTTACACTTACTTATATATAAATTATAATATATACTAATAGAAAATTCCAAATCAATTAAAATACATACGGTACGGCTATGAATAAATAAAGTCCGACTTATCTGTCAAAAGAAAAAAAAATTACGTATTAAATGATTAGGTATAAATAAAATGTCTACCTCTTAAACCTGTACTAAGTTCTGCAAATTAAATTATTGCAGTCCTTTCTTCTAAATTACTAGAATTTCAGACCAGTTGATTGAATTTTACAGCATTCTAAATCTATTACTATTTTTCGTTAAGAGTGCATTGCTACACGTTACCTACGTGTCAGTTTTCGTTATTTGTTTAAATTTATACATTGAAAGTTATTATAATTTAACAGTACTTCAACTGCCCTTGCTAATTTACCTGATACCATTATCAGGAGCATTAATAATGGAAAAGCTGGTATCCTGATTCTTTTGGACTTTAGTAAGGCATTCGACACGCTAAATCACTGTAGGTTTTGGTATATGAGTTAGACATCTCGCTATAATAATAAAAATTTATTTAGACCTCAAAAAAAGTATAATATTAAAATGTATTGACAATCTTCTTCGTCAGTACTTGTCGTCGTCTTGTTAATTATTCTTTTTTTTTTTCGTTTCCATAAAAACTCCATGACCACGGTCGTCAAGGCTCGACCAATCAGGGCACACCTTAAAAGACGTCGAGCCTATATATCTACCTAAAGCTTAACAACGTTATGACCATGACATCAGTTACGACATCGACACTTGACCAACCTCAAATACTTAAAAAATTTAAAATGAAATGACATATGTCAAAACTAAAAAAGGTAAGGTTATGTGGGGAACATGATGTCGCCACATATAACCTCCCCGCTCAAAAATATTATTAAACTCACAAAAAAATTAAAAAATTACGAAACTAACCGTAAGTTATTGGGTTTAATACAAAAAAAAACCTTTTTAACTGGTTTCTGAACAACGCTATGAACAATATCTTGTTCAGCTAATAAAAAGGCTGGGCTTCAACCTATCTATGTTGATTAATGATTCTTTACCATTAATTAAAATTTTAAAAACCTTATCGTTTCTACTAATCACCCTATATGGCCCTTCAAAAGAAGGGGTTAAGGAAGGTTTAATACACTGAACTTTAACAAAAATGAAATCATTTTTCATCAAATTATTACGGAGTTTAGCCATAAGAGATGCTCTTAATGTCCTATGGAAACGTTCTATGATAGGTAGTGGTATGTAAATTTTTAAATCCTAATTTTTTACTAAATTCTTTAAATAAATGTGACTCGAATTGGCTACCTTGGTCATGCGTAATGCTATGAGGTACGCCAAATCGAGCTATATAATTGTTTATTAAAGTTTTTATTACTTCTGTGGTAATTGTTGCTAAAGGGTAAGCTTATACCCACCTAGTGAATAAAGTTAATAAATATGAACAATTCCCTGAAGGTTTAAGAGGTCCAACAATATCTATTGAAACCTACCTTTTGGAACCGAAAAATCACTAGGAGCTGATTTTGTGTGTCTTGAAATCTTGGTATTTTGGCAACTGATATAAGACTTTGACCAGGAATATATATCTTTACTCATCTTAGGCCAAACATATCTATTTTTGATCATTTTTAAGGTACTCTTACCTCCTGTATGTGCCAAGTTGTGTACTTTAGTGAAAATACTATAATGATAGTAACTTGGGAATGTAATGTAAGGACAATTTTTTCTCGTATTCTAATTAGTAATTTAGTATAAAATGCTTTTATCATAATTTTACCCTCTTCCAATTAATATTTTAGAATTATCCCACCTTAGTTCACAAAATAGAAGCCAAAAATAAAATTTGAACACGAAATTTTTTTAGTCGTAAAAAACCAAAATACTTCCACATTCGGCACTTTTTTTTTATTTCTGAGATATATTGATGGGCTTACATTTCGTCAACGCTAACAAGCCGTTTCCAAATCCCTATTAATAGTTTTCCTTATTTATACCTTTTAAATTATACTCCTGCCTACTTAAGAAACTACTTCTATTTTTTAATCCTAAATAATATTGACACAGTACCCAATTAACATTTACTGTAAGTTCAATAATGCCAATATCTCGTTAAAGTCCAATGTTTGACCTCTAAGCTGTATCTATGGAAACAAACTAAACATACATATGTTATTAATTAATCATAATTTTCTTTTTATTATTACTAATCTGTTAAACAAAGTTGTTAAGGAGAAATTTTGACCTTTACTTATCAACTGTTATTTGGAACGAAGAGAAACAATCACAGATTAATCTGGTCAAAAATGTTCTTTGGAATCATTACTCAAGGTTATTGCTATCGAGTAAACATATTTTATTTTCACCTCTATCCTTAAAAATATAATTCGGGTTTATACAGACAGTCCGTCTAGTGAGAATTAGGCATTGTATACTCCATTTTTAAACTAGGATAATCTATATATTAGTATGAAATGGTTTTAAGAAGGAAATGGGTGGTTAGTTTGATAGAAGAACACGAGGAAATGATGGGACAAGGAGATAAGGATGTACCGGATGAAAAGAATTTAAAGTTGTAGAAGAAGAACAAGAGAAAAAATGACAAGATAGATCTAATTCAATATTCAATATTGTTCTACCTTCAAGAAGGTTTAGAGTTATTGTTGTATCTAGATTCATTTCTAAATGTTGTATATTAGAAGAGTCTTCCACAAGTGAGTTATAATAGAAACAGCTAAAGGAGAACATTGATGTGCCACGATTGGGTTAGCATAATTATTTTGAAAGCCAGAACATTTTATTTATTTATTTATTTATTTATTTATTTATTTATATTTACATTTCCATAAGACAATTTTAATTGTATTGGAATATAGTCATAAAAATAAACTAAACTGCTGGCCACTCGAACTTACACATAGAGATTTTTAGGCAAAATTTAAAGTCCAATATTTTCAACAGGAATGCAAATTTTTGAACTCGGCTTGCAGATTTTAAGAGCTAGTTTTTTCGGATTAAGCTGCTATACGTATATTTATCATAAGACTATAGGTTTAATATATACGGGGTGATCAATGAAGTCATATAAAAAAACAAAAAGTTTGTATGAGTGAAATTTCTGCCAAAAATTTTTTTGGTCGTTACTAAGGTAACATCAATATCTCTAGACATTCTTGTCAGTTTTTGGATTAAGGACCTTAGGTCTCGTACATACTACTAAACATAAAATTTGGGTGGCAATTTTTTTAAAATGCTATAACTTGACATGGGATTGACGGTTCATGATGAATTTTGCTGATTTGGAATCATTATTTCACGTAGATTTTTTATGGTCTAAGCATTTTGTTTGAGGTTTGAAATTTACACGATATACCTGGTCGATAATAGACAAAAATGGTGCAAAAGAAATAAGTTACCGTTAAATGTTAAAAAATGTAATGTAATGACATTTACTATAAAGGAAGCATCAATATTATATAATTATAACCTACAAATCGACCAGAACTGATTAAAGATCTTGGAGTTTTCTTTGATCCAAAATTAACGATTACATTTCACATTTAAAAAACAACTGCTTCTGCTTATCGAATTTTAGGTTTTGTTATAAGGAATATGAGATTGTTCAATGACTCTTCAACGATGAAAATACTTTTCTCTTCGCCTGGTTTTGTAAAAATTAGAATATGCCAGTATCGTTTGGAGTTTGATAAACTCCAATCACATTAACTATTTGGAAAAAGTGAATTGAAGATTTTTTAAATCAGCTTGTCTTTTAAGTGATGGTATCTATCCCATAAGTCTTTTAAAAAGAAGAGCAATGCACTCAGTGATATGTCTTTTCAAGTTATTAAATAACAAGGTGGATTGTATTTCATGTTTGGAAATGTTAAATTTTCCCGAAGAAATCAACTATTCTATCAACAAGCACATAGAACTAACATATACAAAGCATCGCCTTTATTTCAAATTATCTTAAACTATTCGAACATTAAAGATGATATAGATATTCTTAATTGCTCTGTTGCATCTATTAGAAGTATCTTTCTGTCAAATTAAGTTGCGCAGTAATTATTAAAGGCGGAAATGGTTGCATCCTTTTTTTAACCGACTTTAAAAAAAGAGGAGGTTCTCAATTCGTCGCAATATATTTTTTTTATGTATGTTCAGCGATAATTCTTTAACACAGTCTTAGAATTCAATGATTCTTTTTTTGTTAGAAAGGGGGTCCTCAAGGGTGAATCCATATAAATTTGGTTAAGATGTGGATGGCATCTGCACGTTTTTGAAGTCGGTTTTTTAAATTTTCAATTTCTAATACTTGTTATATATGTAAATATTTTTTCAGGATGCACCCGTGTCTGTTTAAATTCGTGTTTATTTAGATATGTATATAAATAAGAATAATTATTTATGTTAATTCTCAATTCTTGTAATATTCCTTTCCTTATCCTGTAATTAGAGGCAACCTTGTTGGATATTGTAATAAATAAATAAAATAAATATTAACAATAACTTTTCATTGGGTCTTTTAATAAAGACACTCTATATATTAAAACATTATCAAAACAATGCTTAAATAACGAAACTAAATATTATATAAATAATTGCTTTATCTGCAAAATTGATAAACAAAATCTAATAACTTTTAAAATATTTACATTAAATTAGTAAAAAAAAATGATCAAAAAGCATATTAATCATAAGAGATAAATATGTTTTGAATATTATTCGAATTTTCTTGGAAAAATCCATTGGACATTTCTGGGAAAAGAGCTAGAGAGAAAGTCTTGTACTAAACAAAAATATAAACTTTGACTGAAGAAAGTAAATAAATTTAATTGATAGTGTTTTTCTTTGATACCTCCAATTGGAAAGGTTACTTCTTATTTACCTTTTAACTTTCTCTTCCTGCCTTTAAAATAATTTTTTATATCTCTTCCTTTATACCACCACACTTTTCGTATTCCTATTATTTTATCTTTTGCCTCCAATTAGAAAGGTTTTTATCTGACCTGTCATTTCGCTTTCAACTTTTTCTTCCTGACTTTATACTCATTTCATCTCTTTCTGTTTACCAGCACATTTTTTTTAATCTTCTTTTCCCTATCTACCTCCAATTAGAAAGGATTTCATCTTACCTCTCCTTCCCCTTTCAACTTTCTCTTCCTGTCCTATACTCATTTCCTCGTGTCCTTTTCTGTTTGCCATCGCATTTTTTTCATTATTACATCCTTTTCTTTTATTTTTCTACCTCTACTTTCACAGTTCTCAACCATTTAACTTTCCTATCATTTAGGGGTGTCATCATCCGAATTTTTTCAAAGGGGAAGAGTAGTCAAGTGATACCTCATTTAAAAGGTCTTGTCATACAACGCTGAGATTTTGAAAATCGAGCTACAAATAAGCATTGAAGGATAAAGTATAAATAAAGTCTACCTCTTGAACCTAGCTTTAATACGATTTTTTTTCCTTTTAGCTTTTTCAATTTTTCTTTAGTTTTTCTTCTTCTTAGGTTTGTGGGAATGGATTCCTTTTTATTTTCGCATTTAAAAATGCATTAAATATTTAATTATTGAAATGTATTTTTTTTTCTTCAGGTTGTGGTGTGGTACACTGCTCAACAACTGAAGAATCACCTTATAACAAGGATGTAAGAATGATAGCACAATTAAGACAATTGGCAGAAGAACCCGACCAATTAGCGAAATTGAAAAGAGCAGTTTTAAACGTTTGTCCAGAATCTGGGGAAAAATTAGAGGTAAACCCTGAAAGTTTTTATTTTCTAGTTATAAGACAAGGACCACAGTCCTATATTATGTATTAATATCAGAGATGTTGCGTTAGATCTAATAAAAAATAAAATATGTAACTCACGAAGCACATCAAAGATAATTAAATTTGGAGTTCCGCAAGGTACTATTTTGGGACCTGTACGATTTACAGCATAAATAAACCGTCTATTACAAATAAACTCAAATGGAAACATTTCCTCTTTCACTGACAAGTTCTATATATAAATTATACAACATGTCCCCCTAAGTTATTCTTCATAAAAAGTTCTGCATTATCTAAAACCTAGAATACAGTCATCAAATATCAATTTTTTTCAGTGGTATACGAGGTTTGTTAAAAAATATGAGTTTTACTCAAGAGTAAAGTACCTTTATTCTTTATACGACTGATAAAATTTGATATCTGATGGTTGTATTTAAGGTTTTAGACCATGCTCCACTTTTTATAAGGAATAACTTTTTTCGCAATATTAATAATAAAAAAGATTTTCATATGCCGCCAATTTACGTAGACAGTTGGTCGCATAGGAAAGCTTTTTTTTACTAATTTTAGGAAAAAAAGTTGTTCTTTATAAAAAGTCGAGCATGGTCTAAAATATAAAATACAACCATCAAATATCAAATTTTATCAGTCGTATAAAGAATAAAGATACTTTACTCTTGAGTAAAACTCATATTTTTTGACAAACCTCGTATACCACTGAAAAAATTTGATATTTGATAACTGTATTCTAGGTTTTAGATAATCCAGAACTTTTTATGAAGAATAACTGTTTTCTTAAAATTAATAATAAAAAAGTTTTCCATATGATTCCAACTTAGGGGGACATACTGTATATAAAAAATTAGCTTTCTCCTGTCGAAATAATATTTTTGTATTTTTGTTTTAGAAAGCTTACATGAAAATGCGGGAATGTATCTCTTCAACTGATTTGGAAGCAGAAACAATGTGTTCTTTTGTAAAAAACCACGTAGAAAAATGTTCCAGACCAATCATTTCTATGCTAGAACAATGTCTTCCAGATAAATCAAAAGATCTGCCATCTTTCTTGATGAAATCTGCCGTTTCTTCAATAAGATATGTATGCAAAATTGATGGTGAACATCTTTTTGGTAAGTTAGGTGTTTATTTTGTTTAGAATTTTGATTATAGGGAAGATCGAGGCAAACTTTATTATTATTAAGTTTGCCATTGCTATATTCACTTTCCAACATGAATGTGGTAAGGGGGCAATCTGAGAATTTCATTTCCTTTTTCTTGGGCCATATAGTCTACAATATACTTTTTGATTTTGTTTTTATGTTGCCTTGCTATTACGTGTAATTCTGTCTTTAAATGTTTAGGAAGAATGACAATATTTTGAAGTTATTTTGAAATATCTTCTTTTTCCTATATTGTTGTATAGAGTGACTCCTTTAATCGACTGTGATAGGATGCATAATTCAAAACAATGAAGGAGTTGGCTGGAATTTTTTTTATAATGTACGGAAACCAATTTTCAAACATAAAGCCATCCATTTCTTCGGGGTATTCTTTTGTTTTCTTTGACCTGCACTCCTTTCTTCTCTAGACTATAATTTCTTCGCTGGTTAAACCAACCTTTATTTTTCTTTTTCTGATTCTCACCACATTTTCCTAAAATAGTTTTTATAGAACTCTATACTTTCTGATGGAGTACACACACATTATAGATAACCAATGTAACCCATCAGCCTCACATCCTTTGTATTAAAAACAATGGAGAAGGCTGATGATAATTATATCAGAACGAAAGTCCTGGAGAGGTTGCCACTCCACCACAGCCAACACGCGTACCGAGCAGGAAGATCTACAGAAACTGTCCTGGTACAGTTGACTGACAAAGAAACGGTCGTGTGTGCCTTCCTAGACATAGAAGAAGCTTTTGACAACACGCCACACGAATCTGTCAAAAGAGCACTTGCATACAGAGGAGTAAATAACATCACATCCAGATGGATGGCTCAGCTGTTAACTATGAGAACTGCAGAGATACAAATAGGGCAGGACACCATCTCCATCTGCACAACCAGAAGATATCCACAAGGAGGAATTCTATCCCCACTAATGTGGAGCCTAAGCGTAGACGAACTTCTATGCAGATTGACTGACTTCTGCATACCCTGTCAAGGTTATGCCGACGACATAGTCATATTTGCTAGAGGCAAGTTTAGAAATATCCTGTGTGATATAGTCCAATGAGGATTAGAACATACCAAAAGATGGCGCCATAAACCCTACAGAAACAACACTAGTAGCCTTTTCAAGGAAAAGAAAACCTTATCTCATAAGCGTTAAATTAGACGAGATATGTATAAAATGGAAAAACGAAGTCAAATATCTTGGCCTTACCCTGGAAAACAAACTTCTTTGGAACACACATGAGAAGGAAGTAGTAAATAAGGCCACAAAAGCCCTACTTGCTTCGGGACTAAAGATACCTGGGACATGCCCCAGGTTGAAATGCCAAAGAAGTAAAGTTTTGTGAAAAACTTCAAAACCACAGAGCTGGACTACAAGAAAGAATGGAGCCAAGAATCCATTGCGCTTGCAACCGAAAGACATGTTAGTCAGTGGTATACGGACGGTTTCAAAACCATAGAAGGAACTGGAATAGGAGTGTATGGGCCGAGAACCAAGCACTTCGAAATCTTGGGAAAATACCCAAGCATCTTCCAGGCGAAAATTCACGACATCGAAAAGTGTATCCAGTTTAACATCGAGAGAAACTATCATAGACAATAGATTATCTTGATGTCTGATAGCCAAGCAGACATCAAAGCGCTGAGATCTTACGTAATCAGCTCAAAAATGTTCTGGATATGCCTATAGCAACTGAATGAACTAGGAGAGAAAAATAGAGTTACTCTCAGTTGGGTCTCGGGACATAACGGGGTACAGGGTAACGAGATTGCAGATAGTCTGCAAGGAAAGGGGTTCAAACACCCTTTGTAGGACCTAAGCCGTTTTGCGGTATCCGCAGTAACATAATATTAGGAGAAATTAAAAAAGAATTGGGCAGTAGAAGAACCGATAATTGGAACAATCTCTTGGGGCTGAGACAGGCTAAGATACTTCTGGGTGAATATAACCAAAAAAGATCGGAAGCCTGCATCTGTCTGAGCAAGAACAGGCTACGTATTGTACCGGGCATTGCCGACTAAAAGGACACCTTAGTAAACTGAGAGTAGTAGAGGATACTGAGTGCAGATTTTGTGAGGAGAAGGACGAAACCTCCATTTACATTCTAACTGAATGTATAGCACTGCATAATCCAAGGGCACTATACCTAGGAGGATATCAAATAGAAGAGGGAGATTTACCTAACTTTAAACCACTTCAAATCCTACACTTCCTTAAGAAGATAGGATTGAAAGGGTCGTTATAGGCATTGAGACATTTCTTTGATGCATTAGCGACAGAAGGGGGCACAATAGATCTGTTAGGTCGCAGTGTATTAACACTCCATTCCCAGCATAACATAACAACCCAAAATGCAACTGTTTTTTTTTAATATCTCTATATTAAAAGAGAATGGTCATTCTTTATATCTCCTTTGGACAGTAAAATATTATTACATGCAACAATAATAACAATAATCTTTACAAGGAAAATTAAACTACTTTATTAATATTTTCTGTCAAATATTCGACAAACTTTAAAGACCGAAACGTTACTTGACACTAATCTTTGCTCTGACACTAATACGTTTGGGGTTAGATTTTATTTCAGAAATCTGCTTCACCGACTGACTTTTTCTACTAGATGGTTATAGTCAGTTATAGTAATAACATGTTTAATTTTAAATATACTTAAAACTGGACCCGATCTTTCCTACAGTGTCTCACAATTAAAAATATCGATAAATATTTTTTAAACACAAATCTATAAAAAGTTTGCATTTTTTTGAATATGAGAGAAGAAGCGCCTAACTTAATTTAATTTTTATTTTCTAGAATTGCAGAATCCATGTTTGTTGAATGGCTTAAAGAGGAGATGTATTTTGAAAACTCAGTCAAAAATGCAACAGTATGTTTCAAATACGCCTTCTAAACAAGAACTTTGCGAGTAAGTATTAATTATTTATTTTATCTTATATTTTAATTAATTTTTTTTATGAAATAATCAAAGTATAATAATAATAAAAAGAATTAGTGTGAAAAAACCTTTCATTATCCTTGACAAGCATCTATTTTTTCCATTAAAAGAAATTTAATAAACATTCTGTGATTGTTTCAATATTTTTTTATCAAATTAGGATGATTCAATATTTTTGAAACTTTTAAGTGTACATAAAATAAATTTTTGAAATTCATAAGATTGTGTTTTTTATACTAATAAAACAAATAAATATTTAACGCATACATGTCGCAAAATTCTGATATAAAAATTTTCATAAAAAAAATGATGAAGATACATCGCTAGAATTTATTTTCAAATTTCTATCACCGCCACTAGATGGAGTAATGTCTGTTGGTACAATATCCTGCATAAAAAAATAATTGCCTTTTTATCTCAATAATTGTTACTATGCATACCTCAAGTTTCACTCTAATCAAAAACTTTTTATTTTTTGTTACAGTTTCCTTTCATCATTGAGGTTTTGCTTAAAATCTCATGTAGACTCGTCTTGTCGTCACCCAATAACTAAAGAAGCGTTCATGAATCTTTTTGATACTAGTTTTAGTCTATGCGAAACTACAGATGAAAGTTTTAACGAAGTTGAACAATTTTAAATAGCATTTTCAATAACTATACACTGTTTTCTAAAATTATGAATAAAAAATTGTATTATTTATATTCATTTTAAAATAAATAAAATGCGAGTAGAAAATAAGTTGTTTCATTATTTGTGTCGCTTACCTAACTGTGATAAACAAGGCCCAAAGAATGCCAATGGCTCACGGGAGAATGATATAGGTCTTGTGTTCATTGAATTTAAAAGGAAGAGAACGGAGAAAATAGATATGTATCTGTAAGGCGAAGGAGGGTGATTTGCTCCCATTACCCTCCAGGAGCATATACAACATGTCTTTCAACTTGTCAAAACCTCCTGGTTGCTGCTGAGAGGTGTTTAGAGACATCCAGAGACACTGTAACGCATTATTTAGGGTCAAATTTTCCTCACAAGTGTCATTATTAAATGACAAACACCGATCTAATCTAATACAAAGTACCGATAGTACCAAAACCTAAAAAACTACTCATCTTTCAAAACGTGTTTTTATTTAAAAACTACATACATCAACCTTCTTATGTCGTTCTTATTCTAGGATTTTTGAAGCGAGTGGGTACCTATACTTAAAAGTTCGTAAAATCAAATTTTATCCAAATATCACCTATTGTTTCATAAGTATTGAAATGAATTTTGGTTTAATCATTTTCTTCATAAACTAATTTTTCAACCCATTTGCCCTGTATTGATCAAAAGGAAATTTTATTTTTTCCAAAGAAGCTTTTCTTTGAAACAAAACTCTGAATTAAAATCTAAATGTCCCATTTATTAAATCAACATTGGCAAACCAGATATCAACCTGACGGTGTCGAAATTTTAATTTATCATTCAAATATTTTTAAAATAATGCGGGTATGAACTGTACTTGATCTTATGAAATGGGGTTAATTACATAAGTTACATAATATGCAGAGAAAACAAATTTTTGTTATCTGTTCTTTTTTATTAATGTTAAGGCTGATTGTGGCATTTTAGGTAAACAGCTGTTTTGAAAGTATTATATATTAACATTAAAATTAGAATTTTGATTACTTAACTTATCTAGGGAATGCATTGGTTTTTCTAACGATATATTTTTAAATAAAAGGTTTCAAAAAATTAAATGTACACTCAGGAGTAACCAGTTAATTGATACCTATCAAAAATATGTCTAGTAAATTAGTTGAAAAAAAAATACCTTACAGAAATATGATTTAGGAAACAAATTCACATTTTTGTTTACTTCATTTTTTATCAAAAGTTTTAAGTTATCATGGTTTAAATAAAACACAACTTTTATTAAGAATATTTTTTTCTCAAAAGTTTTCTATTTGGTGCAAACTTTTTGAGACAACTGTATATAGACTTTGTAACTATTTTCCATTGCGATATAAAAAAAATCCTGGTCTTGATCCTGTGCTTGAATTATAAAGTTATAGGTTCTATGCTATTGTCAATAATGAAATAAGAAAGGATATGAATATACAGGAATTTAAATGGTTGCTACATATAATAAAAATAAAATTGTGAATTTTCACTTTATTTTCATACGTCAAACGTGTTGTAGAAATAATTTTAGTACCTACAGTAATTATATACAGAGGACCTTGGAATAAGGTATTATTACTCATACCCATAGAGTTAATATTTCACTTAAATGCAAGTGGTATGTAAATAATACACAGATAATATTACATGTGTAGTTTATTTTAGTTCATTTAAATATATTTCTTAATTGCTATCTGCTATTTTGGATGTGAGAAAGTCTTACAAATACAATAATTCTAGTTAATCGTCCTCCACTTATTGTCTCTATCATACTCTCGGTCTACCTCTTCTTCAGCTAGTTTGGGGTTGGTGCTTTAGGACCGCTTTTACAATTTTATCATTTTGCATTCGAAGTATATATCGCATCCACCTTATTCTTTAGGTCTTTATAACTTTTACTATATCTGCACCTTTGAACAGGACATATAGTTCCCTATTTTCTCTTCTATGCCAAATTTCATCAATTTATATCCTGATTTTAGCTTTGATGAAAACCTCTTTTGCCCCTTTTGTCCAGTACACATTGTTTCTTTATTTTAGATTCGATTTCTTCTTCATTTCTATCGATTTTCAGTAAACACACAAAGTTAATATAATTAAAATGTTCCACCCTCTCTATTTCTAGTTATTTGCCATGTATAATCTTACAAAATTTGGATTAAATATATCATTTACAACGTGTATGCTATCTGCACTTCGAAAATTTCAAAGTAAGTGAACAATTATTATCTAGTTGTTTCCTATAAAAATCGTAAATTTTAAATTTAATGGATACTTAGTTACATCTTGTGTAACACTATCTTCCTCTTTACTGTCGATATGTTGGTACCTTATTATGACGTAATTTCAATATCTAATTTACTATTAATTGTAAACTTAAATCTGTCATTACTTTTCTCTACTTGACTGAGTCTTACATTAGTTACCTATTAAGAGAAATGAAGAAATGTAGGTGTGTACCTGTACTATTGTATTAGGAAGTGCTTTTATGCAATTGTTGTTTAGTAACATCTTTAGGAACATTAAAATGTCTTATTAAATATTACTGGGTACTTCATGATACGATACTTGTTGCTTTTTAAACATAGTGAATATTTCAATTTTTGTATAACGAGATGAATTTAACAATTATTGTAAATTTTAAATGAATCAGAGCTAACAAAGTTTAAATTCTTATAATAACTAGACTGCTCTTTTCACAACACAGAAAGAATTTGAAAAGGCATTAATTTGGATGAAAATCTGCAGGGCAATTTGATAAAAAAAAGTTGGGTTGGTAAAATGAATTGAAGTTTTGTAAACGTTATTGGAATGCCAATAAAAATGATTTTGATTTAATTTGTATCTTTTCAAATAAGTGAGATATTGCATGTATTGTTTATCGTTTTATTTAATATCATGTGATTTGTTTTTCAGTGAAATATTATTAAATTGTTTTTAGTGTCACAGATTACATATATTCGAAATTTTGGATATGAGAAAGCTATCCGCAAAATGGTTGATACATTAAACCTTATTGTCGAATAATTATGGAAATGTATTCCTACATTGTTTTTTCTACTAGAGAATTTAAAAGAACTATAAGAATCATATTTTAAAATAATTTCCACAATCTGTACATACTTAATAAAACAAAACAAAAATAATAGTATTTTAGAAGGATACATAAAATGAGATTTTAGATCCATTTAATAGTCCTTAATTAATTAAAAGTGTATGTATATGTATAGATAGTAAATAGTTATATTCGTTATCAATACCTAATGCAAATTTTTCAAACCTTGCGTATATTTTTACTAATACAAGGTTGAAAAGCAAAAGTTTTAAGGCAACAATACGTCTTTTAAAAATTTATCGCTAATTTCCAACTAGGTTAAGGTATAAAATAAAAAAGAATTGCATTAAGGAAGATCGTATTTTGGACAATTTTTTCTTATTAATTTTGGAATTTAAATTAAAATCATTATTTAAGAATACTATGATTTTTAAAAGTATGCCATAAAATATACCTGTTTTTAGGCATCCTTCTGTCCCCAAACTCTTTTTTAAATTAACAGTGAAATCTCTTAAATTATTATTTCCTCATAATTAACATACAACAAAGTTTGCATTAACTAGTTGATGTTATCGTCCTACAGAAACAAATGGTGCATGGGGCTTGAAAATGCAGTACAAGGTTATCAATGTAATTACAATTACGTTAACACTGACTAGATTGATTTAACACCTAGAAAACACATGATTAAAATACTGTTTTCCCGCTACAAGGTATGTAAAATAGTGAGCGAAAATTTGTCATTTAGAAGATCACTTTAAATAAATAAAATTGAGGATCAATTCCCTAAATGTAGTGGGAGACAATTACTAGAAAACAAGAAACTAATTGTTCTACTAGCATTTCTAGATATTAACCAGACCATAATGGCCATTCAACAGTACTTAGAATGCCTAAAAAGTAAAAGAGACATCCTTACAAAGTAAGTTTAGTTCAGAAACGATTTTGATATTTGATAGATATAACTTTGCGAAATTTTAATGGAAAAACAACAAAGGTGTGGTTAAAAAAGTATTATCATGTTAAAGGTACATTCCTCCTAATGATTAGATGAGGTAAATCTAAATGTCATCTAGATTAAACCCCTTCGTGTACCACTCGTGGTGAGATAACACAAAACCATTACATTATATTAATTAGAAAACATTTAAGACACTTGTTCTGAAAATCCTTTTATAATATAATAATATTGCAACGAAATATATTATTAGTATTAATATCGGTGTTATTGTAAGTATTATTATCATATTATTAGTGTTATTTTTATCATTATTATTATTTTTATTATTATTTCTGTTTGAAAATTTGAATTGATTAAATCCTGTTCTGATTAAAGGGTTTTAAAATTCTATTATAATACTGTCTGAAAATTCTTTATACAATTTTAGACCTAAAGATGGTCTATAAAAGTCGAAATTAATCGCATCGTATTGTATTAAAATATGTGGTACTTATTACTTTTGAGTTTTATTCTTTCTTCAAGTATTTCTTCCATTTTTTTTATATTAACTTTTTTAGAACCATCAATCCTATAAATTCAGACATATTAAACGTTTTAAATCAAAAAAATAATACTTAGATATTGTTCCAACTGTGCAACATTATAAATAATTAATTATTCATGATTTGCTTCTTATCATAAATAAATGCTTACCTACCACACGCATTCGATTTTATTATAAAACTCAATATAAAATGTTTGCTAAATACCGCAAGAAATTAGAATCGCTTGGCCAATCGCGATCAATTGTTGAAATGTATGTAGAGCAATTGCAAAGGCTGGGTCAGTAATTGATTGACAATAAAAGATACCTTTTGTCAAACAGTTAAAAAATGGTATCCGTTATCCCATCAACAATTTGGTTCGAGTAATATAGCATAGGTACCTACAATTTTCTTTTCGTGCGAAAATATCACATAGATTTTTTTTGTAAAAACTTAAACGAGTGATTCAAAAAATATAAAATAAAAATCATAAAGGGGACGATGTTCAATATTTCTTATTTGGATAAAAAATGGTACTTTTTTAAATTTCATCTATTCTTGTGAAAACGACAAAAGTATAACAAATGTATATAGTGACACAAACTAATAAGAACTGATACTATTTATTGATCTATGTCAGATCAGGGCCGACAAGAGGGGGGGCAGTCGGGACCAATTCCCGGGGCCTGGGCTCAAATGGGCGCCCGGCAGCGGTATAAGGGGGACCCGGCAACCGTGGCCAACCGAGGTTTTTTTCTTTCAGAAGTTCTGCACAAGAGGGGGAAGTTTTTGCTTGGAGACCTTTTTTTGTTTAGAGAAATTCAAGTAAAGAGGAGGAGAAATTTTTTATAAAATTGTCACGGGGCCCGCATAATATACGAAGGCAGAAACAAATAAACAAACATACATACATACATACTTATCCTAGTGTCATGAAGAGACGTAAAGAAAGAAATCAACAGAGGATTTGTACAAGGACACTCGCTTCTCGTCCAGGAATCCGTCAGGACTTTTTATTAAAACACACAAAAATTAGGCGTCGGTTAGATAGCTATTCTGGTAATTACCTACAATAGGAAAAGAGACAAATGTGTCAATACTAATATTTGAGTCTGCAGATAGTGGTTATACATATAGTTTGGTGGTACTTTATAGTTTTTCAACCAGAGGGTGTCAGGAATTTCAGGTTGTATTATTTATTTATTAATTAATACATCCAACAGGCTTTATCAGTCCAAATAAATAAAATAAGTCTGGCAACGCCTAATTGTCTCAATAAATTTTTTAATACGTACTATTTTCAACTTTATTAAAACGTAACAATTGAAAGATTATAACATTTTTAACATAATGGTTACTTTATCAAGTGTTCAAAATGTGCTCCATTTGTGAGTTGACAGTAGTACCCTAATCGATGGTAGAATGCGTCTACCACATTTCTCCATGATTGTTTTATTTATTTTAGACCTTCCAGACTACATAAAATCATAAGTGTTACATATGGTTGAACTCGTATTGAATAGGAGATTCCAATAGTGACTGAATATACAGGGTGATGAATTTAAAAAAACCAAAGTGCCTAATAATATAAAAGAAACGGAAAATCCGGCAACATTGCAAATATCAAATCTGGAATCTCCGTATGCCAAAATAGGTGTACCCCAAATTTTGTACAATTAGGATTAGCAATTTACGAGATAATTGGCCGTTTCCAGACTTTTGGGCCACTCCGTATATCCGGGGAATAACAAGATTATCTAATTGATATTCATATAAGACAGTGTTTACTTTCCTGGAAAAGGACAGGACTTTGCATTTGTTAGTATTCAAAGATAGTTTATTTATGATACACCAGTTATGTAAGTTCACAAGGTCGTTTTGAAGAACAATGCAATCTGAGGTATCCTTTATTTCCCTATAAATTTTCATTAATGTATATTTCGTATGATTTGTAGATCAGAACAGCCCCAGCAAACATTTTCTATAACATTAGTTATAACTCGACTTTGTTAAAGACGAATTTACTTATTGAGGTAATTATTACGTAAAATTAACTAGAAAAATATACCTCTAATGTAAATTTACCAAACGGTTTTAATTTATATTTAAATTTACGTAAATTATACCAAGAAATTTACCTTTTATACAAATCTGCTTAAAAGTAACTTTAACCATATCAGCAAGGGAAAAACTACTTAAAAAAATAACCAATAATTACTTCAAAGTTAAATTTCCTTTGTAGAAAAATTAGGTGCCATATTTAGGTAATATCTACCTGTTTGGCAACTAAAAATCGTCTTTATAGTAGAATATTTAACTAGGTAGATTTGGTTAAAAATTCTACGTAATTTTATGCCTCCATAGTAACCTATTTGGCCGCTTTTATTTACTCTCCTTTAAAGTAATATTAGGTCGAGATCGTATCAAAATTCTACCTGTTTATCTACCTAATTTCAACCAAATAGTCGAATACTCATTTAGTTGACCTATAAGTCATCTTGAAGAAATATTTATTAACTTTGTTGTAGTAATTACCTGAAAAATCTACCACAAAGTAAATTCGACTAAAAACCACCAATTTAAAAAGAGTCATACATGACCTATTTGTAAAATTTATATTATTTAGGTTATTTTAACAATTAGGTTGTTCAGTTACTGTCTTCGTCATTATTCTTAAGAATTTCGGCCATTTAAAAAAAAAAACATTACAGTCGTAATCTTAATTTACGTGTGGTGTAGATAGAGCTTTAAATGAGTGCGAAAAATAATTAATAAAATGAGTTCGAAAAATAATAAATCATATCGTTATACTTCCGATTTTTATCGTAAAGTGAAACGTTTAAAATCTCAAGTGCAGAACAACGTGACCTAAATATGTTATATTTACCTATAGGTAATTTTTTTATAAAACCTATAAGTTATTATTTCTTTAAATAGGTAAAGTTAACTAATATGTCGTGAAATTGAAGTTAATTCAACTTAATAAAAAGGTATTTGTAAAATACGTAGATTTCCTTAGTCATAATAACTTTTAGGTCGAATTCGCACAATACGCCATATTTTCTTAACTTAATTGAAGTACGATTCCAAATTTTAAATTTTTAAAATGACCATAACTAGAACATACGAATGAAAATACCGAAAAACGAAACATTTTTGATTTTCTAAAGTGATACACAACAAACGTAACATAGTTTTAGCTCATAATATTATTATTATTTTTTTACACGATCATATTTTTTTCTTACATTTTTTTAATTAGAGAATATTTTGGAAGGGCATTGTTATTTTTCTAAGTAGAACTGTTAACATGCACGACAAAATTTTCTTCGCATTAATTTCAACAAGCGTGAACTGTATATTCACCGCAATTACATTACATATATTTTTGTCACCGACATTTATTTATTTTCAATCTTCCATGTGAATTAGGTATATGTTTTAGTTGTGTTGGTGACTTCTTACAATATTTCTACTTATATATAGATAAAAATACCAAATAAGTATAAAATTTCTTTTCGTACACTTGGAGGCATACGTCATCTGCAAATATTTTGGTAGATTCTACCTAAATTTAGTTAAATCAACGTCAAATTAACGTTATACTGACGTCAAATTTCCCTAGAGAGGTATTACTAACCAAACGTACTGGGCTACTACAATGTGGATTTAGATGTAATTCTACCTATTTTGGTAAATAAAACCAAATTTCGGCGTCGTCTTATTCTCCACTTATGTCGAATGCACGTCGAGCCAACGTAAATTTTACTTAATTATGGTTAAATCTAATTTTGCGACCAAATTTATCATATATAATTTAGGTAGTATCGACGTCAAATTACACCAAAATGTTTGCTGGGGCTGCCATTCATGTTACCATATTTCTTCTTTATTTTGTTTTGCCAGTACTACTGCATCTGACAAGCCAATTTCATAAGATGCAGGGGAACCAGATTTAGCTCCGCATTTTCCTAAAAAATCTACATGTTCATTGTTTTTTATTCCTATATGAGCCTTGACCCAAACAAAATGCAAGGTAATGTTCTTTTGAATTAATTTGAGAGGTTGAATTCCCTTTTTTATAATATAATTATTAATAAATAGTTGTGGTTTTAATAAACCTGTCCCCGCGCCCAAGAATATATGCTTTATTGATAATCAAGTTACAAAAAATATACACTACGTTATACATGAACGTACTGCTTGCGCAGAATAGATATCGCGCCGATATTCGGTGAATCTAAAGACGTTTTTAAAAAAAAAATTTCCATACCCCCGTATTTCGATTCTTTTCTAACCGATCAATATCGTATAATATACCATTTTTATACGAAACATTTTCTACTAACACACAGTGTTCGCATAAAATTAAATTAAAAAAGTTTTTTTTCAAACATCCCTTTTTGTGTGCTAGGTATCTAAAAATAACCGCAATTGTTACTGTCCTAATTTTTTACCCATTGATTTTACCTTTTAATTAAATAAATTACGCTATAGATACCAAATCACGGATAAGTACGGGTACCTATACCCACCTATATCAATTTCTGACATCATGAAATTGATGATATGGTGTGCACCACCACTTTAGTACCTACATTATAGGTAGTCGACGCCTGGTATTTGGTACTCCATCATCGATGGGTAAATAATCCGTAAGCGACGTCGAGCGCACCGGCGATTGTTTTTTTTTGTGTCGTACCATCAAGAACCTTCGGAAAGGTACCCATAATAATTATTCCGGTATCAAATTCCCACTGACGCATTTATTTAAAATCATGTGCGTTTTGCCAATATGATTTTGCTTATTTGGTGTTTACTTTTATTTGATTTTAATTTTGGTAAGTATATTTTTTAAGAATTCTTATAAGAATATTTAAGGGTTGTGAATCTACATGAAAAATTAATGATAGTTTCTTTATAAACTATGGTCTAAAAATTTCTCGTTACGAAAATACATGGTGCTAAAATTTTAGGGAAAAAAAAAGGAAATTATTTAATATTTTTGAAACCTCTTGAGATATTTCAGTGATATTTAGTACGCAGTGACATTTTTTTGTACAATATTGGTAGGCGACTTTAATCCTAATTTCTTATCAGATGAGTTTTTTGTTAAAAAAATAAAGATATATTTAATGCTCCTATGAATATTCTTACACTAGAGTTACTGATGTCAGTAAAACATTCATTGATAATGTTTTGACTAATTTTAATAACATTCAAGTAAATATCTTAAATGAATCAATCTGAAAGAGTCAATTTTGATAATAAGTGTTAGAAAATCGTTCAGCGATATTAACTTAGGCAAATCTAAGTGACATTACATCAAAATTTTAAAAAGTAGTTTTGATACAATTAGCCCAGTATGGTGTTATTTTATAACTACTTCGTTGGATAAAGATACATTACTTGATGCTTTAAAAATTAGTACTGGAACACCTTTTGAAAAGGTATGAAACATAAATATATGTAATAAATTTCTGCCAATCAACACCTTACCTTGTGTCGAGAAACAATTGGTAATTTACAAACTTATGCGGAAATACTTTACCAAGAAAAAATACTTTTCATCAACCAATCTGGTTCCAGACCTGATGATTCGTGTGAATCAGCCAATCACTGGATGAAAAAATAATATATGACTAAAGGTATGAGTATGAGTAAAGGAACAAACACCGATTTCGGCCAATGGTCGCAAAATATTACCAAAACGCGTTCTGGTCGCTTTTCGGCTGTTTAATGTAGACCAGAACGAATTCTGGACATTTCACAATTGCCAAAGTGCCTGAAAGCATTCTAATATTCTTCACATTGCCAGAACATGTCAAACACACAAAAAAAATGTACAAGAAGTCATTGCTTCGTCTTCTTGCTGTATATTTTATTCTTCTGATTCTATATCACTGTTAGTTTGCCATGGAGTAATATTATTAAATGTAAAATCTAATAAACATAAGCTTAACCTCGAAATATATTATTCTGTAAACATCCACTGTATTTACATATATATTTTTTAGTAATATATAAGCCATGTTCTTTTTTAGGCGCCAATGTCTTCAATTGTCCCACTGCTGATATAAAATTCGAAAAAACCTTAGGCCTGCGGCCTCCGAATTCTAGTCACCCGGAAATACTCTACCAACTCCAAAAGAACACCCCTTTGAGACCAGTGACGTCAGAGTGCATCGCCAAGTGTCAATCCAATAACGAGTGCGCCAGTTTCGTGTTGTACTACAGTGTATCTCGGTGTTATTGGTTCAAGCATAAAGAAAATAATTTCACTGACGATTCCGAAAATGTTATAGACGATAACGCTGCTTGGTTTGTAAAGAAATGTTTTTTAACAGGTCAGTAATGTATGTAGAGTTTCCTGTAAGTCATGGATCAAATAACATAAATTCATCATACGACATACAACAACATTTAACGACATACAACAATATATAACATCATACAACAATATAAAAAAACATACAACAACTTAGACCAACTTACAACGACTTACTACAGCAAGTTATAACAACTTACAACAACTTACAAGAACTTACAACAAATTATTATAACAACTTATAACAAATTATAACAACTTACAACAACTTACAACAACTAACAATAACTTGCAACAACTTACAACAACATACAACAACTTACATCAACTTACAACTCACAACAACTTACAAAAACCTACTAAGACTTACTACAATAATTTACAACAACTTATAACAACTTACCACAATTTACAATGACGACAACAACAAGAACAACTTACAATAACGTAAAACAAGGTACAACATTATACAACACCCTACAACAACATACTACAATATTCACCAACATATAACGTAAAATTATTCATGTTACTAATTTAAGTAGAACTACTTAATATTAATAAATTTGGCAACCCAGCATGAATAGTTCTCTTCGTAGATTCCCTAGATGGCGCAAGTCACGGCTTTAGCTATTTATGTCGATCTGTAGATAGTTTAAAGTTTGTTTTGATAAAGTCTTGAGTGTCTAAAAACAGGGAAAGCTACATTGGTTCCACTCTATTATATATTTTGATTCAGCTTTATTTAGCATTAGTTTGTAATAGTAAGCAAGTGAGAAAATTGCTTACTATGACCAATGGCAAATCATCTCTCACTTGTGACCAATTGAGGGAGTCAATAATAGTAGTATATAGAGCTGGGTACATGTACTTGAAAAATAATTACAATTACAAAGTACTTTTTTAAAAAAGGAATTATATTGATTTAATTATAATTACATGAAAAAAGATATTATCAATTTTATAGTTACTTTTCTAATTACTCTGCGGATAGAACAACAAATTATAGGTTCTTTCATTCGTTGTTGGTGCAGTGTCCACCAGTGTAAATTACACCAGTTACACCACCTTATTTGCCCTAGTTTACTTCCTCCTTATTCCTTATACACATGTCGAGTGTAATTCACTCCTGCTAAATAGCTGGTGGAGAAAATATCCACAATGGACACCACATCGCCGACATGTTCTCTAATATATTTTTCATCGTCCTATCCAAGAAGCAGAGTTCTTTCTCCACTAGCAACACTACAGTACCTAGTGTAATACTGCAAAAAATAATTAACAACAAAACTGTACATTAAGAGGATATTATGCAAATATGGCCATAATGTTATGAACAAAAGTCAAAAGTTGATTAATTTTGTGAATTCAGTCTAGAAACGTTTTTTTTACTGTCTTGAAAAAGTAATACTAGTAGACATGCCCAGTTCTTTTATTGGCCCCTTCAATTAATTGGAGATCTTTATTATTTTTAATAGCCATTAGCCAGTTTGTTTAATATGCTTTTGTTCCATGAATCCTTCAATGATTAATGTTATTGTCAATGAGTAATATATACTAAGTATACATGTTTTTATTGTCTGAGAGTGCGACCCTCTCCCAAAAAGACCTGGTCAAAGCACCTTCCTCATAATAATTTCTTCATAAATTATTTTACAAACAAAACAAATATACATATTCGAGCAAACGTACGACCTTCAATGTTTTGTTATTTTTAGTTTAGTAGATAAATGAAAAATAGTGATAAAAAATGCGGTACTCACGATGACATCAGGATAAGCATTATTTTATCTAAGAAAAGTAATTATTTCTGTGTTAATTGCCTAGGTATATAACTTTTCACACGTTTTACTCTACAATAATTGAATAATAATACATATTATTGTTTTGCAAAGTATTATGCTACAGAAATAAAATTGAAAGAGAGTGAAATTATTAACCACAGGCCAGACAGATCAAAGCAATGTAATTTTTTTCAAAACAATAATAAAACAAAATCAGCCAGATAGAAGAGATTCATCTACCCTTTAACTATCTTTTTTTACTACTAACATGAGAAATCACCATTATTTACTCCATTCCTCTAATGAGAAGTAATATTTCTCTCCCTAGGTAAATAATGATAATAAAAAAAAAACCTAGGTAAATAATGAAACTAAATTTCATTAGTTTCATTTTGTTAATTTGACAACTAAACTCCCAGACTACTTGATATTTTGAAATATTTGAAAAATAAGTAGGAAATAACTAAAGCTGGGTTTATTAAAATCTAATCAAATCAAATATGATAATATATATCAGTGTTAATAGTAAAAATATATATTAACTAGGAAATTCAACACAAATTAATTAATAACAATAAATCCATGTCATTAAAATATCAAAAATGCAATGGGATATTTCCTAGAATCATACCAAAATTTGACACATGCCAAATTTTTACATAAATAAAGCCAGTCTGATTAGAAACACGCTCCAGTCTGCTTGATATTTCGAAATATTTAACAAATTGTTAGGAAATTACTTATGTCAAAATTAAAATTGCTAATACATTAATGTTAGTAGTAAAAAAAATTCTATATATACCTCGGCTGAGAAAGCTATTATTTACCTCGCACATTATATCCCTCGGCGCTACGCGCCTCAGGATATAAAAGTGCTCGGTAAATAATAGCTCACTTCTCACCCTAGGTATATAATGTACTATTAAATTCATGTTTTTTTAATTTGTTTTCGATGACGATACTGCTTTACTTTTTTATTTTGATTTCAGGTAGAACTTGTGACAAATTTTGGAATTTCGAGAGAATCCCGGGTGCCATTCTAATAGGCAACGATACTAAACAACTGCCAGGAGCAATATCGAGAACCGACTGCGAACAGTACTGCCTCAACGAGACCCAGTTTATCTGCAGATCTGCCAAATTTATTATAACAGACACTGGACACACACCTAGCGATAATGGTATGGGTGGGTACTAAATAAATCGATAAAAAGATAATTTTTAGACTATAATGCGAGGAAAATATTTAACTCAGAATTTTTTTTAATTATCTACATGCTGCTAAAAACAGTTGTCTATATTACTGTAAATTAAAATATATATCTATTAAAAATAATTTTTAATTTATTGTTTATTAATGAATTCTACAAAATATTTATTTATACAAAAATTATTACAGGAAGAAACTTGTTTTTTGCATATAAAAGAATAATGATAAGAGTAAATATAATGAAAAACAAATAAGTACTGAATTAAAAACTAAATAAATACAAACTTATGTGTGATATAAATATCAAATTGAAGCATATAGTTGTAATATTATTTAAAATGTAGTTTGCAGTTGTAAATGTTGTAATTAGATATTATTATTTATGTATCAAAGGACTATCATGTTACAGTTTCCCATCGTTACTTTTTCTAACTCAGTAGACTTAAGTTTTATTATATACCTGGAGGTGTAGCTGAGTCGATGCAAATGTATCTAAAATTTAAAAAGTTATTTAATTTTTTGGGGATGCCACCCCCTCTAATTCCTGCTAAGAGTACGGTGGGAGTAAGATTTTTATATAAGATCGTAGTAAATAAGTCAAAAATGAGATTTCTACTTTCACTGTAAATGTGAATATTATTGTGATAAAATTAAACATGTATGTGCTGAGATTCGAGCGCACAACCACTTGCTTCAGTAGCCAACGTTAGACCACATACTTTACCTAGGTGTATCTTATAAGTTTTTTTGTTCTAGGAAGGTATTCTTAGCTACCACACACTAATGAGCTTTTACCACCAGAGTCAAATTCTTGAGTGAATGGAACTTGCACCCTCAGCAATGCTGATTTATGCTGGGTTGTCTGTAGGCCAAGATAATAATAGGATTTTCAGGTTGAATTTTAAGAGAATTGATTTTGTCAAATAACTTGACTATCGTTTAAACTAGGAAGAAGTGGTTTGCATCGTTGAATTTCTTTTTAAAAGCTCTACAAACTGGTTTTTACTAATTTATGCTGGGTTGTCTGTAGGGCAAGATAATAGGATTTTCAGATTGAATTTTAAGAGAATTGATTTTGTCAAATAACTTGACTATCGTTTAAACTAGGAAGAAGTGGTTTGAATCGTTGAATTTCTTTTTAAAAGCTCTACATGCTGGTTTTTACTAATTTATGCTGGGTTGTCTGTAGGGCAAAATAATAGTATTTTCAGATTGAATTTTAAGAGAAAACTGTTTTTGTCAAATAACTTGACTATTGTTTCAATAAGGAAGAAGTAGTTTGTATCATTAAATTCATCTTTAAACGCTCTACAAAATGGTGAAAATAACGGAATTGTATGTACTGAGATTCAAACGCACAACTACTTGCTTCAGTAGCCGACACCTTATCCATTAGACCACATGCTTTACCTAGGTGTATCTTATAAGTGTTTTTGTTCTAGGAGGGTATTCTTATGGACCACACAATAATGAGCTTTTACCGCCAGAGTCAAATTCCGGAGTAAAAGGAACTTGCACCCTCAGCAATGCTGATAGACATCAGATGCCGTTCTCATACAGGGTGTCAAGTTACGGAGATGAATATTTCGAAAACCAATGCGCACCAAACGCTGTTTCTAGTAAGTAAACTTAGGTGTATCGAAAAATTGTTGAATATGTTTAGTAATAAGAATATAAGAACTATAATACGAGTATAAAATTGATAAGGCTATTATTTTGATGTTAAAATATAAATGTTCATAAGTTTAAATGGGCAACGAAAGTGGAAAGAATATTATTATTTATATTTTCAACTGATTTATGCATTTTCAAGTATTTAAAGAAATTAATTTTGATCTGTCACTTTGACAATATCAAATTACAGCAACGTTATTATGATGAACAATGTTGCGACGATGGTCTTACCACATACCTCAGAAAGACGATAAAAGACGGCATTTTAGACTCAAGAGTTCTTCATTCTTCATAAAAACACATAATTTTGATCTTCTCACTGATTTTGAGTGTTTTTATTTTCGTTTTTAAAAAGAAAAGTTAACAAAGCTGTACCTAGAATAACTCGTTTTCATTTTCCACCACTCTTTTCTTTTTGTATATCATCGGCTTCAACTATATGGTTATTTCGCCTCGTGTTCTATGTAGGCTTTGTAACTGTTTACCAGCGCGACTTTAGGAACAACACTATTAATTAGAACCCAACAGTGAATGGTCGAGTGGGGAATCCTACAAAGACATCAGAATTAATTTTAAATAATTAAATTAAATAAAAAACTTCCTTCCATATTCACCACTCTTATTTTTAGAAAAGAAAAATACGACTTTCAAGAAATAAAATATAGTCCATCATAAGTAAAAACTGTTTCTACAAACTTTTTGAACAGCATTGTTATTGTAACCATACTTTTACAATTTTTTAGGCAATGAATTTTGTGCTTACGAAGAATACGACAATACGACCTTAGCTCACAGCGATATACTGTTTGAGAAAAAAACCAAAGAAGAATGCCAAAAATTATGTGATCAATTCTTACATTTTAATTGTAGAGGATACAGTATTATTGAAGGAAAAACATGTTATTTGCATAGTGAAGATAGTAAAATTTATGGACCTAATGCTCTGAGATTTAGACAAGGTTCTACGTATTACGAGAAAGCAAATTGTCTAAACAGTGAGTAAAAAAACATTTTTGACATATATCTGATTGATTTATGGAATGATAATTTCCTGAGTGCAAGATATTTAAAGTCCTTAAATCAGTAGTGTATAATTAATTAAAATATTAATATTAATGAGATTAATAATATTAATTTTTTGTGTATCATCGGCTTCAACTACTCTGGTTATTTCGCCTCGTGTTCTGTGTAGGCTTTGTTACTGTTTCCCAGCGCCACTTTAGGAACAGTACTGTTAATTAGAACCCAGCAGTGAATGGTCGAGTGGGGAATCCTACCAAGGCATCAGAATTAATTTTATATAAATTAAATGAAAAAATCCCGGCCAACGGTGGGATTGGAACCTAGGACCCTTGGATCCGCAAGCAGAGACTCTACCACTGAGCCACCCCCCCCCCCTTAATATCAATATTATTAATATTAACCGCACGTTAACGACGACTCGGATTTTTTCGGCCGGTCCAGTTTTTTCTAATTAAATGTCTATTATTTTTGATTTCTTACATAAATTAATTGAGAGTAATGAATTAAAATGTTTTGTACATAAAATTATTGAGACATGTAAATTATTTGAGTAAAATATTGATTTAAAATAATTGCAGTTCCATCTATTATTCCAGTATTGGCAGTGAAGACACATAATATGCCTGTGCACATGTTTCTTTTTGCACTTTGGACAAACATTTTTTTGAGTTTTTGTCTTTTTCTGCGACATCTGAGAGTACCGTTGGCGCAACCTCTCTGATCGTCCACAATACATGCCAGTTACTTTCCCAATTCGAATGACTGAACAAGTACTCTACAATAGCGTTAAGAACACTAATATTTACCGTGTTGAAAAACATTATGATTAATAACATTATTAATAATATTAATAATATTAATAATATTAATAATATTAATAATATTAATAATATTAATAATATTAATAATATTAATAATATTAATAATATTAATAATATTAATAATATTAATAATATTAATAATATTAATAATATTAATAATATTAATAATATTAATAATATTAATAATATTAATAATATTAATGATTTCTTTTGGTTTATAAAAACACGATCTTAGATACCGATGACTTTTTTAAAATTTGAAGCAGTTATCAAGCTTCTGTTCACGTTAATTGTGGTACAGATGGTAGAATTAAAATAAAATAGAATAATTTTGTCACGGTTAAGTCCATTTGATTTGCACCAGTTAACAAAGCAGTCTATGAGTTCTTCAGTAAGGAATTTCAATTCATCACAGATTCTTGCTGCAACAGTTAAATAGGTGTTATTTGCAAATAAACTTAAGATACAAATCAATAATAAACAGCAGAAATATAAGCGGGCCTAGCACAGATCCCTGGGACTCCTAGGTTCACTTAATGACAATCAGACAGTGAATCTTGAATTTTAACATGAATCAACTCAAAAATATTTCACTAAAAACAAGATTATATAATTTTCTTTCAATGAATCTGATATCTAGACAGTCAAATGCCCTCGATAGAGTGGTTTAGAAAAATAGACCAAACCCTGAAGAATAAATTGGCTTGACAGCTTGATATTACTGAAATCCGTCATATAGATAAAGAAAATTAAAACTATTTTAACTTTTCAGTAACTGTTTCGTGTACAGAAACCTACATGAGTATCGAATATGACCCTGACGTGAATTTTAACGGTAGAATGTACATGGAAGGTTATTCGGAAAAAGAAATATGTTCCACAATCGGTCAGGGTCGGTATCATCCAATTTCGTTGAAAATACCTTTATTAACGGGACAATGCGGGATAATCAAAGCAGACGGACCTGTAAACAGGTAAGTTAACTTTTATGCATGATAATTTGTAGATTAAAGAAAAAAGTAAATGGATTAAATATTTAATTTAAAAAAGAAGATAACCCTTTTTTGATGTTATTTCAGTAATAGAAGTAAATAATAAATATAGGGGAGAGGGGGTCACACCTTTAGACATATTAAATTTTAATAAGGATAAATTTTTGACCGTAGTAGAATTTTATATAAATAAAAGGTTTCTAGGTTTATTTGGTCAACAGTTTTCATTTTTTTTTTTTTTTATTGAGCACTATTATATATTTCGGAAAAACATTTTTTCATCTTCTGGTGCAGCCAATATATTTATAAAAATACACAGTTTAAAATTTTTAAAATAATAGAAACCCCATCTTAGTTTCACAGCGTGTTAAGGTGTATTTGATTGTTAGATAGGGTAATAGAATAAGGTGCGTGCTGCAGATCGTAAGTGAGTGGAGACGTGAGTTCGAATCCAGGAAAGAGATAAAAAACAATAAATTATTGATATGGAAATATATATAATAGGTTCAAAAAATTTGAATAGGTGGTTGTTGGAAAAGATGGATAAAAAAATATTTTATTTATAATTAAATTAAATAAAAATGTTTGCTTTGTTGAAAATGAGTTTGTCGCTGTATATTAACAGCTATTCAAAAACTGTAGAAGCTATTTTTTTGTCTACTCTAAACAGTTATAGACTGATTATCTTCTCCTTTCTGCAGCTAAGAGCCATAAAAAGCCAGGAATCTGGCAATTCGCCAATTTTGGTCAAACCTTCGTAATACAAATGTAACAGTTTATTCACATAATAAATAATTTTTAGGACACTGCTTTCAGGAAATCTGCTTATTCAGTTCAATTCGCTGATACAAACTCAAAATGACAGACTCATTAGAGTTGGATGTATTTTTGGTAATGAAACTAGAGTTGTCATTGGTACAGGTGTACAAGTCTCACCGTAAGTAAACAATTTATACAATAACACAGGTCTGCAACCAAAAAAACTGCATAGATTTTTCTCACTGATAACAAGAAACATTTAAGACCTCATATTGACATTCCCTTATTTACTGAAAACTAAGAGAAGGTTGAGAGATTTCACAAAGGATGTCCAGGATTTCGAAAAATTGTACCAAGGAATATTGGACCCATTGATAAATTAGATCGATTTTTCTGATGTAGACTGTAATTAGGAGCTGAATCTTTCAATGCCAGTTGTCTGTTAGAAAGTACGGTTAAAATTAAAATTCACCTATTACTACTGATGCTTTAATTGATGAAGTTTCACGTATATAACTCATTCAATGTGTACATCTGTTAATTCTTGTTAGGAAAATATTCACATAGCCCTTTAATTTATAATTTGTGTTAAAAATAAAAATACCTTAAGAAGTTGTTGCTTAGGTGATTAGAAAAGTGCTTCTGCATGGAGACTAATGTTAGCATTCCCATTCCTTACAGCTTGACATTCGTTCATTGTGTCTATTCGGGTATCACGTGTGATTATCTATTGGTTTTTAAAGGTAGATGTATCGTGAAAGAGAGGGTGACGTAATCACGTTAATTTCGGAACAGGCGAGAAATCCAATGGAACACTGAACAAAATGTTGAGTTATCTCAACAGACGTCATACTAGTTGATTACTGGATAAGAAAAAGAGTAAACATCATGTAGGTAGTGTTAAATATGCCATGAAGGAATAGAAAAAATTATACATAGGCAATTATAACAAACTATTAATACTGTACGTGATAGAGCCAAATGGAGATCAATTTTGGATTCAGCACCCTATAAAATACCCCAAGTAGCAGAAATAAAAATTATTTTGGCAGACCTGTATAATTAAATGCATTTGGATAATTATTTTTTCTGTAATTAAATTTGTGAAATAAAAAAATTGTATCCATGTTTTTTTTAGGATGCAACCGAATAAAGGCAGCGTGATTATAATACCTGGACAAAATTCGTCTGTGCCAAATGTAGTAATGAAAATTGTAGATCCTCACAAAGGAACAGAAATCAGCGATACTCAGATTGGTCAAGAACTTCGACTTCAAATTATTTTGAATCCACGTAACAGTAAGTACACGGTAAAGTGTGAGGTAAATCAACTCCCGTTTAAAAACAAAATAAAACGTGGTTAAAATTGATCAGGGTTACGGGTAAACATATCCGCTAGGTTCGCTGGTGTATTTACGGAGACAATTTGACCCGATTTCCGGGTATTTTTACCCATTTTATTCATCAAAGATCATAGAGTTTTCAATTAGTAGAAGTTACTATTGCTTTTCAAGTACTTTAGAAGTTTGGATAAATACCCAAGCATCTTCTAGACAGAAATTCAGACCATTTAGAAATGTACAGTTCAATATCAATAAAAACTATCGCAGACAAGGGATTATCATCATGTACGATAGCTAAAGCAGCCACGAAAGATCCTGATCTATGTAATCGTCTAAAAAATGTTCTGGAGATGCCTAGAAAAGCTGAATGAGCTTCGTAACAGTGAGGGGAAGGGTAAAGAGATTGTAGGTAGTCTCGCAAGAGGGGGCTCAATGTGAAATCTGAGGCATTTTTCGGTATCAGCATTAACACAACATTAAATGCAGCATCATTTCTTGTACTTGGCAACACTGTTATGGACATAATTGAAAGGCAAATTAGAGTACCATTTGTATAAACAGCATTCTACGTTATATTAATTTATGTTTAGCGAAAATATGTTAGTTACATCAATAAATATGGCGGCTTTGTTTAATTTTAAACAGAATTTCCTTTGTAATATGAGATTTTAGGACTACCACATTCCAACGCTGTATGAATTTGTTCAAATATACTATAAATATTGTAATATTGATTGAAAATTTTCAAGCATGCCTAGTTAAGTAGTAAAATGATGTAGAATACTATAAGATTTTAACATTTGTTACCAAATAGCTGTATCATCTTAAAAATATACAAATTTGTAGTTTCTCAATTACTAGATAATCAGATCAAATGAAAATGTTGATACAAACCTTCAAATAATTTCACCACACACAATACATAATTCCATAGATATATTTAACAGAACAGCGGATCTACGTACCATAATTCTATTACACAAAACATATGAATAGATACTGATGTGGTATTGAAGTTGATGCCGATGCCAGACGTTTCTTCAAGTAGCTCGAATAATTTATTTTATTAGGATCGCATTCCATGACATTAGGTTCTTTCTTTCGCTGTTGGTGTAGTGTCCACCAGTGTAAATTACACCAGTTACACCACCTTATTTTCCTTAATTTACTTTCTCCTTATTCCTTATACACATGTCGAGTGTAAATCACTCCTGCTAAATAGCTGGTGGAGAAAATTCCCACCAGTGTACACCACATCGCCGACAGGAAGGTATAGTGGGTTTTACACCGGGCCAAACGAAAGGTTTAGTGTACGTTGGTGTAGTTCATTCCTACACCAGTTGGACGAACGAAAGAACCTATTACATATTACTTTTGTTTTAGATTTAGACATTTGGGCGAGTCATTTAATCGCGATGACTGAAAGATCTGATGAGTCCATTTTTTTGTTGGATGATAGAGGTTGTCCGACTGAATTAAGTATTTTTCCTGCTTTAACAAAAAATATAACCAAAGAATCTATAGAACTAGATGGAACCTTTCAGGCCTTCAAATTCGCAGATTCTCCCATAGTCAGATTTAGTGTCAATATCCAATTTTGTATTGGAGAGTGTCCAACGGTAATTTATGTACACCTACTTTTAAGTAAATTTCTGTTATTTATGATTAGAGAAGAAATTTAGTCTCTATAATTTTTGTATGATTTCTTTGAGATAAAAAATGTTTCATAATTATTTCAGATAAATTGTGGGCACAATATCATATCGTATGGAAGAAAACGAAGAGACGTAAAGTCACATAACATTGAAACTATCAATGGGACGACCGTGGTTAAACTAAACACAGCTGATTTGAAAAATAAATCAAGCATTTTGTTCCAAATGCCTTTGGAATACATAATGGTGGTCAAACATCCAAATAAATATGTATCAGACAGATTGGTGTATGCAGACAATCAAAAGATTTTAGTTGCAGGATATGGTAATATAATTAAAAAGATGGCCAATTGCAAGTCGCATTTGCGTAACAGTGTTACATACAGTAGGTTTAATTTCGGCTCGAAGGACCAAAAAAGACGGTGTAGGCGTAAACAATATACAGTACGACTTGCATTTGGCTAATTTTTTTTTCCGATAATATTATTCACATTGATTTTTTAAATGTAAAATAAAAAACGTCTCAAGTAAGACATATCGTTGAACAATTTTTTTCGATTTCAGATTACACAACCAATGAAGTATGTCTGGACTATTCCCTAGTAATAGCTTTAATCATCCTGTGGATCCTTGTCCAAATATTTTTCGTAATTGGTAGTATAGTGCTGGTTAGAAGATACAAACGGTATTATCAACATGAGTGTACGCGACAGTCAATGGAAGAGTTGCATAAAAACTTTGGAATCGGCTTTAGCAACTTAGAAAATAGAAGAGTGCATTGGGCTGATAATGAAAATATTCTTTAAATATATATCTTTAGATTCGAGGATTTAAGATTGAAAGAAAATTAAGAATAAATTTCAAATAATATGTATCCAACTTGACTCAAAGTGATCATTACAGACTGTGTTTTCTTATTCATTGTTGAAAATGGACAATGTCGCCTTTCAGTTTTAAATTCGATATACGTCATCCATAACATAACAGCTAGTAATTTAAAAACTACTATTTTCCCTCAATTAACAAACAAAGACAGACATACATAAATCATGTGTCTGTCTTTATGTCTCGAATAATCGTTGTGTAAAGACGATTTGACCAAAGTATATTAACCGTTGAGTAGCGCCAGCTGGGGAACCGAATTCTAGTACGCCGACGCGAAATAGAGAGGCGAGACCTCTTCTAAAGATGTAAACAACCCCTTTCACTTTAGTCCGGCAGCTGATATAGGAATTCGTTGTTGTGGATTTATTAGTGCTCTTTTATTGTGTTTTTGTTAAGATTTTTTGAGGTTTTGTGGGTTTTTCATTATGCCAGGAAATGCATGTGTTATAAGTGATATATATTTTTATATTTACTACATAAGTTAAATACTCATAAATATAAAACTGCCTAATGACCATACCTTTATTATAAATGTAAACTACAAAAGAGTTTTACTTCAAATTACGTCGAGCAGTGTAAACATCACATTCAAGACCAGTTCATAATTCGAGCAAAGTTTTACTGTGTCGTTCCGTCAAAACCTCAAAAGAGAGAGAAAGAAAATTTGAAGCACCCAAGATCAAAGGCACCGACGCTTTATGTCGCTACTCAACTAATATACTTTGATTTGACTCATTTCTTTCATGGCCAACTTAGGAGAAACTTTATTTTTATCAATTATTAAGCTTTCGATTTGAAATTTAAATTAATTTTTTTAGTCAGTACTTTTCAATTAAATGTTCACCACTTAATATTTTCATTCGCGTAAAATTTATCAATTTTGACTGATATTTAGTTTTCTTTATTGAAGTATTTCTTCATATTCTTTTTAAATGTTTGGAATGTTTTGTTAATTTATTTTTAGACTGATTGTAATTTAATAATTATAAAAATGTTAATATTAATTTTGAAATAAAAAAAAACTCGTTAGCTATGTTAGAATATATTGGTATTTATGCAAATTTAAAAAATGTTTAGAATAAATACATTAAATCAGTTTATGGTGTCCACTAGATGCAAAATATGGGTTTGGCAATGTTCAAAAGGTTTTGGAAGTTACTAGAAATATAGTTTGAAATAAATTTAACAAAAGAGCTGCTAATAAATTTTTAGTTTTAAAGATAATTTTTAATAATTCAACTTGGCATCATTGTAACAATTTTTTCTGCCCAGCGACTGGTGATAATTTTATACATAAAATGATTTTCCCACTTTTTCCAACATTGTCTGTTAATTTTTTCGGTAGGGCAGAAAGTATTTGTTATCAAGAGGGGGGAGCAAAACTATTTTGTCATTGACAGATGTCAAATAACGACAGTTACAAAGCTAAAAATAAGGAGTAAGGATAAACTAGTAGTATGAAAAATTTTTCACATGATAAACTGCATTGAAAATGTCAGTTTATAGTTTTATACCGTTATAATATGGGAATGACAAAATTAACTCAATTACAGAGCCTTTTTTGTATCTAATGGACTCATACCTATTAAGTACCTATATGTACCAAAATACTTTGTTACCAAAAATGATTAAATAAGCATGTAATATATTGTTAAAAACAATGAATCCTATTTTTATTTTCTTGGGCCCAACTTTAATTCAAATCCCAATAATGCCACAAAGTAAAACTCAAAATAATTATAAATAATCTATTAACAAATTTTAAGAAATAATTAAAACCTACATGACTATCACATTCACTGTCACGTTATTTTAGTGTCTTGCTGTTTCTTTAATTCTTTTGCTAAGTCTATCTGTTGTTGCAAAACATATATATTCTCCTGTTTTCTCCTCTGCCTTCTTTCAATATCTTTTAAAACTCCTGAATGCATTTGTTCCCTAAAAAATTTAATAAGTACTAACAGAAGAAGAGTTTAATCTGTTTACTGATTCTGATTATGTCTCGAATGCTTTAGAAAATGTATTTTAAGTTGATTTTACATACTTTATTTGAATTATTTAAAGTATTTGATTTAAAAATCTTTTATATGTTGTAGTTATGATATGACTGTACCACAATGGATGCCGCATTAGCAGAAATTTAATTTCTAATGATATGACATTCAGATTATAAAAATCGCCATGCATTACCGTTTCGATAATAGTGGGTGGAGTTTTCCTCACCTGTAAGTCAAATGGCGCCATCATTCATTTTTAAGTCACCCCAGCAAATAATAAAAATGGCCATCCCTTTTCCAAACAAGCTCAGCTTTTGGGGTTAAAATTCAGTAGTAAGGGGGTGAATTAGGGAGAGTATTATTATATAATACATGAATTTACCTTTCTCTACCAATAAAAACATCCTTTATTGTCTAAGCAGGAATACACCCAATTACAAGACAGCTTTAAATATTATTAAGGCTTACTTAAATAGGTAGGTATATAAGATTAAGATAGATCTAAATTTTACAAAAATAGATAAATAATAAAAGAAACCAATTAATTTGTGATATTAGGTATAACTGATTTAATGAACATTCTATTTAAGGGAGAGTTCATCATAATGTTTGTTCTAAAAGTAGAGAGGTCTGCTTGTTTTATCCCATTTAGTCATAGTACATATAAATTAAACTATTCTAGGACCTCTGAACAAGCAATTAAATTATTAACACAATTAGATAATATAAAGATACATGAAATATATGTCCTGCGATTCTCAAGAGATGGGAAGTTGAAATGAATTAACAAGTTGTAATAAAAACATTGTGCAACAGTTGCAATTTATATCTTACATCATTTTGCAATAGGCCCAAGCTATTATGAAAATTCTTCCTTAATTATCAATAAGTTAGCAATCTTTTTATCTGATGAACTTGACCTATTCAATCAAATCATTGTTTTTGTCTCATCTACGTAATTTTGAAGATACGTAATTAATTTTTATCTATCAATTTGATTAACTCAAATACTGAATTTATTAACAAAGTTTTTGGGCATAGGAATTACCATTAAATAAACTAACACAGGTATTATAGTAGATATTTACTTACATATCTAATTTCTGTTTGTAGTGGACGTAGAAAATTATAGCTCCAGAAAATATACAAGCAGTACCTAGTACTGCTTTGGACTGTAAGGACATTATTGGCAATATAATTGATTTAAAAAAAAAACTAAATTTAAATTTTTTAGATAATTAATTTGTTTGGTTATGTTTCTTTTTCTTCTTCTTTTTATTTTACGTAACATCCTGCATAGATCACCTATTTACGTCCTGGTCCTATACCTTTTGAGTTAGTCAGAAATTAAATAAAAACGAAAATGTAAATTCAATAAAAATTACAGTTAAAATAACATTTTATAATTATTAGATACTTTTTGGGGTATGAGTACAGTACAAAACTATGAGGAACAACAGAAAGAAAAATATTCCTAAGTAATAGATTGATCAAAATTAAAACAACTGGTAAATTATTACGGTAATTAAACCATGACAATCCTGCTTTTTTTCTGCTTACTAAGGAGAAAGGGTTTCGTCTTTATCAGGGCTCATCACGAAACTGTAGATTCGTATAATTATTTCAATTGTATACCTCGATGTTGGTCAAGTTTATTTTTCTTCTAAATGTTTTAATGCCTGAAAAGTACGTGTTATAAGAAATATATTACATGGACGGATAGAGGAACACGAAAAATAAATTACTTACCTTCTTCTTCTTTTGCCACGCCTAAACGGTGAGGGATAGAAAAAAACTAGTTGCGCCTGTAATGTTTAAATCGCCCAGACCTCCCTAGAAGTCAATATATAGAACCAATAATTCTAGGAAAATGATTTTTGGGTATCAGGGCCCCTGAAGCGAAAAAATGTTGACCCTAATTACTCCTTTTATGCGTAATAAACGTAAAGAAAAATTGTTTTCGAAAATAGACCCAAAAATGATATAACTTTAATTAGGAATTTCTCCCCCTTCGAATTGTTCCCCTATTAATTGCCCAGTTCCAATTGGGGGATGTCCGCGATTTTGACTGTGGATTTTTGTGTTTTAGGTATAGCTATACAGAGGACCAAAATGTAAGACGTACTTCGATTTTAGTCCTCCCGCCAATAGTTGACAATTCATTTTTAACGAATATTAAGGACTGGAACGATATTAAACTGACGGGACATTCTTTGGGAGGAACCATTATGATCCCCGAAGAACAAGTTACTCTATCCCCCTATGTATAGGAGGGGGCGGATGGTGAAACATTTAGTAGTGGGCCTACCTTCTCCCCCTTTTTTTATGGGGACAGTTTGGCTATTAACGATCTTTTATGACAGAGTGCCGGCTGAGTATAGGTTGCTAGGTTACCACCTTTTTTGGAGACCTCAAGAGTTACCTCAAAATTAAAATTTGAAATGTTTATTGTGTGGGTGATTTATGGGACCAAGGCCAAGTCAAGCGAGACCCATTTTGGTCTCACCACCCAAACAGTGGACTGAAAATGAAATATTTTTATTATGCAGGTAATTTAGAGGACTAATGGGCAAGGCTTTTGGTAAGTACTACATACTTCTACATGACTTCTAAATGAAATTGAAAAATATGCAGATAATTAATGGGACTAAAAGACGAACGCTTTGGTACCAAAACTATTCCCTCCTTCCCCCACATATAACAAGAATAACAAGATAAAATCCTTTGGATAGGATATTTGAGACCAAATAGTCAAAAAACCATTAGAAATAAATAACCTATATTTTTTCACAATTAAATCGTTTTTTAAATACAGTTAAAATTAATCGACGTAAGTCTATGTATGTACAGAAAAAAAAAGTAAAAAAAAAACAAAAGATGTATTGCATAAATACGTTAAACTTAGAAGTTAATAGGTTTTCCACAGTACGCAGCCAAATTGGCTTCTCTAAGGGCTTCTGAACACGTAGGATGAGCATGGCACACCCTAGCAATATCTTCAGCTGATGCTCCATATTCTTGTCCAAGAACAGCTTCATTAATTAGTTCACCAGCAGCTGGGCCAATGATGTGTGTGCCTAAGATTTTATCAGTTGCTTTGTCAGCCAATACCTACAACAACACTCAAAAGTTAGAAGAAAAGTTAAAAATATAAGATTTGTAAAAATCACCTTAACAAAACCATCTGTTTCATTATTAGTCTTAGCCCTGGAATTAGCAGCAAATGGGAATTTACCAACATTATAAGCAACACCTTCATTCTTCAGATCTTCTTCGGTTCTACCAACCCAACCGACTTCAGGATGAGTATATATGACAGATGGAACACAGTTGTAATCAATATGCACTGGACCACCTTTGATACCTTCCACACAAGCAACACCTAAGAAAAAATAATACAAAATCCAATTATGTCAAGCATATTTTTATTTTATCAAAAGTTTTTTATATTATTTTTAAATAGATAATTTATTTTCTATTTTTTTTTTTTTTTTCGTTTTTCAGTTCAAAATTCTACAAGTCATAATATTTCCATTGCATTCACCTTTCATTAACCCTATGAATTTTTTGTTAACTAATGGAATATTATAAATGTTATTCAGATTATAATTACTAGCATCAAATTTGCTCATATCTACTTTTATAACCTCTTCATAAATATTCAAATGAATTGTACCTTCATCTTCTGCTTTGTGAGCCAACATAGGTCCATGAATACAATCCCCAATAGCGTAAATATTAGGAAGAACTGTTTGGAAATGAGAATTTACTGGTATCCTTCCTTTTTGATCTTTAGCAATACCCATTTCTTCTAAACCTAATCCTTCAGTATACGGCCGCCTTCCCACACAAACCAATAATACATCACAATCAAGCTGCAAGAAAAAAAATTAAATTTGATTCAATGTGACAGAATGACTTACAGTTTCTGTTTTACTAGAATCTTTGGCGTCTTCAATGTTGACTTTAATGCCACTACCTTCTCTTAAAGCTCCAGTAACTTTAGTATTCAGTTTGAATTTCAAACCTTGTTTCGTAAGTATTTTTTGAAGGGATCTGGCTACTTCTCCATCAATGCCTTGTCCACCAATGGCTGGCAAGAATTCGATAGCTGTCACTTCAGATCCCAGGCGAGACCAGACTGAACCCTAAAATGCGAAAGAAATGGTAGCAGCAACAATTTTTAAGTAAATCCAAATAACTAACCAATTCCAGACCAATAACTCCAGCTCCTATGACTATAAGCTTCTTGGGTACTTCGCTAAGGGATAGGGCGCCAGTTGATGATACAATTGTTTTTTCATCAACCTAAAAAATATATTTTAATCAATAGGATATTAGGAGGAATTTTAATGAAACTTCTTACATCAATTCCAGCAAATGGTGTAACTTCAGAACCGGTAGCAATAAGTATATTTTTTGTATTGACAACTTCAGTGGATCCATCTTCTTTAGTAGCAGTTACCTGATTAGCTCCAGTTACCTTACCATGCCCTTTAATCAAAGTGACTTTGTTTTTCTTGAACAACTGAGCTATACCACCTGTTAAGCTAGTCACTGCTTTAGATTTTTGTCCCATTAGCTTTTCTAAATTAAGTGTTAAACCACTAGCTAAAAACATGGAGGAATTTAAATGTTGTATAACTTTTATTAGAAGATTGGTACTAACTTTCGATTCCTCTTTCTGCCAAGTCTCCAGAATGTGCCATATGATAGAAATGTGAGTTGTTAAGTAAAGCTTTGGATGGAATGCACCCGACATTTAAACATGTACCACCCAATGTTGGATTTTTCTCAATACACACTGTCTACAATAAAGTAACTAAATGTACGACATTGATATGTGGAAGGGTTGAGTAAAAATAATGATAGGTGACTTTAAGAATCTAAACTTTTAATTTAAAAACATCTTAAAGCAGAGTTCTTTTGTCAAATTTTTTTATGGTATATAAAAAAACTATTTAAATTTTCCTATATCAAAATTAATATATAATTGTTGACACCAGATGTTAATGAAAAAGATAATAATAATTAGAATAACTTTATAGTTACTTTGATTTATTACAGTGGTTTGTCCATAGGATAAATCAAAGGCAAAATGATATTAACTTGAAAACTTCAGGAAAATGTGATTAAACATGGAGGTTAAGGGGGGTTGAAATTTAAAAAAAAATCAAACAAAAAGCGATATCAACATGAAAATTTTAGCAAAAATCAAGTTTTATAAGGAAATGAAACCTATTGATTCTGAAAAAATCTGATTAAATATGGGGGCTTAAGGGGGATTGAAATTAAAAAAAAAAACAAAATTTTAGCAAAATCAAGCTCTATAAGGGTCTAAAGCCTATTGTTTAAAAAAAAAAAAGAATAAAAAGGGGGTCAATCAAACTTTTGGTTGGAATTTAGGTATTTGTTTCCAAAGCAAGCGAGAAAATTTGAACCAAGAACAAGCTGATTGTCATTCAAATTTTATATTACGTACACTATAGGATTTCATTACAAAAATGATCTTGGGTAAAAAAATGTTGATACAAAGATAAACTATTCAGTAGTCAAAATCTTATATACAAAATTCAAATAATTAAAAATCAAATCAAATTTACCTTCATGCCTAATTGAGCCGCTTTAATTGCTGCTACGTAACCTCCAGGTCCAGATCCAATAACAACAATATCTGCATCTTCAGAGCTTGAGTAATAACGATTTTGTAATAAGTTTCCTAGTATTCTTTGGTTATGTCTTAAAGTGGGCTGAAAAGTGGGTTAATTTTGTTCTGTTAGTTAGTTACAGATCTTTTTATTAACTTCATATTAAACAATAAAAATTTCGTGTTTCGGCAATTTCGAAAATTGCATGTTCAAGATTAAAAAATATTACGTAAAAATCTGAATAAATTTCTTACCTTTACAGATGTAGAAAATACTTTATAAACTGAACACTGCATTTTTGTAAATTTTTGGTATTTAATTAGGAAAGAAAAAAGAATATGTAATTGAATACTGATTTCAAATTTTGGTATTTTTTAATTTATTAAATCTTTACTTCGACCTGTAAAGGTGACATCCACAAAAACTTGGGATTTGCGATGTGACATGTGACACTGACATGACATTTAATTTCACCCTGTTGCCAAAGCGATTTCACGAGAATCACATTTCCATTTTTTTCTCCCTTTTTTTAAAACGTTTAAGAGAAAATGATAGCACTAAAATATGTTTATTTTATTTTTAATTTGATATTGATATTAATGATAAAGGAAACGTAAATTCTAGAAAATTTATAAGAATTAGTTTTTTTTTTGTTATAATTTTATTCGGTAGGCGAGTTCGGATAGTCAGGGGCTGGAGCGGGACAAATTTTAGGGTGCTTTTAAATGACATTTAAGCGTGTTAAACTGTCACTAATCGGACTAAACCCAATGAACTGGAGTGGGGTAGAAAGCTAATGTGCATATTGTATCAATTGAACAAAATGCGACTCGATGGGCGCAGCCATTTTTATTTCTCATCTCACTCGGGAGTATTTATAATAACCATTTTCTGTTTCACATTGTTATTGTTCAATCCACAGGCTGGTGGATCAGACAATAACAAAGTGAAATAGAAAATGGTCGTTATAAATACTCCCGAGTGAGATGAAAAATAACCTGTCTTCGCCCATAGAGTCGCATCTCAAGCCTATTGACAAGCATTCTACCCCACTCCAGTTCATTGGACTAAACCACAAAGCATGTATCTTCTAGAGACCCCACGCCAATGTTAAACTTTTAAACAAAATTAGCGCCACCTTGTGTTTGGAGCTGGAACTAAAATGACAATTTACAGATGGCGGTAAATTCAAATTGTAATTTTTAGGAGTAGGTAGTAGTTTTAAATTAAATTTTAAATGATTTCCACATAAATTATTTTATAAAATAAAGTATGGAACTAGTAAGTTCGAAACTTTTATTTTACAAAATAATTTAGGTCGATTATACCAAATTTGAAGAATTAATTTGTTATAAGGGGTCTAATGTGGAGAGTTGGTTCTGCATATTTTTATTAAATAAATATAAGATATATCAATAAATAATAAAATAGAACATTCTTAAAATATGTTTATTAATAACTTAAATAAATATTATTAGATAAAAATAAATACAAATAATAAAACATATTTAACGAATACTTACTTGGAGCAAATAGATATATAATCTCAAATCTTTAAAATACCTATCAATAATTTAAATGTGAAGTAGAGACTAGGATATTACATTTTATTAACACTAAAGTTATATATTTTATAAATGTCTTTTTAACTGAGGACAAATGTAATATAGGTATTGTATTAAAAGGTGAATCCTTTTAACTATTCATTCAATGATAAATAGGTATTTTCCTTCTAAATACAGATGGTGATACAGATTTCGGAATCTAGTCCAGTGATAAATTGATTATCAATTAGTTGTTGTCCCCGTTTGTCTTTTTATGATGCAGATGCATGGTGAATATATGGTGAATCAATGAAGTTTTTCTCGAAGTTTTCAACGGAGCACCAAAATTATTGCAAAACACGGTAGGAAATAAAAAAGCGAAACATCACAATTTTGCAAATAACTAAGACGAAACTATAAACAGAAACCAAAAGCCAACAAAAAATCACTAAAATCAGACGGAAAAATGAAACTAACCAAGAACATAAATAAATACACGTCACATCTTTGGAGTCTTTGGTTAAGTTTTTCTCCCATAAGGCTTAAAAATGGAGTAAGAAATCATAATTTCACCAGTAGCCCCATCTAGAGTTTGGAGCAAATAGCATAAAAAATGTCAGTTGTCGGTTTTGACCTTGGTCATTCACGTGGAACCTCTATGTGCTTTGTGGACTAAACCGAACGCTAAAAGAGTCGTTTGGAGTTAAAAGTGTTAATGGAGTTAAAGGAACGTGGCAAACCGAATGGGTGTACTTCAAACGAAGACACCAATTTTGACTTTGACATTTCGTTTAACTGACTTTTATCGGCGTGTTTTTTTCCCTTTCTGCCGATAAGAAAAATGGCTGCGTTAAAAACCGAAATTAAGGAAGATAAGGAAAATGATGAAGATCAAGAACACGCCGCAGAAGATGATGTAGACGGGGCAAATCCTGAGGCTTCTAAAAAAAAGAAAAAGAAAAAGAAGAAAAAAAATAATGGTAAGATTCAATCAATCACGTGTAGAAGATATTTATTTTTAATTTTGGAACGGCTAAAAGAGGTGTAATATGAGGTTTCTGGGTATTTTTTGCTCCAGGGTGTATTAATTTATTTAAAAGTAATGTTTAATTTCTTTAAAAACAATGTTCAATGTCATAAAAAAATTGTTTACTGAAAATACCATACTTGGGAATATTTTTGAATTCATGGATACAAAAATAGATCTCATTTTTATTTTAAATCATTTCTAATTTATTTGTTCTTGTAATACTTAGGTATATGTAGGAGACTATTGGAAAAAATAATTCAAAAATGCTTTTTATGTAATTTTGTTTAAAAAGCTTTTAGTATCATCTCTGTTATGTCAAAATTAATTATAGATGGTTAATAATAGTAAATGATTATGCATTAGCTAGTTCAATCTACCAAATGGCTTATATTCACTTTATACATTTTTTTGTTAGAGAAAAAAAGTTTCTAGTTTATATAAATATTTGTATTTATAATATGAAACTGCAGATTTTCTTGGAATCACCTTATACTCCAAAACACATAATTTATTTTCCATGATTATATTGACAGTTTAAAGGCCACTTTGGCCAAAATTGAGTTATTTATACCACTGGAATCCGCTGATTTTTCTGCACCAATCTATGTATGTTTGATCTAAATCAACTAGTTTTATGGCATATTAAACATTTTAAACTTTGGATGGGTCAAGACAATCCCAATGTATTAAGCGAAAAATCCGAATTTTAAAGGCTCTCCTGTGAAGTCACAATACTGGCGTATTAACAGTTTCTCTTTACAATCATCGATATTGTTATTAATTATTAGTGAATAATAACTAGTAATTTTAGAACACTTTATTTAAATATATAAAGTTCTTTGGTAAATTTATTATATAAAATTCTACTACAGTCAGGAAATTATCCTTTAATTTGAATAGTTTTTAATTAAAATTAGGTTAATTTATTTGGCAAATAGACAGTGTTACCAGGGCTGACATTTTGTTTGTACCAGTAATTTCTTTATAAAAACCTACCAGATTTGTTTATTTTTGGATCAAAAGCATGCAATGGAGCTTTCTTGGTGTTATGTAACTTTGTCTAAACAAAGCAAAGTAACCATGACAATGGTGCTGTCATAGTTGTCAAAACTATGGTCATTATCTAGTTTGACATCTTGCTAATAAAAAACTAATAATAGGTATTTGTAGGTATCACTATTATAAACAAAAAATGTTAGTTCCTTATCGCATGTAAATTAATAACACAATTAATGTTTGAATAAAAATATTTCACAAATTGTCTCAAATCAAAACTCAGAGATGCTACTTTTATGTCTTACATTGTTGCCAAGTCACACAAAAAGTGTACTATCTTATTATTTATTGTTAAGTAGTATCTACTGCAATTCATTTCTAATAATTATCCTTGCCTTAACAATAATATAATATAACTATTGACATTCCAGCACTCCCATTCACATAAAATTGTTAATATTAATTTAAAACATTTAACTTTCTTTTAATTACTTCAAGAAGTAAAAAATTACTTGATAAAATAAGTATGTACTAGATTATTTGCTAAAGTGTCAAAAATAGCACTAGTGCTACAACACACTAGTGCTACTTTATTATCATAATTAATTCAGTTAAATTTAGTGGGATTGTCACTCTTATCACTAAACACTAGTGCTGCTTTCTTATCATAATTTATTCATTTAAATTTGGTGGGATTGCCACACTAAACACTAGTGCTACTTTATTATCATGATTTAATCAGGTAAGTTTGGTGGGATTGCCACCCTAACACTAATACTACAACACTAAACACTAGTGCTACAGCACTAAACACTAGTGCTACCTAAATACTAGTGCTACTTTATTATCATGATTTATTGAGTTAAATTTGGTGCTCCTTTATCATAATTGATTCAGTTAAATTTAGTGGGAATGCCACCCTATCACTAAACACTGGTGCTACTTTATTATCATAATTTATTCATTTAAATTTGGTGGGATTGTCACCCTAACACTAGGACACTAATACTACAACACTAAACACTAGTGCTACAGCACTAAACACTAGTCCTACTTTATTATCATGATTTATTGAGTTAAGTTTGGTGCTCCTTTATCATAATTGATTCAGTTAAATTTAGTGGGATTGCCACCCTATCACTAAACACTGGTGCTACTTTATTATCATAATTTATTCATTTAAATTTGGTGGGATTGTCACCCTAACACTAGGACACTAATACTACAACACTAAACACTAGTGCTACAGCACTAAACACTAGTCCTACTTTATTATCATGATTAATTCAGTTAAATTTAGTGGGATTGTCACTCTTATCACTAAACACTAGTGCTGCTTTCTTATCATAATTTATTCATTTAAATTTGGTGAGATTGCCACACTAAACACTAGTGCTACTTTATTATCATGATTTAATCAGGTAAGTTTGGTGGGATTGCCACCCTAACACTAAACACTAATACTACAACACTAGTGCTACAGCACTAAACACTAGTGCTACCTAAATACTAGTGCTACTTTATTATCATGATTTATTGAGTTAAATTTGGTGCTCCTTTATCATAATTGATTCAGTTAAATTTAGTGGGATTGCCACCCTATCACTAAACACTGGTGCTACTTTATTATCATAATTTATTCATTTAAATTTGGTGGGATTGTCACCCTAACACTAGGACACTAATACTACAACACTAAACACTAGTGCTACAGCACTAGTGCTACAGCACTAAACACTAGTCCTACTTTATTATCATGATTTATTGAGTTAAATTTGGTGCTCCTTTATCATAATTGATTCAGTTAAATTTAGTAGGATTGCCACCCTATCACTAAACACTGGTGCTACTTTATTATCATAATTTATTCATTTAAATTTGGTGGGATTGTCACCCTAACACTAGGACACAATAGATCTTTTAGGTCGCAGTGTATTAACACCAGTGAACTGTATACTTAAAATGGAACGCCAATCCCTATTAACAAAAGTAAGCCAAATTGAATTCGCGCATTACGTCCCAACGATACTGGTGAGAATGCGCACAAAGTGCCTTTGCAGGTCCGTTTCGGCCATTTCATGTACTATTTTTTAAATTAAGAGAAATTAATATCTTTAAAACTCAACAATAAGAAAATCCATTTTAATCTTTAGTTATATTTCTTACCACTTGTTTTACCGTATGTAGATGTCAAAAAATAGGAATTACGGGGAGTTACTTATTTTTAAAACTATGCAAACATTTTATAATATGGAATCAAAGCCATCTATTTAAAAAAACAAAATTAATATGTAATAAAGTATAGATATTTTATCATTGCTTACTCTAAGAATAACAGAAGTAATATTTGCTTTAAAAATCATTTTTAATGGATAAACCCATATATAAATTTGTTAAAACTTACCTTTGGAGGCTTTTCCAAAAAGGATCGAATGGAGACTGTTAAGCGCATAGAAACAATAGATTTCTTTACACAAACATATCAAAGGGAAGCATAAGAATGTTTAAAGTGACTAAGCCTAAAAACCTTTACTAGCGGCATTAATTTTATTGAGAAAATATATTTACATTTAAATAAAACACTAAGATAAAGTAACTGTAGCTTTATTAGTAAAGTATAGTAACATTCAAATTTTCCATAAAAACGACCCCATCTCAAGCAAAATTTTCAGTGATAGGTATAGGTTTTATTTTTGCTTTAATGAATTAATAGAATTCTTTATCGTTAGTAACAATTTTATAGATGAGAAATACGTCTTTCACATTTGTAATGTTATTTACAAAAATAAGATATTTATAAATGTTTCGGCCGAATCAGAAATTTACGGTGGCAGCCAAGCAACTTGGTGGGTAATATTACAATAGACAGATAATTTATTTCAGGTAGACATTTTTTACAATGTACATGATTCGTCAAAAATAAAACAATAATATAAACTAGCGAAGTAAATAAGTATTTATTTATAATAAATATATACGTACAATAGAAAACATGTACTTATAATTAGTATAACTGTGAGTATTAATTATTATTATAAAAAGAACATTCATATTCATATACCTTTGCAAGTCAGAAACATATGTAAATTTACTTATTTCCTGGATATCTTCATTCTCTTTATTTTGTTCATAAACTCCAGATGATGTGCTAGGTCTATCTGTTGATTCAACCACATAGCTGTAATAAATAATAATATTCTTAAAAGTTTTATTTAACCAATTAATTCATATGCCGATTGTTCCTACATGTTATCCCAAATTGGTTTTTTTCTGTACCCTGTAAAACGCTAGAGTAACTATAGGACCATTAATATTCTGCCAACATTTCCATATAATAAATTATGATTTTCATTCTTTTATTCATAGAGTGACAAGATCTGTTAATCGACTAAATATGTAGAATTAATTATTATTTCTTCATCAGAATTTTGTAACCAGTTACATATGGGTATGTGAGGTATAGATTTTAAATTTTTAATTAATTGTTTATTAATAAAGATATATTTCAAATTAATTTGTTATTAAGTATTAGGTATTATTTAGAATTTTATTATTATTGAATGACTATGACAGGTATTCTATATTATTGTCTTGTTTTAATGGGCTCTGATCCATAAATATATTATCGATATCTACATATAATTTTGTAGTTAGGTATACATATAAAAAAAAGTATAATTTAATAAATATATATTTGTCATAGCTTAATTATCTTGGAAGATTAGTAGGTAACATCAATGGCTTACGAGGTCCTAAATTAATAGCTGGCACAGCATGTTTTTTAAACGCTTCCTAGTTCCTCCTAGAATGACACTTTCTACGAAATGTGCACTACAAACGGCATTTACAGAAGTCAACGTTTCAGCCTTGGGATCTCTTCCTAAAGCCCTCATCCAAGCTGAATACCTATCAGAAGTTAATCTAAAAAAAAACACATGATAACTACATAATTTTTGGTTCTGGGTGCTTCAAAAGGGAAGAATTAGTCGACAATTTGGCTCAGATAGCTAAAATATAACACCCGTACGCCCGAACCACGTATTGCTATCCTTTTAAGTATGAAAAAGGGGGTCAAAAACACATGGGTACCCCCTAGTTTGAATAAAAAATAACTAGTCATCCTTACCTGAAAAATGGAGGCGTCTGACTCTTACACCACAAAAACCATACAATTTTTCCCCATTTTAACAAGAGTCTGATTAAATCTGATTACTATTAGGTACAGTGTATCAACCAAAAGCAGGCACTTAAGTGTTCTAAAGCTAATTTCAACACAAAACGAACAAAGCACTAAACAAAAAGTAGCGATTAAATATAAATAAACCACACACTTAAATTGAAATTAAAAACTATTAACTGTAAAGACAGATCATCTAAAGACGTCAAAGATCAAAACCAAACAAAACGAATGACTGTAATAACCTTAAAATCACACTCAAAATTGCAAAAACCAGCTCTGTAAAATCATGAGATCACATCAATAATGAGCATGCGCCGGAGTATCGTAAATGTTAAAAGTACAGTGTTTTCATGAAAATTTCACTACGTTTTTAACAGCGTTAGAGAACTATTTCTACCACGCGCATCCAACGACATTGGCGTTCCATTTAAATATACAGTTCAGTGATTAACACCCTAACATTAAACACTAGTGCTACTTTAACTGATTGTTTTGTGAAGTTGATATCTTTCACGTGGTAATACCTTTTGAACAGTGTAAGGTCCTTTGTATTTTAGCCTTAGTTTCCCTCTACCTGCGAGCTGTTACTTGAGGGTTATCAATTTTTTTGACCCATTTTCGATCGTTATAAATCTTCATGTAATTTCTGAATACACTTGTCCCATCCTATATATGAAGTCATTGTGACGTAAGCAATCGCTCTGCAAGAGGCACAAAATATTTCTGAAGTTTTGTTTTGGTTATGATTATGTCCTTCTCAACAGTTATGTCAATGTCAAACACCAGCTTATTAATTATCTGATGACAAAAGGTATTACTATGTTGGAATTCTTGGAGCATACTTTTGTTGGTGATTTTGTTTAATGAACACATTTTTAACTCGGTTACATCATCCACTGGATTTCAGTTTAAATAATCTAACATGTTAAATTTTATATCCAGGATGGTACCCAATTAATAAAAGAATTGTAATTATGTAACTTAAAACACCAACGCGCCACGCGCGGGTATAATTCTTTCTTTACAGCTGTTCTTCGAACCAAATTACAGTCTGTAGATACTGTGAAATACAAACTGTACAGATACACACGAAAGTATTTAACTGCTTCAACTATAACAAGAGTCTCTAGATTGTAAGAATGTTACTTTGTAATATCTGTATTTTATATGTATATGTGTATTAGAGTTAATTTCTAATGTATTGTATATTTATTTGTTTGTCAACAAGATTTTATTTTAGACAATAAACGCATATTCTCTCTTTCTCTTAATTCATAATCAGTCGTACATGAGCTATAGTGCCATCATATGCAAAACCCTAATAACTACACAAACTATAGAATGGAGATATTTGCAACAAAAGAAACTTAGTACTGCCAGCATTTTGATTGGTAGTACATAGCTACATATATAGCTGCATTTGTTGAATTAAAGACAATTTTTGGACCATGATTTTAACTAGTTAAAAATAAGTTTGATTTAATTTTTGTGTTGGCTTGTGGGCTAAAAGATTTTTTGCTAAGCATGCTCTACAAAAATGTTACTTAAAGTGTAGAATCAAGTTGACTTTTTAGGATACAGAATAAATATTACCAGGATATTGCTTAATTTTTAAGAAGAAAAAAGCATTAGTATCAGAATTGTAAAATAATCTAAAATATTTGTAATATGTCTATTATGGGGGTTTGGCTTATGACGGCAGTACACAGGTCGAGTGACAAAGCAAGTTTAATTTTCATTTCACTTTTCTTGAGCAGATCATAATGTAACTCAATCCCCTTGGCATTTGTCTAAACACATACAAGGTCGGTATCGCAACATTTCATCCAATAATATCAACATCTCCTGGAATCACACTATTTGGAACAGACGCAAAACTTGTCTCTAACATAATAGTCGGTAAAATGACTAACAAATTACTAATAATGTAAACAACTTGAGTACTAAGTCTCCAAAAAGCACATGCAGCTTATTCAGCTGGCCTAATCCTTCCTTATGTTTTTACTACTACTACTACTGCTGCTGCTGCTACTACTACTAGATTGTTGTTTAATTATTGACATGTCAGCATCTAGATGCTAACATATAAACATAGGGTTTTCATATATTTTGTTAATTCCTACCCAATTTTGAGAGAAAAACTTATTTTGGTTGTGATTTTTAATCTTTAAAAACAGCGTTTTTTGTTTTTGATAACATTCATAACTGGTGACATAATGAACTTTTCGTAACAATTTACATAAATTAGATCATTTTGGTACTTAATGCGATTACAAAAATGTCACTTTATATGCTAGAATTAGAAAAATATCATGTACTTTCCTCATTAACCTTAATGATTGTGTTTAATGTTATGTGATGACTATATTGATTTTCTCTTTTTAATTTATATCAACTTGTATGTTATCATCAAGTGAATGAAAAAAAAAAAAAAAAAATGTGAAATGAAATATTTTATTCATTTTTCTCTAGTTATACAAGATGAAGATGTTAATAGTGGCGATACCAACAAACCAGCAAACGTTGGAGTCACAGAAGAAGCTCCAGCCGAGAATGGAGATGTAGACAATGATGGAGACGCGGAGAAGAAGAAAAAGAAACGAAACCGGAAGAAAGCAGGGGGCAAACCAAAACAAACTGATCCCCCTACAGTTTCAATTGCGGAATTGTTTCCAGATGGTGTATTTCCTATAGGAGAAATACAAGACTATCCTCTTGTTAAAGACGACAGATCTGCCAGAGATAGAGTTACATCTGAAGAAAAACGTGCTTTGGATAGAATGCATAATGATATTTACAATGAAGTGAGGTTGGCTGCAGAAGCTCACAGACAGGTAAGTTTTGACTTCAAAGGAAAATTTAACCAAATAAAATTTTTCCTTGTACTCTTTAACAGACAAGACAACACATTCAAAGATGGATTAAACCTGGCATGACAATGATACAAATTTGCGAAGAATTGGAGAACACTGCAAGAAAACTTATAGCCGAAAATGGTTTGAAAGCAGGACTGGCTTTCCCAACTGGATGTTCAAAAAATCACTGCGCCGCTCATTATACTCCTAATGCCGGCGATAAGACGGTTTTCGAATATGATGATGTGGTAAAGATTGATTTTGGAACGCATATTAATGGAAGGATCATTGATTGTGCTTTTACTCACACCTTTAATCCCAAGTACAACAAGTTGGTTGAAGCTGTAAGAGATGCCACAAATACTGGGATTAAAGCAGCAGGTACTTGAAATTGCATCTAATAATGGATTAAAAAATTAAAATTGTTTCTTTAAAAGACGTTTATTCCTTAATAAAGTTGGGGTATATTCCGAGAAATAATTGAAAGTTAATTTCTTTTTAAATTTGAAATTAATTACTTGTCAAAAAAAAATCACTTACAATCACAGGGTGTAATCTATTTTAATTTTCCATGTAAATTATAGTATTTTTTAATTATCTGTACGAAATACTTTTTCTATTAATACCAAAAAAAAAATTAAATATGATTTTTTTGGTAGGAATTGATGTTCAACTCTGTGATATTGGAGCGCAGATTCAAGAAGTCATGGAATCGTACGAAGTAGAATTGGATGGAAAAACGTACCAAGTTAAATCCATTCGTAACTTGAATGGCCATTCAATCTCACCCTATAGTAAGTGATTCGTAAAAACAGTAACTTTTCTTGATATTTAACGTTTGGTATTGTGTTTTAGGGATACATGCTGGTAAAACGGTTCCCATAGTAAAAGGAGGCGAAGCTACGGTGATGGAAGAGAATGAATTTTATGCCATTGAAACGTTCGGATCTACTGGTAGAGGAGTTGTACATGACGATATGGAATGTTCTCATTATATGAAGAACTTTGATGTACCATATGTGCCATTGCGGTAAGTTAATCAACAAACTAAATACCTTTTGTCTCTAATTAAATTTATTTGACTCAAAAGTTATTAAAAAAAAAAAAAAAAAAATTAATGTACTTGCAACCAAGATGGAAGGGAAAGTGCAAATTTTGAAGATACTGGATAAAGGAAAACACCAAATTTTAAACTTAAGCTTTAATCCATCCTGTGGTGAGATGATTAGATTTTGGCCATAGTCGGGACATCTGGGGGTTACTTTATAGAGGGTCGTTTCTCTATTTTATAGAATGTATCTGTTATTTATGCTTGGAGAAGAAATTTCTTCAAATAGAAGTTACTTCTATTGTCATTCTGCATATTTTTTGTTCTATGTATACCAATTTGTCTAAACTGGTCCGTATTCTAGAAATTTGACAAAATGTGCAAAATTCGAATTTTTAAGGAAAGTGTTCAAATAAAAGTTGTATGTGATGTCAATTTCGAATTTTGAAGATAACTCAAAAACGGATAAAGGGAAAAATACCAAATTTTAAATTTAAGCTTTTATTCGTCTTGCGGTGAACTGATTAAATTTTGGGCATAGTCTGAACATCTGGGGGTACTTTATAGAAGGTCGTTTTTATATTTTATAGAATAAATGCAATTTTAAAATTTTTCTACTGAAAAATGTAAGAAAATTTGAAATATAGCTACGCTAAAGTGGTTTTTTACACATTTTCCAGCTGATTTATCCATTTTGAAAAATTTCGTTTCGTTTGATGAAAATCGAAAAAAAATACGTTTTTCAAATTTTCTTACTTTTTCTACGAAATCGGCGAGTTCAATTGATTTTAAATAATGAAAGATTTAGGTTAAAATTTTATTTGATAGATATTTCCTCTATTTCATATAATTTTTTTGAAATTGAGGATTTCAATTAATTTTAAATAATTGAAGAATAAGGTTAACATTTTTTGAAATTGGAAATTTCAATTAATTTTAAATAATGAAAGATTTAAGAGGGTTCTATACCCATCAGCTCGATCAATTTTATACATAACCTCGAAATCCACGTCCCTACATGTTCGCCATAATTCCCCCTTTAAAGAAATGGTTAGGCAGCCTGAAATACATCGCTGTGCATTTGTGGTTGCATAGTCTACCAATTATCGGATAAGAACATCTAGACATAGCATTTTCGGTCGTGAATGATTGACAAAATTAGATTTCTATACATATAAATTAATCAAATAATCCACTTATTTGCTTGACGTAGAATTGACACACTTCCGATTTATTAAAGTCACAGTGATTATTCTCGCACAATTTACTAATAAACACACAATTAAAAATATCTTAGACATATTTGTTATTTAATTCGCAATGACAACCACAGACAGATCACTTACTTAATGACAACTAGACGGATTCTTATGTGCGTACTCAACCCTTAACGAGTTGAATAGAGAGAGAGGAATTACATACGAATCGCATTCTGTAGAACAAAGATGTCGTCTTAACACGTGCCGAGATGAGAATCCCAATGGTAGTGATGGGCTCACTGATCCGGATCTTTTAACTGAGCCAGATTCGTTGACCCAGATCTTTATAAAGATCCGGATTGCCCATTACTAATGACAATCACTTTTTTATTAGTTTTTAATCATAACCAATTATTGTTCAATTTTGACATAGATATACTGAATAGTAGACTTTGGTTCGCTCTTGTGTTAAAACTATTCATTTTACAAAAAAAAGTAACTACATAAATTGTAGAAAATTTTCTCTAGTAGTTGCAAACCTATTTTCATAAAAAAATGAGTCGGAAAGGAGATAATTTGAAAATACTGTTTTTGGGCGCCATTTTTCGTTAAACTATGTATATATAGTCTAAGAGCTGGCGACACAAGGGGTGACTCGGTAAAGTCAAAATTTTGTTATTTACAGTTTCGATTGTTACCAACATAGCAAGAGGCGGATAGTCAGAAGTCACCTTGGAAGTATAAAGTAAGGGTGGCGGGCTTAAACATACAATTTTTTCGCAAAATAAGTGATAAGGTACAGCTCTGAAAATTTGCAGTATTATCGGAGTTGTTGCAAAAAAATTTAGCAACAATAATTTCACTAGGTACACTTCTGACAATTTGTATTCTTATTCTGTAATTCAAAATAAAATTACTTGCAGCTTTAATACTCGATAGAACTTTTTTCTAGTTACTTGACTTTTTATTGTTCAATGTATACCTACTAATTTTTCATCGAATTTATTATAATTTTTTGAAATTTATCATCTGCCAAACAATTTATTGTTTCTATTAATTAACAGATCACTCGTTTTAAGAATGTACAGTAATAATTTAATTTCAACATTGTAATTAATCATTAACCTTTTTGTTTAAAGAGTATAGAAACTAATATTTTTATTAAAAAAATATATGTTAAAGAAAAATTATAATCATTTTAATCCTTAAATATTACAAGCCATTACAGCAAAACTATGTCCGTAATGGGAATGTGTAAATTAAATGCAAAATTTAGAAAAACTTGTATCTATAAAAACAATTATAAATATTCCCGGAATGTATAATCCCTTGCTCGAGGATGAATTTATTTGTGTGATTATAGCACCGTAATTTGTTTGTGTATGTATTTTAATGGGCTCTGGCGCGTAAATAAATAAATAAAGTAATTAGCATGGGTAGGCATTAAGGGTATAAGAATATCTATACTTACACAGGAAAAACAAATGGGTTTAGTATTACAATTTGATTGGTACTTAAATAATAAATAATTACAAGTACCTATCATCTTGGAAATCTCGAGGTTAGTTGACTAATTTCGACTAACCTACAGGATGATATTTTTCTGACAGTTACACTTTTCATCCGATATTAATGCTAATTTATTTAATTAATTAAGAAAAGTGTATCTATATATGTTTTAATCTACATTATTTATCGTTGAAGAATACCATATTAAGTTTATCTTTCCTCTTGCTAAGATGCAACCACTTGTTGCTAAGGTTAGAGTCTTTAGGAAAACTAAAAAATATTACAAACATTCTTATGATATATTCATATTATCATGTTTGTTCTCCAAACAGGAAACATTAATATTTAAAGTCCCTGTTCCGGCTAATACACAACCTTCCTTAATGTTTAAAGCGAGACGATTTTCTACTATAAATTGCAACAGACTATACCTTGACAGATAAGTTAGTATTTTTTTCAAACAAGTTTGTCAACAGTGTCACTTCCATAGCAATTCTTAAGTTGCACAACGGTGTTAAATGAATGTTTTACTTTCAGTTTGCAGTCATCAAAATCCCTTCTAAACGTCATAAACAAGAACTTCGGAACGCTGGCGTTCTGCAAAAGATGGTTGGATAGAGCCGGCGCAACCAAATACCAAATGGCCTTAAAGGATTTGTGCGACAAAGGTATAGTAGACGATTACCCACCGCTTTGTGATATCAAAGGGTGCTACACTGCCCAGTTCGAACACACAATAATGCTGAGACCGACGTGCAAGGAAGTGGTGTCCAGAGGTGATGACTATTAGGTTATATTTTTTTTTTCAATTTTGTTGCCAATGTTTTTTATTCATCAATTGATTAATTTGTTATGAGTTGACATGATTAAAATAAAAAAAAAATTATAAGTCGATGTACAAATCTAACCCTTGTCCGATCCTTTTTTTGCTACTTTATACATTGTATTAAAAGTGTTTATTTGTACATAAAAAAATTTTTAGTAAAGTTTTTATGTATTTATATTTTGTTTTTAAAATAGAATCATTATCGATGATTATATAAATATTTTGGTAAATTAAATTTAAAAAAGTTGCTTTTTTATTAAGTCACTTGGATTATTATTGGGCTCCTCGACTTTTCCAACGTAATTTGAGACTTTTAGTTAGAAGAAAACTATTATTAAGTAGTCTTATTTTGTAGCCAGTATCTATGATTTACATAGTCGAAAATTTTTACTACTTGCTGATGAGTCCTAATAAATGACGTTCTTAGAAAAATAGATCGTTGAAAATTATTTTATTTCTGTTATTTTCCTTTTGATATAATGCAAGGTCATTTTAAGTATGCCACAATTAGTTACGAAATTGCTTTTCCAGAAAAATCTATAAAGAAAATTGTATATGTGTTTTTGTGTAGTTTTCTGTATAATTCTTGCACAAACTCGTGTATCGGCTGAAATAGGGCAGAAAATATATCATCCACGCCTGGAAACCTAATGGATAATATGATATTCTAGAAAAACATTTTTATTTTTAAACAAACAGTATTAAACAGAAACTTATTTTTATCTCTAAACAGATAGTTAATGGTATTAAACTGTAACTAAAAGAAATTAAGTTGTGGGACTGCTCGAACTTGCTGTTTGTCGACTTAAATCGATATCTCTTAGGAGTTTCATTTAAAAAAATGCACTCCATTATCTTCTTGCAATTCATATTCATCTTGCTGCAGTCCATAATCATCTTGTAGCAGATTGTTTTCATCTTCACCAATATTCATTACATCTTCATCCACATATGGGTTATCTTCGCCCAGAGGCATTTCTTCTAAATGCTGTAAATATCCATCAGAATCGGGTCCATCTTCGTCAGGTTCTGGAATATTTAACTTTTCAAAGTTATACGGGTCGAAATTATTCCTCCTAAGTATTTTTTCTAAAGGAGCAACTGGTTCTTCGTTAACTATACAGTTAAAAAAATACCGTGCTCGTTCAATGACTTCTTTGTCGATCCCAATAGCTTCGGCAACGTCAATAGCAAAACTATTGGATACACCTGAAATATTAACATTGCTATAAATATCGATTTTTTTTTTAATTCTAATTTGTCTTACCTTCACTAATTTTATATAAAAAATATAATACACCATTTTCGTTAGTGTGCTCCATTTTCTGAAATTGGATTAACGAAGATTCTGGAAGACGTTGGCGGATTTTTTGAAAATGTGTTGCGACCACTACGTGGGGACAGTTCAATCCTCTCGAGAGGAAATGTTTTAAAGCTCCTTCGAGAAGAGCAATTCCTTCAATTTCTGTAGTTCCTTTTCCAAATTCGTCCAGAAATACCAACGAGGATCTACTGATGTCCATCAAGGCGTGAGACATCTGAAATGTTTACTATAATAAATATTTTGGTGTTTTTTTTTTTTAATAAAAAATACCTGTGTCAAATCAATCATAAACGAAGACAACCTAACAGCCACGCTTTCTGTAGCTAACAATCTAGTATGTATAGAATCCAACAGATTTATATTAGCCTTAGCGCATGGTACAAACGATCCAACATGTGCCATATAAATTACTAGAGACACTTCTTTGAGGTAGACACTTTTTCCACTGCTGTTCGGTCCTGTAATGATTTTCATTCGGCTATATGGTCCTCCTGAATAAAAATCGTTTGGCTGAAATTGTTCAACGATCTCTTCCATCAACGGATGACGGCATTCTTCCATTTCGAAGTAGTTTTCTTGATTTAGCGAGGGTCTGACGAACAGCTTGGTAGATGCTGTTATCGCCATGGAAATCAGGCTAAAAATTAATATTATTTGCTACAGGTCTTGGAAAAAATATGTGTAGTTCATTAGCATCTTGAATAACAGACAATTGTTATGTACAAGCCTATTTGTACCTTAGGACTTTAGAAACATTTCGGACATACTTCAGATAAAAACTTACATTAACTTTGTCGACATTGGTCGTAGAAAAAATATATCTGAAAGATTTTGTTGAATAAAACTTCGATTATTAGTATTTGTCGTTAGGAAACGTTAGAGATTCTTTTACAAAAACATTTTCCAGGCAATTGAATTCTGGATTACAGGCAAGTTGTACCCCACTGTACACGAACGGCTCGAAAACTGAAAAATGAGTAGGAGCGGGAGTTTTTGGCCAGAAGCCAAAAGATGACAAATCAGTACAGCTAGGCTCTCCGGCCACGATCTTTCAAGCAAAAATGATTGCTATAGAATTGGGAGCAAGATTAATTTTGATTAATTTTCTCCCATCAAACAAGCCTATAAAGATCTTTTCGGATGACCAGGTAGCCCTCAAGGCCCTGAGCTCTAATCCAACTGCCTCAAAGCTGGTTTGAAACTGTATAAAAATCCTTGAATGTCTCTGTGCCCGGAACAAAGTTACTTTGATCTGGGTTCCGGGACACAGTGGTGTGGATAGCGATGAAAAAGCGACGCATTCGCTAAAAGAGAAGCCCAATCTGAGTTCATAGGACCAGAACCATCCTTAGGCACTGCAAAGAGCACTGCCAAATTATCACAAAATGGAGCATACAGAGATTCTCCAGGGCTAACTCATTCGAACGCCTCTGCACAGATGCAGGAATGGAGTAGGAAAGATCTATGCAATTTCACGGGACTGATGACAGAACATTGTCGTCTGGGTAAACACACGAAAAGGATAAATCTGCAACAAACATGACTGTCATAATTCTGCAGCGTGAAAAACGAATCTGCAGAGCACATTTTATGTACCTGCTCCGCTTTGGAAAGAAACTAGGTTACAAATCTTCGGATTCACCCGACTGGAGCCTGCCGACTTTAAACAAGTCGCACTCAATTCAACCTTGGCCTTCATCAAAAAGTGAACTATAAGGTAGGCATGAGCCACAATTGATCCATCTGAGTCGCAGTGGAAGGCGATGAGATTACTCATTTTCAACCTAACCTAAATATAATGATATATTGTAACAATAAAAAATAACAAAGCACCCGAACACAATGAAATTGATTTTATTATTGACAACAATTGTTTTTACCCCTTTTGATTTTTTTAAAGTATCCGGACATTATGAAATCTAATTTTATTTTTGACATTTATTTTTACCCTTTAGGTTTTTTAAATACTTTCCTTTCTACCTTAAAAGTATAGCCAATATTTTGGATTTATTTTCGTTTTGGAACCTTGTTATTTACTGACAGTATAATTCATTAATTATTTTTGGGATAGTCACTAGTATCAAATGTAACAATATATTTCTCAATTACCTCTTCATACGCATCATTACATTGTGCTTCATATTTGATACTATCAGTATCTACCTGCAAAAGCTTACATTTATCGAGTAGAAACTTTTCTAATATGTAATCAATATAATACACAATTTTTTAAATTTCTAAAATCAAAGGAAAGAAGAAGAAAATAATTACAAAGAACTACTCAATAATCCTATATGTAAGTTTTAAAAAGTATACTTATTATAATTAGCAATGAAAAAGAACAATGCAACCAGACGCTGAAATCTGCATTAATTTTTGACAATTTTGTTTTCACCCCCTTTGCTTTTTTGAATATTTCCTTCTCTACCTTAAAAGTGTACTCCTTACATGGTCACGTAACTGGGTCATTTGTCACTGTTATATTTACAAACCGAACTCAAATGAATCTGACTCAGGTGAGCTGACCCCTAAACGAAAATCTAAAGAAGTTGCTAATTTTCTTAGACTCAAATACGAGACATATTCTCTGTTCTTTCTGATGAAATCAACAAGGTATCTATAACGTGTGGAGAGTGGGTTGCCGTACTACATTTAGGCCTCACTAGATTTATTGTGCATCCTTTAACGAAATTTGATTTTCCCCATTTTTATTTTCAAAACAAGCAGGATTAATGTATTAAACGCATCTACGTTCACAAAGAACAGTATACTGTCATGTCTATGACAGTGACGTCCTGAGTAAACGTCTTGTTAGATCTAGCGAATTGTAAGATAATTATGTTTAGGTATACACTTGATTTAATCTTTACCAATCGATTAATCCTATTATTTTCAGCGGTTCCCGTATATCTCTATTATATTTTATAACGAATCCAGATAATCTTCTCAAAATCCTGTTTTCGTGGTCTATTATTTCGGAAATAGTATCACCAAGTCTTTTATCCAATTCTAAAAATATGATTTATTTTGCACGAAAAATAATCCTACCAAATTAGTATAAGACTTACCTATACACATTGGATTCTTATAATGGATCCTTCCTCCAATTTTGAACTGAAAAATAAGTATTAAGTACAAAAAATGTTCTTTTGCTTACAATTATTCTTTTCTAAACTTTTTGGAACTACCTACTCTAATAAAAATTACTCTGCGATAAATCTGAATTGATAAGGACGACGGAGTTTTTTTTGTCCGAGGTCCGTATTTTTGGCGCCCAACGTGAGAACCCGAGAGCATAGATAGTACGTATTTTTCTCCTGAATATTTCAAGTTGCTTTCGAAGACAGCGACATGTTGAGTTATAAATTTAATACTAGAGATTTTTCATAATCTTACTTTGTTGGCAGACCATTTGCTGTCCTTTTTTTTTGGTGACAGCTTTGTCTGGGGCTCACGGGCCAAAAATCTATGAATATCTCTTATGCTACTGGTACTCGCTCAGGGACAACTTAGCGAGATGTTCTTTGAGATATTCACGAGGCGAATGCATACCATCTACACTCGATTTTCTATTTAGTCGCCAGCAATTTGGGTATCGTGACCTTTGAATTTTGACAGGAAACCGTCTAAAATTAGAGCGCCGATAATGTGTGACGAGACTGGGCAAATCGATACAATCGCATCAAGAAACGTGTTATACCGAATAAATATACGAGATGATGTTTTTATATAAGTGTCAAAGTCGGAAGTGCTGCTGATAAAACCACTTCAAAATTAAAGTAAAATCGATATAAAATCGAAGTAAAATTAATTTACCACGAACTGAAATCCCAAATGTTGCAAATCTTCCGGGATACAATCGGGTTCCCATTCCTTAATGGCTAGTAAATGTCCCATTTCTGGTATATAAACGACGGAGCATTCATCCAAAAAATCGGGTAAATTTTCGGCTGCAAACCGAGCAGCAGCCATAACATCGTTGATTATGTCTTGTCTTCGTAATTTTTCTAAAATAAAAACATTTTTTACGTTCCTAATTTCTTCGTGAGTGTTTATAATTTCCGGTATGTAAGCGAGAAAATATTTGTCCACAAAAAGAAGATAACTTGTTTTTACGGTTTGAATTATATATTAATATTTGACGGTTTACTAAATGTATAAGAATATATTTACCGTGAATATATTGTTATTCACCTGTGTGTAAGATAGAATAAAGAATCTAAGAAAGAAGTACAAAAAAAATAACCATCTTGATTCTCTCCGACAGCCAAGCAGTCATATATTAATTTGGTTTATATAGAATCAACTTAAAGTTGGTCTGGAACTGCCTTTGAGTACTTATAATGATTATGCAACCAATAATAAGGGAAATTTGAACAACACCCATACAGGTTTTAAAACATAGATGAAATCAGAACGACCCTGCTGAGTCTGGAAGCACGAGAAACACTGAGAAATGGTGTGGTATTTGCAAGGTGACAAGATAAAGATTCACTTGCTTATAACCTATGAGGTGGTGTTTCTTATATCATAGTTACAGGACAAGATAAAGATGGACCTGCTTATAACTTACACGATTTACTATTCATTCTTAGACCGGCTATTCAACATGTCGACTTACTTCAGCTGTGAGAGAGTCAAGGAGCTGAATAACTTCAATAAAATCAAACTAAACAAATACTTTTAGTTCCACTTATTTCTTAAAGTATTAAAAAAGAAGTTGAAGCTATGTAGATACCCACATCCAGAAATTCAATGTTACCAGGATATAAATACAATTTATTTTAAACTTACTTTCGTCTAATACATTATCGAGTCCATATTTAATTATCGGTTTACCGCGTTTCTTGCTGGCATCGAAATCCAAACCGTTATTGATAGATTTCTCCAAACCCAATAGATTATCAGAAACTTTTTCGTACAGTTCCATGAGTATCGAACATTTTTCAATGTAAGGAGAACTGATCTCCTTTAAAAAAATTGTATGGTAGATTGTCTGAAAATGAACATGATTAATCTCGAACTTTAAATATTTATCGCTGTGCACGTGAAAGAATATTTACTAATTATGATGCTGTAGAACAGTGGTCGCCAATCTTTTCAATTGTTGGGCCACTTTTATAATTTTGGAATAAATAGTGAGCTACCTCTAATCCTAAAAGCAATCTAAGCCAACCTAAATGAAATAATGTCTAGTTATATTCGACATAAATATATTTATTTTATCAATACATAGGTACTAACAAAAATAAACTATAACATACTACATCCATACCAACCCAAATCGTCTTGAACACTGTAACATTTTAAAATTCCATTTAAAAATGTTCTTTTAATTGTGTGACGTCCTGTATAAAATAGTATTCGAATAATTTTAAATTTAATTATCGCCGCACGCAATATTCCTAAGAAAGGGAAATTTCGTGAAGTGGGAGTATAGTAAGCAGATTATATCGACAACGTGTCTTGAAATTTCATTTTCCGAACTATCTACCAGTGTCTGGCTGTAAACAGCGGTGAGTAAAAATGTCATTAAAAAAATATCTCAGTAGAAATTATATTTCTACTTGTTGGTTATAAGTTTATTTTTTGAAAGTCAAGATAAATTTATTAAATATGTTTTTGTAATTCATTTTGGTTGCAGGAATTGCTCATTGTTTATATTAATTTTCTATTTTATACAAGAGCCTCGTGAAAAACAGAATTTAATTTTTGTTTAGAAAGCGAATAGAAGCAGCTATTTTCTAGAAATGGGCGTACTTTGAACGGTTCTAGCGAGATGTCGGCGACAGATCGCTTACCGCAGTGTTGCCGCAACTTGTGTTTATTATGAGAATTTGCGAAATTTGCCGAAGATTCTGATTTTATTTTTTACTTAAGTTTTGAGTTACCGATGGCTCGTGATCGACAGATTGACGACCACTGAAAATGCATTTAGAATGGAGGGATTCCACTGAAACATACTATTTACCTTGTACAGGACGTGCCAATCCCTAAATTTTGCCATAGAATTCTCAATTCTAGTTAAAATCACCTAAAAGTCGTTTAAGTAATAGAAAAATCAGTTATATCATTAGATCTAAAAATACTTACATTAATATCGCTTGCAATTAATCGCAAATTATCTCTTAAACTTTCTACAAACTCTCTATTGCTGGGGTCCAGAACAAATTCAATGAAGTCCAGACGCTTGTTTAAGATATTGATGTTATTCAAGGGATTCAAAAGTACATTCCTTAAAATAAAAAAAGATTAAACATTTAAGACCAAGCTTCACCGGCAAATGTAGTTGAGTTTACAGGAATAATTGAATTAAGGCTTAGGACTTACTTTAATGCCAGTAATCCAACCTTTGATTTGCAGTTCAGAGAAAATAATTTATACAAACTGAGTCCTTCTCTTTCACTCGAATACAGACCTCTTTTGAAACCTGAATCGTGAGCGCGTTTTGAAAATATTTGCAAGGCTTGAAAAGTTGAGTTGTCCACTAATACATGATCTTTTCTAAAATAAAATAGGGTGGGTACTAAACGAGAGAAAACGTAAAGCTAAATAACATTTTTCTCGTTAATCCAAAATAAAAAACAGCTTTAAAATATACACAACAATAATAAAAGACTTAATAGTAGCTTTCAGAACAGGAATACAAAGAAAAACGTATACAGGGATGGAAAAGACAAAGGAAAACCACAATTTCAAAAAGGTACTACCGAAACGATCACTTCAAAACTTTCAGAGAAATGAGCTTTCACACTGCACCTCTTAATCCGTTAGCCGACAACGCATGAATGAATAATGGAGATAAAATAATTCGTTAAACTTTTTATATTAAGACAGTATGTAGTGAAATTTATGCAATTTAATATTTTTTCTGTTATTATATGGACATTTGAGAAAAATGGTATTTAAGTTTTGGTTTTGTCTTTGTAAAATATTGTGCAGGCATTTGGTGTATCTCACTGTATTAAGATACCTTGAGATTTGATTTATGTGGATGTAGCAAAGCTCCGTTTTTTCCGTTATACCAAAAAACGTCCAATTTTTTTCGAGGAATTTCACTAACGTCCCGATAGCTTGTATAGAGAGTCTGTTATCAAAATTGATAAGAGAATGAATATAGACTTCTCTTTTGGTGTCTGTTGGTTCGTCTACGATTGAAGCTAGTTGTAGTTGAGAAATTATTGCTTTGCATATTTCATAATCTAAAATATAATGGTAACTAATAGTCCAACGATCTGTCACTGAGAGCTATAGTGACACAACTAAAAAATGTAGAAAAAAGAAATGTTAAATTGAACAGCTTTTCTTCGAGCAAGGCTGGCACAAATTTGGTTAGCATTTATTCCCCGAAATGACGAATAAGTCACTAAAGCATCATAATAAGTTTTGTATCTTTACAGCAATAGTGGCACCTAATCAGTATGTCATTTACTTAATAGGTTAGGAAAGGTTTCGTTGTTTAAGCAATAGTGACACTTGAGTTGTGCGAATTGATTTTTATTATCCAAAGTGCCGAAAAATAGTGACACATTTTTAAATATGCCAGTATAGACTTTATATATATTTTTTTAATTTTGCCTTTATTAACTTTTACCTTTTTATATTTTTTCGATTAAAAATAATAATTGTGCTCACAATTTGAAGTTCCTTTACAAATATCAAAATTTATGTAAAATGTTTATTTTCCTAATATTCTATTTTTATAAATACAGTTAATGACTTAATGAAAATGTGTCATATTTAATACATCAAAGTGTCAAAAATTTTATTGCAAACAATTAAAAACTAATTTATGGTCTCGTCAACAGTGGCACATGTTCAAATTCGACTTAAAAACAAAAATCTAACCTTAATCTATCAATTTAAATAAAAGTAAAATAAAACAAATTAACTCAATTTTCTTAAAGATTACTATTTTCGAGTTGTGCCATTATTGCCATTGGTGAGCGATATATAGTCATATGAACGTGCTCCCATTTTAAGCGAGCCACACTGCATGACAATTAGTAGAGAATATATCAGAAACAATGTGAATGTGACAAATCTTAGCAGGCAAAGTTTCGTCACCAGGTGGCATTACTAAACCGTGAGATCTGTATTAAATATATATTTTTTAATCAACCAATTTTAAATACATTTGAGAAAATAATTAAAATGGCATGTAATGGTTATGTCGTGCGAGCCATTTTGAATTATAGAAATTCTATTAATTACAAAATGTGATGTCAAATACTTGGTCTAGTCGAATACAGAGCACCTAGACAGGTCTGGAACAGCCTAATTTTCATATAAATAGCCCAAATTTGTAGTAATAGGTTTAGTATACGGTTAGGTTTATATAAATTAATATACAAGTGTTTTGAGATATAAATAATTGTATAGAATTAGTAAATAAGTATTTTAAATGAATATAAAATAAACGTTACAGATAAATAGGTATCCCATTCTAAAATTGTTGTAGATAAAGTGGGGACGATCACCTAGCACATTATTTCTTGATAGCTCTCTCTATACCTATAGCTAACAATGGTTACTTACTGTATTCCTTCGAAGACACCAAAAACAAATTTTTCGGTACCGGTATGGTATCGGTAGTCGTAGTAGAATTCAAACAACTTTCTCCATATGTTATTATCTCTGATAGAATTCTGACGAATATCTCCGACTTTCCTCCGATGGTTAAAATGTATTTCGGTTGTATTTCACGAAATAAACTTACAGTGGTTAAGTATTGCGGGCCTGCTTCCAACATTTCTTCATATACATAGAGCTAAATTGAAAATATGTAAGCAAAAGCATCATTGACGATTGCTAACCTCAAACAAATAAGCAGTTTAGGTTAGGTTGAAAATTAGTGGGATGATCTATCGCCTTCCATTGGAATCCAGATGGATCTATTATGGATTATGCCTTATAGTTCACTACTTGGAGTCGACAGAACCAGACAGCCAAGATCTATGCAACAATTTTGAACCTTTAAACTCTTTTGTCTTGTACAAACTAACGCTTTCTTGAAGACTAGTGTCACTCAACATATATATTATAAACAACTAAGATAATCCCCAAAACTCATTCTGGAGAAGTAACACTACCTATATGCCATTTACTTAGATATTTCATTCGCACGAACAATCTGACACTATAATTCTGCGAATTGGACTGCAACAGTGGACCAGAGAACACACTTGTGCTAATGAAACAGGTAAATAGAGAATACTGTATTATACGCTCTAGTTGGAACATCATGAACTCAAGCAGTCTAGAATATTCATAGAGGGTCCATACAAGATCAACTGCTGAACCAAAATAATATATAAAGTGAATATTTGAGTTGGAACCATCAAATTATCTACGTTAGGCAACGTTTAGGCAAACAGTAGTATGTCATATTTTAAATTTAGTTTTTATTTTGGATAACCATAGCTAACGATGTCATGATGACGTTATCCAATTGTTTTTAAAGTAGAAACCAATAAACGTAGATAATTTTAGGTTTCCAACCCATGTTGTTGTAATTTACAAAAAAATATTTATTAATAAAATGATCAAATAAGTCCTAGGTCATAAAAATGTTCAGAAAATGCTTTGCTTGACATGTGTGTTAAACAAAAAGGTTAAATACAATTTTTTAATAAGGGAGTAAATTTAAAGGGTTCTGCAAGATTTTAAACTGCGTATTGTTATCGATGAAGACCCTAACGATAACATGGCGCCCAAACCCTTTAAATGCACTTATTAATAAAAAAATGTATTTTTACTTTTTTACCGTTTCGCTGCATCTCGTAGACATTTTGGTAGCCCAGGACTAATTTGATAATTTATTATTAAACCATTTTTTGTACTCTTGTAGTCTGATCACTGTTTCTGCTCCTCTCTATCTTTTAATTTGCTTATAAAAATCTTTGTTTTATTTTTTATAAAATTAATCATTATTTTATTTTCGCTCTATACTAAATTTCAACATAATTTTATCAAATTCTTCAATAAATATACCTATTTTCTAAAAAATCCATCTATAACAATTCTCAACCCCCTTAAGTTTATCTAAATTAATTTATTTCAAAACTTTTACCACCCCAGTATTGCTAATGATGTGAATTTTGATAAATTAATATATAAAAATAAGAAAGGTATTTCTGATTTTTATATATTAACTTAATTTTCAAGTTCTTTGCCCCTTCCTAGAAAATTATGTAGCGCCGCCCATGACGGTAACTGAATACTTAGAGGCTCGACGTGGTCCTAGAATCAAGCTTGTCCTCTCAATTCCTGCCCTGTCGCAACTGAAACTATTCGTGTAGTTTTAGCACAAAAAATTAAAAACTATGCTTTCTCTAAAGCACATAGATTTCGCCTTCTAGTTCTTGGAACGTCAATCCGTAAAAAAAATACAATTTTCTTTAGAAATTTAGAGTGATAATTACTTGTTTATCGGTAAAATTATAATAAGCTGCTCCCAATTTACCAAGTCTGCACAAGATGCATAGCAAATTGTTTGGTATTTCAGATTGTTCCCCGTATGACTCTTCATCTAATCTATTATCACTACTTTCCTCAATGTCAAAACTATCTGAACTATTTTCTACTATTGGTTTCCCCTTTATTTTTCGTACAGTAATAATTTCAGTTCGTGCTGAAGACATTTTATTTAAAATAAAATTGGTGGATTGTTTTATAGATGTTAATAAATTTAAATCAACTGTCAAAATAGTTGTCATAGGCAGTGGACGTATTTCGACCATGGCCTACTAATAGAATGGTAATTTGATGAAAACCTTGCTTATTTATATAGGTTTACTTACGAGAAACCAAAATTTCTAAATTCAAAAATGTTTGTATCAAAATCCCTTCTCATCAAATTAACTACTTTTTAAAAAACCAAATGCGATATCAAGTGAAATTTTTAGTAAAACCAAAGCTCTTCTAAGGGGATGAAGCCTGTTGAATCTTTAAAAAAATACCAGCTGATAATGAAGCAATTTGAATCAAATTTGGAATAAACCTACTAGACATAATTTCGAATTGACACACTTAAACAAAATGACTTCCGGTTTTACCCCGGAAATGTCATAGTTAGATTTTGAAAATTTGACGTAACAATTCGATTTCTTAACATCCACCACCTTAGTGTTTTTTAATTGCTATACGCTGTATTAATGATGACGTAATTTGTGTGCCAAACAAAGTTTTCTATAGACTAAATATCTATTTTTGAAATGTTATTTGATTTGGGTAAGTTTAGCTCTTAAAGTATATTTCTAAAGTAACATATTTAATTTTGTATAGGGCTGACCTGTTTTTTTGCCTATGTTAATAAATTTTTTTTGTAATATTAATATTATTCAGATATATCGAACGTGATAGACGTGTTTGAATGTGCTCCTATTTAAAGTGAGATTTCGGTTGTGTTCCAAGGTTAATTAAAATGTTTTATACATTAGAATAAAGTCCTAAATTTACCCTACATATGAAGACAAAAAAACCATACGGAATCTCCTATAATTAATAAGAATTTGTTTTGTTAAAGTGTGTACTAAACAGGATTATTTTCGTACATAAACTTTAATAAAAACGTGGTCATTAACTATCTTATCTTTTTTCGTGGGACTAGTAAAATACGATTAATAGCTTGCCAGTGGCGTCCTGATGTTTTGGAGAGCCGTGTTTCTGATGAATCTAAAATGGGGTGTAATATCTGCAAGCAAGTTAAACACCCCACCAAAGTTAAGCACCCTTGCTATCCATGTGACTCTAGCAGAAATTTGATCTGCCCAGGATGTACTAATTTATCTGCTTCCGAAATACGATGTCTACCTTTAGTTGGGCGTTTGTTAAAGTTTCTTTGTAAAGAATGCAGATACTACGAGCATCATTTTAGGACAAAGCAAAGATAAAGATCAGATCATCAAAGATAAAGAAGAAATAATTTGTTAAAATCAAAAATTACAGAGTTAGAAAAGGTTAAACAATCTGTTCCCTCCTTCGCTCAAATTACTAAAACTCAATATCAAATTACCAATGGTCAGAATCAATTTACGAAAGACAATTTTCCTAGCATTATTGTAAAACCAAAAAATACCAAAGCCCTGATAAAACTAAAGAGGATGTTGAAAAAGCTATTGATCTAAATAAATTGAAAGTGATTGAAAATTGGGACCACTATAAAATGTGCAGAAATTTTGCTTTGGCTTCTATCAGAAGGGAAAAGGTAGCATATTTAGATACAATGCAGATAAGCAAAAATGATAAAGCTTTGTGGAAAGGTCTACATAACATGAACATTCGTTGCTCTTCAACATTATGTAATCCTTCTAAAATTAATGATTATTTTATTCAAATAACCAATTTGGTAACAGCACGTTTGCATTTAACCTCGTTACTCAAAACATAGTGTTCGGTGCCTAAACTCTATCAAATCAAATGCTAGTGGACGAGATGGTATTTCATTGCATATGATAAAGTTATGCTAGCCAATAATTGGCGATTATATCACTCATATCATAGACTGTTGTCTGTAATGTGGATATTTCCGAAAGGCTTGGCGTGAATCTATTGAATGTCCAATTCCAAAAAAAGCTAAGCCAGATTCTGTCCGTGATCTTCGACTAATAGGCTTATTACCAGTTATCTCTAAAATTCTTGAAAGAAAAGTGGTATGTATACTCTCAATTGTATGAATATGTTTCAGCAAACAGCATTTTACCTAGTGAACAATCAGGCTTTCGTAAAGGTCATAGCACCACTTCTGCAATGCTAAATTTGAATGATAATATTATAATAGCTATGAATAAAAAGATGGTTATTAGCAAATATATAACTGGTATGTAAATTTACGGATTTGTTACTACCCATCTCTAAATTCACGCGATATAACCGAACTTCGATTTTCGTTCAAGGACGACTTACCCAAGTCCGACTCAGCTGAGTTTTGTTTATAAATACGGGCCTAAATGTTTTACATTTCCTTTACCTGCTCGTTGCCATGTCTAAAATGTGGCTGGATCGATACGCCACGGACGTACGAAATTTTTATAAAAGCGTCACATATTACGCCGTTTAACGCAAAAATTTTCATTTTATTAATAAAAATAAGTCTAACACTAAACAAATAAAATCACAAAGGCTCAATCAGTTGATACTAGTTGACATGTAAATCGTAACTGTATTAGAATCATCTGATGACAACATATTACCTAAATAATCAGCGGTTGTCTGTAGAGTCCTTTTAAACCTATAAATTGGAGTGTAGTTCTATCTCTCTCGATTTTAGTTTCTCGCTTTGACTGCGAGTGTACGGCACAGGGCAGGGTAAAACAAAAACATAGAAGACCATAGTAATTGTAGGGCAATATAATTATTAAAGAAAAAAAGGAGAAATGAGACATAATCCAGGATAGGAGAAATGGAAACACAAAATTGTTGCCCTTATCTCATATGGGCCAAAAGATATTATAATTATAAGTGAAAGAAAAGACCAAAACATAATTATTTAATAAAAATAACTTTTTATTACACAACTTACAATATTTTTGTCATAAATTAAAAAGTACTCAATTGTGCCTAAACTAAAAATTTTACAAGTACAGGACGATCCGTCACACCTCCAAAGAAAATACAGATTTTTATAGAAAATGATGCAAGTATTAGAACTATTTGCCAAGCATTAAATATATCTATCCCGTTATTGATTATCTATATTACTCATGCGCAAATCCTACTTTTAAAATCAACAAAATTTGATTTTATTTCCTACCCAGAGTGTCAATGGCTGGCGTTCAGCAGATCAGGATCTGTTTCAGTTTAATTTGCAACAGTTTAATAGTTTGCTGAACATAAATTTTTGCATTTTAGAGCACTGTATACCGTGCTATAGAAACTATACTGCGGCAAAGTCATCTAAACTCCACCGGAAATTTTAGAAAAAGAAAAACGAGTTGTAAGCCCATTACGCACTCGTGAAATTTAAACTTTTTCACTTCGTGCGTAATGGGTTACTTTCAACTCTTGTTACGTAATATACTATTACAATCCGCTATAATCGTTGTTAACGTCCATTTACGTCGAAACCAGCCTTGTTAATCTACGATCACTGTATCAGTCAATAAAAGTAGCCAGGTGTGATGTGAATGGCGCAGTCAGTCTGCAATGCGGTTTAGTGCCACCTTACTTTTACCTAATGAATGTCCAAATACCCCAAATACTTTATTGTCGTAGAAATATATCTTATTGATAGTCAGAAAACATATAGGTATATATTTATATAAAACTAGGGATATTCCCTATGAAAACATGGCTGGGAAAATAGCTCTGGTAATATTTTGTTGCATTTTAATATAGTCGCATCATTTTCTCTAAAATTCAAATTGCCCTTCAAGTCACAGTTTAACACGTTCAGTGCCCGCGTCAGAGCAGTCTCTGCACAAAACCCAACAGTAACTATAATATCTCACTGTATCTTTTAGTCAACAATTTTAGATATTGAAAACATTTTCTGTGGCATATGAACGCGGATATGTAATTCTTATAGGGTGTGCAGTTAACTGGATGTAGGCAGTGTGGGCACTGAACCTGTTTTAATTAGTGACTCTACAAGAGATGCTCTCATAATGTGGAGAAGGCCATATAATGATGGTTTAGCAGAGACCGTAAAGATAGAATATTAAAATAATTACTAAGGATAACTGGCTATAGTTGCAATCAAAGAAGAACACGTTGGAGGTGCGAAGGATTAATCTGTACTTTCATTTTGAATTACCTACCTCCATTGTGTCGATAATGATACATTATGGATACAATTTCTATAATTAAAGTTTAAAAAACGATTTAAATGTACTTATTTTACAATTATTAATAGATTGTGGTAGTAAAGAATCAAGGCCACGTTTTGTATTCTTTATAAAGAATTGCGGCCATTACTTTACCGCTTTAAGCTTTAACAAAAGTTTTGATAATTTAATAAACTCAAATATAAATAAAAGAACTGGTGTTTCGTGGTAGTTTGACTTAGTAACTAAAATACTAAAAAATTAAACATTGTAAGTAATAATGGCGTTTGAATTTATTTTAAATTGTTTACCAAATTAAGTAAAGTCAATGAAATAAATATTCGATTTAACTATAAATGCATTTTTTGCCAAAAAAGTAGGATCAGTTCAACATTGAACCACCCCCTCTATCAACCAAATGTAAAAATTTCACTATATTACTGGTACACAACTCAAAAACTTAAATTTTCTAGAACATCCATTTTAATAACATTGCTTTGATAACATAAGGACATATTTTCATCCTTTTCCAGTAAAGAAAAAACAAATATATTGTCATCCCTACTTTAAGTTATAATGATCTTCCATAAAACTATATTTCACACCATATTAATAATGACCTTTTCAACAATAATGTCCTAATTTGACTTGCGTCACTGTCGAGGGAACTGTTTTTAGTTTAATTTTAATAAAACTGACATATTTTGATATGTCACTCTAGCCAAAACTCGAGGATATGTACTACAGAAGGAACAACACATTTTTGGAAATATGCATTTTCACAATATGCTCGGAAATAGAAATTTTTAAGTTGTGTCACTATTCTTGTACACCAATGATATATTTTCAAGTAGGTATTTAATACAAACTGTATTTTCAAATTGGAATTAATAACATTACTGAAAGTTGAGTTCTAAAATTAGATTAGTTTAGGAATTCCATAGTTCTCAAAATATTGAATGTTTGCTTCAATAACATTAAAAAAAAATATATGTTCATATCTTTTTTGAGTTATAACGATCTTCTAGAAAATTATATTTCACGCCATATTGATAATGACCTTTTCAACAATAATGTCATATTTTGACTTACATCACTGTTGAAAATAATGTTCTTAGTTTCTTTTTAATAAAATGAAATTTTTGATTTATGTCACTCTAGCCGAAAATTAACGATATTATCTCATTGAGTGTTGGAACACAACTAGATGTGTGTCACACTTCAAAAAATTAAATTTAATCACTTACTTTCGTTGAACTGACCCTACCAATAAAACATTTAAGTCAAATTAACATGAAACAAAAATTTTAAAAGTAAAAACGTTTGTGGTTTTTTATAAAAATACTAGAAATTCAATTCGTATGGGATCTAGATTAACTAGAATGTATTAAGTTTCTATGAGGTTCTGTTGAATTTAAACATTTTTAAACTGAAAATGAATCATGTTTAATTAATTAAAATTGGTTCGAGGTTCATTTTAAAAACTTATTAAATTTTCAATTGAAATAAATTCAACAATAATGTCCTAATTTGACTTGTGTCACTGTTGAAAATTGTTCTTAGCTTATTTTTTATAAAACTGACATTTTGATTTATGTCACTCTGGCCGAAAATAGGCGATCTTGACTCATAACTAGATTTATCATTTTGTACTACGGGAAGAACGACATAACCACTTTCCAGCTATCACTTTTCGAAGTAGCATTGTGTCATCCTTCCACATAAAAATATGTGAATTTTTGAGTTGTGTCACTATTCTTGTGCACAAACGATATATTCTCAAGTAATTATTTGACTGTTGAAAATAATGTTCTTGGTTTATTTTTAATAAAACTGGCATATTTTGATTTGTTACTCTATCTGAAAATTGACAATCTTGACTCATTGACTGTGAAGAGCATAATTAGATTTCTGTCACTCTTCATCATCATAAACTCAACTTTGTAGCATGGGAAAAACGACACATTTCTGGAAGTATCAATATGTCATTCTACCAAATAAAAACATGTGGATTTTGTTATACATTTTCACCATAAGTTCGAAAATAGAAATGTTTGAGTTGTGTCGTTATTCTTGTGCAGCAACTATATATTCCAAAGTAGGAATTTAATACAAACTGTATTTTCAAATTGGAATAAAAAGTACATTATTGAAAATTGATAAAAGTATATTATTAGTTCAGGAATTCCATGTTTCTCAAAATGTTAAATGTTTGCCTTGATAACATTGAGCAGAAATATAAAAACATATTTTCATTTCTTTTTGAGTTTTGACGATCTTCTAGAAAAGTATATTTCACACCATATTGATAATGAACTTTTCAACAATATCCTAATATGACATGTGTCACTGTTGAAAATAATTTTCTTAGTTTATTTTATAAAAATCTGGCACATTTTGATATTTGTCAATCTATCCGAAAATGGACCATCTTGTATCATTGACTGTCAAAGCACAACTAGATTTGTTTAACTGTTCATTATAATAAACTCGTAATTTTGTAGTACGGGAAGAACGACATAAATATTTTTACGTTGTGTCACTATTCTTGCGTATCAACGATAGGTTATACATTTTCACAATAAGCTCGCACATGAAATTTTTTGAGTTGTGACACTATTCTTCTCCAATGAGATCGTCAATTTTGGCTAGACCGACGTAAATCAAAATATGTCAGTTTTAGTAAAAATAAATTAGGAACATTATTTTCAACAGTGATACCAGTCAAATTATGAAATGAAATATGCTTTTATGGAAAATCATTCATCGAAAGGATGAAAATATATAAAAAAATTTAATGTTATTATTTGAATGCCAGATAAACAATGTTTATTCCAAAAAAAAATTAAAATTTTTTAAAATGAAAGATTCTCAAAATTCTACATTTTTGAGTTGTGTCACTTTTCTTGTGTCTTGCTTTACATTTTCACTATAATCTCGTAAATGGAATTTTTTGAGTTATGCCACTATTCCTGTGCACCAACGATAGATATATTATCAAGTTAGTATTTTCAAATTGAAATTAATATTATTGAAAGAAATTTTATGGTTCTTAAAAATTTGAATGACATCAATAAAAATGTTTTAAATCGAACAGAATACTCATAGAAAAGTCTCAATTTTTTCATTTAAAACTAGAAATATATACAAACTATATTCAAATTTGTTTTTATGTGTCAGCTGGATCATATTTGTGTAATTGCAGCCGCCATTGCTTTATTAAACCATCCCAACCCCGTCTGGAATACTTTAGGTTTTTATTTGGAGTTCTTGGATCAGTTTGGACCCTTTCATTTCTAAAAAGAGATATTTCTTAGTTAAATATCTACTATATTTATACAAAAGTTAATTTTTAATTACTTACAAAACAAAAAGTACTAAAAAATAGGAAAACATGAATTTGAAACAGCAAAAAACTTTAGATATACGGGAATAATAATAAACATTAAAAACAATAAGAATATAGAAATAAAACAGAGAATCCAAGCATGCCACAAAGCATATTATAAATATAAGGGGATAATGAAGAGTAAGACAAAAAATGAGAGTATATAAAACACCATAAGACCAATAGTACGCAGGAAAGACAATGTGCCTAACTAATAAAGATGAAGAGAGATTGAAAGTGAATAAACAATAAAAACTATAAGAATATAGAAATAAAACAGAGAATTCAAGTATGCCACTAAGGAAATTATAAATATAGGGGCATAATGAAGAGTAAGAAGTAAAAAGACAAAAAGTGAGAGTATGTAAAATAGCCAGAAGACCAACAGTACACAGGAGGGACAATGTGCTTGACTAATAAAGATGAAGAGAGATTGAAAGTAAATAAACAATAAAAATGATAAGAATATAGAAATAAAACAAAGAATTCAAGCATGCCACTAAGCAAATTATAAATATAGGGGTGTAATGAAGAGTAGGAAGTAAAAAGACAAAAAGTGAGAGTATACAAAATTGCCAGAAGACCAATAGTAGGCATTAGGGACAATGTACCTAACTAATAAAGATGAAGAGAGATTGTGTGTGTGTGTGTGTATGTATTTCTGTTTGGCACGAAAGTGTTAAAGAATATTAAAATTAGGAAAATAGTAGGGCTAAAGAAAATAGGAAAGCAGTACAGAAGGCTTATGAAGATACAGAGTGAATCATAAAGGCAAAAAGAATGTGGTAATCAAGATAATGAATTATGACCTAAGGGATGACTGAAAATTCATTGGGAAAACCAAATGATAAATGACTTAAACAAGATGGGAATTGATACAGATGAACATAAACAGGAAAGAATGGAGAAGAATAACTAAAGCAGTGACAAAACTCGAAAACTTGTAGGAGATATAATCACAAATTAAATGTCATTAATAGACTTATTCCTGTTTCACACATATGATGTTTGATTTTACCAAAACAATGTTTAGATTTAAAGTCTTAAAACAAATACAAATAGCAGTTTTATTAATATTATTGAAAAATAACTTACCTAGGTACCATTTGTAAGTAATTATCATACCCAAGGGTATTTTTCCCATAATCTATCTGTTTCTGTCTCCTAGCAAGAACAGCTGGGTCAGTTTCTAAGTCTCTTTTCATCCTTTTACTAAAAAAATTTATTGTTAATTAAATAAATGTTTTAAATGCATATCAATCTTACTGAGGTACGTCGTTATCAACTTTAGATCCTAATCTCTTCTTTACTGATAACCTATCGACATCTTTACCTTCTGTTCCAACTTTTGGTCCTAACCTATCTTTTGCAGATACTTTTGAACATTCACCTAAAAATATCAAATGTTAGCAGCTTAATTTTAACTGCACCAAAACTGGACTTACCAGAAACTGTTGGGACATCTTCGTAATATTCTTCTTCTTCTTCAGAATATTCAGATTCCACTGGCTCTTCAAACACTCTTTTAACAGCTCTCTTCACTTCCTCTTTAACACCTTGCAAACAATCTTTAGGCAAAGGACTTTCTAAAGTGAATTTTCTTAATAATTCCTTGTTAAAAGGAGAAGGGTTAGATTCATCATGCAGTAGTTCAGTTTTAATAGGAGTGTTTTGTATATGATGATTTTGTAGATTAACTTCATTGTCTATGGGTTCTATTTTTACATTTCTTAAATCTACAGGTTTTTGTATTGTATTAATTGTTTTATCTAACTCTGTTTCGTCCTGAGGTTCTGATTTAATTTTAATTTCTTCAAAATATCTTTTTGGAGATGTATTATCAGTGATGTTGTGAAGAGATGCATAAGCTTCATCTAAGTCACTTTTTTCTTTAGAATCATTGTGATTTTTTGGGGTAGTGGAATTGTTTTGATCAGGGACCACTCCCAGATTATTGTTAATAAGAAAACCTGCAGATTCAGCATCCCAGGAGTCCTAAATAACAATAGTACCTTTAAATGGATTATATAATATAAAATAGTATGAAATCAGTAAACAATAGTGATTAATCAAAAAATTACTCAAAATACTATAATATATAGTCTTATCAACAATTTGCGTGTTAGAATTTAATATTAATTGATAGAAAAATTATATTGTCATGCATTTATTAATCATCAGTATCAGTACCTTATACACAATGTAATTCTTTTTATCCATTAATTACAAAAAATATATATTATAATTTCGATTTTATTTACTTACATCGTCAAATATTCTTGCATCTTTGAGTACAGTATTCATGGAAACTCTCTTTGTTTCCACTGTGCCCGACATGATGCACTTGCACTTATCGTTTAGCACTTACTGCAAATCGCAAACACTTTAAAATTAAACTGTAAAAACGATATTTTCGTCCGTTATAAAACACCACTAATATATTAGCTAGATTTTTACAATCTACATCATTTTTCCAGTACAAAATATTACATCTAATTCGGGATAAATTAGGGAGCTTATAAACTACATAAAACCAAAACAACTTTGGCGCGAAATGTCAAATGTCATTTGGGCTGTGTTCGAATAACTTGGCATGAACTTGCCGTTATTGTATTCCAGTGCTTCCCAACATTTTCTGTGCCATACCTGTCATATGTCCTCTGTAACATATTTTTACACATATAAATTAACTTACAAAAATAAAATTTGGTTTTTTAGGGCCGATTCCACCGTTGTGTCAAGTAATTTGATTTTTTAAAGACAGTCCTCTTACTTAATCATACACATGTGTACACCTGTATATAGGTATGGAATTTTCAACACGGAGAGTATACTTTTACAATGAGTTGAACAAAGTGTAATAGGAACATGCATATAACAGAAAGAGAACGAGGTCAGCGAGCATGGTATACAGAGTCCCTACTATTTTATAAAGACAGTATTGTTAACTGTAACAGATAGAAAGTTTGTTCAACAAAAGTTGCGAAGTTTTGTGCTCATTAAAATTGTGAAAAGAAACCTTTTATGTCTACAGGGAGATTCAAAATATCGGACAAAAAATTTAAATTATCATTTCTCTAAATTATATCATTCATAAGGGCTACAAAACTTTTAGTCCTTCCTTGTTTGCAGCCAGCCAGCAACGTCAGTGAATAGGTCACGGTTAACAGAAAATATATTAAATGCCAACAATGCCAGCATTGTAGCCTACCGCTCTTATAGACAAGCCGTGACTGGTTCCTTCTCCGACGCAGTTTTAAAATCAAATGTTTTCACATATTGATTCAAATAATAAAAAAAGCGACTACTCTTCTTCGTAAGAAAATATATATTAACCAGTTAAAATGCGAGAAATCAATAGTTTACAAATAAAAGTGCAACTTTAATATCTCTTCTGAAAGTACGTCACTGGAAACCGGAAACACTAGTCCGCCATGCGGTTTGCAATATGCAAGGACTATGAATCCAAGGACAAATTTGGTCCCAATGTTGAGCAATCCTCCTTTAATTCTTCTTACATGTAATGGGTCCTATGATTGAACGTTTATGTTATCCATAACGTACATGTTAGGTCGAATTTTAACAGTAACTAAGCAAGTTTGTATGATGGAAAACTGTTAAATTAGAACATAACAGGCGGAAAATAACAGTAATGTGTTGGAAACCGTTTTTCATCATAAGAACTTGCCTAATTACTGTTAAAACTGAGCCTAACATGTACGTTACGGATAACGTAAACGTTCAATCATAGGACCCAATGTATAAATAACTACATCAAAGCACTTGTAAAATAATATTTTATATTTTAATCTAAACCTAAAGAAACAGACCTTGTTAATTTTTCTTATGACGACAGAACAGATCTGTGCCAAATAACCAAACACGCATACATCTAAATAAATAGAAGAAAAAATGTAAACGTGGCTTAATATAAAAGTATGGTTATGTATGTCAATGTCATTTATTTGTTTATTATTGTTTATGGCTTTTTAAAAGTAGAAAGTTACGTAAAGATAAAAAAGATGAGTGAAATTAAAACTTTAACATAGATTATATATTTATCTCTATAAAATGTAGTACTTTTTATTACTGTTAAAAATGGAAGTCTCTTTAGAAATTACAAATAATGGATGAAAATTCGGCTTTATGTTGTTGCGAATATTACGATAATAATTACGAAAGGAATCACATTTTAGCTTGTTGTTGTAACTGCGAGGACTTGGATGAGGCCTTCGAAAGGTGGATATTAAAATTTCATAATTTCCCATATTACTTATTCATATTGTATTGATTTATTTGTTTTAGTTTGATTACCAGGCATGCAGTATCTCAAAGAAACAAGCAAGGCTTAATTATGACTCTTCAAGATCGGCTTAGAGTCCCCTGGAAAGGTGGTGCTAAACAAATAGCTTTCGATGCAATTTTACCAGTATTTATACTACCTGTTATGCTGCTCATCGCTTCTATAAGTCTTTGGTGGACAATATTTTCCTTTACCACAGTAGTATTTTTTTTAATACTAATATCGAACTTTTTAATTAAAACAATTCCATATACAAAGTTTTTCTTCATGTGGACATTGACATCACTCATCATTTTGTATATTATATTTGAATTTATTGTAATTCCTTTTTTGGAAATTTTATTGTGGGAAAATATCGCTTTAAGTGTACTTATATTTGGATTTATTATGTGCATATATGTCATGAAAAAAAGAACTAATAAACTGCCGAGATTAGGCGATTGTGATGCTGAAAGTGGGTATGTTGGAAAGGTATGCTGTAAATGGACCAATTGCTCATTATGCCTAGTTAGAGTTCCTGATAAGGACCATCATTGTGTTTGGTAAGTAAATATTAATATTGTGATAATTTATTTAAAAAAAACCTCTTGTAACAAGGTATGTGTTGTGTATAAAACAAATTTAAATTTTTTAGAAGAATTACTGCAAATTAAAATACATATTGCATTTTAAACATTTTCTGAATAGCTGCACAATCAATCTTTATCTTTTAAAACCTCTTAAAACTAATTGCATTTATACTTAATAGAGTACGAAGTCTCCTACTTTAGTTATCAATGCATATAATAGATAAATCACTTGACTGACTCTACAAAAGGTTTAGGAATAACATAATAAATAATAACCTTTGATGAAAGTATATTTTAAAGTCCAATGCGAAAATCTGTCATCTTCATTAAACTGCAAAGTATTCTTAACTTGTTAGAACATTTCTGTCATTTAAATCAAATTTATTATGTTTATATATACTCAAAATTATTGTAAGATGTCTAGCTGAAAAGATTCATGGCTACCTCTATTCAAAAAATTTAAAATACCCTTTATGCTTTTTATTTCTTTGAACTCCCAATAGATAGGAATATTTTTATAAAAATAATTCAGATTTTATTCTCCACAGTGAAATATCCATTCATACATGATATATTAAATGAATATTTATCAACTATTTAGGTACCCTTCTAAATATTGGTGTAGAGTTAAGCTATTAAATATACTTCCTCAGAATATAATAAATGTACAAAAAATAGAAAAATTTAAATCCTTTAACAAAAAAAAAACTTTTAGAGATCTGTCCATGGTCCTTAAAAGAATAATTTACATAAGCAAGGCACTTGTACTGACACAATCTAATAAGTTAGTGTTATATACAATATATCTGTTTATAAATGTATCATTTTTTATACTGACCTGTCCAATACACTTAGTTAAAATGGATTAATAAGAAATAAATAAATATAAAAAAGCACGTGTGGCACTCGGGGACTGCCGCTGTAAAGCTATTGCATAGCATTTTTTATCAACTTATGCAATTATAGGTAGTTATTTATTTATTTTATTTATGCAGAATTTTTTTTTCTTTGATATTAATTCAAGTTACACTTTTTGAGCGTGGTGACCGATAAGAAAACAATTTTTTTCTTTTATTGAATAAATGAGAAGTTAATATTGTTTAAAATATTTTTATTATTTTACAATACATGTAGGTTATTCATGAATTTTTATCATTGAAACTATAGGTTTATGGTAACTGAAATAAGAAACATAAGTTTGAGACTTGATATCCTCTAAATATCTGGAAAATACCGCGTCAGTAGTGGTCCCATATTTTGTTGTGGATTCTTGTGGATCATTGTTCATTTTCAAATTCAATTTTTCCGAAATTGTGTCTAAAAGAGATAGAATCAGTTATGAGCAGTTAGCAGCTAGTCTACATGCATACATCTAGTCGCACGCACACAAACACCGTGCCGAAGTCTGCCGAACTGAAACGACGTTAGACGATGCACGGCTTTCAACGCCGCACCGCTGTGCCAGTCGGAGTAGGGGGTGTTAGGTTTATTTTCGTTACGGAATTTCTTTTTCGATTTTTTGATTTTCTTTTATTGAATAAATGAGAAGTTAATATGGTTTAACGTCGCACCGCTGTGCCGGTCGGACTGGGGGGTGTTAGGTTTTTTTTCGTTAAAGTGTTACGGAATTTCTTGATTCGGTCTCTGCGCTCAAAGCCAGCGATAAAAGCTATGCAATAGCTTAATAAAACAAAAAATTCTAATTAAATAATAGGAATCACTTTTTTTCACTTATCTCTTATAATTAGTATATATTTTGTCTGATACCAATTCATCTTCAAATTAAAGTGACCATCCGTTCCGATTTAGGCGGGAAAGTTCCGATTATTATAAACCACTAGTCCTGATTTAACGTGTGTCCCGATTTTGTACCTCTTTTGTCCGATTTAAAATAATAATCTATAATTGACAAATTATTACTCTAGAATCCCAAGATGAAAACAAATTTAATGAAAAATTATGTCCATGGGGGGGGGGGGGGATTCAAACCAATCTATCCGTATTTTAGGCACACTATTCTTATCAATACCTCTACAATAATGACAATTATTGTAGAACCCCCTCCCCCAAGGTAAAAACAAATTAATGAAAAATTGAAAAAACTAAAAAATAAAAAAAAAAAATTAAAAAATTCTGTCCAGAAGAGAATTGGAACCCACCTATCCAAGTCAAAATATTTAAGCATTTTGAAGAAAATAACATTTCACGTCGAAATTTTCTGCAATTAATACCTAGAGGGCTAGAATACGTTTTATGATAAACATCAGGTACTAAAGCTTACACATAACGAGTTTTTTCAACCCCCACTTAATCCCCCTTAATAAAAACTGCAAGTAAATAATAATAAACGTTTTTATTGGCTTAATTAATTAACATAGTGAAAATATATAAATTCCAATAGTTTACCAAATGGCAGAGTTCAAATACACAATCGGAGTTTTGTTCTTCCACTCAATCAGTAAATTGATGTTCCTTAAACTAAGGCCTATATAGGTACTATTCCTTTTGTAATTTTTGTTGATGTTGTAATAGCTAGTCAATACAGTTTGTAGATACCCAGTTAAACCTCACTTTTTATGATATTAGGTGCCTAAAAAAACAAGGAAAACAGAACAATGAGTCTAGAGTATCACCCACATATCCACTTGTTTTTATTATACATTTTCCTTGAAAATCGTCTTGTATATGAATCTTTTGAATTTGTGCCTGCCTGAGTAAGTTTTAAATCGGGAGTAGGCCTTCCCAACTATTTCATTTTTCAACCAGTAAAAGTTTCGAAAAATTAGTTTTTAAAATATTTAAAATCAACCCAACATAATGTTTTTATGCTACATAAGTAGGCTGTCCTCAAAGTAACATTCGATGCTTCCCTAGAGCTGAGAATTAAAATTTTTGTAGGATTTCTGTGTTGTAAAATGTGTTTCATACATTTTGAATACTTAAAAACGTTTTTCTGAATACATTTGAAATTAAAGTAAATTAATACTACATCTATTTTAGAGTAGTATATGTGAGAGAAATAAAAGATCTCTAAAATTCGGCAGATGAGATCGAAAAAATCGAAAATCGATAAACGCTGGCTAAGATAATAAAACAGACTCACTATCTATACTGGAGCGTGGAGCGAAGGCGGCAATTTTCTTAGCCACGTTTTATGTAATAATTCCGTAACTGCGACCATCGAGTGTAACTGACGTGTCCCGAACACCTGAATTGATGGCTACACAACTTTTAGCCCTTCCTTGTTTATTTTTATTTTTTGTTTGACAAATATGTTTCTACTAAATACTGTTTTTGTGATTTTTAGGAATCAGAACATAATTTATTTTCTTTGTTTCCAGGTATGACTGTTGTGTGGGAAAACATAATCAGTGCGTTTTCATTTTATCATTATTCTTTGCTATAGGAGCGTTAGTCTATAGCTCAAATTTGACATTAACTTCAGTATGCCATCCTTTTAATCTGTACAAATCTATTCTGCTCCCGGATGATTGCTCTGAAGTTTATAAATTATTTGAGTAAGTATAATACATAATGGTTGGTCGACTAAAATTTTCTGAACTAATTGATAGGAAATCTGGCTGAAGGACCTAGGTCGACGGCTATGTGATTGTAAAATGTATAACGAATAAAGTGCTTTTTTTATTTGATAGGAAATCGAAGATATTTATCAATGTTTTTCAGTAAATAATTGATGAATTTCTTCATGATGAAAGTGGTGTAACATTTCTATTTTTTTAGATTAAGTTTCTCGTTTGTTTCCGCCATCTACAGTATCATAATTGCTCTACTGTTATTAATCCTTTTTGGGCAGCAATTATTGTTAGTGTCGCTGGGTTTGACATTGAAGGAATGGGCGCGACTGCCTTTGAGAACAAGATTGTGCTTTGGATTGACAGCTCACAGACCTAATAGTAAAGGATTCTTTAAAAATTGGAAAGCTGTCATTTGCTGGAATAAATTATTACTGAAATCAAACGTATTAGAAGTTGACAGTATGTAATAAATATATTTTACCTATGAGAAATTGTTCAATTACTTAGCCTATTGTAATATTAAACACTTATTTTACATATATACAAGTTTTTCTTTCTAGTATTTATTGCATATTTATATGGAGTGATAAAAAAAGTTTCTTAAGTAGGACATGGAAAAAATCATGTACTATTTTTTTATTTACCTTTATAAACAAGAGAAAATAACGTGAATATTATCAGGATTAAAATATTGTTTAATTATAGAATTATTACAAAACATAGGGGAAGGAAAATCTTAATAAATAAATTAAGACGTCTGTAATAAATAATGCAAAGCACAAAAGTAAATATGATTTGGCAACGTTGCGAACTAATATGTCAACTGTCAACAGCTTTACGTTTGTGTTTCGTAACTGAAAATAATAAAAGTTAGGTTAAATAGTAAAAATAGGGTATATTTTGTTTATTATAAATGAAAAAAGCAAATGAAACATAATTTTACGTATCTAATTTTTGTTAAAGTGCTATAAAAAGTAAGTTAATTCAATAATCTAGTGATAAAACTTTGAAATTCGCACAAAAAAATGGTATAGTAGTTGTTCGTATTTGTTTGTTCGTACATGGGATGATCCTTAGCGGAGCCACAGTTTATTGCTAAAGAATCAGTTAGCTCACTCAGACCAGTTGAATGTTCCAAAATAACATCCACTCCAGGGATACAAATTCAGGATGCACAGAAGACTGCTGTTTGATTATAGGCGGTTGTCATATATTGTATTATCCGAGTTGCGCAGTGTATAAACTGGAACATTGAGTTCAAAAGTGCCGACGCAGAGTGAGCGAACTGATTCTTTAGCTATAAACTGTGGCGGAGCATTTCCATAATTTTTAAATTCTTGAGGACCCCACAGTTTGAGAACCGCTGTCAACAAAAATAAAAATTTTCTTTACCCAAATACTGTAAGGGTTCAGGCCAAAACTATGTAGAATTAGTAGAAGAACCTTTACTTGACACTGACATAATGACAGTGACATATATGTGACAGAAAAAGGTGTTTGAAGAATCCTATCCGCTAGTTTTTAATAAAAAAACAGGCTTGAATTAAAATGTCTGAAAACAAGGAGCCAAATTTATCCGAAACGGAAAAGCAAATATTTAAAGCAATTGAGGCCAACGATGTTGTGCTGCTCAAAACTTTACTAGCCGGTATTAAAAACGTGAACATTGTTGACGAAAATTCCATGACTCCGCTTCAACATGCAGCTTATAAAGGAAATAAAGATCTTGTGCAAGCTCTTTTAGATCAGGTATTTATTATCTTATTTATTAATCTTCTTGAGTTATTTTAAAATTGGTTTTAGCCACAGTTCACATTATAACAAAGGTAAATAATGCTCTACAGGTTTTCGGAACCTTGGTTTAAAATATTCCTCGGGTCCTATTTGGAGTCATGCAGGCACTGATAATTTAATTTTTATTTGCTGCTTATTAACAATAATTTCATGGTCTTCTCTTTTGTTGCCTATTTGCTTTCTCTAAAGCATTAATAATTGTTCCTGAACCTTATCAGTTCCTAACTTCAAAGTGGAGTTGTATCTTTTTCTTATTTTATTAAGCTACTGTACGCCTTGTATTCTAGTATACTTATAGTATATTCGTATAAGCACCTTGCTACATGAGAAATATCATCAATATATAGAAGAAACAATAATGGGGTACACCTAATTCATTTTTTTGATAAAATATGTTTAAATCCTATTTTTTGTTTTCTATTGTCCAGGTAACTTATAAGCCTTTGTAGTGCATTTTCAATGATACCAAAACTTTTTAATGAGTAGAGATTGATTTATTGTTTCAAATGCTTTTTATAGGTCTAAAAAAAGAGCACATGTAATTAACTTGTTGTCAAGATTTTGTTTCCAGTCATTCAAAACATATTGTTTCACAGCTGTTTTTTCCCCAAAAGCCTGATTGACTACTATTAAACATATTGTCATCCAGATATTGAATAAGTTGATTATATACTACCTACTTTCTCTAAAAAAAATTCTACTGTACATAACATATTAGTAGGACAAATATCCACTGCCCTATTTGCATTTTCAACCTTTGCTATTGGTATTGTTATTGAAATTTTTAGGTCGTCTGGAACTGTATTGGTTTCTAACAAGGAATTTATTATATTTATCAAAGGATAAGCAACTTTTTTAAGAACAGTACATTCATTTCATCTGGACTTCCTTTATTCAACATATCAAAAACAATTTCTTTTTAATTATCAAAACTAAACTTTTTAAGACTTACATTATAATTTTTAACAATAATGGGAAAATCATTCACGTCCTGATTTATATTAGATAACAAGTCAATTATACTATCAATTTAATATGTGTTAAGTGGATCTGGAATTTTAATTATGTCTTTTTTAATTAAATTTTCATTTATTTCAATTTCTACAAAATCATTTTGTTTAGAATTTTTAGAATAATATTTTCACTTTTCATTTCTAATAATTTTAACAGACATTACGTTTTTGTTTATAAAATTCTTTATTTTGTTCTGTTTTGTTTGATACATACTTTTTATAAGTCTTATCCCTATCTTTAGTTGCAGTTTGAACTGTGTTATCCCACCAAATTCTAAATTTTGGAAAAATCTTAATAGTTCTCTTTGGTGCCACCTCATTTAAAACCCTCATTACTTTTTCATAAAAACCCTTATATTTTTCATTAATCCTTAATCTATAATCCCATAATAAAATTCTATTTTTAAGAGACTTCAAAAAAAGGAGGTTCTTAATTCGCTGGAATATTTTTTTATGTATGTTCAACGATCATTCTATACCAGGTTGTTCGATTTCAATGATTCTTTTTTTGTTAGAAAGGAAGTACTTCAGGGGTGGTCCCATATAAATTTGTTCAAGATCTAATAGTTGGGTCCATGATAAAATCATCAAATTCTTCATATATGAACTAAAAACCTTAAAAAACTATAAACCTTAAAAATACCTTGAAAAACCTAAAAAAAAAACTAAAAAGAATACCTAAAAAAACTTAAAAACCTAAGAAAAATTTTACAAACCTAAATAACATAAAAACCTAATTATATACTTTTTCATTCTTAGGTTTCCAACCCTGTTGCTTATGATAGTTATCATTTACATCACATAAACCTGGATAGATACGCTGCTGGATATTTTCATTAGGATTTTCCTTTCTTTTCAATTTTTTGTTGAAATTATTTTTCTGTACTTTTTATATTCCTTGAATTGCTTTTTCTGCACTTTTCATATATCTAAAAATAATTATCAGTTCATTCTATCTTTTTCATTAATAGACAGTGGCGTAGCTATGGGGGGTTTGGGTGTCAGAACCCCCCTCCCATGCAGGACCTTCACGTCACCGTTTCCCTATCTAGCGCAGATCGCTATTAACTGTTTAACCCCACATTTCTCAGAAATCCCTGCCATGAAAAATTTCTGGCTACTCCACTGGTAATAGATACTCCTAAAAATGTAGATTATTTTATTCTATTAAACACCTTATTTCTGCTTTAAATTCTACATTTAAATTTATCTTTTTTTCCCTCAGGAAATTTTGTTTGTTCTTCAATAATTTCTAGAACCAAAATATTATATCTTTTATTCAAAATTTCATATTTTTACTTTTTTGTTTGAATGAAATCATCTATTATTTCTATAAATTTAGTAAATTTTAATCAAATTTTGCTGATTTTAACTGGGATTCATCCTTAATTTTAGGGAGCAGATGTGAATTATGGTGAACATCAACACAACTACACCTCGTTACATTTTGCCGGGCTCTCTGGTAACGCAGATGTATGTTTAGCTCTTTTATTAGCTGGCGCAAAGAGTCAAGTAATGAACACAGTAGGTCGCACCCCATCACAAATGGCGGCTTTTGTAGGACATCACAATTGTGTAGCCACCATCAACAGCTACATCCCTAAAGAAGACGTCGATTTTTACACGATAACTCCAGGTGTTATTAGCAAAGTACAAGTTTTACCAACTTTTCTATCTGAGAGTTTTCACAAATTCATCATGCAAACAAATATTCATCCAATCAAAGTTGTTTTGAATGTACAAAACTTTGTAGGCTTATCTGAACATCTCAGCGAGGTCAAGAAAGCTTTAGAATTCATGTGTGAGAGGGAAATAAAACGAGGCGCAGAAAAGAATGAAGTCATGTCATTTAAATTTCACTACTTAGGCTACATCATTGGAGAGATTCTTAAAGTTAAATTGAGACAGACTGCTAAGAAAGATGAATTAGAGGAAGAAAAAAAATTAGATATGACTGAATTGTTTACCAGGAAGTTGTTGAAACCTGGTAAAGATGGTCAGCTGGAAATAATGGACGCTTTCTTGAAAGAGTGCATAAGAGAATTTCCTTACAGAGATTGCACCCTATTCAGACAAATGGTTGCGAGTTTAGCTGGTAAAGATCCCCCGACGGCATTAAGCGTTTTAACTTCCGCCATAAATGGTCAAATGGGCTTCTTGGATAGCATATCCGTTTGCAACACGTGTGGGGAACATAAGCCTGCCAAAAAATGTTCAAAATGCAAAGTTGTACAATACTGTGATAGAAACTGCCAAAGGCTGCACTGGCACTGGCACAAGAAAGCCTGTCCTAGATTAAGTCAAAGTCTCATTGAAGACGCACAGGTTAAACCTGATGCTGGTGAATTATCGACTGAATTACAAAATCTTTTGGTGAATAATTGAATAAGTTTTTAAAATAATTTTATTTAAGGTTTATTAAACACATTTTATGAACAAGGTAATATATTATAAGTTCACTAAAGCAGAAATAATTGTGTTTTATTTTTTGTATTTATAAGGAGGTAAGTATTCCAAAAAAAATGAAGAGTAAAGGCATTGTGAAATGATAATTTCTCCTGTATCTGCACAAATAGATTAAATCTATTAGTATACCTTATAAACACCTTTTTATAGGTAATTATGAGCAAGGGAAATTACAGACTTGATAATTGAATCGGTCATTTGAGAAACACCATAAGTCAGAAAAGTAAAAGTTTGGGAAATTTAAAAAAAAACTTACTTAGATCGACTGTATGTAAGACAAAGCATTGATGTTTTTCTAAAATTGCAAAATTGGTTTACTATTTGATGGTATCAAAATAATTTGTTTTTTTCTAAAGAGTCCAAAATATTTTTTTGAAAATCATGACTTATGGGGTTTCTCAAATATATGGATTATTTTAATTTATTTAGACAATAAAACTACATATTTTAATGAAATAACATGTTTGTTTAACAATATTTTTATTTAATCTAAAACTTCATCTAAAACCTTATCATTATCAACAGTCTGCCAGTTATAGTTATCTTTACAAAATTCAAGTACATCTTCTTAAGATACTTCTTTAGTTTGACATTCTACTTCTCTTTGTAAATAAGTATTTTATTTATAGAAGATTTTGTCATAAGAACTGCTTCATTTTCGAAAACATGTTTAAAATACACATACTGACTTATTTTAAGTGATATCTTTTCATCTTGTGATACTGCTTGTTGAATTATACTCAACATTGCACTAAGCTTTCATTCTCAATTCTTTAATATTCCTGGAGACGTCTCTGCAAGCCGCACTGCCTAGTACTCCCGGAGACGTCTTTACGGCATTGCGTTGGCCGATAAGATCGGTCTCCCATCTAATAGGTGCGTCACATTCGTCATTCATTTCTTTTCCACTTCTCATTGGTCATCCATACATTGGTTAAAAACACCGACGTTAGGCACTTCCTAATTCGTCAACGTCTAGCGTCACTCTCAATCTAGCTGAGCAGCTTCTCTCCCGGCAGAGCTTCAGTACCTCCCAAACACAAATATCGTTTTGCGGTGTAGAAGATGGCTTAAGTAACAAAGTCTGTATATAGTGTAAAAAGTATGTAGTTTGTAAGTGAACCATGTAATAAAATTAACATCGTTTCAGTAGTGTTTTAAAATAACGTGTTTAATTAGAGAGTGATGTTTTCACCCAAGCACTAATCCTTCAATCCCTACGGATCGCACGGGTATTTCCAACATTAATATAGTTCACAATTTGCCAAGATCCGTATGTCGGTCTTAGTTTGTTTATTGGAGCGAAAACACTGTTAGAAGCCTGTCTTTGGGTCGATTTGCGACAGCTGATTGTATTAGCTCGTGTGCCGCGTGTATTAGAGAAACACCATTAGTCAGCACCTTATGGGGTTTCTCAAGTAAAGCATATTTTGACGTTTGAAAATTTAATGCAAGGAGTGCTACGACGAATGGGATTTCTCGTTAAAATGTGCACCGAAGTGTTAGCAATAATAAGAATCCGCCATTTTTGGAATATGTCAAATTTGTGATTTATGGACTTTCTCAAATGACTGATTCAACTATGAGCAAGGGAATTACAGATTTGGTAACTATGGTAAGTAAATACATATACAAACAGCTGTTCAGATTCCCTAAACAGAGTAAAATAATTCATTTTCCTATTTATTCCCCACTTGTGTTTTATTTTGAAAACAGTACTCATGGTGACATCTGCCCACCAAAAAAGAGGCTCCATGTGATCGATTTTAAAATATCAGAAACGTTAATTTGTTACAACTATTTTATGAAAATTATGTAACTTTAGTACTACCTGGAGAGATGTTTTTGAGTTTTACTCTCTCGCGATGGGTAAGACAGACTAAGGGATCAGGGCGTCGGCCATTCCCTTTTTTTTAATAGCGTCTACAAACGTGCTAACCCACGCGCTTTGAATATTGGCTTTAATTTTAATAATCAATCATGATCACGAATGTATTGTGCCCCGGTGGTTGTTATTTTTAGTGATATAAAATGTATATGTGGCCCGTTTTAGACGTATAAACTGTTACATTTAAGAAAGACAGAACCGTCACATTTTATTTTATCTCTGTGTCATGACTCCTCACCCAAACTAATGGATCTGCATTCTATGGGTAAATATTCCATATATTAAAATTAAACCAGTTAAAAAGGTTTGACCCCTCTGTAAGAGCGTTGCTTGCCCATTGGCGTCCCCACAACAAATGTTATACAGCAAGGGAAACTTTAAAACTAAGTAGACAACTGTGGAAATCAAATACATAATATACAAATGGTTATTGATATGTTTAATAATAATACATTGGAAAAAACACTGGTCAAGAGAATTTCTGATTTTGTTTATCCTGGTATTAACTAACCCTTGTACAAGTTTTGTTTGAGGACTGTATTAAAATTTTTAACAATTAAATTTATGACGAGTCTGTGTGAAGTACCAGAGTTGTTTTCTTTTTTTCAGAATCTCAGCGCTACGTAACTCGCCGAGGCCTGTGTTGCCAATCTTGAAGTAGGATTTTTCCCTCCACTTACCTTAAAAATTCACACTTTTATGAAAAAATCCCTCCCGGTTAGGGATGTCACCTTTTCATTCCTCAAAACCCGGATCTTTGTTTCTAAAAAAAAAGTCAGCTCATAATTTCATAAACCAGGTCCTTCTGTCCAGCTTCTAACAGAAAAAAGGTTCAAGGGTCTTTCTGTCCGGCTACTACAAAAAAAAGTCCTTATCCAAATATTCCCGTATATTCACAATTTCATTTATTGAGAATTTCTATCTTTTTTGTCAAAATTCATTCTTTTTCTTTAGAAATATGTTTGAGGCGCCAAGATGCAAAACCAGATGTTTCCAATTTTCAAATTTTTGCGGGAAATATATCGATGTTTTAAATGTGACAATACTGCATCGATTTCAAGTCTAACCAACATTCAAAATAACATATTTTCCATACTTAACCTTGATAAAATTTTTGGCCGAGGTTCAAAACAAGTTATATCCAATCATATAAAATATGCAAATGCAGATATCACAAGAGATTTAAATCAAGAACATGAATTAATGACGGAAAGTAGAATTCATAAGCTAAAAGCAAAAGCTTTTTTTGACCTGCTAAAAGAAGAGAAGGATATAAAAAAATGTTTCAAGTTAGAAGTATGTGGAAAGTGTATATATTTACATTTACATATGTGTTACAATAGGTTGTATAAAATAACCGGAAAAAGCCTGTAATAACTAGATAGGAAAGTGATGTGTTGGACACATCAGATTTTTAAATAAACATCCTCGAACTTGGTTAGGAGAAATATTTTATCGAAGTGTTTTAGGTTCAATAAATCTCCAGTGATTAATAATTCATGCACATTTAACCTCTTTTCAATCGAGATGAGGACCTATCGCAATTTTTGTAGTAATTTCCGCACCCTCATTTTAACAATCCACCTATAAGTAATCTTAATATCTGCATTTCCAAAAATCAGCAGGAAATTTAAATTTCACTTAATCCGGCAACGTAGCTAGAATCACGCAAAAGTTTTCATGTGGTTTATTACCTAGTAATTAAAAATATGCATATAAATTAATGGTAAATTAATCTAATCATTTATAAATAAATATAGAGTTACTTTATTCGTCAGCTAAAATCATATTTTTGGGTTTCAATCGATTTTAAAAATGTTAGTAAACCTCTAGGTTGGGTTTTAATTTTTTTCTACGTAAAAAACAATTTTAGATCCAAAAACTTTTCATTAAATAAAAAAAGTGCCTACTTTAATTCGTAAAATTAAAAAAAAATGTAAATATTTTTTCAACAATCAATCATATAAAGGAAACTTTTGAATTTTAGCTAGTTTTTTGAGTGTTTTGCATCATTGATGTTATTATAAAAGCTCGATGTTTTTATATTTACATCAACGATTTTGTTTGAGATCATTCCATTTCTCTCTGACAATAAAGATATTTGATTCACGCTATTTACGTCTATTGAAATCATTTATTAAGGGTTGCATCTTTTAGAATATAAGTCTAAAATGTGTTAGTTCTATAATAATTATTTTTTGATGTAAATTCTTGGATTAAATAGACAAGGCTGCAGCAATACTGCGCGGTGATATCTCCATATAATTATTAAACTTACTTGAATCAATCACAGATATAAACTTAAAATTATTGTTTTTCTTCTGTAATATGACACAAAAGTGTTGATTGTTGATGTTGGAATGAACTGTCGTCGCCGGGAACAAAATATTTCCGGAGTGCAAGAAATTGTCTGGATATGGATCGAATTATGCCGTTAGTGGGATGAAAAGAAAGCAGCATGGTTTTTATATAAGGTGGGTCTTTTTTCAATAACGTATAAATTATACTTTGGCTCTTCTATTCCGTTTAAAAGATAATGAAGATGTCCTTGTTCTAGTAGAAAACACAGTTAAACTTATTTTCAGAAGTTTTCTGGATTTCTGGTTTGAGTTTCATAATAAAACGAATTTCACAAAAAATGTTAATTACAAGGTACTGAGTTTTGACTCTCGATAAGTAACCGCGACACACGCTCTTTTAAATAATATCGTTCCTTTTTTTAGAGTTTTACTTACAGTTCTTGCTTAGAAAACACAAATATCGATAAATTCAAAATATTTGAAAATCTGTTTGCAGAACAATATTTATATTTATCAGGAGATGAATAAATTCATTATTTCACAATTTATTTATTATTCAAAACGAAGAATTGATATAGTTGAAATGAACAGATTTAGGAGTCCATATTAAGAATCTCTATAGATTAAAATTAAATACATTAGCTTAACAATTTGTTGTTTTAATTTAAGATATATTAAATTGAATCACAACTAACATATATGTGCTTAAAATTGATATCAACGATATGATTGTGCTTTTGTTGATGTCAAACAAACCAAGAACAGAATATCTTGGTAAGTAGTGTTCTGCTAATTCAGCTATCTCCAATAATTTTAATCTTATAATAGAATTCATACCGAAGCATTCTTCCATTGCATAAGCAGTGTGCAAAATGTGCTTTCCTTTGTTAACTGTACAATTACAAGAAAGTATTGTGCATGCTGCAAATATCTGAAATATATAAATATGATTACGAATCTTCACTTGTCCAAAGGCAATATACTTAATTAAATTACATTAAGATACTTACTATTGTTATTATCAAATCTAATAAGTCTGGATTAATGATCGTTTCTCCATTTATATACCAATTCAAAATATCCACCGAATTAGCCAATGTATAAAAGAAAATTATTATTATTATCCATCCAAATAATCTATTGACATCTTTAACCATGCTAGAAGTTTCCACGTACAATTTAAAATATTCCTTAATCTTCAAAACGGTTTTAGCATCACTACTAGTCGATATAAATTTATTTTCAATTGCAAATTCACACCTTTCTTTCAACTTTTTGTCGATATTCTTGTAACAATTGCATATAAATTGATTGAATAAGACGAACAGTAAATGTATGTAAAGTAAACCGAATTCATAAATGTAAAAGTATAAAGTTATTCTATAATCTTTATGTTCCCATGTGAGTTGAGTGGAGATATTGATTATTTCCATACAGTGAAGGGTCGCAAAAAGCAGCAGAAATTTTTTCGATACACGTATTTGTTTAGTATCAAATCTGGATTGAAGTTTTTTTATTTTGATCATGAAGGATATCCAAAGGTCTCTGTTAAAAAATAAGCAGATTGATGTTGTAAGAGGTATCATTATGTAAGCCACATAGCTCATGGTTTCAGTTATGAATAGCGATGGTTCATTGTAATCTATTTCTAAAAATTCTGGATATCTATACATCAGAACTATCGATCCAACTGGGTGAAGAGTTACTAGTGTGATCATAATTATGTTCAGTTTTTTATGCGTTTGTTTTCCATGTTGAAAATCGTAGAATGGAACTATACCATAAAGTGAAGAAATTTTGTAAATCAACCGAAGTAGCCAAATGTCAAATCCAACTTTTTCTACAAAAAAATAAATATTTTAATATACAGGATGGGTCATAATTTACTGCACATACTTTTACTACAGTAGTTAGATCAGCGCTTCTCAAACTTTGGTACGTCGCGCCCCTTTTATACATTAAATAAAGCTGCGCCCCCTGCATAATATAAAATAGATGATAATAACCCAAAATGCGTGTTGTCAGATTACACGATTTTAGTTTAAAAATATTTATTACATTCAATTAAAACCTAAAATAATTATAACAATAATCAAGAAAATGTAATTTAATAATTCACAGAAGGGACTATTATTGTAACAGAACGTCATTTCTTCGAATCAGCTACTGGACCATTTTTATTTATCTATCTAGGGTGTAATCTCAATGTAACATTATTAAACGATAAATAACACATTTTCTTAACTAATGAATAAAGATATATAATAATATTATATAATATAAATTATAAAAATCAATAAAATACCTCGGTATCATAATTGATCAAAATTTGAAATGGGTTGATCACATTACGTCATTAAAATCCCAAGGTAAGAAGATTCATTTTTAAATTTTGTGAATTGAGGAAATTTATGACTAGGAGTTTACTAATTATTTACAATTTGCTGGTTGAATATGTAATCGAAAATCGTATAATTAAAATTATCTACAAAAACCCAGCATTATATCCTACCTCTCTTTTATATAATAAAAAAAGTGCTTTGTATAAGAAAATTATATTATCTGTCTTGCTGTACCTTTATTTATGGAAAGCCTGAATTGAGATACACTACAAATTATTTGCAAAAGAAGCATGCATTTTTAAAAAATTTGACATTCAAGAGCCATTCACACATCACAGTTAACATCTTGATACTTGACAGGCACAGCCAAGCATTATTCTGATTTTTGCCAAATAAAATGGCCGGTTAATTATTCTATGGGGTTGCGACAGAGAGCCAGTAAATTTGATGAAGGTATTTCTGTGGCTAGGGGCCAAATAGTAGTACGCTTAAGTTAGCACCACCATAAAAAAGTCATTTTTAAGAAACTGCTTATATATTTTTCATAAATTAGCAGGTTTGGCGACTAATTTCGAATAAAAATAGCCTCCAAAATGGCAATGAATGCAAGTATGAAGGTCGCAACCCGCCTTAGAAATTTCACCTATACTATCAACAGCTGTTGTTTGACAGGTCGTTAGAGAATGTTTGCAATTTATGGAATGTTAAGAATGTTAGGAATGTTGACGTTAGAAATAATTGGAATTCCCAAACTTGTCACATAAGAAATTCATAGGCGCATTTTAACAAAATATATATTAGAGTAGTTAGGATGAACTGAAAATTCTGAAAATCAATAGGGTTCTAAGTTAGAATTAATTGTTCAAGAAAATCAAAACCGCAAGTCAATCAGAACTTTCGTTCTAGAGTTATCGTGCCGGCGTAAATACACTCAGACAACCAGACGAAAATTTTTGTTTTGTATTGTCGGACTCAGAATGATCGAAAACATGAGAAAAAAAGGTTTAAAAAATGGGGGTAAGAAAATTTTTTTGGTCTGCACGAATGCAATACCCCGTAGGAAGGGCCTCAGTAATATTCTTTTAGCGTTAGCATTGGACCCAAATATAAAAAATAAGCGACGATGCCAATGTGACTATAAAATAACAGAAATTGGAGATATTATTTGAAATACTAAAATTAAGTACAATAAGCGTCCTGCAGTAGGTTGTTGCAGGACAATGCACCCCAAATGGTGGACGTCCACCGAAATGCAGGACGGTTGGCAACCCTAATTGTGACAACATGAAGAAAGACCAGACAGTTGATTCGTATATTACCCCTGTGATTAATACATCACCACCTAATTTAAAAAGATGTGTCGAGATACCGATTATTAGATAACATCAAGGAGATCAAAATACTTTTGTTGCTGAATGTACAGTTTCCAAGGAAATGGAAAGCCCCCAGGCATGTGAAATTCCCTCTCCTCTATCCCTAATACTCCCAGTTCTACTTTGCTACGATCTTGGAAGATTGTAAATCCACCCTGTAACTTAGATTTATAAGTTTAGTTTTAAGCTGTAGTTATTTTGATTTAAGAGGAAAGAAATGTTGTAATAAAGAATAAATACTTATCGAGTTAATCAAACGCACCTAAAAGTAAGTTGGTAACATTGATATGAGAGGTTAAGTCAGACATGTGAGCAACGCCAGATTTGGCGCCGTTACACAGTTTAATATAATACAGTTTGTATTTGGTAAAATCCTTAATAAAGTGATCGTTCTAACAAGGGTGTTTTAGTACCAGTCCCGAAGGCAAATATACAACAATAGTATTAGTCAAGAGAATGATAACATATGAACGAATGAAGCACTTAACACAAAGTGTAACATTTTGATTGTCAAGTTGCATCCTTTACGCACAATATTGAATTTGTGCAAATAAGTGGTAGATATGTTTGTATTTTTAATTCAAATAATAAAAAAAATAAAATTAAATAAGAAAAATTGACATTATCTTAATAATTTCTATATTTCGAAATTAAATACTTACAACGTTAGGACAATTTGTTGTTTCAGCTTAAGATATGTTAAATTGAATGACAACTAACATATACGTGCTTAAAATTGATAACAGCGATATAACTGTGCTTTTGTTGATATGAAAGAATCCAAGAAGAGAATATCTTGGTAAGTAGTGTTCTGCTAACTTAGCTATCTCCAATAATTCTAATCTTATATTAGAATGCATACCGAAGCATTCTTCCATTGCGTAAGCAGTACGTATAAGGTGTTTTCCTTGGTTTATTGTAGAATTACAAGAAAGTATGATGCATGCTACATATGTCTGAAATATATAAATTAGTTTAAAACAATTCCAACATGTGTACATTTAGGTAGCTACCTACTTACTATTGTTATTATCAAATCTAGTAGATCGGGATTCATAATCGTTTCTCCATTTATATACCAATTTAAAATATCCACCGAATTGGCCAATGCAAAAACGAAAATTATCATTAATATCCATTCAAATAATCTATTGACATCTTTAACCATGTTAGAAATATCCACGTACAATCCAAAATATTCTTTAATCTTCAAAACGGTAGCATCACTACTAATCGATACAAATTCATATTCAATTACTAATTCACAGATTTCTTTCAACTTTTGTTCAATATTTTTGTAAAAGAAGCGTATACATTGATTAATACAGAGGAACAATATAGGTATGTAAAGTATACCAAATTCATAAAGGCAAAAGTATAAAGTTAATTTGAAATCTTTATGATTCCATGTAAGATGAGTGCAGATATTGCTTATTTCGAGGCAGTGAAGGATTGCAAAAAGCAATAGAAGATTTTTCGATAAATGCATTTGTTTATTATAGAATCTGACTTGAAATTTAATAATTTTAATCATGAAGGATACCCAAATGTCTCTGTTTAAAAACAAGCAGACTGATGTTGTAAGAGGTATTAATATATAGGTCGCATAAGCCATTGTTTCAGTTATGAACAGCGATTTTTCATTGTAATCTATTTCTAAAAATTCTGGAAATATACTCAAAAGAACCACCGATCCAACTGGGTGAAGAGCTACTAGTATGATGATAATTAGATTGAGTTTGTTATGAGTTTGTTTCTGATATTTGAAATCGTAGAATGGGACTATACCGTAAAGTGAAGATATTTTGTAAATTAACCGAAGCAGCCAAATGTCAAATCCATCTTTTCCTATAAAAAAATATACGTTTTAATACAAGAAGTAGTTAGACCAACGCTTCTCAAACTTTGCTACGTCGCGCCGCTTTTTTGCCTTAAATAAAGCTACGCCATCGGCATAATATAAGATAGACAATAAACAATAAGAATGTTGTCATATAACAATATTTAAGTGTAAAAAATTGTTACATTTAAATACAACCTAAAATGTCAACAATAATCAAGGAAAGTTAATACAATAATTATTCATAGAAGGGACTATTATTATAAAGGAACGTCATTTCTTCGAATTCTTCACATATTACCTTTATGTACTGGACCATTTTTATTTATTTATATATCTCTGTAAATCAGGTTGTTTTTTTTATTTTTTGGCGTAGACAAATTGCCTTTCATCTAGACACAGATTCGTCTGTAATACGCGTGTTTAGTGAAAACGTCACAGGTTGAGAAATTTAATAGCACTGGATCATGGTAGGATAATGGTAGGATTCTGGGAAATATCCTATAAGCTACAGAATCTGTAAGGTATAGTAATATAATGTAATATTTTACAGATTTTAGCTTACAGATCTTATAGATTGTCTCAGAATTGACCCATAAAGGTATGCTGAGTTTCGATTAAAATTTCGTCCAAACCGTGCATGACGTAATGCGGGACGAACTTTCAAGTTATTTTTACACTTTTCGATTGAATAATGTAAAATAATTTAACAATTTATTTTGTTTTGTGATAGTAGTGACTATATTTTCCTATATATAACAGGGAAGAATTAAATTAATGTTTAAAATGCCGGTCTGCGCGGTGGAGATATTTCCGAATGCTACAACATATGGGTAAATTATTATCGAAGGAAGGACAAACTTAATTGAAGTTGCTCTATCCACTTTGAAGAAAGTAGTTGTGAGATTCCTCTTAAACATAGACGCAAGAAAAGAAAACTCAATTTCACCAGGTACACGGGTCTCATTAAGCAAAGAAAATAAATCGGTATTTTAAAATTTTAGCAGATAAAACAGTAGTTTCCTGTCCCAATACAACGGTTCTTTTGAATACCATGCATGAGCAGGATACTAGAGTCTGCGGCGCGAACCGAATTTTGCACTTTTCCACCATCAGTGTTGCCACATCATTCTAGTCGAACGGAGACACATTTCCATCAGTGTGTTGTGCGCATGTGCAAATTATTATTTGGACTTCGGGGTTGATACGAATATAAATTTTACTTCCAACAATATTTGTTACTTTATTATAATTATTTTAGGAATTTATAACTGACAATTACATTTTATTACTAAAATATTATTTTAAAAGTATTATTTGATATTACTAACAAATTTTTACTTTAGCTTGTATTCCAGTAATAAACTTCCTATAAATTATTAGTATATTAGGTATTCTACTAGGTACATCAAATTATTTGTAGCTAGTAGGAGAGGTTTTCTTCACCATCAATCATCGTAAGTCCCCCGGAGCCCCGTAAGAAGGTGAATTATAAGGACATACATAATTTAATGTAAATTCTCTCAAAATAAACTTTTTATGAGTTTTATTATTTTGATGAAAACATCTAAATAACACAAACGAGTGTATAAAAATTCACATTTATTTTGTTTATTTTACATGTAATAAAACGCTTTATTTTCTAAGTAGGTATTTTTATTATTTTAAGCACACATTTTAAAAATAATTAATGATAAGTATTTATAAAAATCCATCAATTTTCCTGCTTCCCTTAAGTTTTAAATGTCTTTTTCCTTGGCCACGAAGTTTTTTAAAATCCTGATCTGTTACACACATAACTAACATACACATGATTTTTACTTGATTTTGTTGTCTCTTTTTCAAATTGTGTTCTATTTTCCTCTTCTACACTAGTTTTCCATTCATTAAATTCTGACACAGATGAAAAACTTAAATCTTTGGATTGAATTGAAAGACCATGAATGTTTTTTAAATGATTCATAATTTCTTCTATGTCTCCCAATCTTTGTTCAGCTATACTCATTTTGCAAATACTGCAAACTTTCTCAATACATTTTCTGAACGGAGTATCCAATAGTTGGACATTACTTGTTTTAATATGAGATTTTAAACAATGTTCCTTATTAAAATGTTTATTACAATGCTCACAATAAAATTCTTTATTTGGATAAAGGTGGTTAAAAGATTCTGTATGGACATTTTTTATATGTAATTTAAGCGTATATGTTCTGGCAAAATATTTATCGCATACACTGCATTTATATGAAGTTTCCTTCTTTTTATAAAGTTCATCAAAATACTCTAAATGTAGTCTTTTTATATATAATTTTAATGTATCGCTTCTTGCAAAATTTTTCTAAACACACGGAACACTCATAAACTGGAATTTTTCAGTATAAAATTACACTTTCAACTTTAAAACAAAATAAATTTAACTCAAGACAAATAAAAATTACAATTACAATCAGAAATAAAAACAATTCGACGAAAAAATAAAAAAATGTGGTTAACACTCAGGCCTCGATCATTTCGGTTATCGGCTAAAAATAAATCCAACGTTGCCGAATTTCAAATTATGGAAATGTGCAAAGTTCGGTTCGCCCCACAGACTCTAGTGAGCAGGACACGAACACATATAAATAATAATAAGATAAATTAACAAAAAAATTGGTTTTGAGTATTTTCGAAGTAAACTTTGTTTAAATTTACCAAATAAAAAGTAATTTTTTTGTGTATTTACTTTTTATAAATAAATTATTTGTTTCTGCACACTTATTTTTATTTCACATAATAAGAAAAGAGATTGCAAGAGAAGTACCACGCCCAGAAAGTACAAATTTGAGTCAAACTTGTATTTTTAGTCTATATTTTTTACTTATCTTGTGACCAGGTTATGGATTTTGTCACAAAATTTCTATAATTTATCAAAAAAATTAATATTTTTATTAGTATTATTTACCTTAAACTTTCGTATTTGTAAACGAATATATAACAAAATAACCAATAAAGTTTAGGTAACAATAAAATCTAAAACCGGCAAAATTTTGAATTTCAAACACTATCTCCCATTTGAAGCTGATAATTCTATGTCCCACGTGACGTCACTGTCAGTCAGCTGCATGCGCAGGACATACCGTTAGTTTATGTATCGTCACAGGATAAAGAACTCTTCTGTGGTATCATGGTAGAGCTCAATTTTTTTGTGAAGAGCACACTTCGTCATAATGTGCAGAAACCAGTTTGAGTTGGTAGGCATGGTCAAACAGATTTAAACGTGATCGAAGCCGCCTGCCGCTCATCACCGCTCATACAAGTTGAATTCAGTAGCGTAGTGTTACTTATTTGTACTTGTTGCATTTATTTAGCTATTTTGAGTTTCTTGAGTTTTGTGCTTCGATTTTTGAGTTTCCTTAGTTTTTGTGCATCGATTTGTGTATATATAAACTTTAATTTGTTATATTTTTTGAATTCCTAATTAATTTTGTTTATATTTTGGTAAGTACATTTACAAAACTATAAATAATAATCTCAGAAGAAACCGAACATCCTGAAATATTTTAAATACCTTTCAAAACCAGATTTTTTGTAAACTATATTTTTCTTATCTTAAGAACTGAGATAAAATTCGTAGGTTTTATATATTTTATCACCAAGTTCTTAATATTTAAGGTATTGTACGTGATATTTTTTTTGTTGCTGTATAGTAACTTAAACTACAGTTCTGTAGTACGAAATCAACAAAAAAGTATTACCACAACGCAGAAAAAAAATTAAAAAAGTCTGAGTATGATCACTGTTTTAAGGATTCGGTGAACATATTATTATTTCTTGATGAAAAAACTGAAACTAAAATTAAACACTCAGATACATCAAAAAAAATTTTTTTTTCAATACAAATTGTAAAGGAAAGATTTCTCTAGAGAATTCTTAAAAACAAATTCTAATCGAATAAAAAATAAAAGCAGAATCCTTAAAACAGTGATCATACTCTGAAAAATTTTAATTTTTTTTTCTGCGTTGTGGTAATTCTTTTTTGTTGATTTCATACTACATAACTGTAGTGTAAGTTACTATATAGCAACAAAAAAATATCACATAAATACCTTAAATATTAAGAACTTGGTGATAAAATATATAAAACCTACGAATTTTCCTTGGCTAGAGGTTCGGTTTGCTCTTGATGAATAGAAAAATAAGTTTAATATTATTTAAAACAAATTTTCTACAAATATCTATTTATTTTATTTAAATTTATTTTTAGCTCGTTCAAAATAGAACAGAAAAAAATATTAGACAAAAAGGGCCAAATTCTTCAAAGTCGAACGAAAGAAATAATTTCACGCCTCATAAATTTTATGAAAAACGAGGCTGAACACGGTATTCAAATACCATTACACAAATACAGAGAGAGAATTTTAGCTGCTACATGGATTTCTAGAAGCAGTTAGTCTAGAATTAAGAAGATGGCTGGTGAAGTAGAACGTGGAGTTAGTACTTCATTTTCACAAAGAGGATATACAAAAAGAAGTACAGTTGTAGAATCTATAAGGCCTGAAGAGTTGGAAAAACTCAGAGGTATAATCCATGATTTTCATATTATTGAGAAAAGACTACCAAATTGTAAGTTACTATTTTGAATATAATGGCAACGTATTTACCTAATATAAATATTATTTTAAGTATATTACAAAAAATGAAGGATTGTTGTTTTGAATTCCGGGGCAGCATCTCATCACTTAGGAAACATGGGTTTTAAGTAAGTATAAATAACGTTATCTAAAAAATCAAAATAAAATGATTTAAAATATTTTATTAATGTACACACGCCACTGCTAAGATATCAGGTACCCCTGCCGCAGCAAATTTCAGCCCAGCGCCATCAACAAAAGCTTTGTTCCAACACACACACAAACCGTAATATTACGGTCATCGTCATGCGTAGTAAATAAAAACCGTTCGACTTTGGGCTTTATTGATAGGTTTTTATTTACTGCGCATGACGATAACCGTAATATTACGGTTTGTGTGTGTGTTGGAACAAAGCTTTAGCTCCACAAAGTTATGACGTACTGCGCGAACTGTGGCATAGCTATGACGAAATGTGCTCTTCACAAAAAAATCGAGCTCTAACACTTCTAGCTTTCGGCAGCGTTCGCTTCACATAGACATAGGCGTATCGGAAAACAGTTTCGGAAGTGACTTGCTATATTAACTAAATATTCCTTGAACATTTTTGGTAATTAAGTGATGGCCGAAATAAGGCAGAGAGGGACTTAAGGGATTAAAGCATAACTATACTGGTCGCAGACGACCTCCTATTACAATTGTTTCATTGAATTTATAAAGAAACTTGTCAATATTTTATTATTATTTTAAAGTAAACTTTTAATGTACCTAATATACTAAAGCGATACAAATCTAACATCTTTGAATGTTACTTTTCAACAGTCATTGTGCGTGTGCTGACAATATTCAACCCGTAATCGGTTGTTTATTTACTTGAAAGAAATCAATTTATCATCGTTGTTAAATATTAGGCTATAATCTTACAAAATTTTACTTTTTATTGTAGAGTTAAAACTGATTTCAACTGAAGTGGCGTTTTTGATTCTTGTAAGTGATCCACACGTGGAAGGACATTTTGTTTACCACTTTATGTCATCTTTCATATGGCCGTTTCAAATTCATATTAATATTGCCTTAAAAAAGACATATTTACCTTACATGTTAATCAAATGTTTTATTTATCTAGGGTGTAATCCTAATCTTACAAGCAATACCAATACGTGAAGTTAAGATTACTTTTATAGGAAAATAAAGCTTTAGATGTTTTAGTTTTCAGGTTGTATCCATTGTCCACAATCTTGAATTTGTGTAAACTGAATAGGTAACGTCCGCTAAGAGTTTGTTTTAAATTGAAGAATCGATATAGTTAATAGTTCTATATTTTATATAGTTTAGGTTAACAATTTATTGTTTTACCTTAAGATATGTTAAATTGGATGACAACTAACATATAGGTGCTTAAAATTGAAATTAGCGATATGATTGTGCTTCTGTCAACGTCAAACAATCCAAGAACAGAGTATCTTGGCAAGTAGTGTTCTGCTAATTCAGCAATCTCTATTAACTCTAGTCTTATAATAGAATTCATACCGAAACATTCTTCCATTGCATAAGCAGTGCGTATAAAGTGTTTTCCTTGTTTGACTGTAGAATTACAAGAGAGTATAATGCATGCTGCATATGTCTGAAATATACAAATTAGTTTAAAACATGTGTCTTACTTGTGAACAATATAAATGTTAATATAATTGATAAGAACATTATATTTAGGTACTTACCATCGTTATTATCAATTCTACTAGGTCGGGATTAATGATCGTTTCTCCATTTATATACCAATTCAAAATATCGACCGAATTAGCCAATGTAAAAATAAAACTTGTTATTATTTTCCATCCAAATAATTTATTGATATCTTTAACCATGTTAGAAGTTTCCACGTACAATTTAAAATATTCTTTAATCTTTAAAACGGTTTTAGCATCACTACTCGTCGACATAAATTTATTTACAATTGAAAATTCACATCTTTTTTTCAATTTTTGGTCGATATTCTTGTAACAAATGCATATAAATTTATTGAAGAAGAGGAACAATAAATGTATGTAAAGTAAACCGAATTCAAAAATGTGAAAGTATAAAGTTAATTTAAAGTCTTTATGATCCCATAAAATGTGAGTGCAGATATTGATTATTTCGATGCAGTGGAGGATTGGAACAAACAGCAGAAATTGTTTCGATAAACGTATTTGGTTAGTGTAGAATCTGGTTCTAAGTTTTTTAACTCTCATCAAGTGAGATACCCAAAGGTCTCGATTAAAAAATAAAAAAATTGATGTTGTAAGAGGTATCAACATATAAGTCGCATAGCTTATCGTTTCAGTTATGAATAGTGATTTTTCACTATATTGTATTTCTAAAAATTCTGGAAATATATTCATAAGAACTACTGCTACAACTGGGTGAACGGCTAGTAGTGCGATGATAATTAGGTTGAATTTTTTATATACTTGTTTATGATGTTCGAAATCGAAGAATGGGACTATACCGTTAAATGAAGATATTTTGTAAATTATCTGAAATAGCCAAATATCAAATCCATCTTTTGCTACAAAAAAAGATACATTTTAATATACAGGGTGAATCATGGATACTTCTACAGTAGCAAGACCAGCGGTTCCCAAACGTTGGTATTTTTAGCACCTTTTTACATTTAATAAATCTGTACCTCCTGCACAATAAAAGGTAGAAGATAATAACCCAATATGCGTGTTGCCAAATTGTACGATTTTAGTCCAAAAAAATGTATTACATTTAATTAAAACCTAAAATTTCAACAAGATTCAAGAAAGTGTAATTTAAAAATTCTACTCTACTCTACTTAAGTTACATTTTTTTATTTTCCCCTGTACGAAATTGTAACTTTTATCTTGATAGCAAAAGCTAACGTCAAACATCCTAAAAGTGGTCGGTTGCTAGGTGGTTGCTAGCTATAAATAACTTCGTGTCATTGACAAAAAAAGTAAAAATTTCATTTTGATTAATATTTATTTTGAATTAAAATTAAATGTAAATTTACATCTTAAATGTTCCTGAAATATTTAAAGGATGAAATTAAAAATAGCTTTTTTTATAATTATATTATCTATGAGTAAAAAAAAAAACATTTGTCAATTGTTGATTGCTGACAGTGACACTTCAGGAGTTAGAAAGTATTTAATGTTAACAAAATTCTCGCCAAAGATCCGAGACAGGAATTCGGCTCGATAAAAAGATCCGACAATACCCATACGGACTCTGGTAAGGAAATTTTAGAGATTCTTCTACAGAAACACTTCCCAGGCAGTCGAATCCTGGAGGACAGGCAACATGTACCTCTTCCTTTAACGAAATCGATTATACGACCCAAAAAGGAGGACTGGAACTTTGTTGCACAAATTGTTTCTCCAAACGCCGTGAAATGGGCGATGAATTTATTCTCCTCCTTCAAATCACCCGGAGAGGATGGCATTTTCCCCGCCCTTTTACAAAAAGGACAGAAACTCCTGCTACCCCTCCTTATGAGGTTGTTTAGAGCAAGCCTGGCGTGGAGCTATATCCCGCTAGGATGGACGTTGGCGAAAGTCGTGTATATACACAAGGAAGGTGGAGTAGATACCTCCCTACTAAACTCTTATCGTCTAATCTGCCTAACATCCTTTCTTCTAAAAACACTAGAGATGATTCCAGATAGGCATATTAGAGAAGGAGGCCTTCGGGCAAACCCGTTAAACTCCTCCCAATATGCTCTGCACAATCTAGTAGGCAAAATCGGCCATTCCCTAAATCACGGGGAGATTGCTCTAGATACCTTCCTAGATATCGAAGGCGCGTTCAACAACGCCCTTCCTCAGTCTTTGTTCTCTTCTCTTGAAAGAAGAGGAAATGTCAAACTAACTTGTAATTGGATCAGAAGCATGCTGGCAAACCGGAACATCACTTTATCACTGCAGGAAGATACTGCCAGAGGATGTCCACAAGGGGGCGTACTTTCACCCTTACTGTGGACTATTCTGGTGGATAACCTGCTAGACGATCTCTTCCGACAGGAAATGGATTTCCAATGCTATGCGGACGATCTGGTTATCATAATTATTGTCTTTCACCAGGAGAAGAAAGCTCGACAAGCTTCGACAACCTATCTTGGCTGGGAAAACCATTTCTTTTGCGGAGGAGGTGAAATATCTGGGAATCACTCTAGATAAGAAACTCACCTGGAATCCCCAATTGGATAAAACCATCAACAAAGCCAGATTATTCCTCTGGACCCTTAGAAGGATATGCGGCAAAGCATGGGGGATCAGTCCTCAACTGATCTATTGGATTTATCAAACAGTGGTAAAACCCATGGTTACGGATGGCTCTGTCGTCTGGTGGGCCAAAGGACTTCAATGGACGGCAAAGCTGGCTGGAATACAGCGGCTTGCGTGCCTCACCATAACTGGAGCAATGTCAACTACACCTACGGAAGCCATGGAGACCATGTTGGATCTAAACCCTCTCCACATTCTGCTGGAAAGAGAGGTCAGGATGGTCTCCTACAGGCTTCTGAAGGTGGGTAGTCAATAATACTAAGAACTGCGATGGAACAAGACGGGGCTGATGAGTGAAATTAATAACCACCTCATCCTCGGCATGGCTCGGACTTGCTAGTTCCCCGACAGCACATAGAAAAGCCATACAGTGTCCTCATTCTAGAGAGAGACGCATGGAGCAGACGGGAAAAACCCTCTCCCAGGCAGACTATGCGTTGTACACGGACGGCTCCAAAACTGAAGAAGAAGTAGGAGCGGGAGTTTTCGACCAGAAGCCTAGAGTTGACATATCAATAAACCTAGGCTCTCTGGCCACGATCTTCCAAGCAGAAATGATTGCTATAGAATTGGGAGCGAGAGAGTTGATTAATTTTCTCCCCGCAAACAAGAATATAAAGATCTTTTCAGATAGCCAGGCAGCCATTAACGCCCTGAGCTCCAATCGAGTTGACTCAATGCTGGTTTGGAACTGTATAAATACCCTACAATGCCTTGGTGCCCGGAATAAAGTTACTTTGATCTGGGTTCCGGGACTTGCTAAAAGAGGAACTAGTGTTTTACAGGTAGATACTTACAATAGAAACTCTAAAACATAACCTTAGTTTCTAGGAATTGTACCATGCATATTATGCAATACCTTCTCAGTTTCTCGCAACCAAGTTGCCATTAAATTTAACTGAGCAGGCCGTGATAAGCAACCAATAATAAATTGTAGCGTTACGAAGGGTATTTTTGGTAAGTTTCTTTTAACAATAATATGTTCTTTATATTAAAATATTTCTAGAAGCCATAAAGGCATGCAAATAGAAATGATGGTGTACCGAGCGATTTGACAGACCGAACTATTAAATGAGACATACAAGACTGGCCTAAATATATTAGCTATAGCTATAGCTAAGACGCATCTGGGACAACACATCAAAGTGATTTTTATTTGGATATATATTTTTTATCTGTTTGTTAAAAAAAAACACGTTGAGTTAAACATTTAAGATTTTATTGTTTATTTATTGAATCTAAGGTCATTAGCTTTGTGTTCTATGTAGGTTATGGATTAATGTACTAGTAGTCTAATACTCCATAGGGCAGGAGTATTAGTACTCTAATACTCATAAACCCGTACAAACAGGCCTTGTTACTGTTTCCTTGCGCCACTTTAGGAACAGCACTGTTAATTAGAACCCAACAGTGAATGGTCGAGTGGGGAATCCTACCAAGGCATCAGAATTAATTTCAAATAATTAAATTAAATAAAAAAATCCTGGTCAACGGTGGGATTCGAACCTGGGGCCCTTGGATCCGCAGGCAGAGACTCTACCATTGAACCAACCACCTCCCCCCCCCCGAATTAAAATATTTGTTCTATATATAACGTGATAATTTTTTTCCTAAGTTATGCCTATGAATATACGTTTCTACCGCGGACATTTTCACGTATATATTGGGTAGCATATAATAATAATAATAATAATAATAATAATAATAATAATAATAATAATAATAATAATAATAATAATAATAATAATAATAATAATAATAATAATAATAATAATAATAATAATAATAATAATAATAATAATAATAATAATAATAATAATAATAATAATAATAATAATAATAATAATAATAATAATAATAATAATAATAATAATAATAATACTCTCCCTAATTCACCCCCTTGCGAGTGAATTTTAACCCCAAAAGCTGAGCTTGTCCGGGGACTTAAAGATGATTGATGGTGCCATTTGAGTTACAGGTGAGGAAAACCCGGAAAACCTCATCCACCATCATATAATGTAGTACATAAAAACATCTTTTATTCGCGATTCAAGCTAAGTGATATGCCCTCTGGAGAAAATTTGCAAAAGGTATCTATAAGTAGGACTTTGTTTAGGTTTGTCAAGAGTAGCAGAATTTCGCTACGTCGTCGGATTTTTAGCTCTTAAAGAAGTTGAAAGACCTTTTTTAAGTAGGAATATTATCAACTGCGTGTGTCTTTAAGACATTTCAAAATGTTTAAACATTTCATGTTCGAAAGTACACATATATAAAATTTATTCTCTTGTTTGTTGTATCTTACCTTTGTGTCTTTGGTTTTGCCGCTCTAGATGCTTTAAAATCTAAAATATATAAACAAACTTCAAATAGAAAATTAGCTTGAATATTAAACCAAACCTGTTAGAAGACGCATTTTATTCATTATAGATTTTGCATTAGATGTATGTCTTTATACTTAAACATATTATGTTTGCAAATTTTTCGAGATAAAAATGTAATATTCTGATGATTTGTTCAGTACCCCACAGTTTGAGAAACGCTGATCTAGACTGAGTTGTTTCTACTGACAGACAATTACCCTGTATATAATTTTAACATATATTATAATGTTAACCTACCCAATAATTGTTCATTGCTTGCCTGTTTGACTTGAATAATCCTATTGTATCTTCCAGATAACTGCATATTTGAGTTCTGTGATATAAATTTGTGTTTTCTCCAAAGAGTTACTATCATTACAATATTT